CAAACACAAACACAAACCTACCCGCCAGGAACAAAGAAACCTCCGAGGGCCCGGCTGGCCCCGGAATGCCGGAACTGGCCCCGTGCCGCGCCCGCCCGCCGGCAGCGCGGCGCCAGCCGCGCGGGCGCGGCGCCTCGCACCCTCGCCTGGCCCAGCCAGCTGGACCAACCAGCACTGGCGAGGCCCCGCCACGCACGCAGCGGGCTCCCCCGCCAGTCCACGCGGCCCTGGGCCCTGCGCTCCGCGCGCACACCTCCCGCCAGATATAAACTGTGTCTTTTCCCGCCCGCTCGGTTCTGTCTTCTCCTCTCGTCCCATCTTACACGCATTACTGAAGACACGGCCGTCAGTGATTCTAAGACCAACGCTTCAGTACCCAAAGGACTGCTAAAGAACCGCAAAAGGGCCGCTATTGAACCGCCAAAGGACTGCTAAAGGACCCCCCAGACGTCTCCCAAATCATCTCCAATCACCCCAACCACCCCCCATCACTCCAGTCACCCCAATCACTCCAGCCACCCCAATCACACAATGGCTTCGTACGCAGCAGACTCCGAGGCGCCCATCATCATGCTCCTGGCAAAAAAGCACTTTGAGCAGTTGCCCTCGCGCAACGCCCAGCTCTACGCGCACCATTTGTCCCGCGCCTCCCACTGGGGCACGCGCGCAGTGCTCCGCTCCGTGTCGCCCGAAAGCGAGGCCATATACGACTTGATCTTGGCCGTGCACCAGGCCTTGGACTCGCCGCCATCTGCCGAGGAGTACCAGCTCAGATTGGCCGCCCGGGCCAGGCCCGCGCACGTGTTCGACGAGCGCGCCGTGGCCCTCTACTTGGAGTACGCGTCGCAGTTCTTGTCCAACTTGGGCAACTTCAAGTCGTTCGGCGACCAGAAGTTCGTGCCGCAAGTGGCACGCGACCAGTTTGCCGCCATCGTGGCGGCCGCAGGCGGCGCGCCGCTCGCCGACGTGTTTGCGCTGGTGGTGGACGCCGTGTACTCCACGGACTGCGCGCTCTTGGGCTGGCCGGAAAAGGGCCAGACGTCCAGCTACTACCCGGACTGCAGCGCCACCATCACCCGCGAGGAGGTGGAGGCCATCAACGGCGCGTTGGCCGCCCGCGGCATCATGCCGGAAAACACGCGTGTCTCCAAGAAGTCCGCGTCGCACTTCGTGGTGCTTGTGGCCAGCGCCGTGGCTGACAACACCACCGACTACTACCCCCGCGACCCCATCACGCTCGCCTCGGGTGCGTCTGTGGATATCCAGTTCGGTGACCACGCGGCCGAGTTCGCGCACATAACGCGCCACATGCGCCTGGCCCACGCCGTGGCGGCCAACGACACCCAGCGCAACATGCTCGACGCGTACGCCGAGTCCTTTGAGACTGGCTCCATGAACGCGCACAAGCAGTCGCAGATCCACTGGGTCAAGGACCTCGGCCCGCTCGTCGAGTCCAACATCGGCTTCATCGAGACCTACAGAGACCCCTCGGGCGTGCGTGGCGAGTGGGAGGGCTTGGTGGCAATGGTCAACCAGGACCGCACCGCCAAGTTCGCCACCTTGGTCAACAGCGCGTCCGACCTCATTCCCCACTTGCCCTGGTCCACGCTCTACGAAAAGGACACCTTCACGCCGCCTGACTTCACGTCTCTCGAGGTCTTGACCTTCGCCGGCTCGGGCTGCCCGGCCGGCATCAACATCCCCAACTACGACGACGTGCGCTTGAATGTGGGCTTCAAGAACGTGTCGCTCGGCAACGTGCTCAGCGCCAACCCCAAGAAACCCAAGAAGGAGGAGGTCATCAGCTTCATCCACGAGTCCTTGCAGGCGAAGTTCCGCAAGTGGCGCGACGACGCGTTCGAGGTCCAGGTCGGCTTGCACGAGTTGCTCGGCCACGGCACGGGCAAGTTATTGCAAGAAACCACCGCCGGTGTCTTCAACTTCGACAAGGCCGCACACCCTGAAATCACCACTTTCTACAAGCCCAACGAAACCTGGGGCTCCTTATTTAGCGCGTCCGCCGGGTCCTTCGAGGAGTGCAGAGCGGAGTTGGTGGCCTTGTTCCTCATCTTGGCCAAGCCCGACGACGTGCTCCCCATCTTCGGTATTTCCGACGCGGAGAGCAAGCAAGATGTGAAGTTGATTGCCACTATTCTCATGGCCAGAGCCGGCGTGGTGGGCTTGGAGTTCTGGGACCCCGAGTCCAAGAAATGGGGCCAGGCACACATGCAAGCCAGATTCGGTATCTTCAAGGCGCTCTACAGAGCCGGCGTGGTCTCGTTCAAGCACTCCAAGGACAACTTTGACGACTTGGAGTTGGTGACTGACGAGTCCAAGTTGGACACCGATGCTGTAGAGGCTTTGCGTGACTTCTTGCACAAGCTTCACGTGTACAAGACCACTGCCAATGTCGAGGAGGGTCTTGCATTCTACGGCGATATGACGGACGTCACGGAAGAATTCGCCCAGTACAGAGACGTGGTGCTCAGAAAGAAATTGCCCAGAAAGCAGCTTATCCAGGCAAACACCTTCTTGAATGCCGACGGCACTGTCGAGGTTCGCGAGTACGAGGAGTCGGAGGTGGGCATGATCCAGAGCTTCGTGGACAGAGCAGTTTGAGCTCATTCTCTTGATAGAAGGCAGTAGCATTCTCGCAAAAGTGCCGATGAACAATTGAGGATTCCTCGGTGCTCCTTCAACCGGTGCGGGGATCTCAGCTATGAACAAACTAAAAAGTCAAACCACACCTTTCTGCATCAAACTCCATGCCGACGAGGCGGCACATGAAAAATCCGTATTCTTTTGGATTTCCAAATGAAACACGAAATCGAAATTATGTAGTGCCCAAAATGCTTGTGAGTTCACCGTGCCTTTCGATGGCTTGGGTATAAAATAGCCTCCCCCGATCTTTTCCCCGAATGCCAACCACGGTTTGAAAACCAGGCTTTTCCGGGACAAGGCCAACTTTTCATTTCAGCATAGCATATTCACGTTGTCGAGCCTCATGGTGAAAAAAGATTGAATATACATGATAAACTTTATTGGTAATTGAGCCTTTTAGATCCCTTTCCTGAAATATTAAAAACACGACCAAAAAAATTAGCCACATGTCCCTGTTAAGTATCCAAGAGCAACAGGTCATATGTTGAATAAAAGCAGGTAAATGTCCTCCATTTATATGACCCTCTTGGTTTCTAAGCGCTGGGTCGTAGATCGTCAAATTGAAAGAGCTACGTTATATCCCATTCTCTCCTCGCATACAGGACGAGATTCGCAATCGAGTGGCAAGTAGATTTCTGTTGAAGATTGAAGTGGAGGCAGACGCCTATGAATGCGTCTCCTCTCGTAGATCTTTTATGCCAAGATGAAAGTTATTGCCAAGACTGACATATAATACAATCAAAACGAACTATCTTCCTGGAGAATTTTATACCTTAGAATTATTCTCCAGCCTTGAATAGCCGTGCTCGGTTTCGCAAGCTATGCGCGTGTCGGCTAAGTACAAGAAACAAGCCCTTAACAACGCACATGAATAACTCGAACATACAAGATCTGCTGGGCTTAAACAGCCTGGCAATGTCAGGCAATACTGACATGCGAGACTCGTCAAGAATTTCATTTCAAATCCTATGAGCAGCCATCACCAAGCTACCCGTTATCTTTTCCATATGAGTCATATGTGCACTCCCATACCTAGCAATCTTGCACAGACTACTGAACGGGACCTCAGGCGGTCGACTACAAAAAATATCATCCGCTATTCTTGCACCAATACCCTCGACAGCCTCATGTTCACACCCGGGTTGCTCCGGCCACTACTAAGGAGCCGGTTGAATGCACCCGTGTCGTTTTTCCGGCTTGAAAAACAAGCGTCTGTGGCGATCACAAGACATTTAAGTTCGCCGGCTGGATCATGGCCTTCAACGCTTAACAAACGTCCACAAAACACAGAGAGTCTTCTGAAAATAAAGGATTCTATGCCCATACATGGATTGCTTCCTCGCCGGTCTTATAGTTCCGACATACGTGGGGGGATAGACACAAACCAGACGCAGAAAGCCCCTGAGTTAGCCGCCGACACCGATGCTTCGGATTTGAGGAAACAGTTGGAGCTGTCGGAGTCCGTGCTCAAACGGCTCGAAACAGCTCGACTCCAAAGCAAGCAGAACAAGAAGGAAGAGCGCATCAAACAGGAAACCACAAAGATAAACTTTCGTGAAAACATGAAGACCATCATGCGGATTCTCAAACTTGGCCGACCTGACATAAAGCTCTTTTTGTATGCATTGGCGTTCATCCTTTTTGCAGTTCTCTATCCGACGACTGCCGTAAGACTTGTGGGTGCTTCCATTGATGCATTCAATGACCGTGCCAAAGATGCCGAGGGCGATCTTTTTATCTGGGGCTACAAGTTCCTGACGGTGTTTGGAGTCATGGTTCCCTTCATGATGGTTTCTGCAGCTTGCTTTTGGGCACGTATTTGGCTCTTGAAGATGTTGGGTGAGCGACTCGTGGCCCGGCTCCGACTTCGAGTCATGAAGCATTTAGTGAGACACGACTCGGCCTTCTACGACAACGAGAAGCACAAGGCAGGTGATTTGATTTCAAGACTTTCGAGCGACGCATACGTGGTTTCGCGCTCGATCACCAGCAACTTACCTGACGGTTTGAAAAACGTGCTTTTCGGCGTCATCAGTGCTTACATGATGTTCGCAATCAACCCGATCTTGTTTGGTGTGATGATGTTGATTTCACCTCCCATCACGTTTGGCTCAGTATGGTACGGAGAAAAAATCCGGTCCTTGCTGACACGTCTCCAGGACGCCACCGCAGGGTTGACCAAAAGCAGTGAGGAAACCTTGAACTCTGTGAAATTAGTACAGGCATTTACGGGGGAGGATAAGGAGCTCTCCAAGTACTCAAACCAGCTTCGGAATGTGATTGGCGTGGCGAAAAAAGAAGCGTTTGCGCAATCAAACTATTCTGTCTCTATCTACTCCTTGTACCACACGGGCTACCTTTCATGCTTGGCCCTCGGTGTTTATTTGATCCTAAACGGACAAATGTCCACTGGTGATGTTGTGTCGTTCACAATGTACTCCGAGTTTTTCAACCTGGCACTCTACAGTCTCACTAATACGTATATGGAAGTCATGAAGGGTGCTGGTGCTGGTGTCAAACTTTTCGAATTGATTGATTTCAAGGATCGGGTGTCTCCAGTGAAGGGTGAAAAGATTCCATTGGGACTATCTAATGATATTCGGTTCAATGACGTCGTGTTCAGCTACCCCACACGACCTAACGATAAAATTTTTGACGGATGCACTTTCCTGATTCCTTCTAGTTCAAGTACTTGTTTCGTGGCGCCATCGGGTGCGGGAAAATCTACAGTTGCTTCCCTTCTCTTAAGATCCTACAATATCAATAGTGGCTCAATCGAAATTGGTGGAAAAAACATCAGTGATTTCCAGGTCAGGGAACTCAGACGGAATATTATTGGTATCGTTCAGCAAGAGCCTGTTTTACTATCAGGAACAATTTTAGAAAACATCGTGTATGGTCTCACACCAAAACAAGTCAGCAGACTCACAATGAAAGATATTAGAGATGTTTCGGTTCAAGCCAATTGTCACGATTTCATAGAGTCATTCCCTGATGGTTACGATACAGTGATTGGGGGGAGAGGTGCTTCTCTATCTGGAGGTCAGAAACAAAGAATTGCAATTGCAAGAGCATTGATAAAGAAACCATCAATTTTAATATTGGACGAAGCTACTTCGGCACTTGATTCTAAGCTGGAGACTTTGATCAACGAGACTTTGAAAGAGCTCACGCAGCAAGGTAAAATGACTATTATATCTATTGCTCACAGATTATCCACGATTTCGAAATCAGAGAACGTGGTTGTCCTCGGAAAAAACGGTAAGGTTATTGAACAAGGCCGTTTCATCACACTTATAAATAATCCAGACTCGGAGCTCTCCAAGCTTTTGGATGAAAAAACATTCGCTGAGCAAGAGGAGCATATCAACGAGGAGGAAGTGAACATGCGTGACCAGCTCGATCATGAGGCGGAGGAGATAGAGAAGCTTCAAGAGGAACGCAGTAATGATAGCAGCGGCCTGCGTAAAGACATGGAGACGATTAGAACAATCATGGATGAATTACCGTATGAGGCACGGGCGGAGTTGCTCAAGCAGTTTGCGAAGGAACTTGAGGACCAACGTCCCCATGAGACAACTCCTCCTAGCACCAAGATCTAATGCCATCTTCCATGTATATAGTATTTATTAGGAGAGTATTTTGAGAGGTATATCATTGAGAATTATATCATCGAGCAAATAATACTACTGATTGTGGAATCATATTCTCGTGTCTGATTTTTCGCCGAAAGCTCGATAGGGGAAGTTCGCCTCTTTCCTGAAGCCACATACTTAAATTGCTGAAGCAAAAGAGACATTCAAATATTCAAGTTTCAACTTCTAGTTTTTGAAACTTATTCATTAAGACTACGCAAGAAGATGGGATAAAAATTGGCAAGTGAAAATTCTTCAAACTCCATTGTCCTTGAAAGACTCAAAACAGTCGAAAAACAGAAACCTTGCGAAAGTCAGGAAGCCTTGTAATAAACTTCCAGTTTGGGACTACAGGCCAGACCAAAGCCACTCAACCTTTGTGCTCAACCTTTGATGTCAAAAGTTATGCCTTCGATGAATAGAACAAGGGCCTGACTGCTATACCTAGTAGCCTTTGAATGCGAGACTTTCCCAAGTAACAGACCTAAAGTATTACAGTTTGAAGACGCGAGTCATTACTTGACTGGTTCACAAATATCTGCTGACATTTGGAAAAATGACAAAGCAGTATGCAAATTGGCTCCAGGTGCAAATTATCTCTGTTCAACATTGTTCTTTTACGTTGTGGGTTTGCAGAAGACTTTTCCCAAATGCCACATTTCCCTCATTCTCCGTTCTAACACCAATGTGAAAGCAGTGCGCTCTGATCCCATTAACTAGCTCGAAATAGCAGTACTTTCAAGATTCTTTCTCATTTTCAGTGATCTAATTCTTCAATTCTCCTACGATACTACACATCTAGCCACATGCAATAGTCTTTTTTTATGATATTTGTCGTATATGCCTTTTACAATGGGCGATACAGCGAGTATCCCAAAGAAAGCACGCCGCAGAATGTGCAGATCATTCACAAATTCGTGGGATCTTCACATTTGATGAGTCTAGCGCTTAGTTTCCCAAAGTCTTGGCCTCGCCGGCCTCGCCGTTCTCAAATCTGGCGACCTTGACCTCTGTGAAACCTCTTCTCTCAGCAGCGACCTTGAACTCGGCCTTCAAAGAGTTTCTGACGGTTTGAGCGGCAACAGCCAAAGCTCTGTTCAAAGAAATACCAGCTTGCTTGTAGGCGGACATTTTGTGATTGATGATATTGTAGCCTGAAGGATTATCACCCGAGAGACAAAGTTAATGAGCGTGCTCGGCGGAGGAGGTGCCGCGCTGTTATTGGTGACGATATGTACTGTGCAGTGAGACACAGGCGTATATCTCAGTATGATGTCAAACGAACTCTCAATTCGTTGCGCATATTCTAGGTGATGCGGTCACGTGCCGCAGGTGATGAGGCGTTTCATTCCTTCTTTGCACAGAGTCAACCAGCGTGCACTACAAGTAAGCGCTAAATGGGGATACGGTAGGTCATAATAGCTCATTAAATTTTAGAATACTGCAACAGGCGCTGACAACGACTTTTTCTCCTTGAAAACTATCTTGTTAATGAACAAGATATGGCGATACCGGCGCTTATTGAGGCCGCTCATAAACAGATATTACAATGACAGTCAAGTTTTTTCATCCCTGCTATCATTGGGAACACAGGCCAGAATGCTATATGTGATGTCATCTCTCTCATCGCAGGCGAGACAACCAAAGTTTTTACATCCTCTCTCAAGGTCACAATTGAAAAGTCAACACTTTTCATCATTTCTCGTGTTGCATAGGAACCTGTCAACCGAGGCTGAAATACAAGCATCAGCACACACAGAATCTCCTTTGGTAGTAACTGGATTTCTGACAAATGTCAAAAAGACCCAAGCAGCTGAAGAGCTTGAGCAAATGAATGTTGTTGTTGCGGATAGGACTCTGACCGAGGAAACGACACTAACATTGGGGTCAACTTTCTGTGATGCATCAATGGAAATGAAAACAGACGAAACTACACTTTCAGAGCTGTCAACAGACGGCGCTGCTCTGGATCCAAGTATTGGACATGAACAGGTATGTGGTCACACCGCTCCTATATCCCCCCAAGCCTTTCAAGACCAGGAGTCTTTGAGCACTTCTGTTCTGGAAAATTTGACATTGTCTGTTTCGAATACGGCTCAACTTGAGCTTGAGCAAGAAGTCGATGAGGAAGACATGCAACCAAACACATTGCTAGCTTTGGAAAATAGAAGTAAGTTCGCACCGAATGAAATCGCGTTGCAATACGGAAAGTTAAAATCATACAGCCAGCGAATGAGCACTCTTTTATTTCTTGAGGAAGAACAGAATCTCGAAAAAGGTGCGAGCTTGTTTTTTCATTCAAGTACGTTCACTTTGGAGAAGTTTAAAAACCCTGATGTTCAAAACCATGGCTATGTGCTTGACATCAAGTTGACCCCCGAGTTACGCAAGAGATTCGCAAGGATCAAGGAAGGGACAGATGAAGGTGACGCAAAACCAGGATCTACTGGTGTCAACATCGATGGGCAGACGGTAATTTTGGTTCTTAATAACACTGAATTGTTTTTCGGACATGTGTCTAAGTTTCCAAAACTGGAACGTGCTGTTCGTGGCGAAAATACTCAACGCGAAGGGTACAGAAAAGTTTGCATCAATTTCTACTGGTGGAGCAGGACCTTTCTTCCGAAAGACTTCCAAAATCAAGAAGCAAATATCATGTTTGTTTCGACCTCCGTCAATCGGATGTTCAGGGCCATCTCAAGGGTGCCGAAATCCCCTTTCGTAAAGTTGATCATGGGTTCCGCTGAAATTGAGCATTCGAAACTTTCGCCTGTTGCTGCCATCTCGGGCAACAATTTCAATAAGTCTCAGATGATCGCGGTACGCTCTGTGTTGAAAAGAGCAATCACAGTTGTCCAGGGCCCACCCGGGACCGGAAAAACTACCACAATCCACGAAATGATTTTGCAACTTCTCGCAAAAAAAAAGTTTCCGATCGTTGTGGTCGCTGCGTCCAACGTCGCGATTGACAACATCGCGGAAAAGTTGCTTCTGACCCATTCAGATAAAATCTTAAGAATGGTTGCTGTATCCAAAGAAAATGAGTATGATGAAGGCCATCAGTTGGCGTCCATTTGCTTCCATAATAGATTTTACAATGCTAGCCCGCCTGCGCTCCAGAAGAAGCTTCTCAAAAGAAGATATGACCCATTCAGTTTGTCTGCGCAGGATTTGACTGAAATGAATAGGGCCAAAAAAAAGTTTTTGTCGAAGCACATTGAATCCATCAAAGTTATTTTGACAACTACCACAGGCGCTGCAAATCTACACGGAGTAGTAAATATGAAATATCCTGTTGTTATCATGGATGAGGCTACCCAGTCGTCTGAGCCCGCCACGCTTATTCCACTCACGCTACCTGGCGTGCAGAAACTTGTTTTGGTTGGAGATCAAAGACAACTCAGTTGCTTGACAAATGTCAGAGGTTTGTCGGTCTCCTTTTTTGAGCGAATCATCAAAAACGGCTCTTTCAGATCTCATAAGATGCTCGATACTCAATACCGAATGCATCCAGCTATAAGCAAATTTCCCCGCGAGTTTATATATAACGGTCGTCTTTTGGATGGAGTGACACCAGCGGAACGAACTTTGAAAGGTATTCCGGAAAACCCTGTTGTTTTCTGGGACACGTGCCGCAAAATGCCTGATGGTCAGGTATTTAAGGAGAAAGGTCTTGATACCGTCCGAACTTTCTGTAACATGGGGGAAGCACGCCGTGTGGAAACCGTTGTCGCCCATCTTATTGGAACGAAAAAAATCAAACGATCTTCCATCGGGATAGTCACGCCCTACAGAGGCCAGCGGGACGAGATATGCTCTTTATTGACACGAAACCCGATTATCAACCCCCAGAAAAAGCTGGCGCGTGTTGAATTCGATAGCGAGGAGTTTTCAGAAGGCTCTGAAAAGTCCACGATTCAGTATATTTCTGGTGTGATGTTGGCGTCAGTTGATGCTTTCCAAGGAAGAGAAAAGGACTACATTGTAATGTCGTGCGTGAGATCAAACGAAATGAACCAGATTGGGTTTTTGAACGACAAAAGACGGTTGAATGTTGGTTTGACTAGGGCAAAGTACGGCTTGATTCTCGTGGGAGATCTGGAGTGTTTGAGGAACGGAGGCCAAATGTGGAATAGATTTATTCTGCATTTGGAAAGATCGGGATCGTTAAACAAGAGTACTCAATTCACATACGGGGAAGGAAGCGTTGAGGAAATAAAGAAAGAATCCCCTTTCGAAGAGGGGGAACAAATAAAGGAATCACCTGTGGAAGAGGGTGAACAAGTAAAGGAGTCACCTGTGGAAGAGGGGGAACAGGCAAAGGGACCACACGTGGAAGAAGGGAAACAAATGAAGGAATCACCTGTGGAAAAAGAGAAGCAAATGAAAGAATCACCTGTGGAAAAAGAGAAGCAAATGAAGGAACCACCTGTGGAAGAGGGGAAACAACTGTAAATAAATAAATATACTTTTTCTCTGGTTACCTGGCGACCAATTCAATTTCGTGGCTATTTCAGGATATTCTAGAAACATCCTCTCCGTATCATCTGGTCAGAATTTGTATGGTGCTAGTGCAGTGGCATTAGACACCTTTTTTTTTTCTTTTTTAAGTTAGTTGCTTGTTACAAGCCATATTGACTTGGATGTTTTGCCCATTACTAAAGCTCGAGGCATCAAATGCAAATTCTCTCTGATCCCTACTTCATTTCTTCCTCTGCTACAAGACCGCAATTTGACGATATTTCAATTATACTGGGCAAAACTTCATCATGATCTGGAGTGCTTTCGAAAAACTATGGACATTTCACATATGACGGAGTAGCGGTGCTTGATAGCCACAACTAGAGAAACACAAGTATACTTTTGAGCGTCCTCATGCACAAAAACGCACGCTAATTGTGGCTCGATCTCTTGGTACTGAGCCAGTTAATAAAGTCAAAAAACAAGCTGGCTTGGATCCTGTTTTTCGGTTCGGTGGCCCACTTGGTGAGCGTGGAGCAGTATATTTGAATGATCTCTGGCAACGAGTCAACATCCACCGCAAGCAAGCATTTCGACGCAATGATACAAGACTGGGCACAAGCTGCACTATGGGCCTGACTTGACGAGTATGACCCGGCCTGCAATTGGAGCCAACTGATCAAGTCCAAAAGTGTTTTCTTGAACTTGGCAATTTCTTCGTCGGTCTTATAGATCTTCTTCACTTCTTCCTCGGTGCACTTCAGTTTGCTGATACGGGTCTTCAAGAGCTTGTGTGCCTTGACGCCTAAGTTCTTGTCCTTGGTCATATTCATAACCGTGACAATAGGCCGGATAAAGGTGATGTTGTACACGGAGTTCTGCTGCACCTTGCTGAAGGAGTCCAACAAGTCCAACACCCTGTTTTTGAACAAAAGCATCTGTTCCTTGGCCATCTCTTTCTCGGAGTTTTTCTTGCTGGTGCTGTTTTGGGTGAGTGCCGAGCGCCTTTCTTTAAAAATCTTGGCAAGCTCGCCGTCGATGGCCATCATCTGTTCGTCATCCATGGACTCGGACTCGTACTGGTCATCGTCGTCCGAATCAATGTCACTGAACTTGACTTCGCCATCGTAGTCGCCTTTTATTCCCAAGGCATTGGCCAACTTCTTGGTGGTTTCCTGCTCCACCATCTCGATCAGCTTGGCACCCTCAGCCGGCAGCTCGCTGTCGCCAGTGTCGCTGGCACTGTCGGTGTCACTATCAGTGCTATCCTCGGATTCGGAATTGGCGTCGTCGCTTGTTCCGGCTTCTCCCTCCTCGGCGTCCTCACCCTGATACTCGTCCTCGCCTTCGAACAACTTCTTCTGGCCCTCCTCATTTTCCCGCGAGTGCAAGACGTCGAACAATAACTTGAAGCAGTTGGCGTTGATGTTGAGCTGGCCCTCGGCGTTCTCGGCACACATGTATGATTCCCATACAATGCCGGACAACTTCTTGAGCAAGGCGGATTTCCGCGACACGAACGAGAGAATGATCTCGGTCAAGACCACGGACGTGTCGACGTCGTCGTCGGTGTTGCCGAAGATGTCGACGTAGGTGGCCTTCAAGTCCTCAAGCACCCCCACGGTTTCGGTTTCACCCATGTAGAGCTGGAGCAAGTTCATGGAGAAAAGAAGCTCGAAGCAGTACTGGTCGTTCTTCGCGGCCTGGCTCTTTTTCATGGCGTGCTTGATGGTGTCCAACATGCTGAAGCACTCGGTTTTGATGGCCGAGAGCTCGTCGGAGAGCTGCAACACCAACTCGAGTTCGTCGCGCTTCTCGAGCTTGTCGATCTGCTTGACGCAGTACAAGGACCAGGAGTGGCCCTTTCTCTTCTGCGCGATGGACTCGGCCAAGAACGAGTTGAGGCGGTCCTGGACCAACTTCAACACGTTGGGCGACACGTTGGCCGCGCTCGTGTGCGTGAAGAACGCGTGCTGGAGCAAGAACTTGAACACGCTCTCCATGGGCGCGGCCAAGTCGGCGCCGTACCGCTTCGTGCTGCGGAACAACACCAAGAGCTTGTCCAACACCCACTTGAGAATGTTGTCGTTGGACATCTTGATGGCCGGGGCGTCGGGCGCGGTCTTGTCCGTGTCCCTCTGGGCCTGCAACGCCACGTTGAACTTGGCGATGAGCACACGCGCAATGTCCGCCACAAGGCCCTCCACCGTGGCGTGCGGGATGTCTGCCGGCGCCTCGAGGTAGCCCAACACCCCCACAAGAGCGTCGGTCAACTTCAGCTTGGTGAGCTGGTCGAACTTCCAGCCGCCGCCCCGCGACTCGTCCAACACCGCGGCGAGGCACGGCACCACCTTCAGCAAGTCCGCGTGCGCAGTCTCGATGGTCTTGTTGATGGTCTTGGTGGAGATCTTGTTGAGGAGCCTGTTGGGCTGCGCGGCCTGGTTGATGAGGCAGCGCATCAAGTTGGGCGTGAACAAGTGCGGCACCATGGGGCCCGGGAGGCTGGCCACGAACTTGTTGAAGAGCTCGAAGCCCCAGAACTTGCGCTCCGCAGAGGCCTTCTCCGCAAACATCGAGTCGTCCACCGCGACCTTCCAGAACTCCCGGAACGGGATGTACTCCACGGGCGCGGCCGTGCGGGCCTTTTTCTTCGGGGCCGGGCCGGCGCTCTTCTTGCGTTTTTTCGAGGCGCCGTCCACCGCGGCGTCGTCGGCCGCGGCGCCGTCGTCGCCCACGAAGTGCTGGACCAAGAGATCCCACACAAACGGGAGGCGGGGCGACCACGTGCCCTTTTGCTTGGCGGCCTTGGGCGCGGGCCGGGCGGCGGGCTCCGCGGCGGGCTCCGTGTCTTCGGGCTCGTCCACCACATCCACGTCCTTGAGCACCTGGGCCAAGGTGGGCAAGTTGCCGCGGGCCATGGGCTCCGCGTGCTTCCACAGCTTGAGGGCATCCACGCGCGCCACGAGCCGCGCACGGGACTGCGGGGGGATGGTCATCAACACGGCCAAGCCCTCGGTGGTGAACGTCAAGCCCTGGTCACTGACGGCCTGCAAGAAGGCCACGGTGGAGTCGTCGCAGGCGAGCGGCGACTGCAAGTACGCGGCGACAAACTGGCACAACGTGAACATGGCCGTCTCGCGCAACCACGACTTGGTACCCGCGAGCTCCACGAGCATGTGCACGAACTTGGCCAACGTGTCGGGCGACGAGTGCTGCGGCTCCAATAGAAGCTGCGAGTTGACCAAGGCCTGGAACCCGAAAAGGCGCCCGAAAAGCGTCTGTCGTACGTCCTTGCCCTTCATGGACGCGGCCACGGCGGTGGCGGCCGCCACGCGGTCCAAGAAGCCGGCGACGGACAAGTCGTAGTCGGGCTTGCACACGAGTTCTCGCACGAGCTCCGTCAACGCCATGGAAAAGCCGAAGCGCGCCAGCTGCCGCGACGTGGCCAAGCCCTTGATGAGCCTGCCCAAGGCGTAGTCCCATTCGTCGGTTTTGTCTGCTTTGGCAAGCTCAGACAACAATCTGGTGGCGGCATCAATGCGCTCCTGCTGGACCTCGGACGCGAGCGCATAGTAGTGGTCTCTCAGCACGGACATGATGGCTTTGGAGGGGACGGGCGGGGGTTCAGGGGAAACTTGGGGCTGGGAACACGATGCAGGGGGTCTCGAGGCGGGAAGAGCGCTGGTGGCGGGACGGCGTGGGGTCCGGGGGGTGCTTTTCCACTGCTAGGCCTGTGCACAGGCCGAACGTCCGGTCTTTTTCGAGGCGCGATGACCTGCGGCCCGGCTGCGAAGACGCCCACAATGGCGCGGCCCAGTATGGGCTGGCGCGGCCTCAGAAATACAAGCTAGAGGAACCAACACCAAAACTAGAATAAAAACGTTTGTCAGACAAAGAAGAAAAGTAGAGAGAGGCCATAAGAGAAGAAAGGGTTCGTACTTATACTGAGCTTGAAGATGACTTCTTAGATGTTGATGATACTTATAAACTTGTTCCTTATAAAGAACTCGCTCAAACCCTCTAACTTGGGCTGGTGCGGCCTACTATGGGCTTCTGGGCCGGGAGTCCAGTGCAGAGCAAAAACCGATTTTGTGGCCGTTGAGATGCGGGCATACGATGCGAAGATGGAGATGCCGCTGGGCTATGTGGCCGAGACAACGGGCTGGTTTTTTTGTTTTCTTTGGCAACCAAGAGATGGCTGGCTGGCCTGGTGGAGGCTGGAGCCTGCGGGTGCGCATGGCGCGGGCAGTAGGCTCACTGGAGAAACGGTGCTTTCAATAAAGCCGGGGAATGGGGGAGCTCAAGATAAGGCGGTTGCCAGTAGAATTGGCATTGTGGGGTGAAGGGTGTATGCATGGAATTCCCGCCTGCACGGGGCTTTTATCTTCTGATTCTGGCCATACCAGTGGTGCTATACCAGGGTCTAATAGGGTAGGATCAGTGCATCCACAGTGCCATACCATTAGTGCCCTCCAGGGAATATACAAGATATACAGTCATTAACATATTACTTTTTACTTTTCCTTATATTTATCAAGAAATGTCCGCTCGATTACATGTGATTTTTTGATGTACGCTGAAACACTATTGATAGACCCGCGACAATAGTGAAATATCAATATATCCGTAGTGCCATAGTAATTCCCAGTACAAGACCATTTCATCCATAGTGCAGTACAGGTTTCTTCATGGTAATATACCAGCTCATAGTGCTACACCAGTCCATAGTGCTCCACGGCTCAATTATAGTGCATACCAGTCCAGTGCTAAACCAGTGCAGTGCTAAACCAGTCCATAGTGCATACCAGTCCATAGTGCTGCATTATTCACAGTACAGGGTTCATGAACCCTTTGGGGTCAGTGCAATTGGTGCCCGTGCTTCACTACCTTTGGGATTATTTCACCGTGTGCCAAGATCTCCCAACTAAATATCAACCACGAAAGATCTATCAAAAGTGCACTCTTCTAATGAGGCGCGCTAACAAATTGTTGTTCCTGGTGGGATTGCTTCGGGCGCTGCAAGATTTTCCTGAGATAATCATCTTTCTGGACATGACCGTCAAATCTATGGTTTAAGGAAGGCCCGACTTTTTTCAAGTCATCCCTTATGTGGTTTTCGTAAATTCTGGGTAGCAGTCGCACGCAGAAGATTCCAATAAACCGCTCATTGATTATCCAGTCAAGTCCAGTACTTTGAAAATGAAGCTCGAATGGCTGCACAGACTCAGTCAATAGTGCTATTTATCAAACGCAGCCAAGACAAACATAGATCTACGCTATAATACAACTCTGTGACTCATGCCGTGCTTCAAACGGGCCAATGTACTGTATCATTGCCACGAGTAGTATCGGAGTGGCTTTGACATGTAGAGTACACAAGTCTAGTGTGTCCAAAAAAAGGGCAACTCATTTTGAATGCGGCGCATCTTTGATTCCTCGCACCCCCTTGTTCAATTTCAAATTCCAAGGCTCTGACAAATTCCGTCTTTTCATCAGACTAGGCTCTGTGCAAACGCCTCTCCTCAAATTCTCACTACAATGAGCCCTGGATACCAAGCCCTCAAATCATGTTATGCTACAATGTTGAATTATGCGCGTATACACGGTACTCTAAAACCAGACTGTGCAGTCTCCTAAACCCGATGCTAAGAATGAGGAAGAAAAAAATACAGGCTCCACGGAGCCTGCGGATCGTTGCTTGCCACCGGCCGCTGCTGGCGGGCAAGAGAAATCACGTGTTGAAATGAATTCTAATGTGTGGTGTCCTTCTCCGCGCGGAAAGCGCTGGTCGTGCCCCAGTCGGCTTAGGCGGAGTAGGTCTGTTTTGGGAACGGGAACGTGGGGCCCACCTCCTGGATGGAGATGGACGCGGCCCATTGGCCCACGCTGACAGCCTCGGCCAAGGCCTTGCCCTCCACCAAAGCCGCAATGAACCCGGCGGCAAAAGCGTCGCCGGCACCGTTGGTGTCCACAACCTTCTCCTGTGGCAACTCTCTGACGGCGTAGGAGTTGACGTCGAAGGAGTCCGTGCCCGCGTGGTAAGTCACGGTCACAGTGGGCTCGGTGCCCTGGGTGAACACAACGGTTCTGGGCTTGTTGGTGTTGGCCTTGGGCAACTTGGCCACGTGCTTGGCGATCTCCGTGACGTCGGTGGTGTCCAAACCGTGGGACTCGGCGTAGGCCGCGGCCTCGGACTCGTTGGCCACGATGTAGTCACAGTATGGCACAGACGCGTCCAACGCATCCTTGAAGAACTGCGCGATGAAGGGCGCGGAGAAGTTCAAGGCAAACGTCTTGTTGTTGTCCGCGGCGTGCTTGCCCAAAAGCTGGATGGCCTCGGGCGACACGGTCAAGTGGAAGCCGCCAATGTAGAAGTACTTGGCGTTCTCCACAAACGCCCAGTTTTCGGGCTTCTGCAAGTGCGAGGGCGTGAACTCGTTGGCCGCAGCCAAGTCTGTGACCAAGGACCGGTGCTTGCCGGTGATCAACGCGGCACACTTGCCGGTGGCGGTGTTTTCCTGGACCTGGTAGAGCGTCTTCAAGCCGTACTGCGCATTGGCCTCGTTCAACTTCTCCGCATACACGTCGTTGCCCACAGAGCCAAAGTAGGCTACGCTTCCCTCGGGCAAGAGGTACTGGGCACCCCGCGCGGTGTTCTGGGCGGCTCCACCAGCCACCAATTTCAAGCCGTCCATTTTCAACACCTCGTCGTAAATAGGCTTGTGTTTCTCCTCGATCAAGATGGCGTCGTCGGCCTTCAAATCGTACTTGGCCAAGTACGCGGCATCGACATCGACTTGCAAGTCCAAGAGCGGGTTTCCTAAGCAGACTAAGGGGTAGGACATGGCGGGTATAAAGAAAGTAGTATAGGACCGAAGGTTAGAGAAGGAAAAAACGCGGCGCCAATAACCGCGAGAGATGTCGCGCCCGCATGTGATCGGGGCCACTGCCTATGGGCAGGCCCTAATATAGTGAGCTGTAGTTTGTGGGAAAGCATGGGGACAATGCAATTGTGACTTGAATAAAATTTATTAAGAAAACATTTTTGACTAGGAACCTTGGTGATGGAGAAATTGAAAGTCTTGTTGGGTGATTTGTTCGCTACAAGGTTCTGTAGAATTGCTTATCCTAAGAGCGAAATCATCAGTTTATTAATCACCGTGGATAGTAGCGAAAAATTGAAAAAAGGAGAGTTTTGAGGCAGTCGTTTTCGTAAAACACTTGGCGATTTCAGCGAAAATGCTCTTTGCTGCTTCAAAACACCGAATCTCGGGAAGATGTCAATTTTTTGCAATGTATGCTTATTTGTTTGTGTGAGCCCGATAGCCTTCACTAAGTGCCCAAGATCATCTATGTTTGTAGTGGAGTATGCTCCTCCTTGAAAACGTTTCAAGTAGCCAATAGATTTGTGAAAAAGAATGCTTTTTCAATTTTTTGACGATCAAATTTTGTTTAGGAGAATCTTGAACTAGGCTCCCCAAGCAAATTAATACACAAAAGCAAACAGGAAGAAGTATCTTTTTTTTTCAAAGCCATGGACAGAAAATGTACAAGAAAACATGCAAATGTACTTCAAAATACAATACAAACCAATGGAATTTTAAGTATCGGTAAAATTCAAAAAACGAATCAGCACGAGTCATAGTTCTGAGTCAACGCTACACAACTGTGAGTTAGCAAAATTTGCGAGTACGAGTGAGTAGGTTTTTGATTTGTTATACGGGGATCAGAATAAAATATTTTGTTGCGGGAAAAATAATGTGTACTTGAATCAACAGCGGTATAGAATTGAATGGATCCGCAGGATGATATTCAACGGTTCTGAAGACCGAATATCAGATATGCACCCCAACGTTTTTTTCTGATATACCGAGAATGATCCCACAAGCTATATATTTTAAGAGGCTTTTCAACCGCTTGTATTCAGGAGACAGTGTTAAACCCGTCATTTCGTGGAGCCAAAAACAACTCTCTCTGTGCTAAAGTCTAGAGAATTGAGTTTTTACAACCCACATACTCATAAAGATACTGACTAAATAACTGGATTTAACGCTGCGAATGAATAAAGAACTTTGGCAATGGCATCACCAGATGTTTGATTTGACGGTCTACAAAACCAAAAAAAAAAAAAAAAAATTTTAGCAAACCAAGCAAACCATATACATTGTCAATGTATTCAAAATAGTTTGCGAACTTTGCCTTCAATTATGCCTTTCAAGACAAATATAACCCCAGAGTGACAAGTGACTCTCCGCTCACATCTTTGAAGCGCTCGCTGTGAGAATTTTGTTCGATTCTGGACGTCATTTTTGACTATAGTGACAATAAGCTTTCTAAAAACCCTGGTAAAATTTGACTTGTGAAGATTACAATTATATCAATACCTATTTGCTGACAAAAAAGGTACTGGACAAAACTCAACGTAATATTGTTCCAAGGCAGGTCTTTTCACCTGGACTTACAACGTGGGGAAATGAATTTGGATGCTACAGGCAAGTATTTTATACGTTCCAACGCAAGAACAATTTCTTTTGCTTCTCGCGGCCAGGGCAATGAATTCACCAAAAATTTTCTTATGAAACTGTTCGATAATAGTTGCTGGAAGATGTTTCCTGTTTTGAAAACTGATGTTACTCGATGAATGAGCCAACACATGACTCTGAGTGATATAAAGAGAATCTTGCTCACCACTTACTGTATTTCTTCAACACCTTGACGTTTCCGGAACTAAAAGCTTTCTGGATTTCATTCTTTCAAGGGCCAAAAAAGCTTCATTGAAATTGACGGTTTTGTGAAACTCAGAATCTTGCTTTTAATCTTCAAATTCTCGAAGTTTCAAAAATGAAAGCGTCTCTGTGCTGTCTCCAATGTTGAACTCATTTATACACAGATGACGTTCATAAGTTCATGTCTTTATGCTGAAGCTAAACGAGAGCATAACATCCTTGCTGAAATGATGGAGTAATCATAAAATATTGCTTAAAACATTTTTCTAAGTACAAAGCTCTCCAAAAAGGTTTTCACTGTCTAGGAAAGCCTCTCGATAGATTTTGAGAAGCACTCAAACATTCACCGGGCTGATTTTAATAATTTTAAGAGCTCAAACTGTGTGAGACTTTTTGGTGAATGTTATTTGCTCAGTCTTCTGAAATTTTTGATCATAAATTCATGCATCATGCTATATGTTGCCCGTATAAGGTCGCTTTTTTCCTGTTTGTCTAATCGACGCAGAAAGAGGTAAAACGTAGTATATATGGAACATTTAAAAACCTTCCAAAAATAATTCTAGTGTCGAAAAATCAAACCTCCATATTTTATTACGGCCTTGACAAAATTCTAGGCACGCATGAGACTAGGTATTGACAACTACGGTATCAGTTTCTGAATTAAGTCTCCTGCAATAGATGCCTGACCCGACAAATGCTACATAATAAGGGAGTTTACTTTTCGGCTCGTGAGGTCCTTGAACTTACACCTTGAAAACCGTGGTGATGAATCAATTCAAGTGTTTTAAGTTTTTGAGAGAGTTCTCGAAGGAGGTCAACATATTGATTCAGATCACAGGCGGATATAATGGGATGTCTGTGATTTGTATTATGGATCCTAACACTCTTGAATTTGACTTTAGCTGTCATAAGATTTTGGCAGCTCATTCGCAAATAAGCTAGATGAAATTATTGATGATAATTAAACCATTTTATGAATTAAGCTGGCGGCTGCCTCTTTGCTACAAGCAAAAAGCTAAAAGATAGTTCAGCTTAAAAAAGCTGGCCTAGTCCTTCGGTGATATTCAGGAAATGAGTACTAATTCCTGAACCTGAGAGTATACAATTATCATGACCCTTATAACCATGTCTTCCTTGTTAACCCTGCTTAAGATAACATAAGCTTTCTTCCACAGAAAAATCATCTGATTAAAGGAGAAATACTATGGAAAAAAAGAAAACCTTCAAAGGCTCCCAGGTGTTTAAAGTAGCTCAAGGGCCCTTCACTTGTACTGAAAGCTTGTTCGTTCAACTTTTTTTTTCTTTAAAGAAACATCATATAATAGGATGCCACTGGAGCGATGTAAAACTCTTCCACTAAATAAACAATTCAAAGAAAAAGCATATAATAAATTGTCAAATTGGCTCAGGCGCAAAGGCATGAACACCAACTCACGAAATTTCCCAAAGAGACCCAAAAAGACTTCCGCCCATAACCACTTAAATAAAAACAACTAAATGCCATAGTCCCTTTTTTTTTGGTAGATTCATCTGATTCAAGGGGCAAAACTATATTAATCTTTACGATGGTCCTAGAAACTAACAAAATAGAACCGTCGTCCTATTTTATTAATCCATGCTAAAATAGTTTCAGTCCAAATTTGGCCATCATATTCATTAGTATACACAAGATTGGCAATTCAGATCACTACATAAACGTTGAGAAGTTATTCAAGGTAGTTCTTTCGGTTGCGGCCATACCATGCAGAAAGCACTGTTTCCCGTCCGATCAACGTTAGTTAAGCTGCATAGGGCCACACTGAGTAGTGTAGTGGGAGACCATATGCGAAATTGTGGTGCTGCGATCTTTTTTCCACTTCACGGTGCATTGAATGAGCTGATACTGTGTTTAGTAACGCGGAAGGTTCTACCCCCACAGGTGTTTTTTATTGAATTGCAATTTATGGCTCCTTAAGATAGTTTATGTCAAGGAAGTGCCTCGGCCTGGCGTGATGTCTGTTAAATTCGACGCGCTTTAAGCGACGGTTGGAGCCACAGGCTTGAAGATCTCTCATCCTTGACAGGAGGCAGACTTCAGCTGAATCCTGCCCGGAATATACATTTGTGATTTTAAGTGAACACACTTCGAAAATCACTATCCCGCTAGAGAACGGCATTATCTTGCAAGCCAAAATATGACAGATCCTGTATAGTCTAGCATGTGCGATCTCGGACTTTTCTGGGAATTTCGCCCCAGATCAGATGTCAGTTATTGTTGGACAGGCTCAAGCCTTCACCGTTAGCATAAATAATACGATAAATGTGTATCCTGCGACAGCAATCCAACAATGAGGCTAACTTGCATAAAAAATCCTGACCACTTGGATTAACTCACACTGCTCTTCTTGGTGCCTCGGGTGATTGCGAATTCTTGATGAATATCAGAGTATGCGCGGTGGTAGATGGCGAAAGTCCACTTGGGCGTTCACCGCGACACGATTCGAAGAATTATTATCGAGGGCACCCAGAGATGCCAAAAAAATACAGCTACCTTAGATCAAACTATGGCTCATCACTCCAACCTCGCTTCAAAAATAGGGCTCATTACAACAGTGCACAGCTCCCCCACTCTATCTTGTTCCATGTTTCCTCTTGGTGGTCCTGGGCTTGTACTGTCATTCTTCTCGGCCCGCGAGTCCCCGCACCCAAAATTCCAAATCTCGCGCCAAAAAAAAGTTGGCCTGCGTCGTGGCCCTGTGCATATGGGCCAGAGCCCGTCTCGGGCCTGCCCAAAACAGACCTCGCACCCGAAGATTACCTCCAATTGTCCTTACAGTTTCATTCTTCTGGACCTTCCTTCACAAACCTGCAAATCTTCTAGAAAGCGGCCAGCACTTCTTTCCCACCCGGCCTGTCTATTGACCCTCTTAAACATACAAGTCGCTAGTGACTCCCAGACGTGAGGTTTGTAGCGGATTTAGGGCCTTTCGCTGGATTTTGGGGCTATTCCGTTTGACTACGCTCGAGACATTTTCATGGAGCCATTGCTCCGAATTGGCCTCTTATCGACATTTCTTCCACATTTCAAATGATTCCTGTCTTCACCAAAGACCCGTTGGCATGGGCACGCCCCTTTCCGGCCAATCCAGAGTCCCACTTGGCTGCCCACTGGCACGAAATCGTGTTTTCCACTGGGTTCTACTTCATGCTCCAGGCAGCATCGCCTTATTTGAGCACCCGCTTTTTTGGCAAGGCGTACACAGGCTTGAACAGGAAAACAAAACTCAACTTTGATATCCACGTGGTGTCAATGTTCCAGTGCATCGTGTCGCTTCTAATCCTCATGCCCGCATGGAACCACCCCCACTTTAAGAATAGGGAGCTGGATCCTTTCAACTCTATTTTCGGCTACAACGCCTACTCGGGCTTCGTGTGCTCGGTGACCATCGGCTACTTTGTGTGGGACTTGTTTGTATGTGTAAAGTATATCAGTCTTTTTGGTCCCGGCTTTTTGGTGCATGCGTTTGCTGCATTGTTTGTGTTTTCGTGCACGCTCCGGCCATACGCCATGCCTTGGACGCCTGCGTTTTTGGTGTTTGAGTTGAGCACTCCATTTGTCAACATCAATTGGTTTGCGTCCAGATTGCCCGCAGGCACGATTAGTGATCGGGTGATCGCCGTGAACGGGATCTTGCTTATTGTGGTATTTTTTGCGGTGAGGATCTTGTGGGGCTTCTATGCCGTGTCATTGGTGGCGTACGACATGTATGCCGTGTTGGACCAGGACTGGAAGTTGTTCCCAGTGGTAATTTTGCTGTTGAACGTGGCGCTTGATTTCTTGAACCTTTACTGGTTTTCCAAGATGCTTGCCATTGCCAAGAAGAAGATCAGTGGCGCCAAGACGAAGGAGGTGGCCGTCGAGGCGTCCAAAATCGAATAAGCTGCGGTACCAGCAGAACTAGGATATCGACACGGCTCTTGCCTGTCTTTTCCGAGCACTCTTGTATTATATGTGGGACATTTACGCACGGTGTGCTTTTAAATAGACCATTGCGAATCATGTCATGATAGCAGAAAGCATTGAGTCAAGCTGCACAATAGCCACTCTGAGCCGCAAATGACAAGAAAGGGCCATATTGGGGTGAGGCTTATTGTCAATATGCATTTCATGTTCAAAAGATCTCAATTCAGACAACATGTTCCCAGCTGAGAAGCGTAGTGCCGTTTATTAGATGGCGACTCTGTAGTGCGATCTCTGCTCAGTGGAACAGGGATTTGGCTTGATCAAAGAAAATGGTCCCAAGCTTTCTTGGAGCATTTGAAAACCGACATTCATCATCAAATTTCCAGGTCGCACCCGTGTCTGTTTTTGAGTAAGCTGCATCTTGATTTGTATATTGATCTTAGACTTGAAGCGACCCTTGACGCCCTCTACCATCACATGAAGCTAAATCCATGTATGAACTACTCAGATTTTGGGGAAACAATAGAAAAACATGGACAACGATCAATCGTGAGCTCCCAATTAGAGGACACTGCCCGACTACTCTTTTGAACTTTTTCCGCAGCGTGAAATATTCATGTCCTTCGCGAAGGGCATATTTTCTCGGGAATCTCTTAACAATGACTGGTTCCGTGTTTGTTCATGACCAAACACCATTCCCTGAATCCATACTTTGCCACATGAAGAGCCTGGCGTATGCCAACACACAGTTCAGTTCTACAATGGGTTGGGGATACATGAGCCATGCTTATTGATATCTGTGACTCAGTCTCTAGCAGCGGCTGGCACATCAAAATTCACGATAGCCATGAGAAAAAAAACCCCAACTTTGTTGGTTCGAGATCCTTTCAGGAGCCCCAACTACAGTGGGTATTCTTCATTACCCAAAATAGCCCTCACATCTGCACATACTGTACATGCGCTGTATCGAAAGCTGTCAGATGTCCCAGAAATTCTATGGCAACGGACAAGCATACATATTCTGAAACAAACTGACTGCTCACAGTTTTCGGAAAGATCCCGAAAAATCACCGAAAGGACTCAGCAAAGATAAACACAAATCTTCCGATCGGTCTCATAACCTTTGCAAGCTGGAGTCGAGGCGTGCCGATCTCGCTCTCAGGCTTAGCGGGCGTGCACGCACCACTTCGGGCTCATGCAAAACATCCTCACCACTCGCTCCCTTGTCTACACCTTTAGTGTGAACACCTCTCCCCTATATAGCTTTGCCCCTCACTAGCGAAAACAGCAAAAACATCAATTTTTGCACACAAGGATTAGCATCTGAATTGCCAGCTTCTCTTCTGTCACCCCTCGCAAGTCCGGACAAAATCACTGATCTCTAGTTTCGCCACTATAGCATCAGTAGCACATTGCCGCCCTGAGAATCGCCCCTTAATCTCAAACCCAAAGTCAAAGCCCCGGACCGCCTTGATCACAGATAACCAGTCCACATAATCCCAGCGGCTGTCCTTGCTCAAGACCTAGGATCTCCCGCCTTTAATCACGCCCTAGCTGCCTGAAAATCACACTCGTACACACACACAACCCAGCGGAACAATGAATAACGAATACGACTACTTGTTCAAGTTGTTGTTGATTGGAGACTCCGGTGTCGGAAAGTCCTGCTTGTTGTTGCGTTTTGCCGACAACACATACACGCAGGACTACATCTCGACGATCGGTGTAGACTTCAAAATCAGGACGATCGAGCTCGACGGCAAAACCATCAAGTTGCAGATTTGGGACACCGCCGGCCAGGAGAGGTTCCGTACCATCACGTCCTCGTACTACCGCGGTGCGCACGGCATCATCATTGTGTACGATGTCACGGACCAGGAGTCGTTCAACAACGTCAAGCAATGGTTGCAAGAAATCGACCGCTATGCCACCGGCGGCGTGATGAAGTTGCTTGTAGGAAACAAGGCCGACTTGTCCGATAAGAAGGTGGTGGAGTACACCGCTGCCAAGGAGTTTTCCGAGGCCTTGGACATCCCCTTTTTGGAAACATCGGCGCTCTCGTCATCCAACGTCGAGCAGGCTTTCTTCACCATGGCCAGACAAATCAAGGCGCAGATGACCAACAATGCGGGCGCCGCATCGTCGGCCGGAAACACTAAGTCCAACATCAACTTGAAGGGCCAGTCTTTGACCAACAACCTGAACAGCTCCTGTTGTTAAGCATACAGACGTTTCTGCCGAAGACCTCCGATCGATGCAGCAGGGCTCCTTCCTACTGATTTCAAGGCCACTCTAAGTCTGTGGGACTGACGCCTGTTGGAATGGCATGTCATGGTTAGTTGGCTAGAGGACTCCAAGTGTTTGCGGGCCATGTAAGTCAACGCCACGGTGCCTCGTGGAGCGGCCACACGGGTGCACGTATCCTTGTTTGCTACGAGTATGCTGTCATATCTATTTTATATTCAACGCTTAGTTTATATGCCTACATCCTTCCACAGCTTCCGACGCATCCTGTCCCAAAGCTCGCTGCAAGATTCTGCTTGACTGGCGGAAGGGCCGCTTAGCGGACCACGTAGACGAAGTACTCAACAAACACCTTCTCGTCCTCCACCAAGAAGTGGCCCTTGCCGATGAGGTTCTCTTTCTCGAGCCACTTCAAGTTTTCGGGGGGTGGGGCAGTGAAGGAAAATCTGGGGCTGTTCGTCAAGTAGCTGTCCTCGAAAGAATGAGAAGTGGCCTTTCCGGCAAGAACGGCATCGAGGCCGGGCAGCGACTGGGAGATTCCATAGTAGTCCACTCTGATGTCTTCACCAGCGCTTGTCTTGCCGTGGATGTGGGCGTCCAATTCGTTGTATCCTTTCTCCAAGTGGGCGGTGATGTTGTCATAGCCAGCCATGTCAAAGACGTCCAATTCGAAGCCCAAGTCGTTTTTGATGGTGGTGATTTGACCCGTGGCCACGATGGCCATGTTGGACACGGCCTTCTTGGAGCTGTCCGTGAACAAAGCTTGTGGGGCACCCAGAAGCTGGAGCTTCATGGAGAACACAGGCACTAATTTGGGGGTGGCAGGAATAGCGGACATGGCTACGAGTTGGGGTGTGTGTGAATTGACTAAGAGGTAGGAAAACAGAGGTTACGGAAAGTGCCGGTGGGCGGGCAGCGGGGTATTTATACTACTTGACTGTCTGGGGCGGACCGGCAGATGGCCGAAGCATGATACCCGTGCTTACGTGAGCCCGAGATTACGACGTGTCTGCAGAACGCCCCGATTGCTGTTGGGCCGGGGCCACTCAAGTGCCAGAAGCCGAACCGTGGGAGAAAAACAAGCAGCAAAATGCCCGAAGTCTGCGGCCCTGCAAACGTGCAAGCATTTAGGCGTGGCTCAGGCTTTTTTTTTTTTGGAGATGTGGATTGAATTATCGGGCCCGTAATATTCCACTGGGCTTTAGACCCGAGCCATGCAGGTGGAGCGGCCCTCGTTGGGTCGCGCAGCCGGCTTTATATATCCACAAGTATTAGCACGCCACTAGGCCTGATGGCAAATCATGGAAAAGCAGGGGAGCAATGAAGAAGGGGGAAAAAAAGAAACAATCCTGACTCTGGGTCTCGCGAGTTTTTATTCTATTGGACAGCGGCAATTCGCAGACTATTTTGATGTATCCTTGGCAAGGGACATTTGCAATCCGGCCAATTTCGGAAGGCTCACAGTGTGCGTGACGGTTTCCAGAATACTGCCTTGTGGTGTCACGTGAGGCCCTTTGGCAAAGACGCTTTTTCTGGCGGGTGCTGCAATGCCGAGAGAATCCGAGCAAGTGCCGAGCACTTAGTCCCGAAATCCAAAAGGTGCCAGGTCCAATAGAAACCATCGAAGGTACGGAGGGCCCATGCGAACTGGCGCATGCGAATGAAGCCTTGACGGATTAGCCGGAGTCGCGAGGATAGTCGTGTTTTTGGATGTCGTTCTGGTGAAAGTGTTTTTTTTGTCAAACCTGACCCTTTTCAAATTGTTTGTAGATGAAACGCTGCAAGGCCACGGTTTTTGTGATGTTGGCGAATCTCACCATGTGCCGAGACTTATTACCTTGGGCAAGGTGCATTATACATGGCCATTTCACTTTCATGGCAACGCTGGACACGATGAGCGGAGCACCATAATCGTACGAGCGGAGCGCCATAATTCTACGAGTAGAGCGCCTATATTTAGAATGGAGTATGATAACTTTACGAGTGGAGCATGATAATTTTGCGAGTGAAGTATGATAATTTGCGAGTGGAGTACCATAATTATACGAATAGAACACCACACCTCTCCGAGTGGAGCATTTTACGAAACGAGCATTTTACGGGTGGAGCATTTTACGAGTGGAGCATGATAATTTACGAGTGAAGTATGATAATTCTAACGAAATGAGCAACATGATTCTACGAGTGAAGCATGATACTTTTACGGGTGAGTCACCGTGTTTCAAGGTTTGTGTGGTACGGCTGATGACAGAAATACATTACAGATGATCTCTTGGTAATGCACACACGCAGCGCCACGCTTCCGCAAACGAGAAGGATCAGCCATTAAAACATTTCTCTGGCGGCCCGAGCATTCGAGCACAGAGTGCTTGACTGGTATGCGTGGGGCCATGGTCGCGTTGTTATTCCAAAGCTTCGGTAGCTTTGAGAAGCTGTGCCACCAGTGCAGAAAGCTACGTTGGCTATGCAATTGCAGAATTGCAACGAGAAGTGGTCATACATAGTAGCTGCTGCAGGCAGAGCAAGGCAATGGAACGGTTGGGGGTGCGAGAAGCGTACATGCTTACGCAGTCGTTAACGCCCTTAATTTGCGGAGCAGATTTCTGGCTGGGTGAGACCGCTCAGGCTTGTTTTCAGCTGGCCCGACTTTGGCTCATATTTCTGCTGTCTAGAACTAGCAGATACTACAGCTTAAGTGGCAAGTCACCACCACCAGTGAACAAAGTCCTATCAATAAGCGGAGGAGAAGAAACCAGCAGGGAATGTCTCCGCGATGGCAGGGGTAGCGGCAAAACCTCAAATTTGAAAGGGAGACTCATTTTGAAGATGGTCTTGGTCAGTCCAAACATTCTTAAATCCAATGGCAAATGGCTTCTGAAGGGTGATGGCCCCGCAGTATAATGTGTATCACAGTTTGTGAGTACCGAGAGAGCAGGTACTCGTGAACACATCCACAAAAAGCCCTAGCTTAAGCAAGCCAGGAAGTTTTTCTCAAATTTAATGGAGTGAGGAAGCCTGGTTATTTTATTTCCATCAAGTATGAACTTTTGCACCCAAAGGCCGGTGCATGGATGTGCGTCCGGATCGGGTGCGCCCCCAGGAAAGCAACAGCTCCATACATAAGATAGTTATGGACTCCATTGACCAGAAGCAACATCCATGGCTGTCACAAAATAGAATTGAGATTCGCAGCCACCTCTTAGAATTCTCACCAGATAAAAGACTTGTTTTTTATAAATGAGCCTTGATATTCCACCGAAAATTGCTTGTCATAGTTATTATATAGGTCGCGTTGTGGGATCCGAGACCGGGCTTCGCGCCTGGCCATCTAATTTTATATTGCGAGTCATGGAGTTTGAATAGTGTGTAGCCGCAAACTTTGGATCACACCTGGCATTGGCCCATGATACTATACTTCTGCGCCCGAGGTAAACATATTCAGCGAGAAACGCCACAGCAACACATCCCGTGTGTTGGCCCCAAGACATACTGTCTACCTCGCAACAGTATCTGGCCCTAATTCGAAGCTTGATGGGGCCGTGTTTCTTACTTCCACACTTAGGATATACGTAGATGAAATGTATCTGGAAAAATGCTCTTATATTTTTGAGCCAGACATGTGGTAAAAGATGCCGCCCGTCTTGACACGACTTTTCTCTGACTTCTATGTGGTTCCACACCACTGTCTCATACAGACTCCGGATTACTACACGCGAATCCCCGCCTATAGTAAGTGTCGCCAAATCAAGAAACGACTCGAGAAGAAGACTGAACTCAAGGACTCAAGGAAAACCGTAGCCACGCCGCTTCGAATAGAGGCCCCCAGTACGGCACGTGACCAGCCACGCCCAGACCGCCCGCGTATACTTATATTATGAAAGTGCCCAGAACGCAACGCAAGGCGGGCGAGCGGCTTGAACGTCAGTACCATCCTTTCTATTTTTTTAAAAGAAAAATCGTTTATGTCACTGGAGGGATGTAACCCATCACTGACAAAAACTTAAAAAGAAATAACACCGCTAGATCACATCATTGGCTCAGGGGAGGAAGCGCGAGCATCAATTCACGAAATCCCCCAGAGAAAATGGTACAGGGATGTATGAGTTAAGTTTTGAGTGCTATTTCCAATTCTGATAATAGTGATGAATTCTTAAGCTTAGACCAAATAAAGGATGACATGGTGCTATTTGAATTTTCCCGGGTAAATTGATACATAGAATATATAACCCGGAGGGGCCTATCCCCGGCTACGCCGGAATATACCTCATGATTTGATTGAACAATCAAATGAAAGAATAGATATCCGGCATTTGAGCCTAGTATATGAACTATTAAGAGCTGGGTTAATAAAAAATGGGCCTTTTTTATCCAAGTCAGGAACTCCGCAGGGATCTATTGTTGGTCCTATATTTGTAATATTGTTCGAGATGTACTAGGCCAATTTTTGACTGAGTCAGTGATTAAGAAGAGAAATACTAAAGAATACAAAAAGATTTTCCGCTTAATAAACGGGGAACCCACTTGAGGACTGACTCAATGACATCGGCCCACAGCATATGTTTCCCTGAGGGCCCCTGACCCTGAAAAAAAAACCCTTTAAAAAATCCCGCTCCCTTTCAAAAACCCCGCTCTTTTTGAAAAACCCCGCTCGCTTCAAAAAGCCGCCCTTGCTGAAGAAATCTCGCCGCCTCTCGCCATTTTCTTCTCCCAGCCCAGGAGCCATACAGGGCGTAGTGGCGAAAACGAGCCTGGCGCGCGCACACCCGGACCTCCCGCGGCGAGCGCACTTAGCGCCAACTTCAGACCCAAAGTCCTCCTAGGAACCCCCAGAGCAACAGACAAGGGTCCACAATTTGCCTTCTTCTGCCCCGAAAACGCGCCCCGGACCACCCCCTGAGCCGCCTCCACCACCCGTGCAACCCCCGCGCCGGTCTTTCCCCCAAACCCCCGATTTCTCCCGAAAAAAACCGCCATGTCCGCGCCGACCGATGTGGACATGAAGGACGCCTCCTTGGAGGCCCCAAAAGACGCCCCCGGCGCACCCGAAACGCCCTCGTTGGCCCAGGAAATCAAGCTCGCGTTCGGCTCGTTGCACAAGGCCGCCGACAACTTCGATAACCGCTACGTGTCGAAAGTGTTCCGAGACTTGGGCGCGTTGAGACGCAAGATCGCCCAGGACCCCCAGGCCCTAGCCGCCGTGGTGGAGCAGACGTACCCCGGCACGCACAAAAGCAAGGCGGTGTTGCAGGCGCCGCTCCCCGCGCCCGCGGGCGGCACCGTTGCCGTGGACGACCCGTTGAAGGCGCCGGTGGTGCCCGAGGTGGACGCGTACTTGCACTTGCTCGTGCAGATCTACCTCTTGGACACGGCGCAGATGGCGGCGTTGGCAGCGTTCAACGGCCACGTGGCGGCGTGGTTGGCCGCGCACGACCGCCGCACGCTCGACTTTCTCCAGGCGAAAATGTGGTTCTACGTGGCGCGCGCCGCGGAGGTGACGGGCCGCTTGTTGGACGTGCGGCCGGCGCTCACGGGCGCGTTGCGCAGCGCCACGTTGCGCCGCGACGACGAGACCACGGCGGCGGTGATCACGCTCTTGTTGCGCAACTACTTGCTCAGCCACGACGTCAGCCAGGCGGCCAACTTGTGCGAGAAGAGCGTGTTCCCCGCCGCCGCCGGCAACGCGTTGGCCGCGCGCTACTACTACTACGTGGCGCGGATCCACGCGGTGCAGTTGGACTACTCGGCCGCGCACGAGTGCGTGACGGCCGCGATGCGCAAGGCGCCGCAGACCGCGTTGGCGCGCGGCTTTGTGCAGCAGGCGACCAAGTTGAACGTGCTCGTGGAGTTGTTGATGGGCGACGTGCCGGCGTTGAGCGTGTTCAAGGCCGCGCCGGGCCGCTTGGAGCCGTACTTCCTCGTGACGAAGGCCGTGCGGCGCGGCGACTTGGCGGGCTTCGCCGAGGTGTTGCGGGCGCACGAGCCGGTGTTCGTGGCGGACAACAACCTCACGTTGGTGGCGCGCTTGCGCCAGAACGTGATCAAGACGGGCATCCGCATGCTCTCGTTGTCGTACTCGCGGATCTCGTTGCGGGACGTGTGCATCCGGTTGCGCCTCGACTCGGAGGAGGCCACGGAGTACATTGTGTCCAAGGCCGTGCGCGACGGCGTGATCGAGGCCAGCGTGGACCACCTGCTCGGCCACATGAAGCTGCGCGAGTTGCTGGACGTGTACTCGACCCGGCAGCCGCAGGAGGACTTTGACCAGCGCATCCGCTTCTGCCTCTCGCTCCACACGGACTCGGTCAAGGCCATGCGCTACCCGGCGGACGACAGCAAGAACGAGATGAACAGGGGCCCGTTGGAGGGCTTGGAGGACGAGATGGGCTTGTTGCAGGCCATCGAGGACGGCGACCTCGACGACTTCATGGACTGAGCGGGCCCCGCGGGCGACGCCAGGCAGGGCCCCGCGGGCGCGCCTTGAGAAGACGCCGGCCCTGGAAGCCGCGCCGTGAGAAGAGGCCAGCCCCGAGAAAAAGCCGGCCCTGGAAGCCGCGCCGTGAGAAGAGGCCGGCCCCGAAAAAAAGCCGGCCCCGAAAAAAAGCCGGCCCCGAAAAAAAGCCGGCCCCGAGAAAAAGCCGGCCCCGAGAAAAAGCCGGTCCCCTCGGACACGGGCCCCCGAAATAGCGCCCCGCTGAAAATAGAGCCCCCCGTCACGCCACGCCACGCGGCGCCGCGTGAGGCCCTGCCCGTGCCCGCGCCGCGCCGCCGTGTCCGATCTAGCACGTAGACAGCACCGGCCCCACCGGGCGCGCGCGCCCGGAGCGCAGCCGCGGGGGTGCGCACACTAGCCACCTCGCCGTCGGGGGCACCGCTCAACAGCACCACCCACGCCGTCTTCTGCCCGCACCAGCACCCCTGGCCCCGGCGCGTTTTCCCCCAGCACGGATCCCCAAGCACTGTGCGCCCAACACACTGCGCCCCCAACACACCCCGCCCCGCCATGCCGCCGCCCGACATCCGCATCCACGCCGAGCACTCGCTCTTCGGCAGCGCCCGCGACCAGCACCTCCCGGACGAGGACGCGCTCTCCGTGGCGGAGCTCATCCCGCAGATCCTCGCCGAGCGCCAGTCGCTCCTCCACATCTCCGAGCAGCTGATTGCCGCAGAAATCGCCCAGGCCCAGCCGCCGCAGCCTGCCGCCGAGACGCCGCCGCCAAGCCCGCCCGCCGCCGACGACGGGTCGGCGCTCGAGCTCTTCCGCTCGCAGAAGGACCAGCTCGTCGCGCACCTCGGCTCCGCGCTCAACGAGACGTCGCTCTCGTTGGACTTCGTGTCGCTCCTCATGTCCGCGGAGCGGCCGCGCGTCACGGCGCTGACGCTCTCGCCGCACCTCCAGAGCACGGCGCCGTTGGGCTCGCTCAGCGCAGACCGGCTCCGCCCCGCGGACGCCCGCGCGGCGCCCGCCGCGGCCCAGTCCGTCGGCTTGGGCTGGAAGTACCAGGCGCTCCGCGGCGTCACGGCGCTCTTCCGCGACGCGGCGCGGCAGCTCCGCGGCCAGGCGGCCGAGGAGGCCTGCTACTGGCGCCACGTGTGCGCGGTGGTGGGCCACGGCGAGGTGCTCTTCAAGACGCGCGACCCCGCGGACAACGGCCGGGCGCTCGGCGTGCAGTACGGCTACGGCGACTCCGGGCTGACGTACCACGACAAGGGCGTCGGCGTGTTGCGCCGCGCCGGCGCCGAGGGCGCCGTGGCGTTCTGCGCGTTGGCCCCGGCCGGCGCGGGCAGGCCCGCAGAGCCCATTGCCCGCAACCGGTACACGCGCGTGCGCGTGTTGACCAAGGTGGACGACGACTACGTGGTGACGGGCCAGCTGGCAGCGCCGCGCGGTGAGCTCGCGCGGCACTGCGGGCAGCCGTTGCTCGATGCCATCGAGCGGGCGCGCTTCTTCCTCTTCGAGGCGGACTTGTTCTTCCACTTGGTGCGCGAGGCCAAGCACTTGATCAGCTACAACGTGACGATCATCGCGGACAAGATCGTGGTGGACGCGGTGGACCAGGTGCTCGAGTTCGAGAGCGCGGTCTACGACGACGACGACGACGACGACGACAACGGCGAGCCCGGCGCCGTGGGCGCCATGTGCCTGGACACGTCGGGCGGGCGCGGCACGGACGACGGCCGCGCGCAGAGCATCCTCGTGTTCCTCAAGCTCATGCTCTGCGCGTACTACCGGTACCGGTTGCGGTTGAAGCAGAAGATGCCCACGCTGCACACCAAGTGGAAACAGGCGCACTCGCACCCGCTCTTGCTCCGCCCCTTGCTCGGGCACACGCGCCACCAGCTGAACGTGCGCCTCGTGGCGGCGCTCGTGCGCCGGCTCTGCCGCGCGCTCGACCCGGCCCGCGCCTCGTACTCGGTCGCGGAGGACATGTACGCGAACCTCGCCGCGGCCCCCGTGGCCAGCGCGTTCCAGAAGGCCGTGCAGCGGCCCGTGTCCACCGTGACGTTGGTGCTCGCGCGCGTGGGGGCGCCGCTGCTCTTGCACGCGGTGCTCGAGGTCTCCACCACGGAGATCTTCGTGGACTTGGTCGTGCGCTTGTCCGTGTCCAAGTACAAGACCCGCGCCGACCTCGACGCCAACCTGGACGGCTGCAACGTGCTCCTGCTCGAGTTCACGGATCTCGCGGACGTGGGCGAGAGCTTGGAGTGGGCCTTGTTGAACTTCCTCGAGGACGCGGCGTGAGCGCGGCCTGCGCCGTGCCGAGCTCCGTGTGTCCTGGTGCATCCCCTGGCCGCGGGCTGGAACTTGGCCATGCGCGGGTCGTTTCCGGCGCCGTTACCGGGCCTTACTTGGTTCTAGGCTCGGGGCTTTCACTCGTGAGCCATGCCGGTCTACGACTGGGCCCGACTAGGGCCAAGTGAGTCCTCGGTCGCTAGTCCCTCGGTTTCCGATTACGTCGTTCGTCTTGGGTCTTGCATGGTCAGTTCATCTCCGGTTCTATATTGGGCCATCTCTGGTTCTATATGGGCCATCTCTGGTTCTATATTGGGCTTCTCTGGTTCCACACTGGGCGATCTCTGGTTCTACACCGGGCATCTCTGGTTCTAGAACGGGCCATCTCCGCGGGCTCTGGACGCCCATCGCTGCTTCCCAGACACACCCGTCCCCGGCGCATCACCGGTCTTCGCCAATGGGCATCACCTGCGCATCTGCCATCTCCCGCAACTCCGCGCCGTGCGTCTCAAGGTACTCCTTGGCACGGTAGTACTTCTCATCGCGCAAGTTGTTGAACACCAAGAAGTTCAACCAGATCTCCAAAAACAGGTAGCTGAACACCAAGTTGTTGGCCACCACGGCATAGTCGCTGACCAAGCAGAACGAGGCGAGCACAAAGAAAAACAATAACCGCGTGGGCACCAACGTCTCGAAGTACACCACGTTGTCCGCAAGCACAGGGACCAAGTCGCCGACAACCAGCAGCGCGATGGCCACGGCCAACACGCCGAAAAGCGGGTTGCTGGGCGTCGCCTGCACGATGGGCAAGTTCATGGCCCGGCCCAAGAGCACCGTGATGTTGGCGTTCACCAAAATCTGCGGCTTCTTGAGCAAGAAGAAACACACGCACGTGAGACCGGCGAGCCGCACGTAGAGCACGGTTTTAGCCGTGAGAAACTGCATTTTGGTCAGCAAGGAAAGCTCGGATTAGTCTGGTGAGGCAGCTACGGAGAAAAAACGCCGTTTCTGGTTGGAACAAGAGGTTGGAGGCACGGCGGCGTGAAGAAAATGTTGGCCTAGGCCCTGTGGCACTGTGCACAGGGCCCACGAGCATCGGGCCTGAGGTCACGGCGCCGCGCCCGCGCTCCTGGCCCCACCAGCCGAGCCGCGCATGGTCCTTGAATAGCTGTATATAAACAAACACCAAAACTGCATTTTTTGCCTTTTCAGTGCCTCGCGGCGCTGTGGCTCTGTAGCGCTACTCAGAACCGCTGATGCGAATGGGCTTGTTTGTCTTTACTGGTTTTGAGTGGCGGGGCAATTCTCGTGCCGGGCGAGGGTGCATTAATAAGCAGACGGGGTGTTGAAAATCAGCGACAACACCGAGCTTTAGTTGCTGGTATACGCATGAGCAGAGCCAGTTGAAAGACTTGTTTCTTTTTTTTTTCTTTTCCCCTGTCTTCGTCAGCGGCTCGGATTATTGAAAACATATTGTGCGTATTTATTATGGAACAAGTTGTAAGTTGAAATACGGTTCGGCTAGGGGAACCTGGTCGGGCAATTATTTATATTAGCTTCAACACGCACTACTGTGGCCCGGCGACATTACCGGGCCGAGGGCCATGGAGCCAGCGAGCCCCAACAAGCAACGAGCAAGGAACGGAGGTGCGTTCAAGCGCCCATTTCTGTTGCCTGGCTTCCATGTTACTAGTCATTGTTCCCATTGTTTGGGAAATGAATGAAATAGGTAGGAAAATGACTGGAATGATGCGAAGGAAAATGAATGGAACTGGTGCGAAGGAAAGTAAATGAATTGTGCAAAGTAGATGGACAGAGGGCCATACCTTGTGGGTGATCTGCCAGTCGTTTGCGTAAAAAAAACACATTGATACAAAGCCCCCGGGTTCATGAATCCCGCCTCCAGCATCCTCTGCAAATGCCGAAAACATAGCGCAGGTTGCTTTGATATTTCCAGCCCCGAAGAAAACCAAGTAGGCCCGTCCAAGCCCGCGGCCTGCGGCAATTTGCGAAATTGCACCCAATTTTGCAGTCGTTTCTCAGCCAACCTCCGAGCGCACTTTTCAATGAGAAGCACCCGTAAAACATCCTTCTTTTCAGAACCCCATCGAAAAAGCCCATCTAGCTCTCAGGCTGCCCGTATAAATAATAAAAGCAAGAAACACAGTCTCGGCCATGGCCCGCTTTTCCTTTTTGTATCCGTTGTATCTCTGCCTTGTGCCGTGGTGTGGCGCCGAAACAAGGACGTATGAGTTCACGCTAGGCGAGGCTTACGTAGCGCAAGACGGCACCTACAAGGCCATCAAAACCATCAACGGCGCTTCTCCGGGCCCCACCATCGAAGCGGACGAAAATGACTGGATTAGCGTCAAGGTCGTCAACCATCTACAGGTCCCTGCAGCGGTCCATTTCCACGGCATTCTTCAGCGGGGCACCCCGTGGCTGGACGGCGTGCCGGGAATTACACAGCGCCCCATAGCCAGCGGAAGCTCGTATACTTATTTTTTCCAGGCGAAAGACCAGTGCGGTGCCTTCTGGTACCACTCGCATTACCGGGGCTACCTGTCAGATGGGCTATATGGGCTCATCTACATCAGGCCCGCCGCCCAGCGCCAGCGGCCGTATGCGCTGGTCACAAAGTCGGCCGGCGAACTCCAGGCCATTGCCGAACTCGAGAAACACCCAGCCAGCCTCATTGCGGACGACTCGTTCCACGTGTCCACCGACACCTTGTTCCTCCGCATGTTCCAGCACGGGATCGACCCGCTTTGCATCCAGAGCATTGTGGTCAACGGCCAGGGCCGCGTCGTGTGCCACCAGCCCCGCCTGTTCCGGCGCTTGGCGGCCAAGAACCCGTTCCTCATGCAGATCCCGGAGTTCGACTCTCTCGGGTGTGTCAAGGACCCGGCCCTCCGCATGTTCGACGGCCTGCCCATTGACCACGAGGGCCTCCAGGCCCCTGGGTTTTCGGGCCCGTGCCACGCCACCAGGTCCCCGGTGCATGTACACTTCACTAACCACTCCCGGTGGCAGTACATCAACGTGTTGAACCCCGGCGGCCAGAACACAAAGGCCTTCTCCATCGACGACCACCCCTTTTTCCTAGTGGCAGTGGACGGGGTCTTTGTGCATCCCAAACAGTACCACTCGCTCCTCATACCCGTTGGATCCAGATGCACAGTTCTAGTCGAGACGGACCCGGACAAGCACGTGGATGTCCTGCGGCCGTTTGCCATCCGCTTTGCTGCGTCCCACACGCCACAGTATATCGAGGGCATCGCGCTTCTTTTCTACGGGCACAGCAATGAAGCCCATGCGTCACTTGAGCTCGATCAAGACTTCACGGCGTATGCTCACGGCACAAAGTACCAGGACTTGGACGGCCAGCTTCTCTCGAGAACCGACAGGTCTGGCTGGCTGCACGAGACAGAGCCGTTCGAGACCTCCAGCTTGTTGACCGCCGCAGGGGCCGCGGACGTGACCTACAACTTCTTCCTCCGCATGTTTGATACCGTGCAGTTCACCATGTTCGCCAGTCGGGCACAGCTCTCGCCGCACTTCGAAACGTCGAGGCCTTTGCTCGATGTCTGGTACGACAGCCGGCTAGACGACCTACCTCCTGCGGACCAGAGCGCCATTTTGCATCCGCCGGCCCGCATGGGTCAGACTGTGGATTTGATCATCAACAACAACAAGCACATCAACCACCCAATCCATCTCCACGGCCATTACGTACATCTTTTGAGCTATAGTGTCCACGAAAACTTTCCCTTCTCGACACTCACGGACGCAATCGAGGGAAACTGCTCCACCCTTAATGTGAAGAACCCCCCGCTTTTGGACGTGGTCTTGATACCGGTGGGGGGTCACGCTGTACTAAGATTTGTGGCCGATAACCCCGGCATATGGTTGCTTCATTGCCACAATATCGGACACCTAATGGGCGGCATGGGCGCTATCTTATTGGAAGCGCTTGAAGATATACCTCAAATGGCACCGCCGGAGGGTTAGTTCAAACAGCCCTTGAAATAGGGAGACTGTTCTATGACTGGTGTCCGAAAGTACGTTTCAATTGCACTTCAAAAGTCAGATTGAAAGCTGCTGGAATGACATGTGCATTTCAAGCCACTCACTTGCGAAACACATTCAAGATTTGTTTATGATTTATTCCCCATTTGCATCTTGTCTCACCGCTCCAACCCACCATCATTTAAAGTGTGGATTTGAGCCGCATAAAAATGAGGCAGAGCCCATGATAATTCTTAGGATATTTGTCTCCGGTCAAATTCTTATTTCCCGGAAAACATAATGCCACCAGCAGCGAAGAAATTGCCTGTGGCGCCGAGCATTCAATACCCGTGTAAGCGCATACCCTCTTAGTGGTCTTGGTGCTCACCAGAGTCAGAATCCTTTTTTTTGTCGAGTTGCTTTGAGATTGCCATGCCCAGAACCTACTCACAGCACCTTCCAATCACAACGTACAACTACTGAAAACAAAAATGACAACAACCAAGATCTGCGTGTTTGTCTCTGGCGCCAGTGGCTTTATTGCTCAGCATACCGTCAAGCTTCTTCTCGAGAAAGGGTATGCTGTGGTGGGCAGTGTGAGATCCAAAGCGAAAGGAAAAAGACTCACGGGCTTGTTTAAATCTACGGATTTTCGTTACTGCGTGGTCCCTGACATTGAGCCGGCTGGTGCATTTGACGAGGCCGTGAAAAGCCACCCTGAAGTCACCGCTTTCTTACACACGGCATCTCCGTTCCATTACAACGCTACTGATGTCGAGCAAGAGTTGCTTTTGCCTGCAGTAAACGGCACTAGAAATGCCTTGTGTGCCATCAAAAAATACGGCCCTCAAATCGAGCATGTTGTGATCACATCGTCCTACGTTGCTATGTGGGATATAGACAAATTCTATGATCCCACTCACAGAGAAGACGAAGAGCTGTGGAGTCCAATAACGTGGGAAGAAGCGAGGGTCGACGCTCAGCAAGCATATTACGGATCTAAGAAGTTCGCAGAGAAAGCTGTGTGGGAATTCATCGAGACGCAGAGTCCAAAGTTCACCGTGAACTTCGTCAATCCCGTCTTGGTCTTTGGACCTCAGGCTTTTGATGCGGAGGTGACGCCAGAGCTCAACACTTCCTCGGAGATTGTCAACGGTTTGTTGAAGTTGGACGCGGAGTCGCAAGTCCCTGAAATTGCAAGCGTGTTTGTGGACGTGAGGGATGTTGCTCGGGCCCATCTCGTTGCTTTTGAAAGCAAGATGCCCAATGTACGGCTACTTCTATACGCGTCTAAGTTTACAGCTCAAGGCATTATGGACATCATCAAGCAGACGGCAGACTTGCTGATGGAATCCTTGCCCATGGGAAACCCTGGAAGCGGGCCCTGTGCTGAGGCAAAGATCTGTCACATTGACAACAGCAAAACTAGGGCTTTGTTAGGGTTTAAGTTGATAAATTTGAGGACTTCGGTTGTGGACACGGTGGCCCAGATTGTGAGAGCAAGAAATGCGCTTGGGAGTACGTGAGATCACCGAGTTCTAAACACTAGTGCTGGACAGCATATCCCTGTGGCGTGCTTCCAAATTCATCTTCAAAATGTAGGATTTTGGCCACGGTATTAGTGGAGGCGTTGGCTGATCGGTATGATTTTGGACAAGCTTCAGATAGCAATCTCGACTGTCAAACTATCTTAGCTGAAACGAGAGTCCTATACTGGCTTGTCTGCACAGTCTGGATTGGACAGGCAGCAGAAGCGCGTCCCTCGTATATAAGGCAGGCACAAACTATATCCAGTCAGCACTATTTTCCTACGCAACCACAAAGCACCATGTCAGAAATAAGAAGACGACAGCAAAGCAGCAAGGCATGAAAACCAGAATGATTTTAAATATCTATATCCACCCAGGCCATAGAATCTCGCAACAATAGCACGTGGACTAGATGCAGGCGCGCGCAGTTGGAGCCACGTCAATTATTATAAGCCTGAGCACACCAGCCAAGACATCATTTCTCCACATCTAAGTCACAGATTTCGGCCCCAACATGAAGTTTTCGCTGACGCTTGCACTCCTGGCACTCTCACTTGTGTCCACTGCTGCCGCATATGCAGTCACGGGCGGCTCCGTCTATGTGAACCGAGGCTCGCTTCTTGAAATCGACCCCAATTCTAAGGACACTCATAGAATCACGTTGAACTCCGCCAAAGATGTCGTGTCGTTTTCTTTGGCTGTTCAGGGAGACCACAAGCCCCACCAATTGATGTATATGCTCTCGGACAACAACGGGTTGGACCATGCGGTCTTTGCCGTGTACAAAGACGGCCAAGCAGTGGCAGACATTTCGGCAAATAAGGTCCCCTCGGCCTTGAAGAAAAGCGACCGTATTTTCGTGTCGCTCATTGCTGCGGATGCCCTCGAGGAGGAAGCCAACGTCATTTTCCCTGTGGTTGAATTGATCCCCAGCGATGCGCTCAAAGAGTCCGTCGGTTCTGATGGCCCGGTGCGCTTGGGTGCACAGCCTGAAATCCACCATGTTTTCAACACAGAAGAGCCCACTGTCAATGGGGTCGTGCCTGTTGTTTTCAGTGCTTTTGCCGTGGCCCTCTTTGTGTTCTTAGTTGTCACGTGGACAAACGTCTTGGGGAACGAGCTCTTTGCGGGTTCTCCGGGAGCCACATGGAACGCTGCCTTGTTGGCCACACTTGCGAGTTTTGAGTACACGTTTTTCAAGTACTACATGGGCGCGTCGATCTTCACCACGGCCTTCAACTCGATGGTGTTGACCGCACCCGCTCTTTTCTTTGGCTCCCGGGCCTTGAAGTCTTTGGGCCAAGCTCGTGGGGACGGAAAGGCGTGATTGCGGAAGATGGACACGTGTGCTTAGACCTTAGTGGCTGTAGACGAATATATAGGGCCGTATGAATATGAATAAAAGCCTAAGTATACTGAAGCACAGTCGATCCGCGTTTTGATGTTGGATTGTGCCGGCTGGAGGATTGACCACGACGTCGGAAAGACAACGTCTCTGCATAAATGCTGGGAGCCAGTTCGCTCCGAGGTTCCATTTTTTGGCCGATGATTAAGTACAAGTCGACGTGGGCCATGATCAGCAAGCAGCATAGTGGAGGCCTCGAGTGCCAGTGCGGCGAGATTCATCGACGTATCTGCCTATATACCCTGTTTGTCTGAGGAAAGTGTCGTTATGATGCACCCGCTCAATAGGTATACATAAGGACCAGCAGGCGCTTGCCAGGCATATGGCTCGGCTGGAATCAGCTGGAGCAGCGGGTAATATGGCAGGCCTTTCAGAGTTTTATGTAGTTCTTTTTTCCCGAAGTATTTGGCATAGATGAAGGAGAATGTGACCACGAGCGAATCGTAATCTCCCAGGAAGTCCCGACGGCAAGCAACAGCCAGCGTGGAAACAAGCCGATTTTGCGGGATACTCATGATCCGCATGTGAAAGTTAAACATCTATGAGTTAAGCCAGACTTGGCTGATTGTTTTTCCGTGCATGTCTTGAAAGCCCTGCCCGCAGCCCACAGAAGTGTTCAGCAAGATGCCACCGATTCAGCCACATGCCACCGACTCAGTCACACGGTCATCCAAGCAGACACACACAGTCACTGAATGGACGTCGCTCAAGCAGTTCCCCTCCCATGACATAACAATACAGCCTGCCTTCTCGGCCACGGCAATGAAGAAGCACAGTAGAAAAGCGTTTCCACTGCACACAGGCGAAACCAGCACAAACAACCCCATCTAAATTACAGGTGTCCAGTCAGCTGTGACCCTTTTGCCTCTGGATTGTCCGCCAGCTATGGCTCGTCCACGAACAAATTCTCGAGCCAGCGGAAATTGTAGAACGAAAAATTGCCCTCCTCGTCCCAGAGGCCCTTGTCCATGGAATTGGCAGCCACCACCTTGCCCTTGATAAGCCCCATGGGGAGCCAGGAGTACGAGCGCAGGTCTAGCGAGTGGCTCAAGTTGTCGCCCGTGACCCACACGTGACCTTGCGGCACCTCCACGTATTTGTTAAAGCCGTCGTTTTGCACCGCCGTGTTGGGGAGGTTGGTCAACGTCGACGAGCTGGACGGGTCTACTAGGATCACGTCGCCGGGCATCCCGGAGATGCGCTTGCAGATCCGGTGGTCCGGGTCCAGCGGCTTGGTGGCCACCACAATATCGCCCATTCCAAGCCCCCTGCCCAAACGGTGTGTTTTCAATGCGTGCACAAAATCCCGCTTGGCCTGGAGCGTGGTGAGCATCAGCTCGCCTCTTGTTTCTGTGAATTCGTAGAAGTACTCATTGACAAAATGCGCGGCGCATCCCGCACGGATGGTCCATGAGAAGATGCTGCCCGCAAATATGGCGGCCTCTTTCATGGCAATCCAGGTGAGTATTTGTTGTGTGCCAATGAACCTCTTCCAGAGTCTTTCTAGAGTCGGGCGAGGAGCTTTTGGTGTCGAACAAAAAGTACTTTTTTTGGTTGGACCGTCGATTCAAGAGACAGGAATCCGCAAAGACCGAGTTCAAGCACTACAGAGGCAGGGACGTGGTGTGTTTTCTGCGCCTACAGAATCACACCTGTTAGTATCAATGGTTTTGGCCGCGAGACTTCACGAGCACTTGGGCGGGAGTGCACATACGCTGCCTGTGCCGCCGCCAGTCACAGAATAGATCATTCGGTGCAAGGCCCTTATCAATTGGCGTGTTCAAAACTACTGATGCTCGAACAAATCAAAGACATGTCTGAAAGACATTTCGGGTCTACGAGTGGACTTTGAGCAGGCCGCACACCATGCTTGACTGCTAGAGTGCGCTAGCCAGAAAGACTCAGATTGTCACAGTGCTCGAGGTTCATACAATCAGATACATCACACCCCTCCCCAAATCTATTCGCTACATTTCCCGCTCGTCGGTATCCAGTATATTTATTATTCCTTATTCGCCTAGTACACGAACCCCAAAATCTTGCCCGACACGTGCTTTCTTCTAGCCTCCTCGTGGTCCATGATACCGGCAGAGGTGGTCAAGATCACGTAACCGAACTGTCTGGCAGGCAACAAGTTGTCGGTCCATCTCTCAATGTCGCCGATCTTGACGTTGAATCTTGGCGAGATGACACCGCACTTGTTCAATCTACCGGTCAACTGCACAACAATCTTGCCGGATCTGTGGTCATCGACGTACTCGAACTCGCCAATGTAGCCTGGGATGTTAGTATACTGCAGAACACTCGATGTTCCTGGGGCCTGCACTGCGACAAAATACTCATCGAAACACTGCTAGACACATTTTTCATTTGGAGAGACCCACTGACAAAATGTCGAGGGAAAGAAAACGGTTGGAGGGACAGACGACCTGAAACCGTGTAAGAAGCATTCCCTCTTTGATCTCCCGAAAAATTAAAAGACAGAAAGGGACTGAACACCGATCATTCCATCCAGTTATCATTTCGGGGTTCTGGGAAAGAGTACGTAGTGCGTCTGTGGGTCCTTCCACGAAAATGAGAAGCAGTGCGTTGATAAGCCTTCAGCAGGACGCCCAATTCATGTGTGAAACATACCGTGCTTTTGCATGACCTGCAAAAATTTGATGATGACCTTGGACGAAGGTCTGATCAAGACTTGTCTCTTGCCGGTCTTCTCAGCGTTGTTGATAGCGTTCAAGGCGTCGGCCAAAACAGAAGTTCTCGTCATTTCTAAAGGGCAAGTTAGTACAAAAAGACACAACCACACAAAACAACAGAGCAGCATGAGTGTCCCTGGGGGATTCATGGAGCAGGCGGCCGTTCTCCAAAGGAAAGGAATATGCGGCGCTGAAAAAGAATAGTTTGAGGTGTCCGGGTGTCTCTATTGTGGAAACCCCATGGTGGGAGGCAGTTGACAAACTGGCCAAACCCCATGATTAATTTCCAGCAGAGACCCCTAGATTCTCACACTACTGTTTTGCTGATTGTGCGTATGGACTCCGAGGGCCACTGTCGCTGATCTGGGTTCAAGAAGAAATCAGGCACATACTATGTGTGATTTGTGGAAAGAAGAGAAGTGCCGGTGAAAAAATTTCTCCAGTCCTTTTTTTAGCGTCGGGCGGCCGCGGTGTGTATGCAGTAGCGCGGCACGAGCGATGTTTCCTCCCACACCCGTGCACCACCAGTTAACGCGAGGCCTGCGACACCAGAGCCCTAGTATCCAAAATAGGGCTCTTCGGGTATTTGGGTTGGAGCCATGTTTTGTTTTAGACCGGGCAGTTTAGCCTTGGCACGGTGCCGAGTTAATGTGCTGGTATGCCGCGCTTTTTCGTCGTGCCCCAGACGAACCCAAAAGAGCAAGCCGGACGCTAGTGTTCGTGATGAGTCCGATCCAGACAATCAGCAGAAGCAAGTCGCCCGGAACAACGGCGGCTCTGCGCCCAACGGAGTGTTCCAGGTGAAGCCGCTGTCTTCAAGATCCGCGCCTGCTGGCATGGACGCCGGAATCGCCAAATTGATGAAGAAAGACGTCAAGCCGTACTTGCCCAAAACCAAGCACCAACGGCTCTCGTACGAGTACCCCGGATTGCCCAACGAGGACGATTTCACCAAGCACACCGACAAGATCAAGAAGCAGAAGCCCATCAGCCGGTGGTCCCTGACCATGCCCAAACTCGCGGTGTTTGGCGCGGCCATGTGGGGCGCCTATGTGGTCAAGGTATGGTTCTACGACGCGGACGACGACGCCCAAAGCACCGAGCTCCTAGACCCGGACGTGTTCCACAAATTCGTGGTGACGCACAAGCAGCAGATCGACAAGGACCATTTCCTTGTGGAGGTGCGGCCCAAGTACAACAACTGGCAGTACAGCTACTATGCGCACTACGCCAGCAAGACCATCTGGAACGGCGACCGCATGTGGTCGGTGGAGGTCAAGCAGCCGGACATTCTGGTGGTGCGGTCGTACACGCCGCTCCCGCTCTATTTCATGAAGTCGGAGAACACGCACGCCGGCCGCAAAGAGCCGCTTTTGCGGGTCGTGGACAACGACTGCGAGGACCACGACAAGGGCGGCGTCATGACCTTCTACATCAAGCGGTATGCGGACGGCGAGGTGTCGCGGTACATTGTGGACAAGGACGTCGGCGACGAGCTCGAGTTGCGCGGCCCGCACGTGGAGTACAAGTTCCCCCACCATCCTCTCAACGCGCTCCACGAGCGGCCCGTTTTCCGGGACTTGCCCTCCAAGGTCGCGGCGGAGACGCTCGTGGACAGCCTCAAGGCGGAGCACGGCGTGCCGGACTACGACACCCTTGACTTTTACGCGGCAGGCACGGGCATAGCGCCCATTCTCCAGGTGCTCTTTTCGCGCAACCCGTACCGGGGCTTTGTCAACGTGCACTACTCGGCCCGTGCCGATACCGAGCTTGCGCCGTTGCAGCGGTTCTTGTTTTTCTTGGAGAAGTTGGACCGCATCAAGTTGATCGGCCACTACGACTCCGTGCCCCGCCTGAGACTCACGGCCGCGGACATCAAGCCCCATCGCGAGCGCAACTACATTAGCGACATGCGCCAGGAATCCGGGGCAGCGGTGGCCGCCGGCTCCGAGAAAGAGAGGCTCCGGAAGCGGGTGGCGCTCTTGGAGGGCGCCCCGGCCGCAAGCCCGGACCACGCCCCGCGGCCAGAGGGCAGAGGCCCGTGGTACGAGAACGCCTTGCAGCAGGCACGCGCCACGGCGTTGCGGCCCAAGCCCGCCGCCGCGTTGGCTCTAGTTTGCGGGCCGGACGGGTTTGTGGACTACGTGGCCGGCGCCAAAGAGTTGGCCTCCGGCGAGCAAGGCCCCGTCGGGGGACTCTTGGGTGCAAAAGGCTGGGACGAGAGCAACGTGTATAAGTTGTGACACGCGTGTATATAGAGCAGCAACACGGCCGGGCATTTCCCGGGAGGCCCTGGGCCTTTTCACTTTGTGACAGAGAGCGACGCCGAAGCGTAGAGCTATATGGTTGGGGGCCTGGGCCTGGGGCCTGGTGGGTATACTGCTGGGCGGGCCGAGAATGCGCGGCCCCATGTCTCCATCACTAATTACATGGCAACACGGCAGGTACTTTGTTCACGCGGCCACGGGCCCGAGTCAAAAGCGGGGGCTTGTTTTTTTGCACGGCGTCTCTCCTGATTTTTGCTCTCCGTTTCAAGTTCTCTTTGCTGTATCTTGCGTTTACTGTCACCTTGGCTGCCCGTCCATCTTGGCCCGCCGACGCTTCATGCGCTTACAGGCCGGGCCGCGCTATTCGCCTGCCCTCCCAGGCCCGCCAGACGTCGCATCCTAAACCAGGTGCCATCCTAAAACAGGTGCCATCCTAAAACAGCTTCCATCCTAGAACAGGTGCCATTTTAACCACCGGCCATCACCCCATGCAGTCGGACCTAACCCGCCACGTGCTGCTGGAAATCTTCCTCAAGGTCAGGCCGCATTGTCTGGAAGTGGCGAGGCTTGCGCAGCTGCCTATTCTGGGCCACGAAGATGCCTTGATCCATGCGCTACGGCAGATCTCAACGAGCCTCGCCTCGCACCACGACAGCCGTCGTACGCCGTCACAAAACGGTGTTCTGCACCCATACATAGTATCCACCAAGCTCGCGGACTACATATTCTTTCCTCTCTCCAATCTCCTAAAGCACCCGCTGCTTCCGGAGCCCGTGGTGCAGTATCTCTTGGAGATCTTGGCGTTTCTCGCCGAGCACTCCTGGCGCCATGATCTCGACGTCGGCTTGCTCCAGCAGCTCTTCACGCTCTGCGTGTTCCTTGCGGGCGGCGAGTCCATCCAGAAAACTCGGGGCTCTGCGGTTTCCGGAAAGTCTGCGGCGTTCGTGGCGGCCGTGGCCTCCTGTCTCGTGGCGCTCTTCAAGTGCGTCCCCAGGGACTACTACTTGCACACAGAGGAAACACAAAAACGGCTTTCCCTTTTGGGCGACTCCACCACCATCCTCTTGGATGTGTTGGACGTGTGCGGACCCGGCTGCGAGGCCCAGGCGAGCTCCATCTTGCGGACTTTGGCCGGCCTTTTTGCCACGCGCGTCTCCCCGGAACAGGCCTCGTACGTGTTTCCGGGCGTGATCTCCAAAGTGGTCAACTTCCACTCCAGAGCGAAAAACTTGCCGTCCGATGCCTTGCTTTCCGTTTTGGACATCCTCCGCACACTCATCGTCAAGGTGTTCTCTGACAGGTCGCTCGACATCTCCATCTCCGACGTGGCGGCGACACCAACTGACTTGCTGAGTCTCCCTGGCTTGCTTCTGCGCGAGGACAAGGAGACGGATCTGGAAGAGGTGCCAGTTAAGGTGATTCTACAGAATACCGCCAACAAGCACCGAACCAGCGCATGGCTAAATGCCACATCCAAGCAGCTCAAGATCTCGATCTCCGTATTCATGAAAAACCTCATCCTCAGTCCAGGCTCAAGGACCAGAATCGCGTCGAACCCCCGCTTGGCCGACGGGGTCTTCTCGTTTGTCTCCGAAATCGTGCGCAACTGCTTCAAGGCGTTATTCCGCGAAGTGATCCCAAGCACGTTTGACATTCTCTCCGCTCTATTTCACGTCTTGACAGTCGGCCTGCTGGACTACACGCAGCGTGGCTTTTTCCGCAAAACAGAGGCTGTCTACCTCATGCTCGGCCGCTCCGACTTGCGCTTGTTGTCAAAACAATTACACGCAAAGACACTGAACCTAGTCTTGACCCAGTTGCCGCAAGTTTTGTCCTCTGCTAGCGAGGACAAAATTTGTCTTTGCGTCTCGGCATTAAAAGTCCACTTGCACGTCTCCGCAGCTCTTGACAGTGCTTTGCTTGCTAATCCGGACAAACTCAATCAGCTCAGTGCAACCATTTTGAACACTCTTTCTACAAACGTGGCCCAGAACATCATCCGTGCTGATATTCACGCAAAGGATGGTGCAGGCAAGAAACAGCTCCTCGAATTTCTAGGTGGCCAGAGCCCTCTGGAAGGTTCGGGCAATACTCTAGATGAGATTGAGCTTCCGCCACACATCGATGCCAAACACCTCTCCACCATCAATAAAAAGAAAAATTCATTTGTGCCTGTGCCCAAGACAAGTCTTATGAAGCGATTGGACCTTAATCTTGAAAGTCATGAGACCACGGTGCAGTTTTTTGGCGCCGCATACTCAAAAACTTCAGAAAAAGTTATCCAAAGCCTTGCCGCTTTCCTTGGTGATCATTGCCATGCGAACACAGAAACCATAGTCGCGTCACTAGTTGGAAATTTGGACTTTTCAAATGAGACAGTAGACGCTCTTACCGACCGCATGGTGGCACTATGGTTAGCCAACTCGCTCTACAGAAGTCCACCAGGTGCCATGGATTCTGCAGTCAATTTTGACATCGATGAGCTTCTTGAATTTGATGAGGATTCCGAAGACGAGCGCAATTCCCCTCAAGCTGACGAGGAAACAAGTTACCTACTCTTGCAAACAGCGCAGGATGTGCTTGAAAACACGAAAGTGGTTCTTAGCAATGGGGATTTTGATTCTCGGAGCAAGGAATACAAGGCTTGTGAAAATGCTTACTCGGTTGCACTCGAAACCATCGGACTTCTCGCAAGCCGCTTAAGCAAAGCTGATTTCCAGGCTGACGTACTCATGGATTACTTGTATCCGCTTTTTGAAGCCCTCACATATACACCCGACAGTCCGGTTCATGTACAAGCAAAGATTGCTTTGAGCCAAATTGTGAACCTGCATTATGGTGGCTCCTTGGAGCGGCTTGTGGGTGATAATGCGGACTATCTCATAGATTCACTTAGTATGAATCTCCTGGTGTCTAGTGGTCTCACGCCCTCGCTACCTGGTATTCTACTTGTCGTGATCCGGATCAGTGGCCTGGACTTGTTATTGCTGAATCAACTCCAGGATATTCTCAGCGAAATATTCATTGTCATTGACTCTTTTCATGGATACTCCTCGCTTGTGGAAAACTTCTTTCACGTGTTCCAAGAGATTGTTTTGAAGGTGATGGAATTATACGGATCACAATTGCGAGATAACGCCAAACTTCTCCTGGGTCAAACAAGTTCACCCTATAAGCCGTGGGGTTTGACTAGCAGGGAAGAAATGCTCAAGCTTATTGACGAAGCTAATAAATTAGTGGATCCTTTTGCTGACTACGATTCCGAAAAGGAATATTTCGTACGCAAGCCTGGTGTTCCTTTCGGAGATCAAATGGGCGATTCTGATGACGAGGATGAAGAAGATACTCCAGAAGAGCCTCTGCAAGACTCGCCAGAACCATGGCCCTCTCCAGTGCCAAAAAATATTCATACATCCGTGCAACAGCTATTCACCTATGGACTCCAGCTTTTGTCCCACCCTTCCATCAAGTTGCGGATCCAGATTTTGCATACCCTCAAAGACGCATACGTGATAATGAGCTCCAATCACAAAATCTTGATGCCTATACTTGCTCAATATTGGCCGCTTCTTCTTGTTATGAGCGCAGGTGCATCTAACTTATCTGAGGACACCCAAGACACGACACTGTTACAAACAGAACAGCTAATTGCACCCACTTTGGAGCTAATGCTCGTGATATTTGATGAAGATGAAAAGCATGAAAAATTCATGTCAAGTCGGTTTCTCGATATGTGGGAATTTATGAAGAAAAAGGCGCCTGTGATATCAAAGATCTTGAATTCGAGAAGCTCACGAATCGAAGGAGCTATGGTCGCAAAGGCCGTGTCCCTGACTATTCCAAGTCTCTACTCACGCCTTATTATTCGAGGTATCACTATTTACGAGAGAATTGTGCCAGATTTGATAGCACACGAGATGATTAGGGTGTGCTATGCCTTGGGCATCGATCAGTCTATGCCCCTTGGACGTGATGTGCGTAACCATTTATGGGTCTTATCTTATCTGACATGATTCTTGCGATCAGGAAGGCGCTCATTGTAGTGGATATTTGACGAGAAGAGACTAACGAGTCTCTAAAGGAAATATGATGGGCTTTTTTGCCTTTTTTGATCGACCACTCACATTCACTTGATGGTATGATATATATAAAACTATTAAAGGTGGCTTTAGTTGATGAAGCTTTAGTCCAAGTCGTGCCGTGCCTTTTGAAATCCGGTTCGACAAGGATGTACAATCCTGAAGACATGGAAATTCATAGATAGAAAGAAACTTTGGATGCTAATTACTACTTGGGTAGATTCCCTGCTTCTGCATGAAAACCACCTTAATACAATGCGTGCTCGATATGCTTGGAGAATTGTGGCCTAGACCGTCCCATAGAATTCCATAGAAAGAAATATGGCATGCTATCGGAAAACGCAATATTATCAGAGAGGCTTTCGAAATTCTTACTCGTCAATAACCATAGCATCAGAGTCGCCTGGCGCATTGTCATCTGCAGCAATAAGGTCCAGCAATCCGGCTTTCTTGACATTAGCATTTGCCATACTTTGAAAAGGTAGTGTGGCCTGGCCCTTATCCAAAGCGGGTTTCATCTTTTCTGATTCAGCCGCAGATCCTGCCAGCAACTTTGTATCATTGTCGGCCACGGCGCCATTTTCTTCCAAAAGCGAACTGTAAGTCTTGCGATCCTCTTCGGAAATATTGATGCGTTTTTCCTTCAACGCTTTCTCAACGGTCTGTGTCTTTGGAATCGTATCGCTCAAAAAATGAAGGGACTCTTGTGAGCTCACCGTGGCACTCAAGTCCCGATACTGGATCTTCTTGCGTTTCTCTGATTTGGCGTTCATGGACGCTTGTTCTACGAGATACTGTACAAATAATTCTGTAGCTGCACCAGTGGCATAGACCGCACTAGCAGAAGCCCCGGCGAATTCCGGGTCCATCTTGAATATCTTCTTGATTTTTGAAAGCGGGAGCGACATGGCTGTCTCCTCTTCGAGAGCAACTGGCTCTATGTTTTCACTAGTAGTGTTGGCAGCAGACATATTGTCAAATCGGATAATCACGGATTTGTAAGTGAGCTATTTTGAACTTCCCTACTCTTTTTCAGTCAGTTCTGTTGTAGATTTGAGATGGATTCTTTGAATTTCACAATTAAGTATCCCGAGCTTTGTGATAAATAGCTCTTAAACTTCGAACTTTTATGTCCATTAAAGACGCGACTTGTAAGAGCGCGCAGAGAAGCCAGCCGCACTTTGCTTGGGAAGTTCTGTCCTAGTTGAAAGTAGAAAATATTTAGTCTTCGATTGGTTTGTGCTTGTGTTGTTTGTATTTAAAAAGGCGTTCCAAAAAGTGTTTGTTTGCTTTTGTTCTTTTTGTTGCAAGAATAGCATTTGAAATTTGAGCATGTCAAATGTTTAAGATTTTCATGAATTTCGGATGAAACAATTAAATGTGTGAAAAAAAGAAAAAATACAAAATAATAGACGAGCATAAAATTTCTTTCTTTAAGTTCGCTTTCTAAAACCAAAAGACGATAAATGTGCTTCCGAATACATAAGAAGCATCTAGATTGAAGGGATGCCAGAAGCATTTTTAATCTCTTGATTTTTGAACAGTACGCTACAGCTGACTCCACACACGAACGCTTCAGAACATTCACTCTGTATCAACAAAGAACCCAAATCTCAAGTGTCTCATCTTTGACCAGATATTGGCTTTGATCCCCAGGGCATGTTCAAGATTCATACTATTTATCATACTTCAAAAGATGAAGAACAAGTCCAACATTTGTAAAGAGCCTTGAAATTTACAACAAAACCAAAAACCCATCACGTTCTCATTATCTATATACATGTTTCCAAAACCTATTGGCTGACCGTGTTCTCCGCCTGCTCTGCAGCGACGATGTCCGGGTGCACGTGCTCCTCCAAGTACTGCGTTTTCTCTAAATCGCGGTCGTTGTAGTTTTCACCAAATTCAATAAAGTCCTTGATGTTGTGCCATGCGAGTTGGGGGTCCTTGAACCCGTCGGTGTACCCCTTGAAAGTCTGCAAAACTTGGGGCACTTTGGGAGAAACCAAGGCCTTGAGATCCGAAGAGTTGAGCTCCGCGGGGACGACATATGTTCTGACCTTTTTCCAGTCCATAACGTAGACTCCCATGGAGTTAAGCTTACCGTAACCGGTAGAGCCGGTACCCTTGTAGAAATGCTTGTTTCCTTGTTTTCCGGTCAACGGGTGTCTCTTGGACCCTCTTTTGGTCAATCCGTACCAGATCTGGCCATCTTTAAAGGTTTGCCATGGACGCTTAAGGTTGCTTGCCACCGACTGCTGGAAGCTAATAACTGAAGAAGCTCTCATTTCTGTGTGGTTTGACGGGCTTTGAAGGTCCATGTTGGTATGCGATTTTTTTTCCAGGACAGGTCTCGCGATGTATGCAGGACACCCAATGGCTCGAGCCAAGTCAGAGATCCGCCAACTGTACGAATTTGGCATTGGGCATTGACAGGCACATTATTGAATACAGATTTTTCAGAAGCCCATTGGCGGGTAATGATTAGAATTTATTGTGGCAGAGCAGGTCTTGGCTGTATTAGGACGACACCTGTGCACCAGGAGAGCCGCAGGAAGAAAGATGATTTGCGGATCTGAGGCATGCCAGGACGGTCGGGCTGGTGCCGTACTTTAGGTGAATAAGTATCAGGGCATTCTCGGGAGTGCCCGGCATATTTGAGACGGCCAAGGCATAAAATATTTGAGGGGTCTGTCAACCAAAGAGGAATGTCAAATAAAATGAATGTTCTATTTAGCTTCGAGGTTTCCGAAAATGATCAGAGAAATGAGTATCAAGTGTTTAGCCAGGCTTACGCGAATTGTCAAGTAAGACAACAAAAAAACAAAAAACGAAAAAAAATCAAGCTTGTAGTTCATTTGTAGTTGCACCAGGGCCGGTTTCCCAGAGCAAGTCACTTCAGGTCGCGTCACATGAACCGTCTATGAGCAGTATTAGCTTGAATTGGAAGTTGGCCGCCCTTCGCGCTGGCCGTTTGAGGCGTTGTGTAGACCCCATCCGCCCGGACGTGCCCCAATCACGTGACATAACCATTTGGTCACACCAGCATGTAGTTTCGGAGCAACAGCCAGGGTGTTCAGTCACCTGTCGAAGCGGAAGCTAAGGGCACAAGACAGGTACCCACGAAAGTTCAGACAACTGCTTCTTCCAATCGAAGGCCCGAAGACGCACGCGGGCTTATCCGGCACATACTGATAGCAACCAGCCGTATCACCATTCCATGGAGAACTCGATGTTACGTTCTGTTGTCTTTTGAAATGTCGATTCCTGAAAGTCCCCAGAATCCCGGACCTTTCCCTGCGCAACACGGATACGTGGATGTGCAAGCCAAGACGCACAAATACAAGGACGAGCCCACGGCCTTGCCCGGCCAGCCATCTAAGGCGCAGCAGTTCATCAGCTCTAAAACGGACCGGCAGCACCAAAAGAAGTACGGCAAGAAAGCCCTCAATTTCCTCATGAAGACGTTGTGCAAGTGAGGGCGGCAGACGCCGTTTGTATAGCTCTATGCACCCCATGTATAATCGATCAAGCACTCCATTAATAATCATAGTAGCACCCCACTTATAATCAATAAAAGCACTCCACTAATAATCGAAGTAGCACCCCACTACGAATCGAAGAAGCACCCCAATACTGATCGAAGTAGCACTCCACGAATAATAGAAGTAGCACCAAACGAATAATAGAAGTAGCACCCCAATACTAACCGAACTTCCACCCCACTGCCAATCGAAATGGCACCCCACGAAGATTCAACCCACTCCATGTATGGGCACAGGCCGTGCCGATGCGCCCTAGCCTATAGTCTTGGCGCAGAAAGCGCCTCCGCAACAAGAGCCACGATTTCCTTAGCAAAGCCGTAGCTGCCCTGGTAGCCCCCGCCCCCGGCGCCGTAGCCATGGATGAGCCAAGGCTTGCGGGCGTCTTTTTCTATGCGGGGCCCATGTTCACGGAACGGCCGGAGCCCGACGTTCACGCCTACCACATCGATGTAGCCCGGGTTTCCGTGGACGCTCGTGTCGACCAACTCGGGGAGATACTGGAGCGCGCGGGCAAGGATCCGCTGGGTCAACTGCTTGTCTTCGGCGGGGTCACGGTTGTCCACGTAAAAACAGCCGCCGATTATGGCGCCTCCCTCCTTGCGCGGAAACACGTAGAGCTCCTCGTCGGGGCGGTCAAAGCCGCACACAATCTGGACGTTTGCGACGGCGTTCCGGACCACCAACACCTGGCCCTTCACTGCATAGTTTCTGCTGGGGTCGTCCACACCGCCGATTTCCGAGGCGAGGAGGCCGGCACAGTTGACCACGAGCTGCGCCGGCCGGCCGGAGCTGTGGACGAGCCGGGCGTCCGAGATGTCCGTGATTTTCGGCACGCGTTTGAACACGACGCCGAGCTCAAGGCACCGCTGCACTAGGTAGGGCAAGTAGGTGGGCACCGACACCACGAAGCCGTCGAACTCACGCCCGTACACCGTGCCTGGAATCAACTCTTCGGGCGAGAGCCGGCGTCCCCCTGAAAAAGGCTCGTGCCACGGGACCAAGTTGCCCGTGTTTCCGTGCTCTCGGTCGAGGCCCGTCTGCGTGTAATACAGCCGGTTTTTCTTGCGCCAGATGCCGGACCGGGGGTCGGCGGCCAAGAGGCCAAATTCATGGTACGCCTCGGCGTCGATTTGCTGCTGGCGCCAATCGCTGTTCAAGGCGAACGACTGCCAGTTGGCCCCGGCATATGGCGACGTGTAGGTGATGTCCAAGTCGCCCGGGAGAAAGGTGGCCGCCACGGTGACGTCGATGTTTTTGAATTGCTGTTTGAGCCGCAACGCTACGGTGAGGCCGATGACGCCGGCGCCCACCACTACCACGGGGTCCGACATGAGGGTGGGTGCAAATTAATAGACGCGATTTCGCAGCTGGTAGATTAGGCTGCGTTTCGCGGCTGGCTTTTAGTGGCGTTTCGCGGCCGGCTTTTAGTAGCGTTTCGCAGCCGGGGCCGGGGCCACGGTGACTTATATAATAAAAGCGCGGGCCGGCTCTGGCTGAGTCCGGGCGCGCTACTTGCTGCATGGGGCAGGCGGACCCGGGGGGCTTGCGAAGGGAATACAGACCTGCTGTATAATAGACAAGGCAGTTGGGCCAATGAGCATGTCGCGGGATGTTTACGTACTTTTGCGGTTCAGGAGCCAGCCAGGAAATGCTGTGCAATATAGCTGGCATAACAGGGTTTCTATGTGATACATTGGTATTTCAACATCGTCTAGTATGGGGCGACGCTTAATTTGTATGCTGCTGTCTGTCATTGTAACTTATTACACTCACTGAGAATGCGGCACTGTTTATCGGTAAGCTGGTCATAAAACAGGCCACCCCGCTGTTTGCTGAGATAGCTATTAGATTGACAATTTACTTTCAAGGCACGGTACGTGGGAGCCCCCAGGCATTATGTTTTACGAAGTGCGAGCTTATCCGAGTTCCTTGAGCAGCGCAGCAAAAATCTCTCTGGGAAAAAGAGCTCTGTTTCTGAGACAACTCATACGGCTCCATCATAATTATCTTCGCTTAAGCACTTATCAAGGAACCCATAAATTGTAAGCAAAAAGCTTGTCAAGCTAGGTCTAAAAGGGATGCAATCTTGGGGACTGTTGGTAAGCCACTGGGACCGTCCTTTTCTGAATTCATCGGTGTTGCTTTATGTAGTGAAGAAACGGGCTCCAAAAATGGTTCGTCCATTTTCAGATCGTTTAATTCGGGGACAACAGCCCATGAACCTTCTTCCAAAGCTGACATTACCAAGTTATCGAAAAGGGCTGCGGCTGGGTTCCTTGTGTGATTTAGATTGTCACAAAAATCCTGCGACGTTTATTTGGCTGGTCATTCGGGCACATCCATCTATATTGTGCTATTGATATGCTCTTTCTTAGCTCCAGCCCCGCGTGGGTCTAATCCCTGGCATTTACAAATGCCATTTGCTGCTTCAATTTACACATTGGTTTACTCGTCTATATTTATATCTTTCTGGTCCATGGCTTTGTCGCATTCTTTCATTCACTGGGCAAATTAGTCTAGGTTTGATACTTCGATGTGAGGTACTATACAGCCACTTTTGAATGAGATAACGAGTCGGCTGTCACCCTGATCAGCATTCAAGCCTTGGACTGAAAATTCAAGTCTATACTCATGTATATACCATGAATTCCGGCTTGCCGTCTTCAGAAGTCCTGAAGCAGTCTACCTATTACGCTGCTATCTTCAATTACTGAAATCGGTGCGCATAATCTGAAAGTACCCGAGTTTTCACTTAGTTCATCAAGTCTTTCACGTTAGATGCCATAATGTTAATATTTTTCTGGTGTCATCACTCCGTTTTGAAATCTCACTCTATCATTTGTTGTTGTTAAGATTTATGGCTGAGCATAGATCTGTGATGTATTGTCTGTTCTAGAGTTTATGCATACATAAAATGAGTTCGAAACTACCGATGGTTCTGTAATACCCTAAGGCTCTTTCCAGACCAATGATATGTGATTTAAATCTTGAATGTGATCTTATGTGTTTTCGAAGTTCAGGCAATATAGTTTGAACCACTAGTTTCAGGTTCGATCAAACGCCATGAATATCTTAGCAAACAGCAGCCTAATACAGCATGCTACATTAAGTTTGTGAATTATTAGCGCAATTGCTGACATTCATTTACTTTTAAACCAACACATGAAGCCTTGAACGGCAGGGATTTAACCGGGCCGTATGCTGCCTTAAAAGAGAAGAGAAATTGAAAAGAGACTCATGTGGTGACATGAACATGATAAAATACAACAACTGTCCTTTAAAAATATGTGATGAAAATCTTCTTGAAGAATCTTGGGGGTGAGAAGCAGAATCACTTTTCATCGTTTACAAGACTTTCAGCAGCCCAAGAAAGCTAAAAAAAGAGATGAATTAAAGAAGACCGTATACTGGGCGGGAATCAAGACATGGAGAGAATTAAAAGTGCACAAAACAAAAGAAGGAAGTAAACAGAAACGAGGAAGAGTATGGAGCCACGTTGAAAAACGAGCACGACACATACAAGTCTGTTTCACAGACAACACACGAAAAGAAACAATACGCCAAAGACAAACAACTAGCCAAAAAACAATACCCCAAAAACATACAGAACATGAGGAGAGAACATTTCCAAAAACGATTCCTGCCAGTGTCAAACACCAACACACCATAAACCGGAAACCACGAAACAATAGAACAAGGCACCAGTGAGCCCTGTCTCCTTCACAATAGACATGTAGCCCAGAACCAGAAACAAAGAACGGAAACCCGCAGAAGCTCCCAAAACAAACCAGCCGGCCGTTTTCTGCAAGCAAGCCTACGGCATCCCGACAGCAACGACAACAACACGAAAGCCCCGGCATAAAAATAACAATACGAAGAGAAAAGGACCAAGCTCCCCAGCTGCGTCCTGCCGGTTGCACCCAGCACCCCAGGCCGCGTCCTGCACACACACGCCCCGCCTGTCTCCGCGTCTCGCAACTCGGCCCAGCTGGCCAGTTACAACCACTCCTTTCTCTCCGGTCCAGCGCAAACTGGACTTTCGCTCCGCTTTGTTCCTCACTGACCCCTGGCGTTTGCACCCCCAATTCGCAAGGCCCTGACCCATGTTTTCGTTTGCCAGAAAATTGAAGGACCGCCTCGACGGCGGCCGCCACGAGCAAGACCCGTATTTCCACCACAACCTCGCCATCAACAACGGCGGCTACGGCCTCCGGATTCTCCACGTGGCGCCCGACTCGCCAGCGCATGTCTTGCAGCTAGAAAGCTGGTTCGACTACATTGTGGGGCTCGACGGGCACGCCTTGCCCATGAAACACCCGCTCCCCCAGGCGTCGTATAGCGTTGGCGACGACGGGCTGTTGCACTACGGAGCGGCCTCCGGCGCCGCGTCTGCGCACGCTGGCGCGGTCGACGTGGACCGTGTGGCGCAGCATTTTGCGCTGGCGGCCCGCGGGCCCGCGCGAACGGTGTCGTTGCAGATCTGGAGCGCCAAGGGCGGCGCCATGCGCCACGTGTCTTTCCCCCTCCCGCCGCCGGCCGGGGCCGCGGACCTGCCCGGCGCGTTTGCGGTGCCTGGCAGTGCGTTTGTCGGGCTTGGCGTCACGCTCGCGCCGCAGCACGTTTCCACGGCCACCCACGTGTGGCGCATCTTGAGCACCCACGCCCTGTCGCCAGCATTCCAGGCCCAGCTCGTGCCCTACTCCGACTACATCATCGGCTGCGACTCGGCGTTCTCGTCGGACCAAGCCGGAAAGGGTCTCTTGGCCGGTGGCGGTGAGCAGCTCTTGGGATCCGCTCTCCTGGCCTACTACACGCGACACCACGCCACGCTCCAGGAAGACCGCATCCCCGTGGTGCTCTACGTATACAACCACGACTTTGATGTCGTGCGGCCCGTGACCGTGCACTTGTCCTGCGCCTGGGCCCCGGGCGCGAACTGCGGCGTTCTAGGCTGCGACGTCGGCTACGGGCTCCTCCACCGGCTTCCAGAGGTGCCGGGAAAGTATGGCCACCTGGCCGGGCAGGACGTGTGTGTCGTTCCACGCAACGCGCCATCGCAGCCCTCTGGCCATCCTGGCACGCACACGGCGGGCCCCGCCTTGACGGATCCCGCCCTCCAAGACCCGGCCCCAGGCACAGTGTCCTTCGCCGGGCCTCAAACTGGCCATGCAAAACTGCCCGTAAAGGGCAAGCCGTCCGACCGCTACGCGCCGCCGCTCGACCGCTATGCACCGCCACCCAAGGCGGAGTCTGCTTTGCTGCCGGACGCGACCGGTGCCACACCAGAGAGAACTTCACACGCATCCGAACATGACCGTCAAGGGCTGCACACACAAGGCCAGCTCGAGCCAGAGGGGCCGCAAGCGAGCATGCTCGTCGGTGGCTCTGTTTCCGGGACACCAATCGGCTCGGCTCTGGGGAACCTCGGCCACACTCTACCGGAGCCTGCGGCTGGAAAGGACATTGAGGGGGAGCATGAAACTGAGGATAAAGTGGCCGCCGCTGGAGTGGCCGACGCTGGAGTGACTAATGCTGATGTGACTAATGCTGATGTAACCGACGCTGGAGTGACTAATGCTGATGTGACCGAGGCTGAAGTGTCCGGGGCTGAAGTGACCGGGGCTGGAGTGACACACTCACTTAAAGAAACCGAGTGTGGAAATGAGATTGAGATTGACACGCCTGAGCTTCTCCACCCTGACGCCCAGAAGCCTAATGCCAATGAGCCCGGCGCTGCAAATACAGAGGCGTATGGGCCCCAACTGGATGAATTCAAGCTCGGGCTCGAAAACAAGGACAACATGCATATTCAGACCTCGGCCGCTTCTCATGCTCCCACCGAAAATGAGAATAAAGAAGAGACAGGGCTTGTAGCCAGCGTTCAAACCGCCAATGAAAGCTCAAATAGCCAAGAGCGCTCGTCTCCTGATTCTTCTGTTAAATGCCCACCCGCGGGTATTCAACACCCACAGGCAGAATCTCAAAAGGGGGACCCCGCTTCTTTTGTCTCGGACAATGAGTTTTTGTGTACCCCGGCGAGTGTCGGAGAAACGCAAGACTCTGGAAGAATTGGGCACGGACACATTGCCACCGGAGGCAATGCCGCGCTGACTAACGAGCCGACTCTCGATGAAAACATCAAAGTCGAGCTCACACAAATTATATCTGGCCTGATATCCGAAACCGATCCCAATGGAAACATGCAGAGATCTGCGGAGGAAGCACCAGAATTTCCCTCCTCGTCGGGGCCAGAAACCAGCGTGAAAACTCGTGTCATCAACAACATTGATTCTTTACTTGATGAAGATGTTGATTTTTTGGATCAACCCGAGGACATTTCACACATGAATGCCGTTTCTGCACAAGGGCTCCCAGATACATGCGCCCAGCCTCCCCTCTCGCCAACAGCAAAGCATCAAGAACCTGAGTCATCAGAGGCAGTGCACCAAAGGCAAACATTAATCAACGCAGAAATCACAGAGCCAGAAAACCCAAAAGTTGATTCTCTGATGTGTGAAATACCATTGACGGATTATAGACCCGAAAACCCTTTAGCTGCAAACGGAACAGATTCTCCCCTCTCCCCAAAATTCTCCGCTCCACCTTTACAAGCTACCACAATGTTCTTGCCCATGAGTTCCAAATTTCCGCTTAGTCCGGTAGGTGCCCCGCAGGTAGCCAAGCCGGGACGCAGAAAAAAGGCTCATGGATCAGGAAACATCGGGAGTCTTGCGGAATTCATGAACGAGGAGCTTTCGAAGTCGAAGGCAAATGATAAGAACTACGACACAAAAACCGACGACGTCAACGGAGTCCCACCACCGCCTCCTAAATCCGTGAAACGCTAGTCTACACGGTGTGTCTGCACACGTTTTCTTGGATAGTTGCATCTGAATAAAGGAGCATGCTTATAAAATATTTACATAAAACCCTTCAATCAGTTTCCAAAAACTACCAGGACTTGAACCATATCCCTGAGTATGCGGTATGCTGTAGAAGATTGTTAATAGATGAATATGCAAGCAACAAGAGATGGATTGAGATAAGTGTAAAAATGTTTCGATGTCAAAAAACATTGCCCACTGTCGGAATTGAACCGACGATCGCCTCATTACGAGTGAGGCGCCTTACCACTTGGCCAAGCGGGCAACTGCAAGCGAAATTGACCGTAAAACAGTTACATCTAAACATATCAAGATGATACCCAGACATGTCAAAGCAGCAAATAAGGGTATTTGTTTTGAAGACACACGGAAAAGACTTTGAAGTCTATGTATCCGGTACATGTCCATCAGAAGTTAACCCACTTCCCCAAAGTGGGCTCGTTTAGTCCGCTAAAACCATCTGAGTTGAAGCGACTACTGCAGGAGACCTATCATAGGAGTCGATGACGTAATATCCAATACGTAAACGGATACGGACTATGAGGACCGTCCAGGCCGTAACTAACGGAAGGAGACGGGCGAGCTAAGACACTTGGTACGTAGCTGGGAGCTGTTTAAAGGTTTTAATATATTTATATAGTTTTGCCCCTTTAATCAGATGAATCTACCCAAAAAAAAGGCGGCTTTCAAGCTCCAATACACTTAAGGGAAGTGCTAGCTCCTTTAGATTCTTTGACAATTTAAAAAACCTTCCTTGATATGCTAAAGCTGTTCGCAGGGTTTATTTGTTTAGGTACCAGGAGGCAGAGATAAATGTACGTCTTGTCGCCTTGTCAAATGAATATGGTCACGGGCCCTTAAGAAAAGATGTCACGCTATTCGAATACTATTGTTTCTTTCATAAAACAGGAAGTGAATATTACGTCTTTACCCCTAAAAAATAAATGAAATTTGCTCAAGACTTTGTCAAATTTCACACTCGTTGGCAGATGATACTTGTCATTAAAAACGCTGTAATATCGGGCGGATATGCGTTCAAAAGCCACGGCTTCTAGGAGGAGCTTGGGATTGGACCCCGGCTCCTGGCGACCTGATTTGAAATTGTGGTGAAATAAAGTTTCTTCGCAGTTCTGAGCCCTTGGTTGAGTACTGAACTTCAAGTTGTTTCACACATACCATTAACGCCATTTAAAAATATTTCACCTTGAGGTTTCAGTGACCCACATGAGTGTGGGAATTAGAGAAAAAGTCAAAGGAGCATAGAATAAAGCAGAGACAATAAGGTCTTTTTTGCTATTCAGCATGTGGAGAAGATAAGTAGGCTGGCAGGATACGTATGAAAATCTAAATATAATGTAGCAATACAGAAACAAATTCAGCACCTGCAGTCATAAGTTCATACAATGGCCGCCACGTTATAGCGGACACATGCTGAATAAGAAGAATTATGAGATACCCCCTGCGGGGTAATATAAGGCAGTGAGAGCCAACACCCTTCTTCTTTTAGTTTACTTGAAAAAGCCTTAGTGGCCCTGGCAACAGAGCAGTAACAATCCTCACAACATGACACTAGGCATTCGTGCGGCGGCAATCTCGTACCTTCTCAGCCTGGTCTTTGTAATGATTATAAGAAACGACACAGTTGAGATTGACCCTGGCGCAAAATCCTTAGAGGGACTTCTCATTTGTACGAGAGTTTCTTACTCGATTATCAATAGCCCCAGTCTTACTTTGCAAAGTAACGTTTACAACGGTGGCAGGTTTTCTGTTTCAAGTACTGACGAATTGGGGGCTTCGGTGCTCATGACAGGGCGTCGCTTTGACAATTATGGATTGATTGTCTTCAATTCACTGTGTGTCCAAGCAGATTGTCTCTACGATATTGACGCTAAAGAAGCTTTTTTGAACAATGGCACAATGTTTTTTGGTTTCTTTGGGGCTTCTACCAAGTCGTCAAATATGTATGTCACATCTGTGGTGTCATGGGAGAACACCGGTACGATGATTTTCATGCAGTCACCTGGACTTTCTACCAGCTTGTTGATCGGTGACTTTCAGCGCCTGACTAGAGATTTTAGTATCACCAACAAGGGAGTGATTTGTTTTCGAAACCTTGTTTGGCTAGTAACCACACCCATAGGGGGAGATGGATGTATTAATGTGGGGTCTGGCTCGATATTGGAGATGCACTTTCCGGATTTCTCTCCTAAACCAAATCAGATTATCAACTTGGATTCATCGGACTCAGTATTGCGGGCTCTGGGGCTTGAGGAATTGCTGGATGTAATTCCGGTCATCAAGATCACCGGCCTAGGAGGGGGGAATTCAATTGAGATAGATCTTCCTTACGAAGAAAGTATCTCAACTGGGTATTGCACAACTACGGGAAGATTATCTCTTGGCATTGCACACAAGAATCGAGTGTTTTTTGAAGTTGGCCCAGGGTACAATGTAAGTGATTTTAAAACTCAAAAAACTCTAGTTGGTAATAAGATTACTGTTGATGACCCTTCTCCCCACGAGCCCCCACTTGCTTGCAAGTGTGATACCGACTTTTATAGTGCCCCAGCAGCTAACTCTTCGCAAGTTCCCTCTATCTGATTTCTTGACAAAAGTTGAAGCTTCTGGCCTCTAGGCTAAATAGCTGCCTGTATTGCTAGCCTGTTTATCGGAATTACCATCTGGAACTCAGTCGTTTCCATAAAGTGCAGTGTTGTGCTGAGTAAAGACGATAAATAGTTTTTTATTAGATAATATGAATTTGGCTTCTGAGAAAACTGACGCTGATAGTTTGTGAGTTATTATGGAAAGTTTCCACCACCAGGCTCAGAGAAGCATAAATCATCTCTTGAACTCTCTGTCATATGAGCTGTAGATTTAGGTCTTTTGAGAATTGCTTGCGACGGATCAAGGAGTAGACGCTGGCGTCTATTGACAGAAATGTCATTGTGAACCAAAACATGTTTCTTATAGTATTTAGCTTCTGGTGTAAGTTACCGTTGTTTAAGACCTGCAAGTGACATCTTATACTCTGATATCGGTCTTTGGAAAGTAAGTTGTAATTCTCTTTGTGTACTCTCTCGACGAAAAAACATCTACTACTAAATTAAAAGGGGAGAGTTGATTTGTTTTTCCACTATTTCAATCAATTTTTATTTAATAAGTATTCTCAGCGTGTATTAAAATTCAGCACAAAAGTTACAGACTCTGAATGATACATTGTGATCCAAACAACTGCTCGAAATATAATTAAATTATTGGAACCTTGGACGGAATCAAAATCTATTTTGGAATCCTAAGCAGTTTTTAGTGAAGGATGAACAAAGCTCACGAATAAAAGCACAAATGTTTTGTGATGCGTAAAACGAATTGCTGATCTTGATACTCTGGAAGAGCATGATACGTTTAGGGTTACGTCTTGGGAAAGAGGGGCTTTAGAATTACTCGACGTAGAAGTTTTGCAAATGCGATAAGACATCTCACATTTAACCCTAAATAGGTGAATCCAGCCAAAATGAACATACAGAAATTGTAAAATTAAAACAATAAAAAAAGCAAAATTTTAGAAACAGTTGAGTCCATGGACAAGAATGAAACAGAACTTGATGAAAATAAGCAAACCATAATCCATATAGCTCGAAACTCCTGAGATCGGGGCCATTTTTCAAGTGTTGTATGAGGTGAGTCTACTTGAGATCCTAGCTGTGTCAGAACCTGAGACCACGGATTGAGTATCTGTATCCAGACAGAGAATCTTACCTCTATGAAGTCTGACAAATGAGCTTATTGAGAATTGCTTTGAAATAACCGGATCAGTATTGGCTTTCTCTGAATATTGTTTACAATTGAATATAAAGATGGCTCCATTATTCCATTAAGGTATATTGATGTGATAAATTCAAAAATATGATTTCGTTCTCACTCCTTCCTTAATACTATATCATAATTGAGAAAACGAGGCATTTCGTTTGAGCGAATGGAAAGAACAAAGAGCAATACTGCTCCAGCGTGTTTACAAATCTCCCCCTGGCTGGTTCATGTTGGCTCCAATTTAAAATGCAGCAGTTCGATATTTGCAAAGCGTTTGTTTTGCACATATGCATAATATTTTGGGCCTATGTTTTAGACTCTGCCACCTTATACATAGTCGATTTAACACATTCGTGCCGTTAGAAATAAAAAGAAAAAGCTCTAGGTCACCAAGAGCGTGACATATGAAATTGTAGAGTAGTTTTTGTGCTCCTCAAATTCAAACTGTTTTCCGAAACGATAAGCATTAGGCAGTTTTCATCGCAGTCCTGCTACTTTCTGAATGATTCATAGCGTGTACGCCTAGTTTAGCTAATATCCAATTACCCCGTGCATGTATCATGTGAAATTTTAGCCTTCAAATTTAAGAACGGAATGCAGGTGAACCATCACTCCAAACAACATACCCCCAATGAATTTCTTGCTTTAATCACAGTACCTTTTGGTTATGAGCATGGAATGCACAATGCTTAAAGGCGGCCGCTGAAAAAGACATACAGTAATTTTGCGACCAGGTATACGGCAGAGCTAAAAACAATATTCACTTAGCCTCTGCTGTGAAAAAATACGAATAGACTGTGCGTGAAGCAGCATGACTCAAAGAATACTTGCAGTGCATTTGAATGGTTGTCAAATTGCTATTTCTATGACTAATTGATCTTTTAGTGGTTCAGTATACTTGTATTACATAATAATACATGATGGCTCAGAGCCTACTCCATATTCTTGCTTATGCGTCACTTTTTTTTTGTTTCCTGTCAGGCTATCATTATTTGCTGATTATGCACTAAGACAAAGGTCACATCATAGATGTTGTGAAGTTCCAATCAAAGACCGTCGAATAATGAAGTTTGTCTTGCTCAGCCAGTGCGAAGTGCTCTTAATAGTTTGGGCATCATCTACTTCTTCCCTATGCGGACCAAACAAGCAGCACGATTGAAGAAGGCACAGTGCTTACAGTAAGAAGCATTTTACCCATTGTTAGTCTATAATAATACGGCCAACAATTTTAGAATTGAGACAGTTGAGGCTGGTTCGTGGAGGCCCAGTAATCCCTCAACTGCGAAACTACTCGTTCCAGTTATGCGAGGCACATGATGTCACGTGAAAGAGTGTATGAGAACATGAACATCCAATGCCACTCGAGACAGAAAGACACTGCTCTCAAACAAACTGACCCACAGACATTCAAGTGGTATGGGCGAACACCCCATTCTCACCACACTTGGGCTCTTCATTATAGATGAAAACCACTACCCGCCCTCATCGGGGCGTGAGCCAGAATACGACATCATAGGCGGCGGCGGGCCCTATGCCATTGTGGGCGGGCGGATAGCCGCCGGCAGCAAATTGGGACATTGTATTTGTGGCATCATTGACAAGGGCACGGATTTTCCCGCGGGTGTCGAGCGGGACATTGCAGCCTGGAACTCGGGTGCCATTTTCCGCCACACGCCCGGCAGGTTGACGTCTCGGGGCGCCAACATCTATGGGGATGACGGCGTGCGGACTTTTGTGTATAAAACAAGCAAAAAGCGCATTGTGGCAGATGATATTCTAGCCACAGAAGGCTTGCTCGAGCTGCGCAGCTTCCATCTATGCTGCTCAATGGAGCGATGCGAGGAGACGATTGGTGTTTTCATGCGAGAGCGGGCCAAACGTGACGCCGGTCTTGCGAGGCCCAAATTTGTGTTTGAGCCGTTTCCGGCCGTCTGCGTGGCCGAGAACCTCCCGCTATTGCACCGCATGCTCCCGCTAGTGGACGTGTTTACACCCAACTTGGACGAGGCCGCCAGCTTCTTCCAGATGGCTGAGCTTCCGCAAACACCCAAAGATATCGGGGCTTTGGCGCTCCGCTTTTTGGCCAGCAGCCCGGCTGGCGGCGGCGTGGTCCTTCGATGCGGGGCGTTGGGCTGTTTTGTTCAGACCCACCATCTTTCGCTCATGCTCCCGGCGTACCACCAGGATCAGGCTAAAGTGGTGGACGTGACGGGTGGCGGCAACTCCTTTTGCGGTGCCTTCATGACGGCGCTTGAGCTCTCTGGTGACTGGATCACGGCCGCAGTCGTAGGCACCATTGCCAGCGGAATTGTAATCGAGAGATTGGGTATGCCCCTTGTGGATGGCGACGTGTGGAATGGCGTGCTGTTCCACGACCGCCTTGCCCGTTATACGGCCACACACAGCGACGTACTTGCGGGACACGACCTTGGTCCTTTTGACTGGTTTTAGGGCTTTTGGGTACTTGCTCTCCAGAAATAGCGGGGATACTCCGCGTGCGCCGCGGCAGGAGGCAGATCTTGCAAGTATGGAGATCTTGGCCATTCGGGCCATGTTCAGGGCAGCTAGTGTCTACTCGATAGAGCAGAGCTTTGAGAAAGCGCCGTGATACAGGCTTAGTCTTGTGTTGCATCACAGTGCTCGTTATTTCACGCCTGTCCACCAAAAAATAGCGTCCAATAAGGGAGAATGTCAAGGGAGATAGGCACTGAGCAAGCTCAGCCTGCGTTATACCAATTGACTGTGTTTCTGGACGCACGTTTTGTGCTGAACGCGGGTATCGTCGCCTCTCGCCTAGTGAGTGGTTCTGCCACAATGAATAATAGCATTCAGGTTTTTACGTGCATGCCGTAACTGTGCTGCTCAACATGATGAGCTGCTTCTCAGATCCAACGCGTACCGTATCTAGAGGGAAGCCGTTACCGCAGCTTGTTTTGTATTGCTGTGGGAAAGTGCATCCACCCAACATATTAATGCATCGCCAGTAAGATGGTCTCTATTTTGCTCGGCAGAAAGTTCTCACGAGATGCCTACTTCAGAGCATTTTCGACAGGAGAATGGGGATTTCTAAACACTCTCCTTTCTAAACCCAAAGGCTAAACGGCTCACTGCGGAGACCATCGCGACCAGCGCAAATCTATAAAATTCATAAAGTCGGAGACCGAGAGCTCTATCGAGGCTTCAGGCGAAGTGAACGGTCGGCGTTGGACACCAGAGCAGAGACCAACTCATCCTTGTGATACAAGCACCTAAGCAAGTTCAAGTCGTCTGTCCAGGACCGCCATACTTTCCCAAACACGTAAATCAACACACCCAATAAACTAAGAAACAACTGCGCACATCCATAAATAACAAACAAATCTTTTCCTTCCAAAGACGCATATGCATGGTTGTTGAATAAAGAGAACACGAAACCAATGATATTCTTGGCGAAGTTGAACGAGACTAACGCCTCTGCTGCGAACATCTTGTAGCAGTCAATCGTGAATGTGATGGCAGTGGTGGATGCCATCGACGAGCCGAAACTAAGGCAGCCGAAGAATATCACAGGTGCAATCCACGGGTCCGTCACGTAAGCCGACCAGCCGAAGCCCATGAGCCCGATACACGTGAAGAGTGTGGAAGGCACCAACATGATCAAGCGAAACTCCGGCTCGTAGATTCCGTGGTTTCTGCGCACCATGGCCCGGGTGATCTTGTCCCCAAGTATCCCTGCGCAGAGCGAGCCAAGAATGCCACCCACGAACGGTGAGATATAGAAGAGGCCCACTGTTTGTGCCGAGTACCCGTACTCCTCTGCCTGGAAGATCTCAGTGAGAACCTCGGAGATGACAATGAGCCACACCACGGCGAGTGAGTAGACAAGCGAGCCATAAAGAACCGCAGGATACGCGTAGAGAAACATTGGGCGGAGCGCCACCATCCACCACTTGTCGGCAGAGTGCCTGCCTGACACTAGATGGAGCCGATGTGTGAAACTTTGGGGCGGAGCTGTTTGGCCTGCTTGCTCGTTGACGAAGGTGCGCGGGCTTGCGCTGCCTCCCGCGAGAGCTGCCGGCGGATTGCTGGGCCTTATTTTGGGGTCCGCGGCCAGCGCTTGGTGTCCTGCGGCCCCGGCTTGGGAGTCCATGCTTGCTGAGCCCGCCAGCGCGCTATTGGTGTAGGTGTTTTCGTCGGCCAGCCGGCGGAGCGACGTGGAGTCCATGACAGGGATGTGGTCGGGCACGGAGGTGCGGTCCCAGTACGTCTCGGGCACAAACAAGAAAGTGAGAATGAGGATGAGCGCGAGGAACATCAGCTGGATCCAGAAGAGCCAGTGGCGGTCCAAGTGCTGGAATATGAGCGAGGAGAGGAGCGGCAAGATGTTCTTGCCGCCGAGAAGCAAGAGCGTGTAGAGCCCCGTGCGGTATGCGCGCTCGTGCTGGAAGTACATCTCGCTGAGGCTGGCGGAGGCCAAGCTTTCGGTGGGCGAGGAGCCGAATCCCGTGAGAATGCGGCCGGCCATGAGCCCGCCGTAATTGGCGGACGCAGCACATACAATACTGCCCACGAGAAACACAACAATTCCCACGAGGTAGACGAGCCGCTTGCCGTAGAGAATGGCCGTGGGACTGGCGAAAAGCGACCCGAAGCCGAGCGCTAGCATGAAAGCGCCGACGAGATACGAGATGGACGTCAACGGGCGGCCGAATTCGGCCAGCAAGTCGTTGAACCCCGCCGCGAGAATCGGCGTCTGGCCGCCGCCTAGGAAGGTCTGGAAGCCGATGATCAAGAAGCACAAGTCCTTGCGTAGCGTGGGCCAGTTCAACGGGTCGTTCGGGTCGTCCATCGGCTGTGGATGGAGGATGATGCCGCCGGCGTTTTTCTTGAGGTTTCCGGGCGGGCCCGGGGCGCCAGCCGGCGGCGGCTGCGTTTTCTCCGGGGTGCTGATGCCGTCGCTAGGTGCCGGGTTCGGCGCAACGGCGGCGTCGATCATGACGGTCGTGCCCGTGACGATTTCTTCGTCCGGCTGCCGGATTCCGAGCCGGGCCATGTGTACGGGTCTGGCGGAGGCGTCCGTTTGGCACAAACCGGGCGTGGTGGCGGGCTTGGCCAGGATGCAAATCTGTCGGTACTGCCCTGTGGCGGCCAGGGCGGTTGTGAGACACAGACAGCGGGGACAGGAGAATCCGGCGGTGTGTGCAGGCCTGGGTGATGGGTGTGTGCAGGCTCCAGCAGTATTCTGTGGCTTTGGGTATGTGGGTTCTATAATGCTTCTTCAAGTAGTGGGTGAAAGAAGAAGTATGGCTAGTCGTAGTAGTCGCGGCGCAATTAGAGTGTCTAGATGGAAGGCGCAGGCTGGGGCGTGGCGGGCGCTGTGTGCAGGCCACTGTATATACGGTGCCGGGGACTCGAGTGTTTTGGGCTGCTGAGCCGCATGGGGCTTTTCGTGCTGCTAGGGGCAGGCCGGGGTTTGGCTTGAGAAGGACCATGTTTTTTTTTTTGAGTTTCTAGTGGTTCTGCACGTTTGGGGTGGGTCTTGGAGGTGAACGGCTGTCACGCACGGCTGGCAGGTGTGTGCCGGAATCGAAGCGACGAAGGCCCCGAGTAATTATTCGCTACGAGACCAGAATATTAGAAGCACGCAGGTCCGCCACATGTTAGGAGATTTTCCCTCAGTACTAAGTGGGGTTTGGTGACATGGCACTGCATTTCGGAGAAGTGTGTGTGAATATATTCGATGGTGTATTACATAAGATGTGTAGTAACCCGTGATGGTGTTGGCAACATGAAGAGATCAAAAAGTCAAAAAATAAAAAAAAATAAAAAAATAAATAGAGAAATACCCTGCTGTGTGGCTGTTGCTCCCCAGCCCAATCTTCACACAGAGTAGGGCTCTGAAATTGATGTCTCGGATTTGAGAAAAAGGAACCGCAGAGGTTGGGCCTGATATTTTCTGCACCATTCTGCTTCGCTAATCAACTTACATTGGCGAGCCTCGATTCTGAGACTGCTATGTAAATCCATATTGGGATGCATTTTAGTTGATGAAACGACAAGAAAAGTATGTTCTGACTTCCTAAGCTCGAATGTACTGCCACAGACGTTGGCATCTGGAGCCCTGACGCCGCACCCGGAGATGGTGAAAAATCCTCACATATTCTTTTGGTCTACTACAAAAATTGCAACTCCTCTGCACATTTTCTTTTGTTTCGAGAAACATCAAGTGGCTGGAATGCTGCCCCTCTGGTGTTGTCTCAACCGCAGAGCCATTGTTTTCTAGGAAGTGATTGACGAGCACGTAATTTTGTATATCGGCGTTCATTGTTTAAAGTACTGAATCTACAGCCTCAACTTCTTGGCCTTATGAAAATTCTTCCGACCTGTAATCTCCAGACCCCGATACTCGTATTTGTCGGGTCGAGGATAGTTGGCAAGACTTGTAATCCTTAAATACACTGTATATTCTATAATTCAATATCTAAGAACCCTTGGTCTATACCAAGAAAAATATCTAACAATAGTACTTGCCAACACCAAACGCGCTCTATTGTTTGTCTCGAAAAAGAACAATTACGAACGTATGCATACAACTTCTTACATAGACGCGTTACGTGAGGGTGAGGACCCAGAAAACTGCCAGCGATATGGGTCAATTCAAGGAATGAAAAAGACAAGACTATATTTCGAATACAGCCGCATGTCTGTGAAAGGGAAAAGGTTTCAAATTGCATGTACGGCAGACTTCTTGGGACTTAACAATTCATTTGTCTTCTGCACGGTTAGTTATCGATTGTGTTTTACTGGGCCGATGAGCCGAATAATTGGAATATGCAATCCTTGTGAAGCACATTCATGTGAGTTGTTCATCTTCTTGCACGTTTGAGCAAGCAGCGATCCTGAGCATTACTAAAACATCATCTTATATTGATTTGCTGCTGGCAGACTTGGAGCAAAGCCGTGAGAACTTACCACTAATCGCGAAATTGCTTTCTACAATCAAAATCTGGACTCCCATCAGAGTGCACCATAAAGCTGTTTCACTCACCTCAAGATTATTTCTGCTTCTGAAATCAGATTCTGTGATCCTAGCACCGTGTTGCATGGCCATCCATGGTGTTCCAGGAGCTCACACATACAATTTATTGTTTCTGCCTAGGCCAAACGACCATACAGATACAGAATAGCTCTTGAACTTATGTATTACATCAGCTTGGAAACGGACCAGGCAGTCTGTCTTTAACACCGGCTCAGAACAGATGGACAAAACGGAAAGCAATACTCTATGCACAGCCTTTGATGTATCATGGCTTTGATCAAAAATGCTCACCCAAACGCGCCTTTCCTTGCCTACAACAATAATCCAAAACTATGGATATGGTTTCGTTTCCTCCACCGCCTGGGTGCCGAGTTGGCGGTCCTGCACACAGTGGATCGTGCCGATAAGACGCGCCGCCTGCGCGAGACCGGCACCAGTGTTTTCGCATGTGCACGTGACGTGCCGTATCTCTAGATGGCCCAGCACATGCCAGCCATCAAACCTGCCATCTACCGATCCACCGGCTCACCTTCCCCCACCAATTTTCGCACATATATCCAGGAAATGCTCCGAACAGTCCAGAACTACACGGCAGCGTTCTTTCTGCTATTTCGCGCTTTTCTTGCACCCGAGAGCCAGCTTCTGTCGGCTCAGAAATGGGTCTTGGGATTGGTCAATTTGACCTCGGTGATTGTGTTTTGGGTCGGCAGCAGTTTCTTGGTCAACGATCTTTTTGAAACCAACGTCTACCGCAAGCCGTTTTTCATCACGTGGATCAACAACAGCTGCTTTGTGTTTTACCTCGTGCCGTATTTGAGGCAGCACGGCTACTCGGTGCTGGAATTCGCCCGTATCGTTTCACAGGACTACCGGGCTTCTCAATACGACCCCTTAAAAGACGCCGAAAGCGGGCCGCAGCCTTTGCACACCTACGGGGCCTCACGTGACGTTAGTTCGGAAGACTTGACCGCCGAGAGCCTGGCCGTGTTGCCGAAAAAAGGCTCCGATGACGTAGGCATTTGTGAGACGCTCATGCTTTCGTTGCAGTTCGTTGTGCTCTGGTTCTCCGCCAACTTGGTCACCAACGCGTGGCTCTCATACACGTCCGTGGCGCTGCAGACCATTTTGCTGTCGACGCTGTCGTTTTTTACACTTATTTTCGGGTACTTCTACCGCATCGAGAAGATCAACCGCAACAAAATCGCAGGCATCGTGCTCTCGTTTTCGGGGGTGCTTCTAGTCACTAAAATCGACTCTCTGGGATTGGAGGATCTCCCTGAAGACTCCACGCCGTTTTTCGTGCTCTGGGGCAATGCGTTGGCACTTTCCGGGGCGCTCATCTACGGAATCTACACGATTCTCCTCAAGCACAAAATCACAATTCCCGGCACCACGCACGAGCGAACTTTCAACACCCATCTCTTCTTTGGCTTTGTTGGCTTGTACAGCCTCGTGCTCTTGTGGCCGGTCTTGGTGGTGCTTCATTTCACGGGCGTAGAGAAATTCGGGCTCCCCGACAACGCACACGTGATCAAGCTTCTATGTCTTAATGCTTTCATCACATTCATCAGTGACTTCTGCTGGTGCAAGGCAGTCTTGCTCACCAGCCCATTGACTGTAACCGTGGGTCTTTCGCTCACTATTCCGTTGGCCATGATTGGCGACTGGGTGTTCAAAGGCTTCCACGTGCACTTCTGGTACTTGTTTGGTGCACTGATAGTTACGCTTGGTTTTTTTGTGATCAACAAGGACGAGAAGCAGGACTTCACGGAAGATGAAGTTCCGACTTAGTCCATGCAAGAGTCTCGTCAGAATTGGAAATAATCACAGACAATTTATATTTTCTGAAATGGTCATATAGAAGATTCCAGGTGCGGACGTTTGAAATACCCTCTTCAACAGGCCCTTGCTTGATGTCATTGAGATGACTAAATCGTGTGCCTACTTGCATCAGAAAATGGTGGCCTCAGGACAAAGCCCCCATCGAATTCTCCTTCGTGATTCGAAACTAATCTGCATGATTCAATCAGATTGTTTGCTGACTTCTCGATTATGAAGATCTCAGTCTCCAATGCTGCGGCTTGGTCTTGGCCCAGCAGAACACGCATGCCTTATCGAGTGACTATCCAACGTGAATCACAATTGCAGCCATGCAGAGTAAAATTCTCTACCCAACATCACCTACACATTCCATGAACTCCACTAGAAAACAATCTCCCAAATATTACCTAATTCAACATCCCCAACATTATTCAAGGCATGGCACGCTATCATTCCCCGTGATCGGTTTTATTCGCTTTTCTTGTATTGCCCCAGACACTGTCTGTTGTTCAATACCCGGAAAACACAGAAACTGCCAATCAACCGATCAACAATAGCCAAAACTCAAACCACTCAAATTATCAAACCCAGAATTTCGCAATAGTTCTTGGCCAATGCCACTCATTTCTGGAACTATCATCAACTTAGGGACTGCTAGGTGAAGACTTTACTAAGTTTGTGCACTATTTATCAATTTCGGCCCACTACTGGATCACTTCTAGATAGTATAGTGCTGGCTTCATATAACTACATGTCGGATTGTCATATTCAGAACGCGAGGACCAGCTAAGTATATATCAGAAAACAATTTTGACTAAATAAAGATAACATGACATCGTTTGTTATACATCTAAGCGAGCCCCCACGATAATCGCCCACGCCGGTGGCCTCACACCCGGACACCAAGCCTCATACTTGACCTATGCTAGTATATGTTGAGGTTCGCAGTAGCCCCAAGTGCTTGTATTTCTGCTTTAGTACAGAATATTCTAAGTCTATTGTCCTGTCCACAAGCATTTCCCAACTGGTACAATTGAGATATCGGAGGCGACATGACGTACTAACGTGTGGAAATAACCCTTTATTAAGGGTAAAACAAAACCAAATTAGTTCTGACTGATCATCTAAAAAGATCTTTGGAGGGAAATCTCTACCCTTATACTCATCACGCTATTCGGTTTCCAGGTATGTGATACGACCCTGAACGCCTCCTTTTGTCACATTAACATTAGGTTTGAGAGTCTAGTTCTCACATTAAGGGAATATCCCGTCCAGGATACTGCATCCGGTGCGAAGCCATCTCTATGGTGCAGCTAATATAAAGGACCTCCAGGTTTTCTCCTTTGTTGGTTTGTCCTATCTAGACCAGCATATCTACCTTTAATCGTTCCTAGATCACATGAATGAATCTACTACCGAAGAGGACTCTTTCTGAGACCCTCTTCAGGACCAGTACTGCTATGCTTCTCATAATGACATAGAAGTCGGGTCTAATCCTATCCTTTCTTCAGCGGACCTCACAACTAGTTATGTCCTTACTTCCAAACCTTCTGTGTATAATAGGTTGAGTCCATATACACAGAGAAGGACCGTCCACGGCATTGTCACTGGTACACAAACTGCGTGCAGTTTCACCCCTTGCCTAGAGAAAAATTTTGCTCCAACAGTATAACATTCATCTTCATCAAGTCAAAGAGACCATGAGTAATCCTGACGAAGTATGTAGCTTTATACTCTCTATTCGCCATGCACGTTTTGAGCTGAAACTAACCTTTCCCTTAGATCAGAAACAAGAGATCGGCACGGGTTGCGCAGTCATCTGCCAACTCACCTTCCTCAGGGCCTTCGGCCTCCCCGAAACAACCAAAATTGGATTCTCAGCAACAACAGGCGCCTGCTAAGGTATCGAAACCGTCACCACTGGGATCTTCGGAAAAAATGGTTCCTACCACTGGAAAAGTCGATGTGAAAGCCACAGAGCTGACCCAAGCATCCTCTAATAAAGTCTCCCCAGAAATAGCCATGGACAAGTGGTTGAGAACTGAGGTTCTCAGTATGTTTGGAGTTGGCTTTGATAATGGTGCCAACAATTTCAGGTCATTGGGCATGTCGGAGGTCGTAGATCCCACATGTGCTGAAGCGATTTTCGTGGAAATCCTCACAGTACTAGGCACACCTAACGCCCAGTTGCCTTATTTGTACTTGTTCGAAGTGTACAATAAGGCGTTTGCGCTGCGCAGAACGCTCCTGAAAAAGTCAGCTGACTACGAGACGAAACTCGGGTTTTTGACTGCTGTCTCTTCATACTGTGCCGCGTATGGCCTCATCTGTTTCCAAGTGCCTAAGATGATTCTCGGCAACAATGTGCCCGACACTGTCTCAGCTCTTATTTCAAGGCAAGACTTGCACACGCTTTTGGCGGATATAATAGTCAAAGCGGTCAAAGAAGATGCGGTGTTGGACGTCACAAACGCCATTTTCCCGGAGTTGAATGAGCTCCTTTGCGACATCAACATACACTATCCCGAGTACACGCAATGCCTCACGCTCTGGGAGACATTAGTATCTATGAAACCCGTATGTGCCAGCTTCTCACAGATCGACTCGTTCAGCCCAGCAGATGCCACTAGTGGCTTTGATTTCGAGCGCGGGGCCCTGCTTGGCTCCTTGTTAAAGTTGTCTCATCTAAACTTTGATGTGGGCCTCTGGTACTATACGAGAGGTCCGAAAATCGCACACTTGACCATCCAAAATGAGTATAAAGCCTTGGCTGAGCGTTTGTGGTTCATCATAGACAAGCTCATTCGAGGCTCGCCCCAGACGAGACAGGCAATCATGAAGTGGTTTGCTGATTTGGCGAATGTCTCACACTCGAGGATCAGATCTTATGCAGACACCACGAACTTGATCAGTGACGGCTTCATGTTCAACATATCCTACATGTTGGTCCGATTGAGTTTAACTTTTCTCAATTTCCCTACGTACTCGAAGCTTGACAAAATCGACCCTTACTTTTTCGGAGGCAAGAACAAATTATTGGACGTCAAAGAGATGCCCCGGGTATATGCCTCATCTACGGAAGCCGGAGAGTTTTATAAAGATGCCATGGACGAGGAATCCAATTTCATTTCAGACTGCTTTTACCTCACACTCACCTATCTTCAGTACGGCATCGGTAGCGTGATCTCTACCTGCAACAAATTGAAACCCGAACATCGCTCGTACACACAACAGGTGAAACTCAAATACAGACCGAGTCGAGCCAACCATGGCGCTATTAGTTACTATACCGAATTTTACCCATGGATTATTGTGGCGTTTTTTCGAATAGAGGACTCAATTTGGAAATTTTTGATTTTGTGGTTGGCTCGGCACAGTTCTTTTTGATAACCATCGACCCCGAAAACAAGCATCCCTCACCAAAGATCTTTATCCCAACTTTTCAAGTCGAGAAGACGAACCAACTTGACGACAACGAGTTTTTGAAAAGCCAATCGCCAGTTCCGTGGAAGTTCATGCCAGAGTCTTGTTTGGAAGGTGTAATAAGCTATTGCGCCTTCGTTTCTCGGTTTGATATGAACCCCTTGACGAAGAACGACGAAAAGCTCTCGATTGTTGCGGAGTTTTTTGTAGCCTTGTTGCGCTGTCCTGAGTTGATCGGAAACCCACACTTAAAAGGATCGATTGTCGAAATGATATTCCATGGTACCATTCGCTCTGAATTTGGTGAGCCGGGGTACTTGTCCAATCTTTTTTATAACAACACAGTTGTGAAGAACAATATCCTATACTCACTCTTGGACATCTACGTTATCATTGAGAAGACAGCCTCTTCTCAGTTCTACGGCAAATTTAACAGCAGAATCTACATTTCCAAGATCATCGAAGAGCTTTGGGAGGATTCATTCTACAAAAAGCAATTGAGCGACTACGCCAAGAACAAAATTGAGTTTTTCATTCGTTTCATAGCACGGATGTTGAACGACACGACATACTTATTTGACGAGGCCTTCAATGAGTTTAGCAATATTCACAAACTTCAGGTCAAGATGAGGAAACGAAGGTCTGATTGCGAAAGTGACGAGGAGGTATTTGGGACCAGGAGAGAACTTTGGAATGAGTTGCAGTCTGCAGAGAAGAATGTCAAGTCTTATATGGGACTCGCAAACCAGACTATGACGCTTTTCAAGTTGTTCACGGAGCAGGTACCCGAAGGGTTTACAATACCCGAGCTTGTTGACCGTTTGGCAGGCATGTTGAATTACAATTTGAGCTTGATGGTGAGCCCCAAGCGTTTCAAACTCAAAGTGAAGTCGCCTGAGAACTACGAGTTCCATCCGAGAAGATTCTTTCCGATATTTGCCATATCTATTGCAATTTGAGTAGACAAGCTGAATTTGTACAGGCAGTGGCTAAGGACGGGAGATCGTTTGACGTCCGTTTATTTGGCAGAGCAAAAAAGATTTTGTTGAAGAGGACAGGGGCTACACGAGGGAGGATTCACCGGTTTTATACCTTGGGCGCGGCTGCTGAGAAAGAGAGACTCTCGATCGAGAGACAAGATGAGGAAATGGGCGAGATTCCTGATGAGTTCCTTGACCCGCTCATGTATACGCTCATGGAAGACCCAGTGATTCTTCCAGGCTCGAGGATTACCATGGACCGATCGACCATCAAGGCGCATTTTCTGTGTGACTCAATGGACCCGTTCAACAGGATGCCGGCGGACGCTAGAAGATGTGATTGACGACGTGGAAATGAAGCAGAAGATTCACGATTTCAAGCTCGGAAAAAGAAATGTGTGAGGCCCGTGGTGTCATGGCGAGGGATGTATTGGCCACAGGCAAGCAGCTCTACGGAAGAAAGGCGAAACAAAAGAGGGAGTTGGATAGCTATATTAATACCATGATATCATGTAAGTTTCAGCCTTGAGGGCGTAGACCTTCTTTGGGAAGGCGACTTGTTGCTTTCTGACCTTGACGGTCACTCTAGCAGCATCCTCTTTGGACAAGGCCCTTTTCAAAGCTCTGGTCTTCTTGGCTTTCAAGTCCTTTGGGAGCGATTTCTTACCAGCGTACAATCCTCTGACGCTTTGTCTTTGGTTGACGTTGATGACAGTCAAATTCTGGCGATGTTTCTTTTGACAACGGTGATTTGTGGGCCAGCCTTGGTGACCTTTTGGACCTTCAAAGAGGCCAACTCTTGCTTCAACTCAAGCAATTGTTGGTTCAATTGTTCCTCGGACTTGGATCTCAACTCAGGAACTTTAACGACAGCCTATGTTTGTTAGTATTCGAGGCGGGTGTTTTTCTCGCATCTACGTCTGATCAGTTTTGGTCACGTTGTCCGAACTAGGAAGGAAGGGCATGAATATGGCAAATAATGGGCTCTGGGTACGGGTATTTCTGTTCACAAACCAGAATAGCACAAAATATGCTTCGAAGACGTGGTCTTTCGACGCTATCTTGTGTGTTCTATATCCGAGCAATATTGGAGCCTGGCATTTATTGCAAAGACTCAACGCATACACAGAAGGGCTATTAAGCATTTGTATGAAAATATATATAAACTTTTAGAAATCATACGGTTCATTGGAAATGTGCATAATAAGTGGATCAACAATATTCGCGTGTGTGATTTAAAGATGTTTTTGTACAAGGGCAACAACAGACCACATATTCTAATTTATAGCCTCAGTCGCTTAATTTGAAATCTGAAGAAAGTACAATTTAAGATCTGAAGACTGTATATTTCAAGATCTGAAGCATGTATAATTTAAGATTTGACGAGTGTATAATTTATGACCTGAAAATCCTCAGAAGCCTGGTAGCATGGCCTGGCCTGTGTTGATTACTAAGTGAGCTCGATAACACTGGCTTGTTTCAAATTCTAATTGAAGAAGTATGCTTCAGCGATTTTGCATCATGGCTTCCCAATGCGGCAACTCCTATAGTGAGATGCGCGCAGCCTATATACAAAATTAGTATACACCTCCATAGGTCTTGTTGCACCCGTTTTATCCCGACATTCTCGTTCCATTCTTATTTCAGCGCTACACTAAAAATAATTTAGACGGATCTTGACTCGTTTTGCCTCATAATAATCGCGATGAAAGTGGTCTTCTTTTTTCTTTTCCTCGCGTATATTCTAAGGACACACGCGTTTTCGGCGCAAGAAGAACTAGCGGTCCGGGCCCTCCATTCGCCGGACTTCATAGTCCCTGTAGAAAACTCAAACTTGACATTGCTATCGCAGCCCCAAAGAGGCCATTTCACTCTTATACTAATAACATCCACAAGCGAGCAGCATGGATGTGAAAGCTGCCATGCCATACGGAAAGTGCTTGGAAAAGTAGCCCAGGCATGGACCGCAGATTACTTGCATCTGGGGTACCTCTACTTTGCTGAAATCGATCTCGTGGACCGAGGAAACTCAGAAGTTTTCAATTTCCTCGGTTTGAAAACCGTGCCCCAGCTTTGGCTTGTACCGCCACTGAGCGTTGCATCCAAACATACGCTGCAGAGGCAACCGAAAATCGACGAATACGGGCTTGAGTATTTTGACAACTTCGATATTTTGCTAGAACCACATGCTGAGTTCAAGCTTCCGGAGGCAGCTTTTGATGACCAAGTCTTTGCGATGGCCGACTGGTTGGCAAAGGCTGTTCAAAAACGTATCACTATCAGACAGGAAAACGCATCCACGAAGTTCATAGCGACGTTTCTCGCGACGTTCTTGGGGATCTTAATCATCAAAAAACGTGGCCCGTCGCTCATAACGCAAACGGTGTCCAAGAAGAGAATCTACAAGTTGGCTTTCTTTGCATTCATCCTCGTGCTTCTTGGAGGGTTCCTGTTTTCCCTCATGTTGAAAGTGCCCTTCATTGCCAAGAATGATAACAATGAGCCCATATATATTAGCGGCGGCACGCTGTGGCAATTTGGTGTCGAGATGGTCTTGGTGGGTGGGACTTATGGTCTTTTAGGTGCCACGCTCATTATGCTCGTATACCTAGGATCATACGAGATAGGCGAAACAAGCATGATCCAGAGCGAGTCTCAGCATGGGCTTCTAGTGCTTTTTGTCGCTGGAATGCTCTACTTTCTTTACAGCGTCTTGACAAGCATGTACTTGCGCAAGGACGAGTGGTACCCCTACTATTTTGCAAGGCTCTTCTAGGCTATTTTGGGCGTATTCTTGCTGAGTTTTAAGAGAAGCATACGGAGACTGTGTGTCCTACAGCATAAGGCTCCTAGAAAATAGTGCCGTGAGTATATTGGGATAAGCCATTTCAATTAGACCAGGCTTGATCGTCATGGGCCAGAACCCACTTTATTGCATATATTTGAACTCTTGGTGAAAGGGTGGCAAAGGAATGTGTGACATGTACATCAAAAGTGGAATGGGCTGGCTCACACAAGGGATTAGAAAGAGTAACGAGTATGGATAGCAATGCCTGTTTGGCGATATCCATCACCACGAAAACCTCGGATCCAGGATCAGATAAAAGGTAATTTATACTTTTGAAACTTCGAAATTTTAATCAGGTTTGTGCTGGTGGGAAAAATGGTTAAAACTACGCCAAGCCCTCTTGCGGCAATTGGACAACTGCCCAATACTGCTAGATAGGCACTCATAGGCAATGACTTTCGATTCTCATCAAACAAGGGCGCCTCGAGTGAACCACGAAATCTTGTACCCACGCTATCTGGCCATGTCGAAACCCACTCAATTTTTTTAGAAACAAAAGTCATAAAAGCATAACCAAGAAACGGACAACCTTTTCAAGCAATGGCTCTGGGTACTGAATTTCGAGGGCCAGGTTTAGGAACGCGCGACGCGTGGAAGAGAAAAAAAACGCCTATAATTTATTCAAGTAAGACCGACGTCTCCATCCCATGCCATGGCACAAGTGAAGCGGAAACATGATCTGAAGACAACAGCCTCCGCTAAAAAGGCGAAACTGATTACAGACTTTTTCCCTTCCATTCAAAACAAGCACATACCAAAAGTATTGGCGCGAGAAAAAGGTGCAATTGCCGCAAAAGCTGAGCCAAAAATTGAAGCATTACCCGATGGACTACCTGGGGCAGTGGAGGCAAAAAATGTATTTGGAATTGGAGGCGATATTTGCGATCAAGCTGAAGTTGTCCAACAGGCCACAAGCTTTTCTGGTGAATCTTCCGTCATTGTCAAAATAGACGAGAAGAACGACACAGCTGGACATGTCGATGGCCCTGGCTTCTCTGACCCCTTGACCAGATCAGACGCGGAATATGTTAACTTTTGTTCCAGGCACAACTTTGACAAAAATGAATGGATTGCTGGGCTCACGGCAGAGGAGCGTGGTCTTCTCCAGCTTGAAATCGAACACTTACACGTGACGTGGCTAGCCCTTTTACACAAGGAACTCATCAAACCATACTTCATTTGCTTGAAGCAGTTTCTTCATTCCCAGAAAGGGAAGACTATCTTTCCGCCACCAAAAGACATATACTCCTGGTCTCATTATACGCCGCTTCCTGAAGTGAAGTGTCTAGTCTTAGGGCAGGACCCGTATCACAATTTCAACCAGGCCCACGGGTTGGCGTTTCTGGTTTTGGAGCCTACGCGTCCACCCCCATCACTCCTTAATATTTACAAGGCGCTAAAACTCGACTTTCCCGATTTCGTGGCCCCGGACTACAAGAAGCTCTTAAAGGAGGGCAAGCCAGGTGGTGGAAATTTGACGAAATGGGCTAAGAGGGGAGTGCTCATGTTGAATGCTTGTCTTACTGTGGAGGCTCACAAAGCAAACAGTCATGCCAACCGCGGCTGGGAGCAGTTTACAGAAAAAGTGATCGAGACGGCGATCACCTACGCAAGAGAGAATAAGAAGCAGGGCCTTGTCATCATGGCCTGGGGGACCCCCGCCCAAAAACGGGTGGCCAAATTTTCTCTACAGTTGTCCAAAAAAGAGGTGCCGTTCTTGGTTTTGAAATCGGTGCATCCATCCCCCTTGTCTGCTAGCCGGGGTTTTTTCGATCTGCATGTATTCGAAAAATGCAACCGCTGGTTGAAGGAACAAGGAAGAGAGCCAATAAACTGGGGGTTGGTTGAGATGAACAACGTTTGTTAATGACTTGGGATGATACTGGACACGGAGGATGGCTATGTAAAATGAGAACAGTTTTTTTCTGCTGCAATGCTTCGATTTCTACCTTGCCTGTTTATTCCCATGTATGAATTTACTATATGAATTTATTATAATTCTCATTAGTACCATGTCTGGACTTTGACCATAGCTGCTACTCCTCGCTCACTACAATTTCTGAGATATTTTCGTACCCTGGATATCACCGTGACCGGATGTCAACCATGACCAGTTTAGGACAATTTTTTGCCATGGCCGTATCCCATTTATCATCTTTGTTTAGTTACTGACATTCCCCATCCATTGAAGTTCCCAATTTCTGAGAAGCAGAGAGATGTACAATACAGATACTCATAAGTCCTCGACCAAAAGCAAGAAGCGCAAAGTCCAATTCTGCCACAGCGTCCCGGTCAACTATGCCTTGGCGTCAGTCAGCAAAAATACTCATGAAAAGCATTATATTTGAAGGAAAATGGTTGACGCCGTGTGAATTAAATAGACTCGTCATTCTTTGATTTCTTTAAACACTGCCACAAGAGACATCAAGGTCATTTTTGCAACGAGGTTTTTAACAAAAACGGCACAGGTACTCCTCGCAGCCATCTCTAGAACAACGGTGAAAGAGGCACATGTCGGCGAAAGGAGGTCAAATTTTCCAAACCCATGAAACCCTTTGGCTCGACAATATTTTGGTGAATGATAATCTCGAGCTGCGTCGCCCCCACAATCTCAGAGGTATACTCGAAGACATGGCGAGTCGTCAAGTTTGGTACCTTGAACTCTCCCCAACATCGAGTTGAGGCGGATACTACAGGTGTCTGGTGATTGCCATGGTGACAAAACGTGAACAAATGTGCCAAGAGGACCACCTGACCGTGGTAAACAGAACGAGATGGGCCGCAGAACACTAGCCATATATAGGAGTTGAAAGGATGCGTGTAATGTTTCATGGATTTGTTTGTGTGATCGGAAGAAAGTTCCAAACTGGATCATACATCGTCGTTTTCTATCACCATGTTCTGTCTCGGCTCGTTCACCAGTGTGAGTTATTACGAGTTCGTATGCGTCACCCTGCCCCATGCATTACTACCTATATCGCCATGACCACCAGATACCTTTGGATTTGTTAGCATTCACGGCGTTCTACCAGATAAAGCCCCAATCTATCCATGGGCATCTTTCATTCGGACCCACTTATCATCAAGCCCGTCTACTACCATCTCCTACCATGGCCCATTTCCTACCATGGCCCATCTCCTACCACCCATGTACAATGGCCTGTTCATCAGTATATCAAAATGACCAAAAATTGCCATGTCCTGTGTATCCCCTCGGAAAGCATTTGCAGCCACTACCTTCCTCCATCCACATGCCAGTGTCTACTTTGTCCCATTCATCGTGCGCTTCTCGATGCGCCTCAAACCAGCCGCACCCATAGAGGCAGTAATACAGCATGACCAAAGACCAAACAAAAATAATACAGCATGACCAAAGACCAAACAAAAAAAAAGCAAAGTCGCAAAAAGGGCCCGGGCGTCCACAGCATGGACATGCTCAAACAGCCATACAGACAAAAATAAAAAAGAAAAAAAACAACAACAAAACAAACAAACAAACCCAGGCCATCCCGTATATGGCCCCAGCCTCCGGCCGCACCATCGGGCCCCATGCGCTCCAGAAGCCGGTCGCACTGCTCGCGCATTATGTCCCCGAAACCCAGCATGCCTCCAACTCCTAGCTCTTCTTCTGGGAAAAAAAAAAAACACACACCCTGCCCACCAGCACCGGCCAGTCTCTCGCTCGCACTCTGGCGTCATCTCGGCAAGCACGGGACCCCGCCGAAAAACACGGCCCACCAAAGCAAAACCACAGCAAAGCCTGCACACCATGCCCCGAAAACCCACCGCTCCAGGCGCTTCTGCCAGTGGCACAAACACAGCGCCTGCGCCGGCAAACCCCCGCATTGAACTGCCCGCGGACCGGATCAACAGGTACCTCCTCAACTGCGACCCCAAGGCGGCCCGCGACAACGACGTGGACGACTCCACGGTGCGCTTCAAGTACCTCCTCGGACTCACGGACTTGTTCCGCCATTTCATCGACATCAACATGTCCAAGGACGCGCGGTTCCGGCAGTTGATCCGGCAGATCGACGGGCAGACCAACTTCGTGGCGGCGAAGAAAAAGGCGCCGCGCGGGCGGCGCAAGACCGAGAAGGAGGAGGACGCAGAGCTCTTGGACGGCGAGCAGCACATGGGCGACGCGGACCAGCAGCGCACGGTGCTCACGGCGTCGCCCGGCTTCATCCAGGGCGGCGAGCTCCGCGAGTACCAGGTGCAGGGCTTGAACTGGCTCATTTCGTTGCACGAGAACAGGCTCTCCGGGATCTTGGCGGACGAAATGGGCCTCGGCAAGACGCTCCAGACCATCGCGTTCCTCGGCTACTTGCGGCACGTGCGGCACGTGGACGGCCCGTTCATCGTGGTGGTGCCCAAGAGCACGCTCAACAACTGGATGCGCGAGTTCCAGAAATGGACGCCCGAGGTGGACGTGGTGGTGCTCCAGGGCGACAAGGACGCGCGGGCCGACGTGATCCGCACGCGGCTCCTCACCGCGCGGTTCGACGTGCTTGTCACGTCGTTCGAAATGGTCATCCGCGAGAAGGCGCAGCTCAAGAAGTTGCGCTGGCAGTACATCGTGGTGGACGAGGCGCACCGCATCAAGAACGAGGCGTCGGCGCTCTCGCAGATCATCCGGCTCTTCTACTCCAAGAACCGGCTCTTGATCACGGGCACGCCGTTGCAGAACAACTTGCACGAGCTCTGGGCGTTGTTGAACTTCTTGCTCCCGGACGTGTTTGGCGACGCGGACGTGTTTGACCAGTGGTTTGACGGCCAGGCGCAGGGCGGCCAGGACCAGGAGCAGGTGGTGCAGCAGCTCCACAAGGTGCTCAGCCCGTTCCTCTTGCGCCGCGTCAAGGCCGACGTCGAGACCAGCTTGCTCCCCAAGATCGAGACCAACGTGTACATCGGCATGTCGGACATGCAGCTCGCGTGGTACCGCAAGCTCTTGGCCAAGGACATCGACGCGGTCAACGGCGCGGTGGGCCGGCGCGAGGGCAAGACGCGCTTGTTGAACATCGTCATGCAGTTGCGCAAGTGCTGCAACCACCCGTACCTATTCGACGGCGCCGAGCCGGGCCCGCCGTTCACCACGGACGAGCACTTGGTGGCCAACGCGGGCAAGATGATCATCCTCGACAAGATGCTCCGCAAGTTCAAGGCCCAGGGCTCGCGCGTGTTGATCTTCTCGCAGATGTCGCGCTTGCTCGACATCTTGGAGGACTACTGCTTCTTGCGCGACTACGAGTACTGCCGCATCGACGGCTCCACGTCGCACGAGGACCGCATTGCGGCCATCGACGACTACAACGACCCGCACTCGTCCAAGTTCATCTTCTTGCTCACCACGCGGGCCGGCGGCTTGGGCATCAACTTGACCTCCGCGGACATCGTCATCTTGTACGACCTGGACTGGAACCCGCAGGCCGACTTGCAGGCCATGGACCGCGCCCATCGCATCGGCCAGAAGAAGCAGGTGCAGGTGTTTCGCTTCGTCACCGAGAACGCCATTGAGGAGAAGGTGCTCGACCGCGCCGCGCAGAAGTTGCGCTTGGACCAGTTGGTCATCCAGCAGGGCCGCCAGGCCACCTCCAGCATCGGCAACTCCAACTCCGACTTGTTGGGCATGATCCAGCACGGCGCCAAGGCCGTGTTCGAGGCCGCCAACACCTCGTCCATGTTCGACGACGACATCGACGCCATCCTCGCCAAGGGCCGCGAAAAGACCGCCAAGCTCAACGCCAAGTTCAACAAGCTCGGCCTCGACGACTTGCAGAACTTCACCTCCGACAACTCCGTGTACGAGTGGAATGGCCAGAACTTTGCCAAGAAGGACAATGCGTCCTTGGGACTCACCTGGATCCACCCCGCCAAGAGAGAGCGCAAGGAGCAGACATATTCTGTCGACAACTACTACAAAGACATGTTGAAGGCGCCCATCTCCCACGCGAAAGCCACGCCGCCGGTCAAGGTCAAGCAGCCCAAGATCTATCACCCGCAGGACCATCAGTTCTTCGCCAAGGACTTGGTCGAGCTCTTGAAACGAGAGCAGCTCGCCTACAAAAAGGCTGTGGGCTATGCCTACTCTCTTGACGACTTTGGAGACAGCGATGAGGACTTTTTGAACTCTTCCGACGAGCGAGACGATGTGCCCCGTGATATTCGGCTCAGAGAAGAACAAGAGAAGATCGAAAGTGCCCAGCCCTTGACAGAGGACGAGCTTGAGTTGAAGGAGAAGCTCTTGCTGGAGAGCTTTGCTTCGTGGTCAAGACGTGATTTCACCAACTTCATCCACGCCTTGGCCAAGCACGGCAGGAACGCCTATGACGAGGTTGCTGAGGCACTCGGGAGAGATGTGCAAGAGGTCGAAAGATACACCAAAAAGTTTTGGGAGCTGAACCATGAGATCGAAGGTCATGAAAAGTACGTGGCTCAGATCGAGGCCAGTGAGCGCAAGGCTGCTAAACTCCACAATCAACAAAAGTTGTTGGCCGTCAAGATCGAGGAGCTGGAAGACCCCCTTGAAGACCTCAAGATCCAGTACCCTCCTAACAACTCCAAAAGAGTGTTCTCAAAACTCGAAGATCGATTCATATTATGTTGTGTCTACAAATATGGATTATTCGCTGATCGATTGGGCGAAAAAATCAAGCAGGAAATTTTGCAGAGCGAGTTATTTAAATTCGATTGGTACATCACCTCTAGAACGCCACAGGAAATCAGTCGACGCATCAGTACATTGTTGCTCTCGCTTGCTCGGGAAAGTGAGGGGCCTGGTGGTCGAAAGAGAGGGAAAGCTTTGAACAGCAGCCTTCAGACAGGCTCCATCGAGCCAAGCACCAAAGAAAACTCGCCACTTCCTGGCGCCGGCTCCCAAAATGAGATGTTAGAGACAGAAGAAGGTATTCCTGAAAGGAAAAAGTTAAAAACCGAGTAAACGCTTTTCTTTCATTCGGCTTGTATTTCGTTCGTCCATCAAATGTTTCTTAGCTACAGTCTTTCCCAGGTCAAGTGAATAATTATTAAAGCTTACATACAATATCTGTCAACGAATCCACATCTCGCTCTTGCCATCGCTCAAACACAACCACTTAAAGCACATTACAAGTATTCTTTTAATATCTCTGATTTGACGGTGGAAATGTAGTATGGAACCTTGTTCGCTGTCCAGCTCACAGAACAGTAGTCACTCATTTCAAAACGCTCGACCTGGAGATAGTCAAAAATGCTCTTCTCACCACTGGATTTGTACCTCGGCTGAATAAAGTTTTTCAAGCTGATGATTTTCGATCCCGGCTTCATTCCGTAAAGAAGCTTACCCACTTCATCATTCAACGCAAATTCAAACAAGTAGTTGTTCACAAGAACAACGTCAGATTCGATACACTCTTTTCGAACCTTCTCATTCTTCACAAAACTTTGATCTAAGGCAAAAGAAAGGTTCATTGCTTTCAACCCAAAAAGAAGAATCTGCTTCCTCATAAAGATTTCTTGCTCCCGAGCGAGACGAGAGGCGTGATCCATTATTTCACATCCACCACTCTTCTCTGCCCCAAACTCAAGAGCAGCTTGCAAAGTAGTATTCCCTACTCCACAACCTAGGTCGTAGAATTTTTTGTCAGGCTTGTAATTAATCTTGGTCAAAACTTCACTGACAAATGAAGGAAGAAGCTCACCATACACCTCGGCAGAGAACGCCTTGTAAGACCTGAGCTTCCTTGAGCTTGGAGAAACGATTCTGGTATATGCCCTCATGAGCAATTGGTGAGAGCAATACCTTGAAATATCGGTCTTGTTGGCAAGCAGATCGATAAAAGCTACTGAATATGCCATGGGCCGCATATGTCGATACCGCGAAACAAATACTTCTGGTAAATGGCTTTGGTGACCACCAATAACCGGCAGCTTAAGAGTTAAGCTCATTTTCCTTTGAAACATATTAGCTGGTGACTGATTGCCATTCTTGCGAGCTTTTTCGCCTGCATGAAGAACCTCTGTGTAGAAAGTTTGAATTTTCGATTCTTTTATGTCATGACAAAATGCATAAGACTTTGGGAGGTACACTCGTAAGCTTCCGTTTATGTCAATCTTTGGGTCAATTTCAATCGGATATGGGGAAAGCTCCAACATCAATGCGTTCCATTTGTCAATGATATACATGAATTTCAGAAAGTCATTGCCATCAACGGCCAGTATCATGCTTTGGCAAAAATCATCATAAATTATATTCTTCAATTTTGGAGAATACGAAAAGAACAATCCATAGTGAATTTGAAAGACCTTGATGATCTCTCGAATAGGATCAAGTTGGTTGCTTTTCGGTTCAGCCAAGATGTATTGTTCAGTGTGCTGCGGATAAAGAAGATAGCGAATGTGTATAATGTTTCTTGGGTTTATTGTCATTTCACCTGCCGCGTTTTGGATCTGGAAAGGTGGAAAAGTATCGGGGAGAGACTTGTAGCAATTATCATGCTCTCTGATGATATTAGCAGCCAAAGTATTATTGATGGGAACCAGCTTTCCGGGCTGAAGAATTTCCAGGACATCAGAACTGAATTCGATGCGCGAAGGAAAAAGTATTCGAGATGAAATAGCTTCGTTGAATAAGACCCGGTTCTCGAAAGTCACTGACGTGTCATGATTGATATCAGTCGGATCATATGGGCTTATCTCTTCGAGGTCTGAAGGGTTCTCAGTTTCCATGACGTTCTTAAACTTCTCCATCGATTCCTTTTCCGCTTCGCTATCTTCAGTCATGGGGGTTTCAGACATAAGCCTGTCTGGTTTACACTTGCTTTTGTTTTTCTTTTGCTCCATGAGTTGCTTCTGTGCCGTTTTCAACTTCTGCCTGTCTTTGAACTCCGGCACCAAATGCATGACGGGAGTACGTTTCCTTTTCTCGCCTGTCAGAACAGTATGGCCATCCCCACAAATACTTTGGAACCATTCTGCCTCCTCAACAAGCTTTTCAATTTTGCCCTTCTCGCCACTTCGGGATTTTGTTTTGGAACGGGTTCGTATAGGAGGTGCTTTGTGCTGTAATTTTTTTCGTTCTTTCTCTTCAAGGTTTCTCCTTCTGGTCTCTTTCCGTTTCAATGTAATCAATTCGTTGGTTCGAATTTTTTCCTGTGTTTCGGGGCCATTCACGGGCTTCTTTTGTTCCTTCGCCTTGAGGGCCTTTTCCCGTAGGTCGCTGAATTCCACGTCGGTCCTTGTCAGTCTTCTACGGCTCCCCCGTGCAGAATCCTCCGCCATTGATGAGTACCATTGTGCTTCATAAATGAGTCGTTCGAGATGGCTGGAGAATTTCTTTTGCCTCGAGTGCACAGACTCCAATTCTGTTCTCTTTTGCAGAATTTCGCGCCAAGAGCGGAATAGAAGCTCCGATTGGCATTGTTTATCGGTCAATTCACCCTGCAAGCTCAAGCGCAAGATCTCGTTTTCGGGTTTGGTGAAGGGAATGGATTCGCTTCCGCCGCGGTCTTCGATCGTGGTTTGTATGTCCTTGATGAGCTTCGACAAGGACTCGTTGTGGGCAGCCTCTTTGATGCCAGTATCAGTCAAGTCAGATCTGATGATCAGGTCTATTATCTTCTCGTACTCGGTGTTCTTCGGCTCTACCTTCAGTATGTTGAACTTGTTCTTCAAGGTCAAGGCCTTCTGGCGCACGACGCCGATACGCCTGAACGGAAGGTTGGTCTTCAAATCCTCGGGGCCAAGCCCCTTTCGGAGGCCATCGCAGATGGAGTCGACCTCAGCACGCGTGAATCGCATTCTATGTGGGAAGTTGGACGCGACCAACGTTCGGAGCTCTTCCAGAGAGTATCCGGGGAGAAAAGGAGAGATTTCGGTGTAGGTGAGCATCTGGTTCTGGGCCGCAAGCTCAAACGCACAGATGATCGGGCACGCGAGTCCGTTGCGCTTGGCGCCGTAGATCTCCTCCAAGTGCATAATCCGGGCGTGGATGGACTTCCGGTCACGAGCAAAACACTCTTCTTCGAGCATGGCGAAGTTGATGGGCTCGGCCCGGTGCCATTCCAGCACAACCAACTGGAGTTCCGGCCACGTGAGCTCCTCCGGAATGGGCATGTTTTCGACCGCGGCGCAGATTTCTGCCCACGTGCGGTCAGGGAACGCAGCAGCCACGGCCGTTTTACGAAAGTCCGTCTTGGTCATTGGCGTGAGCCGGGCAATGAGCGCATTACGTTCCGTATCCAAGACTGGCGACACGGTGCCAGCACTGCGAGGTGTGATGAGGCCGTCCTCCAGAAGTCTTTCCTCGGACATCGTCTCCTTTTTAACGCGGGTCTTCCTCGGGGTTTTTTGTGGGGCCAAAGACATACGTCTCAACGGGGGTGTGATTTGTGAACGTGATTCGTGGGCGTGATTCGTGGGCGTGATTTATGGAGGGGGTGAGTCGTGGAGCGGGGGGGTTGTTGTTGTTTTTCTGCTCGGGACCAAGTGTTTCTCGCTGGTCTTTTCAATTGTTTCCGATTTCCGTTGTGTAATCTACCCCGAAAAAAGGAAAAGCCGTCTGCCATAAAATAGGTGAACAACGTGCCCATGCGAGGCAACAGGTCAGAGATGTTTCCGGATCGCGGGTCCTGGGGTGACCTCACTTTCGCACACCCGGGTGCCCTGCGCGTTATTTTTCTCACGAAGCTGGCGAAAAAAAAAAAGAACAAAGGAAAAAACCCGAAAAGCCCCAGGCCCGGCGGGTAAAAGAACAAGGCCAGAAAGCCGGTCAAGGAAATTTGGTCGGACGCAGCAAGGCATTCGGGAAATTTGAGGGCGTGGATTCTTTGCTCTCGTCAATCTGTGGTCGTCAAGGATTTTGCTTCCGGCAGGGGTCGTGTGGTCCCCTTGTAGAATTATTATTGCAATATACGCTGGGAATTTGAGTTTTTGTGCGGCGTGGCTCAGTTCACGAAACCGGCGTGTTGTACCAAAAGGTGAAGTAAAATGACGGCGGATGGGGGCGCGAGCGAAACAGCGACAAGAACGAAGTAGAAACGACGTGCACGGCTGTCAATGGCACTGGCCATCATGGGCAAGGCGATGAAGAAAACAGGCGCACATTCTGTTTGTTCTAGCCAAGCTGCAACGCGTACTAAACAGTTGGGTGCGAAACGGCGAGCAGGAATGACCCAATACTTGTTCCCTGCTTTTCGCTCTCACGTTGCACCCTCAGCCCAGTGCTCCGATGATTGTCAGAGCTTGCTAGCTCGAATCCCACTAAGACGGAACTTCAAGTCCTTCAATGGCTTGGTTTCCGGTCTCCACTCGTCAAACAGCGCGTAGAGCTCGCTGACTTCCTCCACTGCTGTCTTGTGCCCTTTACCATGTGCTGTTCTTTGAGACTCGCCAGCTCCCCAATTTTTCTGGATATTGAAGATGAGTCCTCTTAAACACCAGGGCAAGATGAACGGGTTCGTGCCTATCTTGCCTACATTGTATTCCCTCACAAAAACTCGGTTCGTGTAGGGCACGTCCACGTGCGAGTCGTAAGCACCGGGCTTCTCGGTCGAGTCTGCTTGATGGGGTATGACCAAATCGTCTGTGTCGAGCATGAACTTGACTCCCAAGTCGTACACTTTTCCGTCGTTGTAAATCTTCGAATGACCCCCTCCAGTGAGCGGTCCCGCTAAGATTGAGCTGATTTCCTTGATGACGTTGTTATCAAAATACCCCATGTTTTGCAACTGGCAGCAGATCGAGATCAACGTCTTGATGAAGGCTGGCGTCTTTGCCGAGCTATCTATGTAGCATGCCCGGTAGATGTTGGGATGGTAGACATGGGATGCCAATGCGGAGTAGAGCGGAACCAACTGGTCGTTGATCGATCCAACAAGACAGATCTTGACGTTCGTGCTGACGATTGTCTGCATGGCGTCTTTATAAGCAAGCGACTGGGGGCTGTCAAACTTCGTGAGCTCGAAAAGTTCAATCATGGACTCGTGTTCAATGGCCGAGTAAGCCTTCATGAAAAGAGACTTGTCGGTGCCGTAGAACGGCCCGTTGTTGACGCCCGCCATGCCAAGCACCCCGATGCGCATGTAGCTTGCGTGCTTGAGTATGCCCATTTTGATGAGCCGGGCAAGCAAGATGATGGACACCACGCATCCTTGCGAGTGCGCTGCTATAAAGACAAAATCGGCCTCGTTCAACTCGTCTTCCCATTTGGTAAGGATCTGCAAGAAAAACTCCACCCGGTCAAAAATCTTGCCCTCCTTCTCCAAAGCTATTTTCTGTATGCTCACGTCTCGGTTGTCCTTGTCGCCCATCATATCATTCTCCACAAGGTATCTAATCACAGCCTTTTCTGCCTCGTTGGCAAACTTGGACGAGGTGCCTTTGGGCGCCCCAATTAAAGGGCGGATCATTCTGGTCGGGAAGAACCCATGCACACCAATGATCAAGATTTTACTTATCTTGCGAAGCGGTCCGAATTTGCGGGGCAAAATGCTGGCCGCGTATTTGGGACCAACGGGCTTGCTGTCGTTAATCAGTAGATTTCCGTCGTCATCGTTGGTGATGGTAACAGGATTTTCACCTTCGGCGTCCCCATCAAGTTGAGTCTTTCGCCTTTTGGTGCTGGTCGCCTGCAGATCCTGCTGCGGGCCCGTGAAGTACTTGCTATGGTTCGGTAGGCACGCTCGTTTGTGAGACGGGAGACGAGACAAGGACTTTCCGTAGAGCTGGTATGTTTGTTCTTGCAGAAAGCGGAGCTCGCCTCCCAGATCAGATTCAGAGTCGCCAGTTGAGCTGGAGCTGCCCCCACTATGCGGGCGGGTCTTGTGGCTTGTTGGCAACGTGAGCCCCAAGCGAGACGAGATGCTACTCAAATACCATTTCCAGTGTCGAATGTCAAAAGCGTGTGCGGCACTAAACCCGGTGCCTCCATGAAGGTGCAGGGACGTGGACGCATGGCCCGTGTGCTGCTGCAACCTGAGGCATGTTTGCCAGTCAGGCACTAGCACGTTTTCCGTGAGGTTTTCGTTTTTGTGAGTGTTGATTCGGCTGAACTCTTTGGCACTATGGTGCGGCTTGTACAATACTGCATCTTCGGTCTTAGGCACGCCTTCTTGCAGACCCTGGCCCGGGGGCAGTTTTGGGGCCGCTTCTTTCGCAGGTTCTGGTTTAGTTTCCGCGTCCTTCCATGAAGACATCGCCGGAGTCAGTCGGAAAATTGTGTTGGTGATTCTGCTGTGTGCCGGAGGATCCTTTTTTCCGGTTGTACCCTCGGTCAGTGTCCAGAACCCCCACAGCTTCGTGCGGCTGTGTGCTCCCGATCCCGAGTCGTTGGCTACTTGTTCCGTAGTTTCCACGAGCGAGCCATTGGTGTCCGAGCGCTCTTTATCCGAGCCAGCCAGCTGGGTGGGCTGAATTTGGATTTTGGCGGTCATATCCCCGTATTTTTGAGAGTCATTTGCCACTTCCTTAACGCCATTGGATGCATCGTTTCCGGCTGCAGCCTCGCTGCTCAGTTCACGTGTCGACTCACGTGAGTTGCTGGAATTCCTACATGCACTGACATCTTCCGGAAGGCTATTAGACCTCGAGCTTTTTGTGTTCCACCCAAGCCAATTGCTAGCCGCATACGAGCTATACGACGCAGTCGACGACTTGTGTTTCAACGTCTTGTCTTGACTCGCTGCGCCTTGTGTTTGTGCAGATCGCGGCGGTTTCGTGGCAGCAGAGTGCTGCAAAACTGAAAATTTGTTCGTGTCCTCGTCAGCTGAAGACAGCGGCGGTTTCACATTTGTTGCAGGCCCCGCCAGCAGCTCAGGGTCTGAAACAGCGCCATCGGACATCAAGAATTGTGGGCTTTTCGTTGGGTTTTGCGCGGGAATCAGCTCGGCTTGCTCATTCCCCACAAGCTCTGGGGCAGAATCTGTAATACTGGCGAAAATCTCGGCAGACTCCGCAGATTCCGGAATGTTGCCTCCCCACGAAAAGAGCCATGATCTTGCTGAACTCAGCGTGGGCATTGTGGCTTGGTGGCGTCCTGTATACAACTCGCTCGACTCTTTGCGTGGCTATCTTTTTAGAGGATAGAGAAACGGGGCAAATCAGAGAGTATGTGGCTCGAGAACACTAGCCAGAAAAGAGACTGGGGTAGATTGTGGCCTCCTCTAACAGTCAGTTCTGTATGCGGGTTTGAGATAAGCCGTTGAGAGTATCTCTGCAGGAAGACGCATCACGACCGAGGTACTTGGTAACAGCGCCAGAAACAATGACGAAGAACATGCTGACCTACTTCCAGGGCTGCGATCTGGGGGCATTCTGCTAATTATATATAAGTGTTCGGAACCTATTGGGTGGGAAAGAGCTGAGACAAACCACTACAACTTCCAGGGAAGACTTGTATTGAAATGTTCCAGCGATATTTTTGCTTGGAGGATTGGCCCACATTCAAAAGAACACCCCAAATTAAATAAAATATTCCATATTTGAACAGATAGACGTGTAATCCTCCCACCCAGTTTCCATCCTTAGCTTCGAGCTGATGCGTCCTCACCAAAAGACAAGTGACTCGATGCATTTATTCTACAAAAACAATTCGTACGTTGATGCTTACATTGTGCCTCAAACAACGCAGTTGCTGTGCGTGCAGACTAAGCCATCTAGTACTTTGACCCAAACAATTTTCTAGGTGCGGGGAGCACAACAACGGCGTTTCTTAAAAATTCATAATATGACTACTATTTTTTTTTTTATTGGTCTTGCACCCAGACAGCGCGCTTTCGGCTAAACCTACCCGTCCAGGCTAATAGAGCAAGTTGCATTGGAAAGTGGTACTTTCGGAAAGATTTGGATTGTTGTGAAATTGAGAATCCAAGCTAGAAATTGACTTTGATCTTCTATTGCAATGGGCTCACACAGCCGGTGTCAATGGGCACAAGCACTAAGTTTTGATCGACGGAAATACTGGGCGTGTTTTGACAGGCCCAATCCGATGCTACCCGCAGTTTTACGCGAGACATGCAGTAATATTTGATGCTAGTAGATGAACTAAATAGTTACAAATGTCTAATCTTTTTTCGCCTGTGATAAAATTGATTACAGCTAGAGCGTTGGTAAAATCGCCGACACATCACCCGTCTCAAAGTGTTCATTAGGGTTCTGTAATTAGTCTCACAGGCCCAGAGAGTGCACCTGTCCAGGTTTGTGATTGTTGACGCCATGTCTTTTTTTCGAAAAAAAAGGAAAACAGAGCCTATATTGTTGGGTGCACTCTGTAGTGAAAATCTCTCAAACGTAGCCAAGAATAACTGGTCAGTACGCTTCAGCCACTGTAGTTCTGATCACTGACTAGCGGATCTGCCTACTTTTTTTTGTTTAGAAACCCAATGCACGGGCATTAGCTGGAGGAATAAAATAAGACAGAAAGTCTGTCTCCCGAAGAAACATAATGGGTTTGGATGAGACTTGCATCTTTCTTTAAATCAAAATGGATAAACCGACAATAAAGACAGCTCTATAAGCTTTTACATTGAGCTTGGCCCAATTAAAATCACCACCATTTCTAGAATCAGTACTGGAAGAAAATGCTGTCGTTGCGAAAACACTGTCAGATTTTGCAAGAGTGTGGCTCGCAGAAACACAGCCAGTAGTTTCCATATCTCTTTGGGATGTTGAAGACATAGTAGATAATCCCCGAAAGTTGCGACTCCGCGAGTTTTGGATCTGAGGGATATCACTGGTTGAAGAGGGATTTATTGGGCTACCGGGAGATTTCCACAAGCTGTGATATTCACTATGATGATTTCCATCGCTCTCATGGTGATGTTGATCATGCTGGTCATGCTGGTCATGCTGGCCAGGAAAAAATGAAGTGCCCAGAATACTGACATAATACCAAGTGTTGTAGTAATCTTCTGGGTGATCTTCTGAGTGATCTTCTGGGTTATCATGAGTGAGGAATGTAGAAGTTGTGCTCAAAATGGAAGAGGATTCAGACGGGTGGCTACCATGGGCAGTTACTGACCCAGCCGCAAGCGCCATAATGGCCCATCGAAGTTGCATCTCGTAACATGCTATTTCGAAAGAAATTCAAAATTTGCCCTTTCAAACAAAGTCGGAGTTAACCTGTCATTGTATTTTTCAAATCACCCCACTTTTCCCCAGATAAGATCCAATAGTCTATTTCTCACTTTGAACCGCGTGCAAATTTCTTCGGCTCGGGCTCTTATATGCATGACTGTCTGCCAATATGGACTATCATACTGTCAGACGTTGGTAGTCTTCTTTTACTATAATTTGGCGGTATATCATTTCAGAAGGCCCCAAATGAATGTCTTTATCGCTGTATATTTTGGTGGCTTTTTGGTATAGAAAACAATAACCAATTTAGTCCTAGAACTGTACATTTCTAATTCCTAAGGTCGGCCTCTGTATATGATCTTGCAAGGTTCAGGATCATGCTTGGGCAAATTACACAAATGACGAGACAGTTTTCTAATGCTGCTTTGGATTTTGAGTATAGCTCATTTTGCTGAGATGTTTTGGAGGATGGAAGGAACGGCTCTTTTTTGGCCTATATTCAACTCAAGTGCAACATTAGCCAAAGCATACATCCAACGAATGTATCGGACAATGTAAAGAGTCGTGCAACGCTTCATTCTTTTCATTAGAACAGAAATACACCCAATCAATGTGTTGTGAAAGGTAGAGAGTCGTACAAAGCTTTTTTCTTCGCATAAGGACAACAATACACCCAATTAATGTACTGGACAAGGTAGAGAGTCGTGCAAAGCTCTCTCTCTTTGCTTGAGAACAAAAGTTTGGTCTTTGCATCTGAACACAGATAATACTATCCCGTCTAGGGCTTCAATTTTCTTTGTTTTCTAACTTAAAAAGAATACTGCAATTTTCTAAAGGCATGTTGATTCAGCAAATCACTCTTTTTCTTCCTCCGTCTCTCTTTCCTTGTATCCAACCAGAAGTTTTCGGTCACTCAAGCTGTAATAGTAGCGGAACATTCACAGTCAAGAGTCGCCAGACATCAGACACCGCAAGTGTTAGTGCAAGTGTCACCAATAATTACTACATCCTAGCAGTTTGATCGTGACCCAAGCACGCAGCATTATTCTCCCCAATTTCCAGCTATCCCATTCAGGTATCTTGGCTTTTCTCGATGACCCAGGAGTTTGAGACTAATAAATTTAGAAGAATCCATTCAACGGGAAACCTTATGGAATACATGTTTATACATGTGCACCCACACATTCTAGTGCCCATGTTCTACTTTAGAGCAAGAAGCTCCCTGTAGCTTTCCATCGTTTCAGGCGAGACTGTGGAGCCGCCGCAGACAATGAAGATCACCACGTCCTCGGGGGCAAGCGCGCCGAACGCTTTCAACAAGTCCTTTCTTTTCGTCGAGACGGCGACGGTCGCACCACAGGCAGGCTCGATCAATTCCCGGAACTTATCGTAGTGTGCGACGGTGGCTTCCACCGCCTCCAAGTCTTCAAGCAACTCCACGGTGGTAGGATGCAAGGAGTAATTGTCAAGCGTGCGTTGTGCAATGTAGGGGGCCGCCAACGACGTGGCAAGCGTGTATATTTTGGAAAGGGTGACGACTTTCCCGGCCTCCACAGCCGATTTGAACGACGGCGTTTGCTTGGTTTCAATCACCAAAACAGGGACTGCCAGCAACGACTGGTTTCGCTGGAGGCCCGAGACAATTCCGTTGTAGAGCCCGCCGCCGCCGCAGCTGCACACAATGCCTTTGACTTTAGAAGCCTCGATTTGCAAGTCCCGAAGCTGGCCGGGAATCTCGTCCACCATTTCTGCGTGTCCATCCCAGAGGTCGTCGTTCTCAAAAGGATGGCAGTATACGGGGGTAACCAGAGGAGGCAAATCGGCAATGATGACCTTGGTGAGGTAAGTATCGGCCTCACCCCAGTGGGCCCCGTGGACCACCACCTCGGCCCGCAAGTCTTTCAACTTATCTATGGCCGTTTGCTTTGAAGTTACGGGCAATGCTACTGTGCACGGAACGCCGTGGAACTCGCTGGCATAAGCAGCGGCCAAGCCAGCATTGCCGCCACTGGAAGAAAACACATGGACATCTCTGCCGAGGGCGCGCGCCTGCTCGATCTTACGCGTGATGACTCTACTCATGCCTCTGAGCTTGAAGCTGCCTGAGGGCTGCTGGTTTTCTTTCTTGTAGAGAAAGCGGCACGGCGCATCTACACTACTGGACACGTCCACAAGCTCAGTGTGAACAGAGGGCAATACCATGGGGGAGAGAAAAGATCTATGAGTGGGGAATACCGTACCTCTGTAGCACGTTTGTATGGCAGTACCTCTGGTTGTATAGCAGTACCTCTGTTTGTATAGCAGTACTCCCTTTGTATAAAAATAGCTCTGTATGGCAGTACCTCTCTTTGTATGGCAGTACCTCTGGTTGTATAGCAGTACTATCTTTGTATGGAAGTACCTCTGGTTGTATAGCAGTACCTCTGGTCGCATAGCAGCTCTGGTTGATTACTGGCAAACCATGGCGCCGCGACCGGCGCGCGGGCACGTGACCGCGCGTTCAGCCCCGTGCTGGCTCTTCGTCTGGAAACAGCGGGCCGGATCCAGTGACCGCTGGTTCCTAAGAACACCCGCCGCGTCCGAAGCTCACATGCCGCCCCGATTCCGCAAGTCGCCTGCGTACCTGCTGGTGCCTGCACACGTGGAAACAGAGGTGCTCGACGCCTATGCGGATGTCTTGACCGCCGCCAATGAGCCGGACCTCGTGTTGCAAAACATGCCAGATTTGCTCCGTAGACTTGACATTCCCGCGTGCTTCACCAGGGACATTTGCCAGTGTGTAGAGTGGTTTTACGCCACGCAGCAGACCACGCTAGCCAGGGCCAGCCTGAAGTGGGCCGTGGCCGAGCAGCTTTTGCAGCACCTCACGATCTCGCTGACCATCCGCGGCCGGTTTGATGTGTCGGATATCGTGGATATCGACAAGCTCGTGAAGTTCTGCAACCGGCTCGTCAAGTTCAGAGACAACCACCTGCGCATATTGCAGAACTGGGCTTTGTTTGTAGACGCTTCGGGAGGGACCGATGGCACCTCGGCCGACCACTGCCTCACGCTCCCCGACTTGGTTAAAATCAAGAGCTCGCTCCAGCTAGACGACATTGGCGACAGCATACTCATCGATATGCTAGGGTGCAGTCGCAGCAGTGTAGATGGCGACTTGTTCAACTACAAGCTCTCGGCAGCGACATTGGAGGTGGGCATCAAGGATTTCGCAGAGGTTTTGGGCTTGCTCGGAGAATACGACTGAGGTGCTGCTTGAGGCGGCTTCCGGGTGCAGCCAGATGATCTGGTTCTGTTTTGGGCCTAACAAGCCCTATGGGGCAGAAATGGACCCGGGTCGTTCCAGCGTCCACTGAGGATGCCAGAGAAAGATGTTTTGAGACAAGCCGACAAATGCACGAATGCTCCGTATGGCTTTTTGTGTGGAAGTGTGGGGCAGAAAATACACTGACCGTCACGCTATATCCAAGAGCATGCGTATATTGCGGTTTGAATTGACGGCTGGCCCGGCCATGCATCTGGCTGTTGGAGAGCAATGGCCCGAGTGGCTGGTTTTTCCAGAGACAGGGGCACCGACGATATTGAATGTCTGGCCTTCTTGCTGGCGTGGTGCAAATCTTTTGATACCCGTTTTATTGACCATGTGAAGACTGTCTCAGTTTAGGGGCGGAAGTGGCAAATGGGCCATGGACTTTTCGATGGCGCACGTGATTGCCTGTTCACGGTGCTACAGGGACGTGCTTTGCAAAGAGTCTGTTAGGCCATGAGGAAAACAGCGGCGCTGAAAACGCCAGCTCTTCGAAATGCTAGGCTGGCTCGGCCTCATAGTCTCTGACTTGGTCTCAGAGAATAAATCACAGTTTTCCGGAAAGACTCCTACGCATAGCCAACTTCAAGTGCAGAGCAGTTTTTCGGCCCGCTGCTTGCTGCAGCATGTACTGGAGGCGGCCGGCTCGATACTTTGTGCCTGTGTAGGCAGAATGGAGGTGTTTTCAGGAATGTGCTTTCTGTCCTGTCTCCCAACTATTATTAGCTTAATGAACGCGACCCTCGTACATGTCGATTGTTCTCTTCTTGAAAAACGTAAGCAAGGGCTGAATACTCATCAAGAAAGTTAATGACTTTGATAAGCTGAAATATATGGAACATATATAAGTCATTTTGCAAGTCTATGAGGACAGACTTGAAGAAGTCACCGTCCAAACCTTCTAGGGACGCAAGCTCGGTGCTGCTTCCGTCCAGGCCACGAAGGATCTGGTAATGTCTGAATTTTGACTATTCCTTTCCTCAAGGCCAATTTATTCGATTTCGACTGACCCGCGGGCTGTATGGCGATGGCTATATATGGGACCCATGTCAGTTGACTTCATCTAATCGGGAGCATAAACATCAGATATAGAGAAGTTTTTAAACTTTTAAACATGAGCCCGGTCAAAACATGGGCTCTTCTGGGAATGCTGACCCAGGCATGCCTGAAATGCGCTGCAGTATATTTCCAACTCAGAAAGTGAACAGGTCCGCGGCGCTCACTCCCTAAAGCCATTCGTGTATTCGAGGGTACACTTCGAACGGTGGCGACAAGACTTTGAGTGGCCGTTAATACATCTTCTTAGTTATCTTGAATGGTGATCCAGCCCATTATATTTTTTAACTTGACCATAAATGGTGATCTGACGCGGTTCAGTCTTCTTAAACCAGTCCTACATTTTGGGTGCCTTGGAAAAAGGGCATACAAGCAAACTGGAGGTTTTCATATGAAAAATTATTAAAAAATATTTTATATATATTTTATATATTCTATTATATTTTTATAATCCTCTTTAAATACCATAAGGTTATGTTATTAATACGCTACACCTAGCATATTACTTTTATTATTGGGTTTATGTCGCGGTAGTCCATTCAGTTTTCGAATTAACCTTGACCAGTGATGTAGAGGAAAATCTGCTATACCTCTAATGGCAAAGACAAATCAAGTCGATTATGCCTGTCTACTAGACCATGAGTGGTGATGCGAGTTTATTCAATTTCTAAATTAGACATAAATGGTGATAGCTCATTCAGATTGGTGATGACGCAATTAAGTTTCTCTATTAAACATTAATATCGAGACGAAGACGTTCAATTTTTTAACTGAACATGACGCAATTCAGCTTCCTTTTTTTAAGCATGATCGGTGATGACGCAGTTCAGTTTTCAAACTAAGCATGATTGGAGAAACAGCGCAATTTACTTCTTTTTAATGGCCTTGCATAGTGATTGCCGAGTCAGTTTTTAAATTGAGCACGAATGGTGGTAGCCCATTACTTTTTAAATTGAGCATGAATGGTAATAAAAGCCCAATGAGTTTGTGAATTCAACGTGAATAATGAGACGAGCCCCTTTGGTTTCTAAAGTGAACATGAATGGTCATATGAGTCGATTCAGTCTCTTAATCGAACATGAATGGCAATAGCCCATTCAGATTCTAAACTGAACTTGAGTGGTGATTCGACTAAATTCACTTTGCTAGATTGACCTTATATGGTGATACTGGCCTAATTCTGGAATGGGGACACGAGCCAACTCAGCTTTTGGAATTACCCTTAAATTATAGGACGAGTCCATCTAGTTTCCAGACTGAATATAAATGGCGATACAAGCTCATTCAGTGTGTGACTTAAGCATGAGTAGTGAGACGATCCCCCTGGGTTTCTTCGGACATAAATAATGAGACAAGCACATTCACATTTCAATTTGAATATGAGTAGTGATAAGAGCTCATTCACTTTCTAAACTGAGCATGAATGGTGATCGCCCAATCAATTTGTCGACTGATCATGATAATGATACAAGTCCATTCACTTTTTAATAGAACATAAATGTAATATAAGCCTATTCGATTTCTGAATTGGACATTAACAATGAGACGAGTCTATTCATTTCAATATTGAACATAAATAGTTATAAGAGCCAATTCGACTTCTAATCCCGCCTAAATATGAAGGGACCCATTCAGCTCTTACCTGAACTTGACTGTGATAGCCCATTCAGTTCCTAAATTAGACATAAATGGAATTAGGCCCACTCAGTTTCTAAATCGAGCGTTAATAATGAGACGAGACCATTTGGTTTCTAAAGTGAGCATGAATGGTGAATCGAGTCGGTTCAGTCTCTCAATTGAACATGAATGGTGATCACGCAGCTCAGTTTCTGCATGAAGCATGAATGGTGATGACGCAGTCTAATTTCTAAATTAGGCATGAATAGTGATACGACGCACTTCACTTTTGTGCGTTGGCCTTGAATGCTGATATCCCATTCAGTTTCTTAACCAATCATGAATATTGAAACGAACCCGTTCATTTGCCAAACAAGCCCATTCATTGAACATGAATAATGATACGAGCACATACCGTTTCCAAGGTTGAGCATGAATGGCGATAGCCACGTCCTAAACTAAGCATGAACGGTGGTAGCACATTAAGTTTCTCGACAAGTCATGATAATGAGGCGAGTTCATTTACTTTGAAATTAAACACAAATGCTAATACAAGCCCACCCAGTTTTTAAAATTCAGAACAAATCATAAAACAAGCCCGTTCATCTCAGCAGATCATGGTCATGAGAAGAGCCATAAAGTGAACAAAAATGGTAATACAAGGCCATTCAGATTCTCAGTAGATCACAAGAACACAAGCCCATTAACATTCTGATTCAATACGCTAATGCAAGTCCTCCAGGTTCTAATACCAGCACAAGCAATAAGACAAAGTAAAAGATGACCAGCCATAATATAAGCACTTAAATGTAAACCTAAAGATAATGCTTTAGAACTACAAATTAATGTTTCCATCAAATCTTAAACAGGAATTAAACCTAAAGGTGTTTCTTTAGGTACAAATAAACTAAAGAAATTTAATCCATATGCATTTAAACATAATATAGTTAAGACCAAACAAAATGTTAAACTTATTGCGATTATACCTACTATTTGAGCTAATATAGCAAATGTATAAGGTATCATGGATATTAAATTAGCTATTAAATTGAAAGCTAAAAACGATAATATAAATGGAAAATATATTTCACCTCTTGGACCTACTAGACTACGAACCATATGTGATACTGTATCATATAATGATAATATACTTAATCCTCTTGTTGATTTTCTTTCACTTTCTGATGTTATATTATAATATAAACTTATTATTCCCGAAGCTAATATAAAATATACTAAACAATTTGTTATTAAATGGAAGTAAATATGATAGTAAAAAATATATGTAGGTAAACACAATTAAGAAATAGTTCAGACTATATAGAAATATATAGAGGTTAGTATATCTTACTTATATTAGGCTTTATTTTTACTTTTAAATAAATAAGATAATATATGTACCCTGCTATGTTTATACTTATAGCTTTAAAATATCATGAAACTAATTTTTCAATTGGTTATATGATAGTTATTTAACATCGCATTGTTTATTTCAATATACCCGGCGATTAGATCATGGTCATGAGAACAGCCAGATAGTAAACCTAAATGGTAATCAATCCCATTTAATTGTCAACAAATCACAATATTGAGACAAGCCAAACCAAATGAGATGCGAGCTGTGCTCGTTAACGCACATTGAATCTAGCTGCTGCAAAAAGACTTATATTGACATCAGTACACCAGGTGGCGGAAATGTGGAGAGATTTCAGTCAGCAGTGGCAATTCATTAGATAAAGCCATATCCATTTCTCGAGTTGAACAAAGTGGGAGTACAAGCCCATTCATTATCTGAATTGATCATGAGTAATGATACGAGCCATTGAGGTTCTTCATAATGAGACAAATTTATTTGCAACAGGTCACAATGCTGCAGTCCATTCACATTCAAATGAAACGCTAATCCAACCCCCCAGTTTCCAAATTCAAAGAAACCATAAAACTTGCCTGTTCTTCTCAGCAGATCATTGTCATGAGAAGAGCCAGATAGTAAACCTCAATGGTAATACAAGGCAATTCAGTTTCTCAACAAATCACAATATTGACACAAGCCAGTTCACTCTCGAATTAGACATGAGTGGAAGTACAGCCCCTTGGATTTCTAAATTCAGCATGAGTAATGAGACGAGCCATTGAAGTTCTTCATAATGAGACAAGCCCATTCAGTTTCTCAACTCATCATAAGGATACGAGTCCATTCACTTTCGAATTAAACATGAATGGTAATACAAGGAAATTCAGTTTCTCAACAGACCATGGTAACGAGATGATTCCATTTACTTTCAAACTAAACACAAACGCTAATACAAGCCCATTCAATTTTCAAATTGAGCATGAGTAACGAGCCGAGCCATTGGGTTCGAGCATGAATAATGAGACAAGCCAATTCAGTTCCTCAACAGGTCACAATACTACAGCCCATTCACTTTCAAATGAAACATAATTGGTAATACAAAACCATTCAGTTCCGCAACAAATCACAATGCTACGAGCCCATTCACTTTCAAATGAAACACCAATCCATCCCCCACTTTCCAAATTCAAAGAAATCATAAACAAGCCCGTTCTCAGCAGACCATCACAGCCAGACAACCCCAGCCAGCCACGCCGGAGCGGCCATACCCCAGACGCGGCCGCGGGCCGCGCGTCACGTGCCCGCGCCGCCTACATGGCCGCGCCGCCTCCAGACTCGGCCCGGCGCCCTCTACTCACTGGCTCCACAATGCCGAGCCGCCAGTTTCTCGACCGGCAGACCCGTCTTATTGACCTGTTTCTCGAGGAGCTCGCGCAAGTGGCAGCGGCGGACGGCGCCAACTTCAACAACACCAAGCAGTTCGACGCGCTTCTCCGGCACCTCGAGCTGACCGTGGCCGCGCCGGCCTTCAGCTCGGTGCCCTCGGAAAACATCCTCCACATTCTCTTGACACTTGCGGCGCGCAGCCCGGCGGCCAACTGGTCACACGACCTGCTCGGCGGCTTTGCGGGCGACGCCTCGGCGTACATGCGGCAGGTCAATCGCGCCTATGACGCGGCGCTCCACAAGGCGTCGCTCCAGCAGCGCAGCGTGTCTGTGTTGCGGCGGTACTTGGCGGTGGTGCGGGGCCCGCGGGCGCCGGCCGCGGACGCGTTGCGCAAAAACATCCACAGCGTGCTTCTTGCGTTCCACCGGCCCGACGTGGCGCTGTCCTTCCGGGGCTACCGGCGCCCGGTGCTCCAGCGGAAAAGCAAGGCCGGTGCATGGGCGCAGGGGGGCGTTCTGGCCGGAGACTTTCTGGCCGGGCACTTTCTGGCCGGAGACTTGGCCGGAGACTTTCTGGGCGGGGAGGCTCTGGCCGGCCGCGCCGTGGAAATCATCAGCGACTCCGAAGACTCGGACGCCTTAGAGGAGCCCTTGGGCCAGGCGGACATCGCGCAGCACGCGTACGCGCTCGGCGGGCCGGCGCCAGAAGCGCCGTTCTCCGCGTTGGGCCTCAACACGTCAGGCTTGGGCGGCGCCGCGCCGCTCTTCCGGCAGATGCCGCATTTGCTGGCGGGCGGCACGCCGGAACCCCCGGGGCTGCGGCCAAAACGGCCGCGGGCGGCGTCGCCGGGCTGGAAACGCATCCAGGTCTTCGACGACCACGTGGTGCTGCACAAGCTCCTGGCGGCCGCCGACTACGACGTGTGGAGCCTCCTCAAGTGGGCGTTTTGGTGCGCCCACACCAGCTCCGAGTACCAGACGTTCCTCTTCAACGCGGGCCTGACGCACGTGCACCACGTGTACCGGGCCACCGGCGCGTTCCTCGAGCTCTTCTTCGCGTTCTGCCACGCCGAGCTAGCGGCCAGCATCGCGGACGGCCGCCCGAGGGCCGCGGCCATCGCCCGGCTTCTCGGCACGCTCGGCCCGCGCCACGACTGGCACGACCGCGCGGCGCTGTACGTGTTTGCGGGCCTCGGCCGGGCCTGGCACGACAAGCCGTACCCCTGCTTCCCGCGCGAGCTCGTGTTGACGAAGAACGACCCCGCGGTGTTGAGCTCGCGCTGCAAGACCACGTGCGTCAACGACGACAACAGCCACTCCATGGGGCTCCGCGCGCACGTGGTGCTTCTTCTCTTCCACTACGAGCATGCGCTCGGCGGCGCCGCGGCGGGCCGCGGCTTGATGCGCCACGTGCTGCGCAGGCTCGCCTCGGTGCCGCTCGTGTACCTCGAGGCGTTCTTGGGCCACATGCAGACGGAGCTCGCCGCGGGGGGCGAGCCGGGGCTCGGAACGGCGCCGTTGCAGGCGCTCGACGCGCAGCTCGGCTTTGCTGTGCTCTGCGAGGTCACGGGGACGGTGTTTTCCATGGAAGCCTTCTGCGGGCCCGCGTTCGTGTTGCAGACGGCACGCGTGCTTCTGGACGGCCGCCTCTACCGCAGCGTGGTGGATGACGTGACGTTTGGGTGCGTGGACGACTTCGCGGCCCAGTGGCGGAGGGTCATGGCCGTGGCCGAGTGGCTCTTTGGCCGTGCGCTCGAAGACGCGGTGCACGGCAAGCCGGCCGCACAAGCCGACTGTGTCTTTGTCGTGAAGAGCGCCCGCTGCGCGGACGAGCTTGCCGCAGCGTGCTACGCGGAGTACCTCGAGAGCCGGTACGAGGACTCGGACTTGATCCCGGAGACTGCCTTCACGTTGACGCGGGCCGAGATCGAGCAGTGGCGGCCCGCGGGCGTGTGCACGTTTGCCGACTTGGCGCGGTTCAAGCTCAGCGGGCGCTTGCAGCGCTGACCATGGAGCCCGTGCCGCCACGGTTCCGCGGGTGGCTCTTTTGTGGGCCACTAGACGGTTGTTGTGCCACTGGACGTCTCTTGTGTGGCCACTGGACGTCTGATGTGAGGCCACTGGCCGTCTGATGTGGGCTCTACTTTCCTGCCGGCGCAGGAGGCCCGAGGGCGGCCGGCGCAGGAAGCGTTGCGCTTGCTCTGGTGCCGCCAGCGGGCAGCCAGGATCACATACGGCGCCCCGCCCGCGGCTCGCGTTGATGGTTCTCATACTATTAAGTTCTATACACATTGCGGCAAGACGGCCGTGGCAGCGTATAAGCGGGCGCGGCGCGCTCGGCGACATGCCGTTGCCCGAGCAGCTCGCAAAGACCCGGACGGCGCCTAGATGATGTGCTTCACCTTGAAGTAGTGTCTCAAGTACTGGATCTGCCACGCGCCCAAGGCAAGCAAGACCAAGATGATCAAGATGGAGAACCACTGCACCCGCGCGTTGGTGCTCTCGTTGGTGTCGCGCATCCGCTCCTCCCGGCCCTTCAAGTAGTGCAACTCTTGCGCAATCTCCTTCGTCATCTCATGCACCCGCCTCAAGTCGACCTCGGCCGGCTTCAACTTCTCTGCGGTTTGCAACGCGTTCCAGTCGCGGGCACTGGCGCCGCTCTCGACCTCCAAGTTGACCTCGCGGCTTAACTGGCGCCTGCCGCCGTGGCCCCTGTCCAAGAAATTGGCAAAGCAGATGTCGATGGCGGCCGACTCGTGCGTGGTGAACGAGATGCGCGTCTCCTTGTTGATGTCGTTCTTGCGGGCAAACTGGTTGCCTAACGTGTCGATCACGGTCAACTGCAACTTCTGCCCGTCGCCGCGGTACCCGTCGGTATTGACGCTGATCACCACAAGCTGGTCTTTGCCCACGAAATCACGGATGCACACGGGCCGGGCACTGTCGAGCGCAGGCACGTCGAGCTGCAACGCGGCGGCCAACAGAAGAAGGCAGCTGAGCAAAACCCACGTGTTGGCGAACATTAGCTGTTTTTTTTTTGTTGTTGTTATGGTGAGGCAGAGTGGGTGGTTCAGATCTATGGATGGTACGCCTGTTCTGTTTGGAGTGCGGCCACACCACCGTGGAGCCGGCCGCGCGAAAAAAACACGACATCTGGCGGTGGACTTCGCGGCCGGCCGCGCAGGTTGGGCCTGTTTCAATAGTGCACTTTATTGTGTGGTACATCTTTTCTTAGGTCAGACCAAAGGGCACTGGTGTCTCGGTATGAACTTCCAGAAACCGTGGCCAGCAGAGCAGTACGTCTTTTTGGCAGGGAAATACATTGCGCCCTGTGACCGGACGACTCTCCGCCAGTCCTGCTTTCGACACTGTCACGTGACAGCCCGATACGCCTGAACGCGGCGAAAACTACGCGTGCGAATAGGGCCGAGCGCGCGGGGCCACTGGGCCAGGTGGGGCGGGGACTCTGGTTTTGCGATTGGCACTTTTTTTTTAGATGTTTGAGGGGTGCTTGTGGATGTTTGAGGTTGTTTGTGGATGTTTGAAGGGCGTTTTGTGGATGTTTGAGGGGTGTTTGTGGATGTTTGCAGATATTTGTAGATGTCATTTATCTATATTCTCTCTGCTCTTCTTTGCTCCTCTCTGCTATATTATCTGTTCCCCTCTCTGTTGTCTTCTCTATAGTCTTTGCACTTATCTATTTTGTAATTTTTTGTGGATGTTTGTGATCTGCTTTGTAAATGTTTTGTATTTTTTGTATTTTTGTAATTGTTTTCTACTTGTTTTTCGATTGTTTGTTCATGTTATTTGTTTCTCTCCTCTCTGCTACTCTCTGCACCTCTCTGCCTTCTCTGTTCTCTTTCCTCATATTTGTTCTGTAAATTTTCTGTAGATGTTTGTGAGTATTCTATGATTATTATGCAAATCTTTGTTAATTGTTTTGGAGATGTTAGTTCATTGTTCTGAATTGTTTTGCAGTTATTTCCAACTGATTTGTATTTAATTGAACTGTTTCTTAATTGATTGTTCGTGTTATTTGTACGCTCTTTTCTGCTTTCTCTGTTTTTCTCTGCTCTTTGCTCTTATCTGTTTAACAACTTTTTATAATTGCCCCGGAGATGTTCTGAAGATGCTTTTAGATGTTTTGTACTCTTCTGTCTTGCTTTTTATTTTGAAATTGTTTTTAACCATTTTTCAATTATTTGTTTATGTTATTTGTTTCTCTCTTCTCTCCTCCTCTCTGCTCTTTTTTATTGTATGATTGTTCTTCAGATGTTTTGTAGATGATCTGAGATTTGTAAACATTTGTTAATTGCTTTGTAAATATTTGTTCATTGTTTCGTAGATGTTTTGTGATTATTTTGTAAATCTTTGTAAATTGTTTTGAACATTTTTGTTCATTGTTTTGTATTGTTGTGTAATCATTTTATTTCTTGATCGTTCGTTCATGTTATTTGTTTCTGTTCTCCTCTCTGCTTTTTCTGCTCTATGCTGAATCTGTTTGATAGTTTTTCGCAATTGCTTTTCAGGTGTTTTAAAGGATTTTTGTAAATGGTTTTAGATGTTTTGTATTGTTCCCTCTTATTGTGTATTTCCTGAAATTGCTCTTTAACCGTCTTTCAATTATCTGTCATTTCTTTCTCTCCTCTCTGCTCCTCTCTGTTACTTGCGTTGGTCTTTTGCATTCTCCAGTTTGTGTCTGGACCGTTCTACTGGGCTTTGTCATTTTCACACATTAAGGCTTCTCTCTAAGATTTTTGCCCGTTGCTTCATGGAGCTTGGTATATTAAATGCTATTTTCACAACTTGCTCACGAACTGGACGCTTTGGGCGGGTCGCCGAAAAGCTGCTGACAAAAGAAAAAGCTTCTCCTCTCCAGCTCGGCCCCCGGAAACAACACCAGCCTTGTGTCAATTTTATTGCTGTACCGGAATTTGCTATTTTCTATATACAAGCTTGTACTTTCTGCTGGCTGGTTGAAAGATGGTATATATCTACATTGAATGTGAATCTTATAATAAAATTTATTCATATATCATATGCATCTCGCGTCATAATATGTACCTATCTAGCCCCACTCCGCCTAATTATCCAGATAGTATCATTATCAAAGTGTTTGAATCTTTGACCTACAGGTTATAGATGCATTCAACGTCAACAGATCATAAATTGTCTATGTGGTTTTTGAAATTCGTTGTAAATTTTACTAAAATCACAATTCACGAAATCTACATGTAACCTAGTATATACCCGTTGTTTTGATACATCACATCCGATTCTATCTCATCTTATATTTTTATCATTTGACTATCGAGCTTAGCAATGATTATCAAAATCGTTAGTTTTATTTTTATTCTATTGAATCTCCTTTCAAACATTCCACATGTATTGCTTCTAATAAATCTTGACCTGCGGACTTCTCAAAATTTAAAAAACTGCATCTCCACCCTCACAACCACCCTTCCTCCACCTATTCTACGCTGCATACAAACACTTCTCTTTTTTCACAACTTCAATTTCTCTCCCATTTTCTCTCCCATTTTTATTCCCATTTTCTTTACTATTTTCTTTCCCATTTACTTCTCCGTTTTTTCCACCCTTTCCTCCTTTTCTGCCCCGGGTTCCAGCACACGTGACTTGCTCAACCGGACCCGGTTCTTGCCTGCCACCGCAGGGGGTACGGGTGTGCGGCCTCGAAGGTGTTTTTCTTCGTCTCTCCAAACTACTCTCCATCTTCAAAACCAGCAAAAATGGCAAAAGCAAAGTCCGTACACACCATGGTCAGGCTCGTCTCGCAGGCCAAGACCGGGTACGAGAAGTGGTTCAAAATCCCTAGACACACGCAGCGTCTCAGTCTCATTTTGTACGACCCTCGTGCGCAGAGACACTGTCTTTTCACCGAGGCCAAAAAGAGAAAGGTGCCCGAGGCCATACCAAAAGACTACACGAGAACGCATCGCGTGTAGCCGACGCGTTGGGTTGTAAATAGTAGGATGCTCGAAGCACAAGGGACGGATATCGGCGCACGCCAGCACATAGAAATAAACGCATATAAGCCGAGGAAACCCAGGCACAAGCGAATGCCGCGGTTCATTTGTAGAGTAGGCAGAAACTTCGAAACAGACACGAGAACATCGTCACCGGCCAGCAAGCTAGCTGTCGGAGGGGATGAACCCGGACAGAGAGGCCCAGACCCGTCAGCCAACAGCACAGTGGCGGAGCCTAAGTTAGCAAGCTCTGTCACGCCGCCCACATCCTGTTTGAACTCTATAATTGTATAAACAAGCGTCACTGGCGCGGGCAAGCCGAAACTCAACGGCCTGCAAGCCAGACTTCTATGTACAAGGTCCACCAACAGCCAAGTCTAAAAGGACTTGACGCTCCAGTCGTCGCCTGCGCCCAAGATGTCCGCATCGCCCAACACAGTGTAGACGTTGCTGGCGCCATTGGCCAAGTACTTCTCGTTGGCGTCCTGGAGGTCCTGGACACTCACGTCCAAAAACCGCTCCCTTCTCTGCTGCCTCATGTCGTCGCTGATGCCATCAAGGAAGAGCGCGGCGCCCTCGCTGGAGACGTGGCTAGGCGCATCCACGCTCTGGAAAATGGCCAACTTGGCCTCCTGCAACGCCTTGTCGTCCCACAGGCCGTCGGCGAGGTAGGATCTGGCAGCCTGCGCACTCGCCTCGAACGCTTGCACCGATTTGATGGCGTTGGGGTCGCGGTACGAGTAAAAGTTGAGCGTGCCACCCAGGCCGTCGAAGTTGAGTCCGCCGCCATAGGCGCCGTTGGCCTCGCGGATCACCGAGTGCAAGTGCTTGAACGTCATCACCTGCGATAAGGCCTGGAGCGTGGCGCCGTCCTTGCTGGCGTACGGAGCGCCGAGCTTGGCCAACGATGCATAGCCCACTTGGAAGGGCATGTTCAACACGGTTCTCAGCACCGTGCTAGGCAGGAAGCCTGCGGCCACGGACCCGAGGACGTCGGGCATCTGGCGGCAGTTGGCGGAGATGTGCGTGTCGAAGGAGTCGACGAGCAGCTCGTTCAGGGCCACTGCGCTCAGCTCGCCCACGAGGCTGTAGCTGAAGCCCTTGTTCTGCGGGTCCACGAAGCCCTGGGTCAAAAGCGTCTGGATCTCCCGCAAAATGGGGAGAAGCTCCAGGCTCAAGTACTCGCGGCCACGCAGGTCGAGCTTTTTGTTCATGTCCAAGACGAGGCGGACCTGGCCCACGCCCGAGAGAAGGTCGTTGATGTGCTTTGTGGGCGTCAAGTGGGCGTTGGAGTGGGCGCTCGCGTACGAATGGCCGCGGTCGGCAATGGTGTCTGCCTGGCTCTGGGCCAAGTTCTTGACCAAGGTGGTGAGCTTGTCGAGCACTGCGTCGTCCGCGGCGAGCGTGGTGGAGAGCAAGATCTCGCGCCACAAGTCGTAGATGTGGGCGGCATTCTCCTTGAGGGCCATGCCGGAGAGCACGAGCTGGAGCGTGGGCTTGCCCAAGTCGTACGGGTCCGTGTTGGCGCGCACGGCGAAGCTGATGCCGCCGGTGAGCAGCTGGATGCGCGTCTCCAAGTCGGAGATGGGCGTGGCGGCTGTGCCGGCCAAGTCGGTCAAGCACGCGGTGAACAAGGGGAGGTACTTGTAGAGCGGCTGCGGGAGGAAGGCCACGTCCTTCTTGGCGGCCACGTACACCAAGCCGTTGGTGCCGCGGACGCGGGTCTGGATCTTGGCGCCCGTGCCCGCGGACCTGCGGAAGTCCAAGTGGTGGCGGTCGCCCGTGCGGGGGATGTCGTGCAAGGTCAAGGTGGGCAACACGGACACGTCCTCGGGCAGCTGCTGCTTGCGCAACAAGGCCTGGCCGCGGTCGAAGATGAGCGCACGGTCGTCGGACGAGAGCAGCTGCACGCGGGCGGCGAGCTCCCGGTCCTCCTGCGCTGCGAGCTCGTCGTGGTAGTTCGCGTTTGGCACCATGGTGAAGTGGAAGGTGGGCGTGGCCGGGTCGAGGAGCACGCGCTCGACCAAGTCCAGGAACATGCGGAGGCCGCGGTCGCGGTACTCCTGCTTGAAGCGGTCGAGCACGGGCTGCACGCGCAAGAGCTGGAGCGGGTCCATGCCGTTGGTCCAGGCCGGGACCACGGAGTGGAGCAAGCCCAAGCCGAAGTCGGGCCGGTGCCGCTTGAAGCCCAACTCCAGCTGGTGGACGATGGCGTGCACGCGCGCGTTCCACGCGCTGGCGGGGCCCTTGGCGAGCTCCGGCACCACGTGGGAGCGCAAGATGTCGCGCACCTTCTCCGGGAGCGCCGCGGCGCGGGCGCGCGAGAGGCTGGCCGCGCCCACGGTGAACGAGAGGAGCGCGGTGGTCTGGTCGAGCCCGCAGTTGGGCAGGAAGTCCTCGGCGTAGCCGGACTCGATTAAGTGGCGGTAGAACGGCGCGTTGTGCCCGTCGAAGAGCAACGACGCGAGCGCCCGCCACTTGAACACGTCGTAGGCGCGCGCGGGGTCGAGCGCGTCGCCCAAGTCCCAGGTGACGGAGGCCTTGAGCTGCTCCGCGAGCGGGCGGGTGGACATGGCGTCGGGCGGCCCGGCGACGCAGCAGGCGCGGGCCGCGGCGGCGGCGCGGAACACGGGCTGAGGCACGGCGAGCGGGCGCGCGCGCATGCCGAAGCCCGCGTACTGCGCGTCGAGCTTGCGGAGCGTCGGCGCCAACGGGAGGTGGCCGTAGGTGAAGGTCTTGGCGTTGGACGGGTGGTAGTGGGCGGCGTGGAAGTCGAGCAAGTCGTCGTGGCGCAAGCGCACGATGGCGGCGGGGTCGCCGGCCGCGTTGTGGAGCTGCGGGTACACGGCCTGCTGGAAGCGCAGCCAGAACAAGTACGCGGCGCTCTGGCACTGGCCCTTCATCTCGTTGTACACCACGCCCTTGAAGCGGAGCGGGCTGGCGGCGTCCGCCACGTCCGCGTGCTCGAGGCGCCAGCCCTCCTGCAGGAAGTCCGCCGGCGCCAACGTGGGCTCGAACACCGCCGAGAGGTACACGGCCAAGAGGTTGTCGAAGTCCGCGCGGTTGGTGGTGGCGAACGGGTAGTACGTGTAGTCGTGCCCCGTCATGGCGTTCATGAAGCTGCTGAGCGAGCGGCTGAGCATCTTGAAGAACGGGTCGCGCACCGGGTACGCCCGCGAGCCGCAGAGCGTGGTGTGCTCCAAGATGTGCGGCACGCCGCTGGCGTCCGGCGCGTTGGTGCGGAACGCCACGGAAAACACGTTGTTGGTGTCGCCGGCCGCGTGCAAGTGCACGTGCTGCAGGCCCGTGCGTGCGTGGCGCAACCGCACGGCCACGAGCGAGAATTCCGGCACGTTCTGGGAGGTTTCGACGGTGAAGCCGTGGATAGAGAGGCCGGCCGGATACAAGGCCAGGGGCTCGGCGGGAGCCGCGGCGGCGGCCAAGCAGCGGCGCGGGGTGCGCGCGGCGGCGCGGGCCGCGGCGGGCGGGGCGTGGGCGCGGAACATGGGCTGGCTACCGGGTTTTTTTTGGTGTTTTTTTGGTGTTTTTTTGGTGTTTTTTTGGTGTTTTTTTGGTGGGGCGGGAAGAAGAGCGGGTGGTTTTAGGGTGGGTTTGGGAGGCGCGCGCCGTGCCAGGGCGAGCGCTGGGGCGAGCGCGGGGGCCGGGCCCTGTTTTCTGTTGTGGGTTTTGGATCCGTTTATTGATCCGTATTCTGACGGTCTTTTGTATTTTTTTTTTTTGTTTTGTTTTGTTTCTGTTTTTGTTTTTGGTGCTTCGTTCTGTTTTTTTTTGTTTCTCTATTTCGTCTTCTTTTTCTTTCTCTTTTTGTTCTTCTTTTTGTTGTGTCTTCCTCCAATGCCAGCAGCGGGACGTGCCCTGGGATTCGGGCCAGGCCCGCGCTGCGCTCTCCAGGCGCAATGCCCATCTGGGGAATATTTCTATACCCAGCTTTTGCAGTCAACTCCAAGCGCCAGCCAAATTCCAGGAAACGCTAGCTTTCACCCCCTTTGAAATTCCAAGAACATTGGGTGGCTGGTTCAAGCCGCAGGGTTTTTTTTGGGCAAAGACATCTAGTCTTGCCGAACAAAATACGGTGCGGGCCCTCAGGAAACACATCCTATACGATGGCAGGTAACTGACGCAAGTGGCTGGCCGCGGTAATGGGCACGTCTTCCTATGCCTATACCTCCATAAACAGATTCTTCAAGATAGATCTGGAGGTGTACTAAGGTGAATAAGTATCTTAAAGAATAAATCCAGTAAGCCTGATTTAAGAGACAAAATGACCCCGCGGAGGACAGAGGTGCATCTCTGGGACATGCCGTGAGTTGGCGCTCGCGCCTTGTCACCAGAGCCAATGTTGTCATCTGCTTTAGGTTTTCGCCTTCGTGCTTCGATGCTGGTGGGCCTCCCATCCCTCCAGTGACACCCTATAACATCATAAAAAATTCCCTCCAGGTCTATCAAGGCACAAGGTTTGGACTCAACATTCGGGGTGGTCTGGGGGCCAATGTCAGGAAGAATACCGAGCCAGATCAATGATTCAGTCAAGAGATCGACACAAGGCAGCTGTCCCACCTAGCCTTGAAACCTATCTCTGCATTTGGAAGATGGTACCATCGACATACGTTCGAATGAGAAGTACTAATAAATGGAATATGCAGGTCTGCAATTTGTAGCATGGCAATAATACACGACTTGAAGGTGCACAATAACATGTAATTTACAGAGTTGACGTTGCGGGGTACAATGAATGAGCATCGGAAATTTGCTCCTGGCAAAAGAACCAAGAAAAGTCGAAATATAGGGGACTTCGGTTGGACTGACGTGAGTCAGCCCATGGTCAATGCCATAATTTGTTTCTCCTGGGAACCGAACATAATTCCAGGACGGAAAACGAGGGCCCACAACTATTTTGTCGATCAAAAAATACGGCAGCATCAATTAATTGAAGAGAGACAACCCAGGGCCAGTAAACCAGGTGATGTGCGCTATGAGCACAACTTTGTTTTGTTTCGTTGTCCTGTTCTCCAGCTGCAAATCAGTCCACACGCTTTGGGTATACATCCGAAGTTCTGCAGTACATAAGACAGGGAAATTGTCACGCCAGCCTTTCGCCATCTTCTTTCATTAATCTGTTTTGGAACTTCCTTCTTCAATCCATCAGTACCGCCGCTTCTCGGAATCGACCTCTTTTCCTCCGCCATGGTCCGTCACTCTCAGCCAGCTTTTCCAGCACCTAACTCCTACCCGATAGTTGCCATTGAAGATATTTGGCACTGAAGCCAGTTCATCGCGTCTTGCTTCAAGCCTTGTGTCTTCAAGATCCATGAGGCAAAGATATCGTGGTTTTGCCGCCTTTCAAATGAACTATGGTCACGGGCCTTTAGGATACCATATCCTATGTGACGATGGAAGCTAACTGATTCAAGTGGTTGACAGTGGTAATGGGCAGAAGTCTTCCTGTACCTATACCTATATAAACAAATTACGTTTGAAGTATATGATCTAGAGGGTGTGGACATAGGTGATAAAATATTTTAAAAAATCATCGTGAAATAAAAGAAGATTGATCACGAAAATGACCACGAGAGGAACAGAGGTACATTTCTTTGGGCATGTCGTGAGTTGGTGCTCGCGGCTTATCACCAGAGCGAATGTTGCAATCTATTTTAGGTTTTCTCTTTACTTTTCGAGGATGGTGGGTCTTGCATCCCATCAGTGATATTCTATGTTTCTTGAAAAGACAGAAAAAAACCTCGACCATCGTTATTCAAACGAGGCGGCAAACACTGCTGATATATACTCTCACGCAGTATCACCCTATCATTGTACTGGTTAATGTCTTTAAAAGTTTTTTCTATATATTACTATGTAGCTCACGCAATGTCACCGTCAAATCCTATACTCTTGACGTCTCCCCGTATTATCCATATATACATTAGTCCCCCGGTATCAGTCGGTCGGGAACCGCCATACAATCTGGGAAAGCTGTGGGTGAAAAGTATTTCTGTATCCGCAGAGCTACAAGTGAACCAGAACTTATTCATCAATGAGGAAAATTTGAATGTCACGAAAAAGATCTTCCAGATTCGAGGCCCTCAAAGAAGAATTGCCGGTATTCACTCCAGAAGAAAGTTCAAGAACTCTTATAAGCACGAGTGTTTTTTTTCACTTTGGGTGACAAAATTGGCATGGAGAACGAGAGATGGGTCCAGAAGATGTCTCTTGATAACGCTTGGGTGCCAAAAGGTGAGTTGATCGAGTCTCACGGTAAAATGGTTGCCAAGGTTGACATAAAAGATGCTTTTAGTCAATTTAGGCCATTCACCAGAAAAAAAAAACGAGGACCACCGTTCCATGTTGGGCTTTTTGTACCAAAGTAGGTTCTTTCTTCCAGAATCAGAGGCCTGTCTGGTGGTCAAAAGGTAAAGTTGGTCTTGGCTGCTTGTAGTTGGAAAATACCCCACTTTCTCGTCTTGGATGAGGCTGGTGTGGAAACAAACGAGCCCGAGCTGGTCTAGTAAACTAGAGCTGCTTCAATGAATAGAGAGCGTTCCAATCCTTGCCGGGTTAATAAATCCAGGCTGCTCTAATAATTTCTGGCTGCTTAAACAAATCCAGGTCGTTCTAATTCTTCCAGGTCGGTCTAATTCAACCAGCCCGCTCCTCTATACACTAAAAGCTCCAGGCCGGTCTGTAAAAATTTGATTCCAGGCTGCTCTAAAACACAAAGAAAAATTGATACGTGACTCTTGCATTGCACCTTGCCAAAACCTGTACTGTACTGCAACAACCGTGATGACACAATAGAGCTTCTTTATCCCACAGGCACAAAATTAGTTACGGAACAAATCACCGGTTTGGGCTGCGTATCAGCCGTCCCATGCACTTATCAATCTCATGAAATGACCTGCACCGGGATATCTGAGGAAGCCAGAAGCGATTATATGGGTCGGGGCAATGGACAGGTTATTGGCACTCCGCCAAATACGGCGCACCCAGACTACCACACTGAAATTGGAAGTCACAAACTGCCAAGCATGACTGGAAAGGCTTTGGCATATTAGCTCATATAGAATAGCTGTGTATTCGGCAGTGGCTCTACATACTATATAGTTCGAGGTGCGCGGCCTACTTAATCACTCAGGTGGAAATTTTGACTGGCCCTGATCCCGGAGTTTAGTGGACAAAACTATACTGTGATTCTTTGGATAAAAGTGACACTGTCTAGAGAGATTGACTAATGACGCAGTTGTTGGACAACATTAAATGGCTGGATGCGAGGGTTTTGGGCGCGAAAGATGAAAGGCTCTGGGTGCTGTGCCTTAGTAATCACCTGGGAGGCAAATCAGGGCTGCGACGGCGGAATCTGTTCATCTACCGAAAATAAGCCCTAACTGCATTAAAGATTCCTTTTTTCATTTAGATGAAGCTGGACCAGCGGCTAAATAGACAGGCTTCAAAATGAATTTCTGGCCATGACTTTGGAGCCAAACATATAATGATACTAAGAAGATCCCACCATTTGTTGACACAGCTTCAGGCTGATTTTGGCTGCGCAATTCCTCGGGCAGTTTTTGCCGGGGTTCGAGCCCAAAGGATAAAATCTTGGAGTCTTATTGACTCGTAAGGAAACTTGAACTTGTGGCACAACCAATTAATTATCAGGCGATATCACCATTCCAGCTGCCGAATGGACAATCGCTCAGAACATGTTCAGATCTGATGATCGAAAGGGGAGCCAGTCCAATGTTTCCATCGATGTAAAGAGGCTCGTCACGCCCTCTTTTCAAAAGCCCCAAAGTCAGAATGTATGTAAAGAGAGTCATCGAACTGAGGAATGGCTAGACCCGTGGAGTTTTTTAAAAATCATTCAGTGAAGGCACTAATAAGTGGCTGCGAAATATTGCGGCCGTCCTAGGCTATTTGAGATTGGAAGTCGGGAACACAAATCAAAGAATTAGTAGTGGCTCATATTGAGATTTATTCAAGATTATAAACGACTAAATGAATCTTGTAATCTTTTCTTGAGGGAATTAGTACATCATGTGCGACAATAGCTCTTATACTTTTGTTGAACGTGAACAGTTCACTAACCACGTAGATGCGAATTTTTCCTTATTTCGAACTCGCAGATTTAATCAACAAAAATACCAAAGATTACGGTGGGAGCTCCGAAAGTTTTATAGGGGGATTCTAAGTTAACGAACTATGGAATGACTTTATGAATTGGCTTTGATTGCAAAATTTATCCCTACTCACCGGTAAATAGTGGTTTGTACTTTTGGTATGGAAGAGACGTTCATCTAAAAAAATGTAGAAATCGAAGCCATGAGCAATCTCAAGAGCCAGAAGGTTTTACTTATTCTCTGGTCTTACGTCATTCATATCAAAGTTGTAATGCTCACTGAGTCCTTGCCTCGCAAAGTGCTCACTCGTATGTAAGATGCTACGGTCGTACTTGGCTACTCTGGATTTCAAAATATTACTATCGCAATGGTTGTAAATTTATCGTATTTTCGTGGCACTTTCTAAAGCAAGCCTTCCGAAATGTCGAATAATCACAATGCCTTAAAGTTTAAGAGTACATGTGCTTGCAAATATCTTTTCTTGGGAGGCAAGAAACAGAACCTCCTTTGATCAAGTGTCACATATTATGATTGCGGAAGGCCAGAAAAGCTTTATTTACCGAAAGTATCCCAAGATCCAAATTCTGCAGTACTCACAGGTGATGGTTCTCGTGTCCTGAAAGGTATTTTGGGTTTGTCTGCGTGAAAGATCCGTAGCCTCTGGAGAGACTCTGTGAGCTTAAAACACATTTAATTATAAAACAGAACTCCATATAATTGTACATGGAGATAATTCAATGGACACAGGCCCAAATCATTTAGCAATATTTCCTGATCATTATCGTCAGTTCCCAAAGTGAAAATACTCTGGATTTAGATGCGAAAGACGATAAACAGACTACATAACAAATCTGCCAAGTTTTTCATGCCTTCATCTGTAATACTTCACCTCTATACAATGCTCGGGCTAGTTACATGAAACGGCCCCATGTGTTAAGAAAATCAGAATGGTTTCATAATGATGCCAGACGTCAATATTTTTAAAGCCTCGAACCCGTGTGATCTCTATTTTGGGAACTAGAAACAGAAATTGAGGTCTGGACCCTCTAGCCAAATTCGGCCATCTTCTTTTTTAGATTTCGATTTTCATGAACAGCCGTCTTGCGCTGTGAAGTTGCATTGAACGCACAATCAAAAAACTTTAGCAAGCATCATGTCTTGAAAGATAGGAGTGGAATTAAATAATGGCCTAAGTAAATATCTCAAATTCTAACCCCTATTTAGACGTCCTGCTGTAACAGTTGAAACCAAGTCTTTTGGAATTGCATGAAAATGTTTAGGAATTAGTCTCTTGAATACACCGGCAATTTGCAAAAGTGCCGGCTTCAGAATACGCAAAGGAATCCATCAAAACCTTCAAGTCTTCCATACATGCAGCTGTTTATCTTTGAATCGTGCATGGTAACACAATGACTGATTTCATGTTTCTTAATAGTATCCAAAAATTGGCTCCGAAACTACTGCTCCAAGAATCAACTCTTTCTAAAGAGGAATTTAGGAATGATGATCTATTTTTATCAGCGACCGCAATTTTTCAACAATGCCCTCATTTCTAGAAGTGTAGCTAGTAATGACTCTTAAATACGTAAAATGTTTCTTAGTATTCAGATCTTTTCCAACAGCATACACTAAAAGCCAGCTCTTGAAAGTTCTCAAGACGAGCTTTCTAGAGTGAATTTTTTGAACAGTTACCTTAAGGTGAAAATATATTCATATTCATATATATATTGTCATTATACTGTTCATGCTTATACTTATACTTATACTTATACTTATACTTATACTTATACTTATACTTATAATAAAAAAAGTAAAAAGAATAACATTGTCCCTTATTTATCAGAAGTGTTCAAATCAGAATTATTATTTTCATGTATAAGACCCCTCTTATACCCCGTTTCATGTATTCTCGGAATGAGAACGCCTCTCAACATGAATCTTGGAATTTATCTCATGAGGATACCTTTGAACCTTCTTAGTCGACCTGCTGTACCACACCCTCATCAACACCTCAGGACCGGGTCGACAAATAAACATGTCTAATGAAAACATAGCATGGCGAATATCAACAATGGTGTAGTGTTAATGCAATGTGACAGTTGTCCAAGGGTTTGAGATGATCCAAGTTCAGCAAACTCTACAGAACCTTTGATGAAATTATAACTATCTGTGCGACAGACCAATACCTGTGGATCTTGTTCCAAGCATCCGACTGACCGCAAGCAACGTACATCCACCATATACTGATCACAACTCTACACGCTGGAGCACGCCCAATTTGCCTTTATAGTCTCTATACGAGCATATCTAATATTGTTGGAGTAACTCGCCAAAACACCTGAGGCCCTCTGAAATGTCGTGGGTCGAGTTGCCGAATCCAAGGCGGAGCCAGCCAGGCATGCCAAAGACCTCGCCGGGCACAACCAAAGTGCCGTGCTTCTCAATCAATTTCTCAGCAAATTCCATGGACGTGGCTTTGATGTGAAGCTGCAAAAAGCACGTGGAGCCTCCCCGAGGACGTACCCACGACACCTTGTCGCTGTGCTCGTCAACGAATTTCTGCAACACCGCCAAGTTGGTCTGGCAGATTTTGTGGTTTCTCTCAAGAATACGCTCGGTGTTTTGGAGCGCCACTGCCGCCACGGTGTCATCCAACATCAGCACGGAGATGGTGTTGTAGTCGCGCTTCTCCCAGAACCCGGCACTGTACTCCTTGTTCTTGGTCACGATCCAGCCCACACGCAAGCCTGCAAGCGAAAACGCTTTGGACATGGAGCCCGTGGAGATGGCCTTGTCGTAGCCAAAGTCCACAATGGACTTGACCGGCTCTTGCGTCTGGAAATGGAAAAGCGGACGGTACACCTCATCGCACATAATCGTGACGTCGTGCTCCTTGCACAAGGCGACGATCTCGGCAAGAATGTCGTTTTCCCACACAAATCCCGATGGGTTGTTTGGGTTGTTGATGACCAACAATCGGGTATTGTTTTGCGAGATCATGGTGCGGAGCTCATCGAGCCTGGGCCGGTACAGGTCCTCTGCCCTGATATTGAACATGTCAACTTTAGCACCAAACATCTCCGGCACCGACGAAAGTTGCTGGTAGCTTGGAGCCACCACGATCACGTGCTCCTGGGGGTTGACCACCGTGTAGAAAGTAAGAAAGTTGGCAGCAATGGCACCGTTGGTCACCACGACATCCTCGGCCGTGACGCCGGATCCTTCATACAAGGCAGCAATGGCACCCCGGAGTTCGGGCGACCCCTTGATGTGGCCATACGTGAGTTTTGTGCCCAAGAGGTCCTGTGCAATTTTGGCACTGGCCTCCTTGTCCATCCCGACGATCTCCGGGATGGTCAACGAGTCGACGCACGTTTCGCCCATGTTGTAGACGATGCTTGTTTCATGTTTGTCCATGAATTGCTCCACGGCGAAGGCTTCCTGTTTAACCATGTTGGAATGTTGTTTGATGGAGAGACAGAAAGGGTGTGTGGGTCTACAGCGGCTTATATAGTGGTTCTTCTTAGCGCATTCGATGGTCTCGTAACTGGAAGGCGATGGAATGATCATATTGCGCTTTGCGCTCTTCGGGGGCTTTTTGCGCGATCTCCACAGAGGGTAAGATACGCCGAAGCAGGACAGACAGCGGAAAATGGACTGACGGGCTGGAGTGGAGATAGTTTGGATCATAGTCAGCACTGCTTTACCACGAGTAAGAGTGTGTTTCTGCTTGGAAAAATGGTCCATTCACCTCATCCCCATGTGACACTAGCTGCCATGGTTTTTGCAACAACGAGGTTCAGCTTATCTACCGGAACTGGTTCTCCGCAGTTCTAAGATATATGCAATATAGCCAAGAGTTGTGGAGCCGCCAGAGATAAGGATTCCTATTTTTTCTGCATACTAAACACGTAGACAGCTTTTGTTGATTTTGGGGAACTGACTGCTTCCACGTAAAATTTTTGTGCTAGAGCTCGGGCACCGGAATTGGCTGGCTGGCTTTCTGCGATACCCCGGATCTTAACTTCCATGTAGTACTAGAAAAGGGTCCACTGGTTATTGCCAGCTATCAATATACGCGATGAAATCAAGACAAATATCAGGACGATGAGTCCCATTTCTCTAAACCTCTCAACTTCCAGCACCTACGGTGACCTCCTCAATCATTGAAATAGGCTCATCACTTTGAGCAACCGTTTTACCGTCTTTCATATTGGGGGCTAAAATGATCCCGTCATGAAATTTTGCATCATGTGCTTGATATTTTTGCACACAGTTACTTAAAGCCCCAGCCAGGGATTTACGTTCTTTACAATAGCTGAGAATAACTATTCTCGCTCCAGTCAATTTTTGCGTGGGGGACGTCATTGCTCATTCACCTGAAAAAAAATAGGTCACGGCAAGCAAAAATGACATGCTGTCCTATGAATGCTTTTGAAAGTGAATCTTCGTAAACAAACCCACCGAATTCCCGTCAGAATAATGAGAAAAGCAAATCGTCTGGGGGTCAAAGGTATCAATCAAAGACCAGAAACAGTTTGTGAATTATTCCAAGTATTATAGCTGTGTTTACTCCGTATTATGGTTTCAAAGTGCATCTTCGCCTACCCATGCGCTAGGCGTTCTCAGGCTTGGTCTTAAGCTTGAGTCATCACTGCAGGCTATCCCGAAAATGGCATCCAACACCGATAGCAGGTGCTGGTGTGTATATTGGCGTTGTTGGGAATTCTATGGACCATACAGACTGCTGGCAATTTCGGGGAGAGTGAAAATTTTTCACACCAGTGAAGAGCTTTGAGTCCAAGCCACTTGAAAAAGAGACAAGAACTAAACCTTCAGACTTCAGAGAGTGTTTCCCGAAAGGTGACGAGGATGGGAAAACGTTTTTTCTTGGTCTTATATAGCGGACTGTGAGGTGACCCTAAGCAGTGACCAATTATTATGTGAATCTCTGCAACGACAGTTGGACAGATTCCAGTAAAGCGACACTAATAAAGTAGAAGCAATTTTTCTTCCTGTGAAAGTTCAAAGCTTGGTATAATTAGCTCCTTGCTGAATGACTATCATTTTTGAAAGTGCTAACGGCTCAAACCTGCACACTTAAACGAAAAACATAGAATTATGACAGTATTTCATAACCTTGGTGTCAAATTCCCGCAGGACTCATTCAATAGCAATCAGAGCAAGACAAGCGAGCAGTTTGTTTTTTCTTAACTGCGGTTAAGAGTTTTCTGGAGTTTCTGCAGATACCTCCTGTAGTTTCCCTCGATCTAATCCCGACTACGTGATGATATTAGCTGAAGGTAGAGCTCTGCAATAGAGGAAGTTGCTTCATGCGTACAGATATGCAACAAAAATTGGGGTTCATTCCAGCGAAATGCTATTCGTGCATTTGGTACTATGGTTTCTCCCAGAAATTAACTTTGCAGATATAGTGTTGCTCAAACATCGAGGATAGGTATTTTCAACTCTATAACTATCTCAAATTGCCAAAGATATTTTCTCTCTTTCATCATGCAAGCAATTGATGCCCTGGTATCTAGCACGTTACTGTCAGCGCTTTCAGGTGGAGAAACTGGATAATCCTCCGATATTATTGTCCTACTCGTCACGTACCACGCAAATCCGACCAAGCTTCCAAAAGGGAAGATTAGACCAGCGTAGAGTAATTGTGTCCAAAGTCCACAAAAGCTACAGTCAGTCAATCCATCAAATTCAAAAACCCTTAATTATTATAGTTAAACCCCTTGTCCCCAGATAAAATTTAAATCCGAACGGCTCGACCGATTTTAATGTATAAAAAAACCAAATTGGGCACCCTCGTTTATGATTTCAATTGCCTGTACTTGTACTTGTACTTGTGTGTGTGTGTGTGTGTGTGTGTGTAAATGTACAAGCACAATCATTATTCAATCAATTTCGAAGTGCCCCAGTCTGGTAAGTGACATCGCAGATGTCAGATTAGTTGCTTCCAGAAACAGAAGTCTTCTCGGCTTTGTTCATGAGAGACTCGTTAGAACGTTCTTCGTCATCGATTCTCTGGTTCTTTACCTTTTCGAACAAAGCATCTCTTTCAGCTTTCGACAACTCATTCTTCTTTTTGCCCTTGATATGGTACATTGGATTCAAGGACCTCAACGTGACGTTCTTGAGCAATGGCAAGTGACCGTATTTCTCTTCGAAACCCATCAAAAAGACAGTCACAATGATAAAAAGCCAGTAGATATTATAGGAGATGACAGAGCCGTAGGTGGCAGAATTTTGCCAGCCTAACAAGGCATTGAATACATCCCACCCGTTGTCCAACTCGGGGTTGCAGCAGTTAACATGCCATACAGACTTCTTAATGTTGTAGGTACCTGGACCCGATCCATTTTCAGAGGCGTCTCCACCAGTGAGCTGGTTGAAAACGTAGGTTTCGAAGAACCAGATGGCCCTGGAAAACAAACCTGCCGAAATCAAGTATAAGACGCACGTGGACACGATCAAGAAAATTTGCAACGAAAAGTTGGCTCCGGTGTAGTACATGATGACACCAACAAGGAGACCCGCAAGTAAGCCACAAATCACAGGAATGGGGAAAGAAGTAGCAGATGAGCTCAAACCAACTCCACCCACAAAAACGACGGCCTCCAAACCTTCTCTCAACACAGTAATAAAAGGCAAAATAAACATGGCATATTTCTTAGCATAATGACCAAACCCAAGCCACTTCTTCTTGGAGTCCTCAGGAGTTTTGACCAATGCCTGTGCCAACTTGACTCTCCACTTTTCTTTCATTTTGTTGACACGTAACATGGCAAGACCCATGAATGTGATCATGATGGTGGCAATAAGACAGAAAATACCTTCCCACAAGTCTTCAGACTCTGACCATACATCGTCTTTAAGAGTATAAAAAACAGCGATGAAAGCACAACCAATACACAAACAGATTAAGAGTCCTAGACCTGACCCTAGCCAGACCTGTTTTCGTAATCGTTTGTAAACAACTGGGTCTTCGGTGGCACCTCCAAGACCTTGTTTTAAGAATGCCAAGAGAACAGAGACCACCACGACAGCCTCCAAGGATTCTCTAAAGACCACGAAGAAGATCTCAACGTTGAAAACGTCAACCATTTTGCTCGGTATTTATTGGCAGCTAGGATCTGATCCCCACGGTTACAGTGAAAGAATTGACTAACTTTATCACTTGGGAGAGGAAATCTGTGTGGAAAGAGCAGATGAGAAAAAGTCTACGACTATTTATACCCTGATGAATCTGGGTCTTCTACATAAGATGGCAAAAGATAATCTGCCCGAAAACGCACTGTGCCAATTATATGCACGCCGATCTGTATGCGCATCTCGTTACTCTCACTGTGCGGCTCACATATGCGGGTGCGGGATTTTTGCCTGCGACACTCCGAACATTCAAAGGTGTATTACATCAAATGAAAAGATTATGATTTAATTCTAGATAGCATCTCCCTCTGAAAACAACACATGCACTATCACCTGGAGAGTTATATTGCCATTGCTCAAAGCCCAATTTATCTTTAAACTTTACAAGCGTGACACCTGCATCTGTGGTCCCGCATGGGCAGCATCATTCGCGTTCAAGAAAAATTTTCAACGCAAAGACCTGCCATTGATGCGTTTGATAAGATTTGACTCTTGCAGATTACGAGAAGAATTTTCCTCGATTTCGGACTGTTATCTTTAAGGAGAACTTTGTTTTCTCTTCGATTTAAAGGCTGTGAAAGTCATTTTCCTACTCTAAGTCATCTTGGAGGTTATAAAAGACATTAAGTTCAGGGCCATTCAAAAATCGAGGGTACGGGTTTGTGAAGCCAGGAGCGGGGCTCCATAACGCAAAAGAGCCGATACCGGAGAATCTTGCTATTGACCGATGTAATGCAGTCGCATTTTCATGGCTCCGACTCCCTGCATTCTCTCATTGGACTACTCATGAAGACACATGTGTGTCATTGGCTGTGGCACTTGCTTAAACAGGCAGGAGTTGCGTGCCCTGCGCCCTGGGCTTTTGTCCCGTGCACTATCGAAACGATCGACCCCAACACAATGTTGTACCGAGATTTAAAGTCCGATGCGGAATTGGCTTACCTCGAATTCTGATATTTTTATGTCGCGGGCTTCATTCCAGATTATTCATTCATCATCGTATTCATCATATATAAAGACAGCCAATGAAAGGCGGACGGCTATACTTGCCTGGATGTGTATACTAAAGTTGAATCTGCCGATCTAAAAATCCAGAGTGAGGAAGCTGCCATCCAGATTTTAAGATTAAACTTTCACCATCAGGCAAGCACCACCCCTATCAAATTCAATTCCATTATTTGGCCTCTCGTCCAAGCTAGTCTGGTAGTTTTCTAAACTCAAAGATTGAATCAATTTTTGGGAGACGAAATGATAGGAAAGGTTTCAAAAGGTAACAGACATTTATGGTTGCAAGGCAGACTTTTTTTTCTCTTATTATCCTACTACCATTCCCAACTTCATGACATTATGGAGCGCTATTGATGTTGGCTTTAGAGACTGTTGACTACTAGCTGTTAACCCTCGGATTTTTCATAAAACAATCTATCGACATCTAAGACTCAGTGAATTTCTGGTCTTCTCTTTTTTGTACAGGTATTACACAGAACGTTTTAATTCTAAATGAAAGTGAATTCTTCTGGAGGTGAATCTCCTTCGTATGCTAAGATCCGCTTTTCTTTAGTCACCATTACATCACTACAAAGAATATGGCAAAGACACATGGGCCCTCGAACCAGACTATATAAATTCTCCAAGGGTTGATTTTGTTTCCGGTATCGAAATTGTTCTCTGTAAGTACCTGATTTCCAGTGCACGTCCCTGTGAGGTCTTGTCATGAAAATAAAGTATGGCCCAGTGGTTTGATAAATTCATATTTTGAAAAAGCAGTAGCTTAGACTTTAATTCCAAGGCCTATGTCAGCTTGAAAAGAACAATAGCTTGATTATTTGGTATGTGTGGCTAGTGGCTGTATTACGAAAATAATAAGGAGAAATGCTGCTCGATAATCTACAAAATATCATTTCTAAAACAACTAAAATTCGAAGAGGCTCTGCTTGAATGTTTGGGTATTCAGGTTGAACATGCGGTTTTTCAGGAGAGATATATTTAGGAATATCCACGTTTTTAACATCCGACATAAGTGATATGGCATGTATGGCAATGACGTCCTCAAACATCTGAAGGTATCATGATCGTCACATGCTACTCACGTAAAAAGCAAAATGTTCTTAGTTTTCCAAAATATCCGTGATTGCTTCAAACATGTGCCTTCTAACATAGAGAGCCTACAGATGAGACCACTCTGGGTATTTTCCTCGGGACTCTTTAATTGTATCCTCTCTTGAAGCAGTCTAGAGGTTTGTGCTTGATACTATAATTGGAATCGATGTTACGACCTTAAAGATCTGACAAAATTTTGTGATTGACACTGCATACTCTTCAAAGATCAGGTGACGGGTAACACAGTCATCTCCTCCTTAAACGAGGTTATCATTGACCTCAAGCTTTTACTTTTGCAAAGCAGACCAACAATTTGTTAAACAAAGCGAATGTTGAAAATACATATGATAGTGAACGAGAAGGGTGAGACTTATATGATCAGGAAAAATGATTTGGAAGTAGGCGTTATACTCCTTGTGCTAGTCTGAAAATCCGGGTAGATAAGATATTTATAGCTATCTGCTGATCTCATTCAAGATACTCAGCATCATGAATATGGCAACAGGTAGCAAATTACGACATTGAATTTCTGTTCACAAAGAGAAAGCCTAGGAAGGAATGCTCTGTGACGGCCCAAATTCCTATGCTGATTGTGGTCTATATATAAATATTCGTCCTTATAATCAAAATGATACAGGATGATACATGTACGCTGCTTGAAAGTTTAAAGAATCTACGGAAATTCTCGCCGCTGCATGTAAAGCAAGGGCATGCATTATAGACTAGTTTTTGGATTCTGCTTATGAGGTTTTCGGCTAATCGTGGAACTGAATAATTCTTAGACTCAAAAAAAAGGCAAACTCAATTCTGGGCATATTTTCAGTCCGAAAAAAATGCTTTTCGTTGCCTGATTCAAAAAGCTCGTCAGCCAATAGTATTCCAAAAAAGACTGATCAATGAACTGACACTTTGCAATATATGCATAAAAATATGCATAACACAAGCTTGACCGGCTCAATAACAAAAGCGACGCAGCTTTAATACCAGTCATGAAGAAAACAATCGGAATTAGGGAAATTCAAAGGACGGGAGAAATCTTTGGGGACGTCATGCTGAAGGCACGAAAAAAGACAAAAATAACTGATAGAAAGCAAAAAGAAAAATGTTGTCAACTACATTTGGCAATATGGAAACTAGCACCGAGTACTAAACGATCTTCAAAGCCGTTAGTTCTGTGGTGACGCAGGGGAAATGTCAATCGTAATTTCGTGACACTAGCGGGCTCAAAGAAACCAAATACGACGTTGCATCTAACATCAGTACTGTTTCAACCGACATCCCGGACCTACCCCTTGTCAACTGCACATATCTTATGTATCGTCAGCACATGCAGTTATGAACAAAATGATAGGAGTACCTGCGGATTTCAAGTTCCCGCAGGAGTAGAAAATTCCCTTCAACTAGAGACCCTCGTGAAAAATCGTACCGGACATGAAGTAAGTAAGGTCCTTTTTGGATTTTCCTGGCATCTATAAAAATCACAAGATTCAAAACACAGTCTTCAAAGACCCAGATGGCTTACCTGCACATCCATCGGAACGTGAGCACATGTGACAGTATTGATTGGAATTGACGTATTAGTTGCTCTGGTTCTTCTTTTGCGCCATTAGTACATCTTGCGGTAGACGAATAGCCGTGGCGGTGATGGTAATGTACTCCGACTCTGAGCCGTCTAGTATATCTGGACTATATATATCGAAGCTTTTGGGCACGACTAATGCCGCCAAGTGTTTATCGAGAATAGAAGACCAAAACTGGCACTCCTTTCAAGAACCTGCGAGCCTTCCTAATATAAGAAATTCGACCACACAAATCAAGGGCTAGGGTCAGCATACTGCCAAACAAAAATGCTCAAGAACAATGAAAGGGCAAGACGCGCGCAAGAACACCCGTCTACTGACTGCATGTCCTAGGCTCCTGTACATAGGTTCTTCCCCGCGCTGCTTCAGTTAAACGCGCAGTCATGTCCGTCAACATCAGCAAGTTTCTAACTTATTTAGATACCCCGGCTGCCCCGGTTCCAAATCCTCCTAAGAAACCTCACTTGATGAACATCATGAGTGACAAAGACCAGATAGACGATTTCGCCTCGCTTTTTCTTCCGGACCTCTTGAATGGCGCTGATTCGCAAGACGACCCGCCGCTACCCGCCGGGTCACGTGACCATGTTTCCCCTGCCGCCAGCTCCACCAGCTCTGGAAGTCTTCTCCGCTTCTTTGAGGCATCGCAGCAAAACGGTGTTTTGGCCCCGCTTGCAGAAATGACGCCGCCTCTCCGTTCAGCTCCCAAACCGATCCAAAACTTCGGGCACGTGACGCGTCATGTGACGCCACAAAACCCTGGTCACGTGCCGTACCACGTGACCCCTGTACCAGCTTCTGCCGCCGGTGGCCATAACGTCTTCGTGCCGCCTTTCCACGACCCTTCTGATACCGCCAGATATCGGGCGGAGCCCAGTGTCCCCCTGAGCAATGCATTCATGAAATTCACCACTCCTGGGCTTCCCGGAATGGATCAGAATCTCATCCTGGAGATGCCCCTGGATACTGATCTCACTCCCACGGCCAGCAGCTTCAGTCACAACCTTCTGTCGTTTCTGAGCCTCGACATGGGCTACATGCTGCACTATATGGATCCTTCGCTCTCTGAAGCTGCATCCGTGCATCTCCGAAGGCCCTGTCAGTACCCCTTAGCACAATTCCAACACGATTATAACACAACAACTCAAGGTCAGTATGATCCTACCGCCTGGGCTTCCACAGTGGAGCCTGCCACGCTCAATAAGGGCCTGCTAGAGCCACAACAGGGAATCCGCTACTCGCCACATGGCTCTGGTGGCTTAGACATGTCTAATGCCGAAATCTTAGGTGAGACAGGGCCTGTAGGCCGTGTTTCGAAAGATCGACGTGTCAAGACAGAAACATCCGGTACTTTTGGCCACAAGACTAGCAAGCAGCCAAAAACCCCACTCTCGCAGCAAAAACCAGACAGCCTGGTAGTCTCGCCAATCACTGTAGACTATTCCGACAGCGCATTGGACCAGCTTGTGGACCTAAAACCAATGCAGCCAATTACCGCTAGCCAGCCAGTAACCTCGGGCCAAGTTCCTGTCAAATTTTGTCTACAGGGCTTCCTCAATGGTCGTCTTCTTTCCAACGACCAGGACAACTATAACTACATCTTTCTGTCAGTTGGCACGGTTCATCCTAACCAAGTGTACCAGCCGCAAGTTATCTCGTGTTACAGGCGTAACTTCATTAACCTACATCTATGCTTTCATATTGACTCGCCATCAACAAGCATGACAATTGGCGAGGAGAAGATTCTTCGCTTGCGTGTGGCGGTGAGTGCGATCACCGACAAAGACAAAGCGGAACAAGTGGCGCTTTTGGCCAATGAACATCGAACAGACCCTAAGGATGCGCGAAAGGCTGGAGACAGCTTGGAGGTGGAGCGTATTGGTACTTCTCATACAATAAATGTGGCCCAGTGCAAGCGCAAATCAGTCTGGAAGGTCAAGAAGTTACAGTTTAAAAGTGCGACCGCGAACAGTACAAACCTTGTATTTCAAACCTACTACAGGTTCTTGGTCCAAGTCTTTGCCGAGACCTCTACGGGCAGCCACGTCATTGAGGAATTGGCAAGTAGCCCAATCATCGTGCGCGGCCGCAATCCATCGTTCTACCACTCGAAAAATGACATATTAATCAAAGCAAAGTCACCTGGAATTGCTGCGAGCTTTGGTCACGCGGGCTTCGCTGAAACTTTAGTCTCTGATGATCTTGCTGGCCAAGAGTCAAATCCCACCAGCGAAATAAGCACAATGGCAACCGCACAAAAAAATTCTATGGATGGGAGTGCAATTCAGGAAATGAAGCAGGAATCACGAAGTCCTGATTTGTTACTAAAACCTGATACACCTTGTTCCGAGAGAGAATCTGCACGAAGCGATCACACACACACGAGCGATGATGAGAATGAGCCCGTCGATATTTCCAAGTCGAAGGAGGAAAATCGCGTATTTCAAGCGCCCCGTGATCTTCAAAAGATTCTAGACTCTTTGAGCGAGAAGAAATCCGACAAATATCATTATTTTCCAATTCTGAGCGTGTACTACTTGCCTCCCATCAACGTGGTATATTTTCCGCATGCAGCTCACCACACAGAATCAACAAGCGCCCCAGAAGATGCATCAACGACAGAGTCTGTGAATATACACACCCCAGACAGCAATTCAGGAAATGAGCGTAAAGCGAATTCGAAGGTTTACTTTCGATGAACTTTGCATAGAATATAGGGGCAGGTCATTAAAAATGGTTGAACTAATCACCTGTCAGTGTCTAGCTTTCCATGAATTGCTGTCAACAGTGGCTCATGAGATTATGCTTCTACCGATGGAGCCTGCTCACAGTGGGGATATGTGTGAGATTTAGTCAGGGAAATTTGTTTGTAATTCATCAACTTCTACTTTCTAACGTAATTTAATGTCGCATCAGAAGCAGTGACATATGTATCTCAAAAGTTGCCGCCAGCCAACAATCAACTAATGAGGTTTAGCAGAGACGAACCCTGGTACATGGATTCTATTGCAAGCAACTTCATAAAAAGCTCTTTCTCAATACAGGCATCAGAGCTAGCTTATTCGAATCAGGCCGAGGATTCTCCCAAGTACCAAGCCTTCTTCGCGTTTGATCGCTTGTTTACCTAGTCACTTTTTGCACATAAAAACTCGTCCTTATCTAACCTTCTCTGATAGCTATACTCAGATTGGAAAGAGCTGTACATGACATCTGGGTGGTTTGTCACATCTGCAGAATAAGCGCACACGTCTTCAGGAATCAAGACTTTTGCCCGCTTGGCCCCCGCAGCAGCAGCGTCAGCCAAAAGCTGCACCTGACACGATTTTTCCATGAGCATGAACAAATACGCAGCTTCGTCCACTGTCTTTCCCATTGTGAGTAGCCCATGGTTTTGCAAAATAACGGCCCGTGCACCGCCAGCTGCATCGGCGATTTCCTGGCCCTCGTCGCCTTCGATTGCTACTCCCCCGAAATTCTTGTACACGGCCTGTGTGTTGTAAAAAACACATGCATCCTGGTTCAACATCTCAATTGGTTGGCCGAACGCAGAGTACGCCTTGCCGTAAACTGAATGTGCATGGCATGCCGCGTTGATATCGGGCCTGGCCTCTTGTAACGACAGATGTATGGCAAACCCTGCCGCATTGATGGGTGCCTGATTCCCATCAGGCAAAATATTGCCCTTGCGATCAACATGCACCAAATCGGCGGGACTTATCATGGCAAAGTGCACTCCCAATGGATTGATGAAGAATGTGGTCGGATCTACTGGGTCTCTCAATGATATATGTCCTGCCTCGCCCTCACTGTAACCAAAACGGGCAAAAACACGAAATGCCGCCGACGCATGTTCAAGCATCCATCTGCGTTGTTCATACTTATCACCGAACGTGGGGGGCACGTGGGGGTTGGCCCCCCCTTTGGACATGTTATTTGCGCCTGCAGACTCAATCTTATATCCTTTTGCTGTGATGGCTTGATCTGCAGATGGCGACATTATTGGGGATATAAGACGAAGAATGCAGAGGAAGAAGGAGAGCTTTTGTATTAGAACGGAGGCTAGTATATGAAGGCCGGCTAGCGATGGAAAAGGCGGGCCGAGCTGGCATCGCGTTTCCTCATTAGGAAACCCGGGCACTATCTGGACAGCAGACAGAGCCGTATTTGGAAATACGCGCGGACGTGGCGCGGTAATAACCAGATGCGATTGGTCTCTCTTCATTTGCAACATATACTTGAATTCATGCTCTAGTAAAGCATGCATTATAGGTGCCGGTAAATATTTCATCCTTATAATTTTCAGCTGGCTTGTGCGCATTGCATGTTTTCACTTGAAACCAATCGTGGCTTTTTTATCAAGCACCGATCTTCTTGCGCTCCCGAGAATTCAATCTGCGCCTGTCTGGGGCCAGGTATTTTTTGAACTTTTTTTTTTGCCTTTAATTGAAAGTGTTTTTCATTGCCTGACTACAGTGCAGTATGTTGTCAATTACATATTCATGTCGTCATGAACGTGTGAGTCATTCTCTCCGTCATAGGTCCAGTCGCGTATATTGTCACCTTGCGAGCATCCCTTGGAGTCAGGTTGAATAAACTCTCTTTTTGCATCTGGTTTGATGCAGACGGCCAAGTATTTATGACTTTACAGCTGGATTTTCAGCCACGTTTTTTATAGCGAAAGTACTCGATAATACCTCTGGCACCTCTAGCCCCAAATTCTTGGGTGTTCAATGATGAATGAGGCACACTTTCATGGTATGTTTTCACACATAAAATCTAAGTCAACGGGCTTTTGCCTTTTGTTCTACTGGAGAAATCTGTTCTCTGTGAGCCCTTAGGACACATGCGTTAGTATTTAACAAAGATATCGCTCCAACCAAACACCCCAATGAACGCTGTTAAGAGCTGATGGTTTGATAGTTAAATGTGGTCTTTCGAATGGTCAAATTCTACTTCATAGACAACCATGCGCCTAGAACTGATTTCAACTCCTAAAGGACTCTGTCCGTACTTTGCAAACATGTCTCTTCAGACGAGCGCCTTTTTTGAGCAGCTTTTCTTTAACATCCAATTTGCGTTTCCGGAAAAGAGATGATTTTATCAGCTTTGCATTTGATGAACTATAGCATACAAAGTTTAACAATAAAGCTTCGTGAAGTAGTATTCAGATTATCACACTCAGATGTCTGACTCTGTATTGCTCTAGTACTTCAGTATTTGACAAGTCCTAACGGTCCAGGGCTGGGTCATTCAAAGCGTGTGCAATGGATATTTGAATGTTTGTGTTCTTTTACATAATATTTTCACCCAACATTTTTACCTGGCTCTATTTGAAGAAAGCTACTATTTCAGTGAGTAAGGCTTCCTGGATACCTTATCTGAAGCAAAGTCAGCTTGAAAAAATAGATTTCTTTTCACTTTTAAGCAACATATTTCTAGCAGCATCTCACATTTTCTGACTAAAAGGATGAAAGTACTAGCAAGGCGTTACTCCTCTAGTTGTGCCTCGAAGTCCTCATGAAAGAACATACCTGGATCTTGAGTTGTTCGGATCGACGTCTCATTCAATAGTAAACCCTGGAGTACCTTTCGATTATTATTCTTTTGCTATGGTTCAAAAACTGATAAGTCGTTTTTTGAACTCCCTTTCCTTGAGAATTTGCTTTCATATCCCGGTAAATCCTTGCAGTCATGAGTATCTCCTGTATATCATTACTTCGTGGACATAGAACAATTTGACGTAGGACTGCATGTCATGCTTCGAATCCCGTGTGCAGGAAAGGGGTACTACCATCTAATGGCGGATAGGTCCACGTTGGGAAAGAGCTGCAATTGTCAGTCGATTTAGAGTCCAGTCCAGCAATTTATCGGAATCGTTAGCTTTATATCAAGATCGCTAGATTCATACGGCAGCCAGTGAACAGGCGAAAGTTGCCAATCTTGATAATCTTCAGTCACGGGGGAGGTCGAAACCCATCGAAGTCACATTTTTATAGAAGAGGTTTAGTGCTTAGGTTTGTTCGGCTGAATCAATGGATTGGAATAACTCACCTGGTGTTTCAATTGCTATGATAAGATTGCGCTTCGCGCTTATGATAACGCGAGGCTCAACGCGCATTAGTCGTCTTACCTAAAACGGCAATATGGGGCTCGCTGATAAAGACGACATGTGATATATAATACGATATGAGCTTCTTCGTTGATCATGACCAGCAAAAACAATCAGAAGGATCTTTCCTCTTGTGTTATTTGTGAAAGCCAGGTCACGAAAATCGTCTTTTCACCATGTTGAACAAGCCCTGGGAGAAGCCCTCGGAGAAGCTGAGTGCTACCTATGAAATCTCAAGCATACCATCGTTTGAAGACGAAGGTATAAAGAAAAATGTCGTTGGACTTGATCTTTTCGAGCATGCGGACGAGATTTCTGACGAGGAGATGCAGGCCGAATTGACCCGCATCAGACGCAAGGTCGACTGGCGCATCATGCCGGTGCTCTGTATCACCTATACGCTCCAGTTTCTTGACAAGTTGAGTTTGAACTATGCCTCGGCATACTCCTTGAAATCCGACTTGGGTCTTACTGGCCAGCGGTACTCTTGGGTGGCCGCCATCTTCAATTTTGGCTACTTGTTTTGGGCGTTTCCTTCCAATTGGATCATCCAGAAAGTGCCCGTAGCCAAGTACACGTCGGTGATGTTAGTGGTATGGGCAATAATTTTGATTTGCCACATTGCCGCCACCAACTATGCGGGCATGTTGGCGTTGCGTTTTATCTTGGGCATGTTCGAAGCAGGAATCTCGCCTACGTGCATGATGATATGCGGTATGTTCTACTCCAAAAACGATCAGCCTTTTCGCATGTGCACCTTCTTGAGTTGCAACGGGATTGCCACTGTTCTTGGCGCGCTTCTTGGATTTGGGCTTGGCCATGCAGACGGCGGCTCGCTCCAGTCGTGGAAATTGATTTTCTTGACTATTGGGCTCATGAATCTAGTATGGGCCGTGGGCTTCTTTTTCTTGACACCCGACTCGCCCGCCACGGCCGGTTTTCTTACAGAACGAGAACGCACTATTCTAATCAAGCACATATCCGAAAACGACCAGGGTGTCAAGGACCAACGGTTCCTCTGGCCACAGGCCTTGGAGGCCATGAAAGATGTGCAAGTTTACATCTTCAGTTTGATTGGCTTGGCATGCGGCGTCATCAATGGTGGTGTGTCCAATTTCCAGTCGTCGTTGATTGCCGGATTTGGCTTTGGTCCTTTGGCTACCACTGCTTTGCAAATGCCCACGGGTGCCATTGAGTTTGTGGTAGTTTTTGCTTGTGGGCTTATTGCCTTGAAAGTGCCCAACACACGGTGCATTATATTCTGTGGTCTTTGCGTGCCTGGATTGGCGGGCTTGATAGGCATTCACTTGATTGAGAACAACAGCTGGGCGCTGGTGGGGTGCACATGGCTTCAATATATCATTGGCGGGCCAGTGATTTTGAGTTGGATATTCATCAATGCCAACATTGCAGGAAGCACTAAGAAAACGGTGACCAGTGCTCTTTGGTTCATGTTTTATGCCGCTGGAAATATCACGGGTGCCAATATCTTTTTTGCCGAGGAGTCGCCTGATTACACCAGCGCGATGATCGGGCTCATGACCTCATATTCGGGCATGATTGCGCTCGGAATTGGCTACTACTTTCTTTGCAGATGGCGGAATGCCAAGCGAGAGCAGGAGCAGGGTGAATATACGGAAAAGATCAAGAAGCAGGCGATGCTTGACGGATTTGCTGGTATGACTGACTTCGAAAACAGAGGCTTTAGATACTCTTTATAGGTCAATCTCCAACTGCTTGACTCTTCTTTAATTTAAACCAATTCTTATGCGCTTACTGAGATACTTTCAATCCTTGAGCTGTACAAGGCAAGAATTGGTGTACTTGGTGCTTGTTTCAAAAGGCCAAACAGTCAATTCAAAATATGAGCCACAGTTTATCAGTTTATTTTTCAGGGGAGAACGTTGGAAAGTAAATGTCATCGTCCCATAGGAAATGTTTTCCTGAAGGCCCGTGGCCATAGTTTATTTGACAAGGCGACAATACCAAGAAAGGTTTTTCTTTATAGCTTTTCGTTACTGGGGTTTTACATCTCTCCAGTGACACCCTATAATATGATGTTTCTCAAAAAAAAATGTCTTTGCCTCCTGGTCCCTAAGCAAGTGAACCCTGCGAACAATTTTAACAAACCAATTGAGGTTTCTTGAATTTTTTTTATTTTTTGGTAGATTTATCTGATTAAAGGAGCAAAACTATTTAATAATATGGACGGTCCTCTTGGCCCGTATCTGTTCACGTATTGGAGATTACGTCATCGGCTCCTAGGATAGGTCTCCTGTAGTAGTCGCTTCAACTCGGATGGTTGGAGCGGTTTTCCTGCGACTCGCCACGCCTTCTGGTGTATACCTTAAAAATCGTGAAGACGAACCAATTTAATTTTGTTAAGTTCCCCAAGTTTTCAATCTTGTAGTATAGGGCACGAGATAGGGAAATATAGACGGTCAATTCTCCTGCATAACATGGCTTTGTAAGTGGGGAAAGAGGGTATGAAGTGATGGTAGTTTGCCAGGTCCTCTACCTTGAGTTTCTTTGGGATATTTGAAGGAACTATCTTGCAGGTTGGGTTCAGGTGCTTGCCTTTAATGCTTTGGCTCTCATTAATTCTGAGCGTCTAAGATTTCGAGTTTCAGTTTCTAGTCTTCTTTCCCTACTGTCTTGCCCAAATATTACCACTCCATCAAAACTTTTATGTTACAGGCTCAAGTTGTCTCTTAACTACGAGTAGATAGGTTTATAGATAGTTCAGCCTCCGTGAATGGGCCTAAACTATCTGTAGTACTCTTGATGTCTAAAAAGTGTTGTCCTTCTTCTCTGGGGATCTCTTATCCTGACACTCCTTTATAGTTCTGAAACGTTCTATACAGTAGGTGAGGGGTAACCCTTATCAGGAATGTTTGGACTCTCTGTCCCTCGTATTATACAGGACTATCTAACTTTATCATGTTTTTATTATCATAGCATACAGGAAATTCGAATAAGGCTCTGTGGCCGAGCGGTCTAAGGCGGCAGACTCAAGTTCTGTTATCGTAAGATGCGCGTGTTCGAATCACGCCGGAGTCATTTTTTGCTTTTTACGACACGATGGAAGTTGTGCCAAGAGTATTGGAAGATATCCTCTCCAAACAAGAGGGTTTTTTTATAACTTGAATATGTTTATGTGGAGGTGAATGTGTCCCGTGTCGAGTAACAAAATCAAATTGGTTAGTCACCACGATTTTCAAGGTTTACACCAGAAGGCGTGGCGAGTCGCAGGAAGACCGCTACAACCATCTGAGTTGAAGCGACTACTACAGGAGACCAATCCTAGAAGTCGATGAAGTAATCTCTAATACGTAAACAGATACGTGCCAAGAGGACCGTCCAGGCCGTGATCAACGGAAGGGGACGGGTCGAGTTTCGACTCATGGTACTTAGCTGGGAGCTGTTTAAAGGTTTTTTATATATATTACTCATATAGTTTTGCCCCTTTAATCAGATGAATCTACCAAAAAAAAAAGCATATACTTGCCACGAGCCCAACACAGGCTTCGTGCATTGCATTCATCTATGTAGTAGCCACATTTAAAAGAGACCGCTTCCTTCAAAAGCTGCCTCCACCAAAGCTACTTCCCAGAAAGCCTACTTGTTCTCGGCTCCGTAGGCCCGCGTAGCGTACTTGCCGTCAATCACAATCAAGTCCTGGGCACGGTAGTCAAACTTCTTCGAGAAGTAGCTCTCCAAAATATCCCTGGTGCCCGCCGCGTAGCGGGCCTGGGCGTCGATGGAGGTGCCGCTCACGTGAGGCGTCATGGCATTGCCCCCGCCATACTTGTTTCTAAACGATCTCCAAGGGTGGCTGTCGGGCGCCGGCTGGGGGTACCATACGTCTCCCCCATAGCCCCGGAGCTTGCCCAGGCTGACGGCGTCCGCCACGTCCTGCTCCACGCAGATGGCGCCACGGGCCGTGTTGACCAACCACGCACCGTCCTTCATGTGGCTGATGAGCTCCTTGTTGAACAAGCCCTTGGAGCCCTCGTGCAAGGGGCAGTTGATGGTCACCACGTCGGCTTGCGCAAGCATGTCCTCAAGCTTCTCGACGCGCTGCACAATGTCGCCGTGGCCGTTGAACAACTCGGACGCGGCATTGAGCTTGTCCACGGCCGCCCGCGGCAAGTCCTGGTAGTCGAAGTACAAGAGCTTCTTCGGGTTGAAGGCCACCAAGCGTTCCAAGACGCGGTAGCCAATGCGGCCCGCGCCCACGGTGGCCACCACCTTGCCCTCCAAATCGTAGGTGTCCTTGGCGACGGCGGCAATGTCCCAGCCGCCCTGCATGGCCTGCTCGTGCGCCGGCACGAAGTTGCGGACCAAGTCCAAGATGGTCATCATCACGTGCTCCGCCACGGACTGCACGTTGGACCCCGTGACCTCGGCCACGGTGAGTTTGTGCTCGTTGGCGGCGGCCAAGTCCACGTGATCCGAGCCCACGCCGGCGGTGATGCACAATCTCAAGTTGGGCGCCTGCTCGATGCGCTCCCGCGAGATGTACGCGGGGTAGAACGGGGTGGTGATGACGATCTCGGCGCTGGCCAAGAGCCGGTCCACTTCCGAGCCGCCAATGGGGTCTTTGGACGTGGTGCACACCAAGTCGTAGCCGTTCAGCTCCACGAAGTCGCGGATGCCGAGCTCGTTTTCAATGCACCCAAGAAGCTTGGGCTCCTGGCGCGCGTGGTGGGCGCCCTCGTAGAGAACAAGCAACACGGTTGGTTTTGGCATGGCGACAGGCGGGTTTGTAGGGGCAGATTCGGGGTTTAGTGTAGGCTCGACGGAAAGGGCGAGCAAGAAGATGGAGGCTGGACGTGAAGAAACGTGGCACGGCCCGCGCTTTTATAGGCCAGGGCAAGCGCGGGTGTTTGGGTGTGTGCGAGGCGTCGAGGCATTTGTTTTGCTTATGCGAGGCATTTTTGGCGTTTTTCCGGAACCGCCTGTGGTGCACGGAGAAGAGTGCCTGCTACCCCAGATTTGCGAGGCTTTAGGCTCTGTCAAACCGGGGCATTTCGCAGCCCGCACCCGGCAGCTGCTGCTGCACGGCGCACGGCGCGCGGGCTGCGTGCAGGCCGCCTACTCCGCTTTGCTCTCTCGACGCAGGAACATGCATTTCGACTGCGTGACCTTGCCCTCTACTCTGCTAGGCCAAGTTAATGATGAGCAGTTGGGGCCACGGATTCTTTTGGGGAGCATGATATCTGCCTGACTTTGTCTCTGGGTCCTCTGGATTGGGAAGGGCCGCTTTGTGGGCGTTTCTGCGCCACGTGCATTTAGTGGAGGTGGGCCATGATATCCATGGTTGAGTTGTTGCTTGCTGTGGCGAGCAAGTCTGACTAATGCTCTTCCGACAAGTCCCGTCGCAGCCAAAAAGTGGAGGGGGCGGGCCGATGACATTGCCGTCAACGTAGCACTTTTTGGCCAGAAGACGGTTTTTGCTGGCTTTTGGATTTTTGAAGAAGCTTTTAATACCGGGTTCCTTTTGCATGTTTGGTGCAGAGGTTTTCACATTGAAAGGATACATATGACATAATTTACAATTCACACAGCAAGGCCGCTAAATTCTACGAGGTCGTTGACTTCTGCAAAGCCCTTCAATACAACTTGTCCGTGCTGTTAATAGCACTCCACTGCTCTTTAGAAAGGGTGTTGATTTCTGGCAGCTCTGGCCAACGTCCCCTATTATACCCCGCGTGTCGGAACCGGCGGGCGCATTCAAATACACGTAGGATATGGGCCAGGGCACGTGACGAGCAGGCATTCCTCGATCTACTTTTGCAGTGGGTGTCACCAAGAAACAGGCGTTTCCAGCCCCGCGCAAAAATCAGACCGATGCAACAAGCTCCATGCAGCTCACTATACTACACGGGCCATGGCAACGCCTCCAGCCAGAACTACTTAACTTCAGTGCAGGGCGCTCGCACGCCTGTCGTCAGGCCCCACAACAAGTACCTAGAAAACTGATGTATTGAACCTGATGTTGATTGAGGCAACGAGTATGGAAACTATGAATATGTAATGTTTGATGAGACCCCCGTCCAGCGCCCACAAAGGAGCGCCGGGCAGCACGTCGCACATCGTCCAGTCGTTGCGTTCCGGTTAAATAAAATGGGTGCTTGGCGAAATGGAAGACACCCCGGATGACAAAGGATGAGGGATGCAACTAGTCGAAGGCCAATTGCTTTTTGATCTCGGCAATGGCAAGGCCGGGGTTCAAGCCCTTGGGGCACGTTCTCGAACAGTTCATGATGGTGTGGCATCTGTACAAGGACATGGAGTTCTGCAACATCTCTCTTCTGACCTTGGAGGCCTCGTCTCGCGAGTCAATCAACCATCTGTAAGCTTGCATCAACACCGCGGGGCCCAAGTATTGCTGCTGGTTCCACCAGTAGGAGGGGCAAGAGGTCGAGCAGCACGCACACAAAATGCACTCGTAGAGACCGTCCAACTTGGCGCGGTCCTCGACGCTCTGGAGGTTCTCCCTGCCGTCGGCGGGCTGCGTGTCTCTCTGCAAGTATGGCTGGATGGACTTGTATTGCTTGTAGAAGTGGGTCAAGTCGGGCACAAGGTCGCGCACAATGTACATGTGGGGCAATGGGTAGATCTTGGTGTCCTTGGCCGTGCTGGTGTCGATTCTGCACAAACATGCCAACGTGTTGGTGCCACCAATGTTCATGGCACACGAGCCACAGATACCCTCTCTACACGATCTTCTGAACGTCAACGTGGCGTCCTGCTCGTTTTTGATTTTCAACAAGGCGTCCAAAACCATGGGTCCACATTGGTTCAAGTCCACCTCGTAGGTCTGCATCTTGGGCTCGACTTCAGGGGTGTCGGGGTTCCAGCGGTAAATCTGGAATTTCTTGATTCTTTGCTCGGCGTTGGTGGCCAAGTTTCTACGAAGCACGGGCACACGTGCCACGGAGCGGAGCATGGATTTGAACATCGGATATAAAGTGAGGGGGATTGGAGAGAGAATAAAAAGGTGGCGGTTAAGACGAAGTGGATCCCAGGAAAAAACAGGGGGTAGGGAAATGCGTGCTTTAAGTGAGGAAAAGAAAGGCAGGCAAACAGCACCCGGAGTTGTCACTGCGCGGAGCCGCGTGTGCAGGATATTACCAAAAGCTTCCCATCTACGTGCGCGGTGATTGGCTGACCCCAGATATTTCTGAGGCGGCACGTGACCATGGTGGTGCTGGTGCGCTGCTCCCGGACCGAAGGCAAACCTTGCGGGTGGCAAGCTAATAAGCTTCGAGAAAAGAGGAGGAATTTGCTTGTAAATTTGGGATGGGGTCCAAAGATATATGCGTGTGGTTGTTTGCCTTTGTGTCCATCACAAATATAGCCAGGAGCCAGTTCTATGACCTAGGGACCTTCATTCGTAGTTAGTTTTCACCTTTCCCGCAACTGTGCAATATCACCTCTAAGTGCCTAGCCAGCTATTGGAATTAGCCATTGCAGATCGCGAGCCTGTGGATTTGAAGCCCACATGCTGATATGACTTGTGGGCAAATTGCGGTGACCTCACCTCGGGCTAGTCACGTGACGCGGCCCGGCGCTTCTCGGGTGCGATGCGTCTTGCATCGCGTGAGCAGATGCTGATCTTGAAATTGAGATATACATGACGCTTGGTTTGAGGGCAAGATTCGCGGCTTTTTCATCTTGTTGGAGCTCCTACTTGCAAAGTGCTGTGGCCCGCTCTGCTGTCATATATAGCGATTGCTGCAATTTGTTTCCGGGGTATATTTCGAAATCTGGGGTAAGTCACGTGAGGCAGGATCCATCGCGTCCTCTTGTTTTGGTATGGCTATAGTGCTGTATGCACCATGCTCAAATACTAAACCTGGTTATAAAAGCTTTAAGATGTCATTGATATGAGTTTCGATGTCTTCGTGCTTCAGTTTCGAACACAGAGCAAGGTTCAGAAATTCTCAGCTGAAAATTTTGGCTGAATAGGTCTTCATTGTTTGTGATTGACCAACTTGGATAATCTATAACTATGAAGAACCAATACTTCGAGTAAGACTTCCTGTTTGTGAGGTGTGATGAAAGATTAGACGAGTATCATCAGACTTCAAATCCAATTATCTGGTATTAAACTACAGAAACGAATATACAATACCGGTGAGCTGCATGCAATGCTACTATACGATATCTTGAATTCGAAGCAATAGAATTAAAGCTGTGTTTGGAAAACAGCTTAAGAAATGGCCATCATGGCCTAGGACATTGATGAATTTCATCTGAGCATTCGATTTGACACGAAGACTGGCTTGATGAATGTGAAATGACTTTTCTGAATAATTATATTCCGACCCCAGAATAAATCTAAGTTGCACTCTTTAAATAAGGTACACATGGCTCAAAACAAGCTGGTGATCTATGAAAAAAGATCAGATCTACTCCGCTTAAACCTTCGAATTCTAAATGCCCAAGAGATGTGAAATTCGTTTTAAATGGGTACCGCAAAGCCTCCATGCGAGCATATTTTGCTATAGATTCGGAACATTATCCATGAAACATCAATGGAATTGATCTTTCATAGTCGAAAAACGACAACTTTATTGATCTTCCATGATGAAAAAATACTGAGGCAATCAGAGTAATCAATGATCGTTAGTAGCCGGAGGATGCCACAAACTACATAAACCCACATATCAGTTTAGTGACATTTTTAATACACTGTATTAAAGCTTTGGCAAGCCGTGGTTCGTAGAAGCCGTTCGTTGCTGCTGAGTTTTAGGATGATAACATTGTTTAAACAGATCATACCGATCACGATTCTCTCCACTCGAGCCAGCACTCATCGTGAAATGGATGTGAAACGTACGCATCCTCCATTGTCATCATACTTTCGTCATCTTTCAGTCCTGGCAACGGCTTGCCAAGTTTGATGACCCCGCTTTTCTCTGCGGGCGTAACGTCACACCAAGCCGAGGATATCGCCAGCTCGTAGTGCCAGTATATGTTTGCCAATGCCAATTTGATCTCAATAAAAGCGAGGTTCATTCCAAGACACATGCGCACGCCTCGACCAAAAGGCATCATGTAACGTTGCATTTCCTTGACTCTGGCTTTATATTCGTCGGCCGACTCACTGCTTGTTTGCAACCATCTGTCGGGCAACCAATTGTCTGGATCAGAAAATATTTCTGGCACACGATGCATCAGGTATGGCTGGCACGAAATCTCTGTTCCGGGTGGAATAGAGACGGTTTTGCCTTTTATGTCCACACTGTAACATTTGTCTGTAACTCTGTAGTGGGATCCGGGCGGAGAATGCACCCGGAGATTCTCTTGCATCAAGGCTTCCAAAAATGGAAGCTGGTCGACGAGCTCCAAATCTTCGATGTATGCTTCCTTCGTACTCGGGGATCCAAATGCTTGGATGAGCTCGTCCCGAAGCCTGGCTTGTATTTTCTGATGCACCGGTCTTGAAAGCTCGTAGCACATATATGTCAACTGTGTGGACGTGGTATCATGGCCCGCAATGAGATTATCGCTTATGTTGGAATAAGCCTTCAGTGTTGAGAGTGCGCTTTTTCGGAACGTCTCTAGTGTGGTGAGGTTGCTTTCTGGAGCATTTTGGGAAGTGTGTTTCTCGGCACGTTCGTAAAGAGCCACCTGCCAATTTTCGATCTCGGTGCATGCATTGCGAATAGCAGAACCGGCAGCCCAGGCCCAAAACCGTGGCATTCTTGTGGTCCAGAACACCATGGACGACATTTTCCTGAGCTGGTCCACTATCGGCCTCTGCTTGGAATCCAGAAGGAGACTAGTTCCGTTTTCTTTGCCAAGCTCAAATGCTGCGACAACATCCATGGCTAAAGATGCAAATAGTAAGTGCACGTTGATGCCAACACCCGACTTTTTGTCCTTCTCGTGAGCCAAACCTACCGAAGGGGAAACAGTGGCAACTGAGTCCGGTTGCTGACCAAGTATTGAGGCCTTGTATATTTGGTGTACTAGTTCCCGGACCTTGCCAACGAGAATGTCTCTGGTCGTGTTTTTGGGGTTGAATATGGCAGATTTCAGGTATAGCCCCAGCACAATTTTCTTGTAGGCTAGGTGTCTGGCATTATCGGTCTCAGCAAACATGTTGACTTCACCATGAAACCTAAAACTCTCATAAAACTGCCCCTTGGGCATGTTCTTCACATATATGTTTTGGATGTGATTGGGGTCTCCATTGCAATTGACTGAAGTTGGAGTAAGAATCACAACAGGCCCGTATCTTTTGTGGAGTTCATGAACTCTTCCGACCCATTGGAATTTTCTCTGGGCTTGAAGCGAGGGAATCCGGGAGATTCTGTGCAAGTACGGACCTGGAACATATCTTAGGGGGGAGACAAAAAATGGATAGACAATTAAATTGTACACGACAAAAACCAACAAAGCCACAGACACAAGGGCCTGGTGGTGGCCTTGAATTTCAGTGTATACGCTTAGAAGGATTTCTGAAAGCATAGTTCTGATGGAATTCTAGGCTGAGACATCGACTTTATAGGCCTTGATTTGGGAACTGCCAGGTGGAAAAAAAAGAAGAATTGGTGTAGCGGGCAGCATCGATTCAGAAACAACAATGGATAAAGTTTCAATATGGCAGGTAAACGCCTATTGTTAAAAACCGCTCAATGAGTGTATGCATAGGCGCATATCGCAATTATTTGAAGTCTCACTAATCAGAGTCATTCCGAAATAACCATTGTTCAAATTTCAAGCCCGACCGAAACATAAACAGACATGAGAATATTTTCAAGCAGTATCGTTAAGATGTTCGATTTCGAGGCTTTCTAATGGTGGTACCAATTATTGGGCCCTGCGTGTAATTGTTCACTCAGGCCAGCATACATGACAATGAAGAGTCGTGTTGGCTCGAAGCACTAGCTTCCTTAGATTCAGTCTAGATTTCTGAACACGATACAGAAAATCATAAGAGTTGCAGTACTCTATTTTTAGCACCATGCCAAAGAAGAGCCATATCCAGAAAAAATTAAAAGAACACTAATTTCAGAATTATACTCACCGGGGTTCTGTAAGCACACTATTCTCTATGAAACAATAAGTGGCGCTTTACTATACCGAAAGCGGTATTAAGATTGCATAGTTTTACTTGTACTACGTAATCAAGGGAACACACAAATGGGCCATTGCTTTTGCATTCTTTCGGAACTATTGTTTTATCTTTAGTCATTTTTAGTATTCAATCCTTATCTCCCGCTTTGTAGATGTGAGGGCACCAATATACACAATCAAGCAGAAAAGGACGAAATAATCCAGGTTTCTTGATCCCCCACAAAAGACAAAATTTGTCAGTCTAGTTTACACTCAAAGGTAGCTCAGTATATGCTCCATCCCGATAGCCGCGATATCGGGGAGAAATATTGTATTATCTTATATGTACATGCTGAAGAGTGTGTGTGCACGCTCTAGTTTGAAAGGGCTTCCTTGAGCGCCAATTTTCTGGAGTGTGTGTCAAAATGTGAGCTCAAGTCTTTGAATGTCAAGTTCTTGGGGTCGATTTCCATCGATTGCTTGTCCTTAAACGTCACCTTTACCAAGGCCTTATCAGCTGGGTTTTCCAAAATTTTGAAGTCCACAGAACATCCGCTTTTCTGTTGGGCCGGGATTCTCGCAAGGAATAAACGCACAGGCTTGGCACTAGCCGAGAAAGGATTGAACTTGACGGACACTTTCGTGAAGTATTTCGTTATCATGGATGCTTAGCGGAATTGGAGACATTGACTCGTGAACATCGCTTTTTTCACTTGAGAATATCGGCACACGAACATCCGTACACCATAACAATACTCATCAGCCGGGAACACCACAGTTTTCATAATTTTGAAAAAAGTTTTGCGATGGCATTCAGACTTAATTTTATACCTTTTCAATGAATATACTCTTTATGTAAGGGCATTTTACTGAGTGGAAAACTCAGAACCTTTTTGATGCATAAACGTGAGTCTTTTTAGAAATTCGCGATAAAGAGAGGAATCTCCAGAAAGCCATTCTACTTGCATGGTCTCAATTTCGTGTCAGACGGTGAGTACTCAGAGCCTGATGCACTTGATGTTTTTGTTTTAGCATTTCCATTGATGATTGAAATGAAAGATCATTTTCACCACTAACTGTTGTAAAACTCATACTTTGTTAGTCCACTTTTTCAATGTCTGTAATGAAGCTAATGTGGCAGGCGTAAAAACTGAATAAAACCCAGTATTTGTGCTTTACAAGAAGCTGGGCGGCTTAATGTTGGTCACCTGCCTAGACATAGCAAATTTTCTTCGGATGTAGGAGAGCTAGTACATTGTCCTCCTTCTCCTACCAAGTCTTTGAGTAGCATCAATGCTGACGATGTTTAGACAAACACGAGTTTGACGCTGATTCTCTAAAAATAAAATTTGATAAAAACACCATGTTTAGGTTTTAGGAATTTCTGAAATATGCTTCATTGATACATGATATATGGGCAGTTGGATGGGATGATCAACTGAATAAAGCAGGCCATCTGACTGATGTAACGAGATACCATTTAAGTAGATGAATTTATAGAATATTACAATAAATATTGACTCATCGCGCTTATCCTTCATTCCAAACCACCCAAGCATAGAATGTACTATTCAATGACATGACAAGTTCTCCGGGTGACTGAATTAGATTAACAGTCAGCCTTACTCATGAAGCTGTCTCTGGTCAACAATCTGTTCAATAAGAGCCACTCAGAATTTTTTCAAGTTTCTTAGAAATTCGGCTAAACAAAAAAAAAAACAAAATTTGAGGCAGAGTGTAAGAGCCTGGTATCAGCTTGAAACTGAGAACCTCTGTAAGCACATATATGAATAAATGAACTTCCATTATTGTGAGTACCGTAAAATATCATTTTGAACAACTCATTGAATATTCTCTCGGGTTTCAGGGGTTCATATCACGTGACCTCTAGATGAAGTATATAAAAGAGGGATAGAACTCCTGTAGAGTTCTGGAAAAGCCAGTTATCAAATAGTAATACGTAACCCCTATGTCCCGTGAAGTCCCTAACACAGGGGAACTGGCTTATTAATTTATGGAAGTCTCAAAACTGTGTTTTAATAACTCATACCTTTTAATAAGAATAGATACTAAGACAAGTGTTTCACAGAAACAGGTGTAATTCAGATGAAGTACATCTATAACTAGAATTCAGCTTCATCAATTGGAACAACGAGTACTATGAAGATCACAGGACTTGAAAACATCATGCCAGTTCGATTGTCGAAGCGAATGACTACCGATGTCACGTGATCGCGAACTAACTTGGAGAATCATACGAGCGGTTCAAGAGAGATTTATACTTCCTGCGAATTTTAAAGTAATTTCTTCACCTGCAAGCTAAAGGGACATCTAATTTCCTATTTGTTGTTACCCGCTGACGGTGATTTACCCGTGCTAGCGTTGTAAGCCTGCATTGATATGTTGGCTCGAGAAAGCCAAATTAAGCCAGAGTATCATTTAGATACACTGACCACTCCAGGGACCATTTCCAAGAATGAATGTTTAATGACTATAGCTTAGAAACTCAGAAATTATACCGGAACGGCAAACAGGAAAATTTTAACCCAACTGTGGTTGCGTGACATTCTTGTCTACTAATTTGGACAGCCATCTCAACAATCCATGCTCTTTGATATATCATCTGTTCTCAAATTATTCAATTTTTTATAGCCTGGGCAAAAAATGTTTTCAAAAAAATGGAGAAAAAATCTTAGTGGCACAATGGAGTAATCATATAGGAGCTTCATAATAAGTGTAAGTTTTTTGGTGGTGGAAGGCCGCTAAAATAACCCCAAGATCAAAATCCAAGGAGATCATAAGCACATTTTGAGATCATTCGTAATTCACACTTTCTGCTGATCATAAACCATTGTGAATACCCAGTAGCTGAAATGTCATAGCACTAGAAGAGTCAAAATTGAAGGGGTATTTCAACAGATTTAGAAGAATGTCTTTTTAGGCCAAGCCTTTTGCAAAATGGTCTGATCTGGGATAAGCCACGTTTTTGCGGATGTGAAGTTATACCCTTCCCAACTTCTTATAGTTGCCAAACTAATGGGTTATGATTCCAGAGTACCTTTTTATCTGCAGTTTTTTACCCAGATCGGTGATCTATTATCCGAACTAGGAAGCCCGTTCCCTTGAACGTTTACCCGTAAAGAGGCTTCAAAATCAATAAGACTATATCTTACGTAAAAGACGCCCAATGATAGCAACCTGAACGGTCTTATCGGACTTTGAGAGCTCGAGGCCTGATTTTCCAATTCCAAATTTTTTTTAAAAAATTGTTTAATGTTTATTCTACAAAGTCTTGCTACGTTTGTTCATTCAGGATTTTTGATAAATGGATATCAAATTGATGCAAAGGTCCCGACCGGTCGAAATCAATGTCCTTGGCTGATCGAACAAATTTCACCGCAGGCAACTTTATCCCGATTTTTTAACACTACGATCAATGCCTGCAGGCACCTGAAGTTTAATTAAAACATGCAATACAACTGTAACGGGCAAGATCAGCCTGACTCAAATGGTAGATCAGATACTGCTGATGAAATGTAGTGAGCAATCAGAGATCAAAAAAAGAGGATTTGGGTAAAATTTCTTCGTGTTTTTCAACTATTGATTGGGGATACTGCACTTGCAATGGTTTGACAGACTTCTCGGCAAGCCACACGGCCTTCGCATTTGGGCTCATGTGGAGCACCTGCATATATAAATGACATTGCGTATGCAAATGCCGGGATTTGGATGCAAACAAAAGATCGCTCTATACATCAAATGCCGGTCTGCGTATTTAACTAGAGATTGGAGAGCATGTCTGAATTTATAACTACGTCGAGATTTTTGGTCCTCCACGATCCAGAACTTTTCCCCATTCCTCACTGTTTTGTTTCAGTATGAAATTATCCACCACTATCATCCTTGGTCTTGCCTCGTATGCAGCAGCAGCAGCAGTGTTTACTGATGCTGCCTCCGAAGCCGGGGTTGAGAAAAGAACAAATTCAAAAGATGAAAAAGGTGTTCAAAAATCATCAGGGCTGTCGAGGGATTCGGAAAACTCAAGCCATGAAAACTCAAGCCAAGGAAACTCAGGCCAGGAAAGCTCCGGCGTTTCTGGAAAAGCTGATCACTCTTACAATAAACAACAGTCTGGTCAGTGGGAACAGAACCCACCATTAAATGCCTTAAATTCATTGGAACCCTCAATGCCAACAGTACCTTTTTGGCCCACCTGGCCCAAGTTTGGGAACTGCACTACAACCACGAGTTCCGTGAAAAAACCCACCTCTTCTACAAGAGCCAGTCCTGTCACTAAAACTTCGTCGGAAGTCAAAACCAGATCTACAAAAAGTGTTTCACCTACTACCACTCATATTCCCCTTCCAACAAAGACTGCCTCACCTACTACTACATCCCCAGAAGCGATTTCATCCTGGGTTGCTAGCGAAATATCGAAGTTGTTGGGCGACATGTTTACTGATTGTCAAACCTTTGCTAACTTCATTGACGAAGACTTCACTTCAATTTTTAGCCAGAATGGCTTTTCTTTATTCAAGCGGAATTTAGAGACAACAGTTGAAGCCAGGGGTAATGTCACTGATGAGGAAGTCGAGGCTGCACTCAGTACCTTGGTTACCAACGTATTCAGTCACTTAGTTGCGTTAACCAATGGCACCAATGTTTCATTGACTCTGTCTGTCTTTGCTGCATTAAATTTGTGAGAGACACTGTCAATATCTTATACCTTTTTATTTTTCGTATGGCTTTTGATCTTTTTGAGGTCTCTTCGAGATTTTATTTTTTGAATAATACAAATAGGCATTTTTTCTTAGTCTGTTCAAAATATTTTGACTTCATTCCATTTGCTCCACCTGAATAATAGCACGATACAAGGCGAGAACCGCTTCATATATTTTAGTTTCTTACCAAAAGTTTTTAGTCCAGCAGTACAAGTAGTATTTCCTTCTGCATCACTTGGTAGCATTGGCTTTGTGCTTACAAAGAGCCTGAGAGCTGCATCTTCACAGCACAAGGCTCATATTTCTGATAACCGCAACACAATTGAGACAATAAAGAAAATCATGAAATCAAATTATTCATCATGTCAGCACTTATCAGCAGATCATATCAGGGGCAGTTCCAACTGTGCAATTCTTACCGTTTCTATTATTGAGTTTTATGATTCAAATAGAAAATATTCCAAATCGAACCACTTCACATTGGAAACAAAAGACTTTACAGCTATCTCTTTTTTTATGCTGATTGGTATTTGCGGGATATTGCGTCTTCTGTGAGGTTAATTTGATGGCTTGTCCGCTGATAGTTTCTCTATCTTTCAGCCTGCTATCGGCTTGAATGGGATTCTCTGCATAGTGCTTTTTAGGTTTAATTCCCTGAGGTAAAAAAAAGTTGTACTTGCCTATCTTGCAAGGACAACAAGACTCCAGCAAAAGGGGTTTTTTGTTTTGGAATTTGCTTGATTTTTGTCCTTTACATACTCGCCTTGTTTATATTGTATTCTTGAACTTCATACAGGATGGTACAATCTTTTCCATCAATTTTTAGACGATTAATGTCTCCAGAACTGCGGGGCTAAATGGCTTCTCGATGAGCAATCTTACATGTACTTATTGGGACTTTTGGACAGCTGAAAAAGGGGCTTTCGAAATATCACTCGCGCAAATTTTAACTATAATAAAAAGATGAGCCAATATCATTTCTTTGTTATTGTCTTGCAGAGAAATTAGGCGCACCAGGCGCTATTAACGTCGTTCAGTTACCGTCAATTTCTGGGTGAAGATTCGTGTCTTATTTCAAAGAAGACAAAAATAGATCTCCAAATCTTGGCAGCGGCAATTAATCAATCTGCTTAGAGGAAAACAAAGCCTGTCATCAATATGATTGTTAGCTCAAAGCAGGCTTTGTAAATGATACATTGCCAGAGTGATTTCCAAAAGACTGCTTACTTTGTTTCATGGAACACGTTCAATCTCTCGAGCAAATTTGGAAGTTGGAATTATTATTAAACACCTCAAACTAATACAAGACCATTATACTTGTTCGGGACTCTATGCATTATCTATCAAATCACAATGGTTTGCAGAACTTTGAATCTGGCCTCTATGTCAATTTTAAACTTGCACCGGTGCAAATAGCACAAGGGGCATGACCACAGTTAATGAGGTCAGTCTAGGGTATCAACCAAGTTCCAAATATACGATTCTATGTGGCCTAAAAAACCAAGGGTACGTATTCTTGTGACATACTTTTCAGTTCTAAGTACGATCGAGGGATATCGTAGGGCAAATCTTAGTAAATCTGTGATGAGAATGCAGCTAAACACGGTGGCCAATCTGAAAGCGTACAGCGCATATGAGAAAGTACAATATATACAAATTGCTCTTCAAAAGAAGCCAAGAAAAACCCTCTGCAATCAATAACTTGTAAAAATGAGCAAATAAATGCCAAAAAGCTTTCCATCAAAAAAGTACTTAAAGACCGGTTTGCGGCACATATAGTTCATTTATCTCTATTCGACTCACTCAAAGTTAATTCATCAAGCACTCAGAATGAAGATCTTCACCATCGCAACCCTTGCGTTTGCTACACTTGCTACTGCCTCTCCTGTTGATCGGGAAGACTGGCGCAGAAAGGCTAGAAAAGGACCAAGTAAAGTGTTCCACAGTTCTAACGCAGCACCAGATGCGCTGCCCATCCCCAGAATCAGTTCTGATTCTAATGCACCAAAAAAGCGAGACATAGCGTACTCCTCATGGCCTAAGTTTCAAAACACGAGTTCCAATCAATCGACGTCCGACCAATCTATTTCCACGGGAAACATGATATCTTTGGGCGTCGAAGAGTCAAATGAAAGTCGCGGCGGCTCTGTAAGCAGTCACTCAATTTCATCGCCCGAGCCTTCTTCACCACCAACATCTGCTGTCCCGGACGCAGCGATCTCTGGTATCATTGATGAATATCAGGATGAATTTGGTGGTGATGTGTATCAGCAGGGAGCTCAGAGTATTGATCCGGAATATGCCGAAAATTCGATTGACCCTAGAAACGAACCCAGTGTTTCTGTCCTCGATTCTGCACTGGAGTCTGCCAGTCTTCCAGATGAGGAGCGTGCCGATCTTCCCGAATAATTTGCTTGAGTCAAATGTACCCTAGTTTTGTCAGGGTCTCTCACGAGAGCTTCTTATGTCAAGTGCGAGGGATCAGACATTATCAGGTTGAAGGAAGTTTGTGATTCTTCTTCGAAAGTACTTAGGGTCACCAATATAAGTTTTTGATTTGAGTATACAAGAAACTCTAGTATCTGTAGATTACACGGTAGCTCTCCTCCCACTATATGTGGGTTCACTGCAAATTGCCAATTGTCAAAGCACTGGCACGATACTTTCTATGATATGCAACTGGTATATAGTCTGCTTCCAACCCAGGTGGTATCATGTGCACTCACAAATGGTTATATAGCATGAGAGAAGCCACGCTTGCAAAAGACTGGCAAGCCGAGCGCTTTATTCCCCGATTGGGGCTCAATAGGAACGTGTAATCTAGCAGAAACACGACTCATATCACAGGCCCACCACCCTCTACTTTGACAATTCTGAGTGAAAGCAGAGGTGTACTTTCAAACATTTCGAGACTTACTGGCATCAAGGTTTCAATTCTAAACACATCCTTATTTCAGATTACCACATCACAACCAGTAGCTCATATCCCAAAGGATCAGATTCTATGCATTTCAAAACACTAAGTTCAGCCAGTTTACACAACGCAGGTGTCTACTGACTGGCTAAAAATTTCCTTGCGCATGAACGTGATACTGAAATCCCGGGATGCTTTGATTCCGTCCTCCAACGGCGACTCCGAGCCAGCCATCTTTATCAAAATGTCAGGATGCGTGGAAGGCACAAAACCGAAAGCCTTTTGGTAAAACGGTACAAGCTCGTGCTCCTTGATCACAATAGCATGTAATACGGTTTTCAGCACGTGCTCCGGCTTCAAGAATGATGGTTTTGAGAAGAAAAACAGGCGGATTACGTGGTTTATGATCCCCGAGCCGGTGCCGCGCATGAAAGACGTGAGTCCCGTGATTTCATAGTGCTTTGTATCCGCCAGAAAGTCCGAGTCAGAAAAGTATCCATCATCCTGGTATGTCTTGAGGCCCACTGTGGCCAATACACGGTCGGCAACATCGACATCAATCCGGGCCGAGGGGGCCAACGTCACGTGCTCCACGTTTTCGGCAGTGAGCGGGCCGAATTCCGAGGCCAATTCCATGGGGATATCCGAGTCGCTCAGGCCAGATAAGGGATATATTTCCGGGTTGAACCGACGGATGTAGCCTGCGTGTGCCTCTAGCCTTTTGAAGTCCGACTTTGAGCCCACGAGAATCATGATGGCAAAATCCTTGTCTTGATTTGCCACAGAGGCCGGATCAAGTTGGAGGTCTTTTAGAAAATTCTGGTGGTACTTAATCCGTAGAGACTCAATGAGGCCATATTGGGCCATGGGTTTGGCGTATCCTTTGTTGAGAATCTGCAGCAAGACCTGGAACTTGTCGGGCGTCACATCGGCCGAAAACCAGTCTTTGCGGAGAATAAGAAGCTGATACGGCATCGACCACAGATATGGGTATTGACATGGGGGTCACCTTGAATTTTGCAATTTCCGTCCAGATAAGCCTCGCGATGTGATGTAGTATGCCGGACTGGAACCCGGAACATAGGGCCAGCGGTTTTTTTCTATTGATGAACATGATACATATGTGGGAAATCAAGGGACCTTCTTTATCCAGATCGGCGGTGGCCAAATACTGCGTGCTGAAAATACGGCTGGTTCTCTCCAGATTCGCATGTTCTCTCCGGATTCGCATGTTCCTGTTGGTGTCTATATTACCCTCGAAAACTGCAGGCTGTCTATGAGCCTTCGTGACTCTCGCTACGCTGAAAGAAGACGCTCCTCAGCAGGCGCTGCTCTTTTTGAATCAGGCACTGCTGTTTTTGAGTCGGGCACGTGGATAGGTTTCCAGAAAGCAAGCACTTCAGACCTGTTGGATGCGAGCTATACGCCAGAGTATGAGTAGCACAGATAGTTCCAAGCAGGCCATACCGCCACATTCTCAGAGCAGCGTGCCTGTCGAAAATTTACACAGCTAGTTCGGATACCCAATTCTAGTTCTGTTGCCTGTGAATGTCTGCATATCTACTGCAGTATCGACGGGCCCAGACTTGTTGCGGGCCGGACAGCCGATGGGCCCAGGCCGCGGGCTTGTGCTTTTTTTGCCAAGTACTGAGTGTACTTGACGTCCTTCCTGCGGCGAAGGTGTGTGAAGGAGAAATAGCCAAGCGGCACATACAACAAGAAACAGGCCTGCAACGCCCGCTCAAGCACACTGTTTCTTACAAAGGCCAAGCTCAAAAACACCAAGCAGATCTCGCTGGCAAAGGAGATGAAAAACGTCATGTAGAAATGATTGTAGTGGAGGGCAAAGAGCGCCCAGGGCGAGGATCGGGTCTTGAGCCGGAACGCATGGTACGCCAAATCAATGATGTTCTGAGCACACCAGCCCACTATCAAGAACGAGTAGGACGTGTGCTTGGCAATTTTGGGATGTGGATAGATCACCACGTAGCAGAGCCATACAAGACGAAGCCCATTGAAGAGACTCCAGAGACCGGAAACGCCTGCCAACGATCTGGCGTTTCCAAACAACCTCACCACCAAGAATCCAGCAAGAGGCAAGATGGCCACCACATGGAAAAAATCGGCAATTCCTGCGGGAAGAAACCGTCTGCCCACGAGAGGAAGCAACACTAGAAAGCGGCCCAAGCAACAGCACCAGAGCGTCAACGACGCAATGTTATAAAAAAATACCACCCGCAAATTGAGCGGCAAAGGATATAGCGCCATGCCTGAAAATCTATATAGGAGACGAGATGGCTGCAAGGCTCAGGGCGCGTGTTTCGAGGCGATGTCTAGCGTCTTCTTGGAAATGGGCTATAAGGTAGTAGTGCGACGCGGATTGTGGGTTAGGCAGAGGCTGTGCCATGTAGTCTGCCCATAGATGCAGTATGGTTTTATACGTCACATTGATCAGTGTAGCGTGATACACGGATCCTGAGTTCTCATGCCGGCAGGCCCTTTTCGGGTTTTCCTTGGACATATTAGGCTGCGTCACTGCCACTAATAATGGCACATCTACATACTGAGGGCCTGATGGAACTTCCAATAGTAGACTGCGCTGGAAGTTGCGACGAGATGCGAAATAGAAACCATTAAGTTATTTAGATGAAAATATCATGATATTAATATATATTACAGAACATTCTAGATATTAATACTCCTTAATTAAAAGATATTTCTTGTTAAATTGTAGTGTAATGTGGTGCAATGTGGTGTAATGTAGTGTAATGTAGTGTAATGTATGTGATACCTAAATTGGCCATAGTAAGTTTAATTTGTGAAACAAGTTATGAAAGTCCCTGTTTATAACTCTTCAATACTGTCTCTTTAACCATACAATAGATCTATTGTTACATATTTATGGATCCCACAAAGAAAGAAAGAAAGAAAGAAAGAAACATAAAATATCGTAAACATATTATTTATATGCCGAGGCATATCATACGGTTCTGGTGAAAATCAACCATTGCCAAAAGTAGCACTTGCAGCATTTCACTCCAATACAGATTTCTTGCCACGGGGCTTCCGAGCCTTATTCTGAAAACCCAACATCACAGAATCTCGCCTATAGCGTAGCAAATATCTATGTAAACATCTATCTCGTCTGAGCCATCGGGACATCCTAGCCGGCCGCTGTATACACTCCAGCATCATCGGTTGACGAGGCCACCTGGTGCAATAGTGCCATTTCCTTCGTGTGTTCCCATATCAGACACCCCGTGAATGAGGTTTTTTTTCCCGCTTTTGCTCGCAAGCTTGCTTGCGCTAGTCGCGGCTAATTGGGCCCCCGAAGACTACGAGATCTTCGGGTTGAACGATAAAGTTAGAGGCGACCTTGGGCCCGAAACCACATTCTACTCGTGGCTTGGTCTTGAACACGGCCCCAAATCCACCAAGGATGCAATCAACAAGGCATACCGAAAACTCTCCAGACAGTTGCACCCGGACAAAGTCGGGAAGGGTTCACGGAAGACGCGGGAAATTGCGGAGCAGAGGTTCCAACGTTTGTCTCTGGTGGGCAACATTTTGAAGGACCAGAACTTGAAGAAAAGGTACGACTATTTCTTGAGCAACGGCTTCCCCAAGTGGAAAGGCACGGGCTACTACTATTCTCGTTTCCGGCCGGGTTTGGGGTTCACCCTCGCAGTGCTTTACGTGCTCATAAGCACGCTCCAGTATATCTCACTCAGAATCAGCCGCAAACAAGATTTCAAGCGGATCGTCTCTTTGAAAACTCAAGTAAAAACACAGGCGTGGGGAGGCTCGTTCATCCCGCCCCTGGACGGTTCCGCCCGCCGGGTCACTGCTGAAAATGGCAGAGACTTCCATGTTGGACCAACTGGCGACGTCAGTTTGATTGAAATGTCCAACAAAACCGAGATGGTGCTAGTTCCACTTGACGAGCACGACATCAACACCAACCCCGGTTTCAAGCAGTCTTTCTTTTATAGACTTCCTGTGGGCTTGTGGAACATCACGTTGGGCAAACTCTCGGGGCGCACGATCGAAAACACGGAGTCGTATGTCAACCCTCACCGGGCGAAAAGAGAGGCCTTGGAATTAAAGGAAAAAAAGAAGGAGCAAAAGGCGAAAGCAGCGAAAAAGGCCGAGCGTGCCGAGCGGGTTGAGTTGCCCAATGGGAAAGTCATCTACAAGCGCAAGAATGGGAAGAAGTAAGCACGTCCTCTTGTTTGCGGCTCGCTATGATATACCAATCGTCACTCGTTTATTCCGTTATCACCATTAACTTTTGTGTCTGGGTACTCTGTAGAGCTGGTTTTCATCCTCCTCGTCAGAGGAGCTGGACCCTGAAAGATCCTCAAGGCATTTATCGCTCCCGAGCGTGACTTTGTCGCCTTCAAACCCCTCGTAAAGCATATCCTTATTTTCGAGCTGCACGGTGGGCGACATGCTTTTGATCGGCACGTCCAAGATTCGGCCTGGACCTTGTTCGTTCTCATCGTCTATGTCCTCCACGTCTTCCTCGTGTCCACTCTCGACATTGTCAGTATGTGCTTCATCAATATCTCCATGATTTCCGGGCGTCAGGCTGACGAATTCGTCGTGATTACTGCTGTCGCCGAGAATAATCGCACCGTTGGTTCTCAGGTCCAGGTTCTTTTCCTGATCCATATGCACTGTCGACGAGTCTGCACCAAGTCCGTTTCCAACTCCAGCTTCAACGTCGTCTTCATTCATGTAGTCTGGGTCCGTCCCAAGCACCACGTTGTACAACTCCCTTGTTTTGAGCAACACGTCAGACACAAACCACTCCCAAGATTTCGACCCTAGAGCGTCAACGATAATCGGTGAGATCAAAGAAGGTTTGTACAAGGAAGCAAACTTCACCACCTCTTCACTGATGAGCACTAGGTGACCCATGTACCCTGGTCGAGGAGCTTTGACGTCTTTAAAAGCGTCAACTATTACATCCGTAATGTGGCATTTCTCAAAAAGCTCCACAATCAAAAACGAGTTGTAAGAGTTGAGCTTCCCGTTGAAGACCTGCTGTATCAAGTCAAACACCACGTTGTGGAAAAAGTTGTGCCACGGGTACCTCGTGAGCTGCTCCACGATTGACTGGAGCATGTGCAGATCTATCAATTTAATTTTGAAATAGTCACCCACACACGGTTTTGCTTTGAATGAAATGTTCCGCTCCTCGCAAACAAATGGATTCTCGCTCGAAACAGACGGCTCTTCGTCTTCCGTGTCTTCGAAGGAATATGCCCCCACGCTACTTCGATGCTTGTAGTCAGCATCTGCATTTTCAAAAGCTTCCAAAAACTTTTGTTTAGCTACATTCTCCTCATGGACTGGCGGATCGAGCGATATTTCGTCAAAAGCGTCAGTGAGATGTGAGGTGTGTGTAGCGTGTGGCTGTAGAGTTGTGTCAGAGTCCTCTGTGATCGACTCCGTTAGGGCAGTTTGAATATTATCCACTTGTAGGGCTCTGATTTTGTCGCGCGTGCCCACGAGAAATGCAATTTTACTCGAATTGAGAAGCACCATGTTTGAGCAGTGGAGAAGCTCAGCAATCAACTCTGCAATCTTGAATTTTGTGAGTCCCAAAACTCCTCTACCCAGTGACATGGGCTCCGGTTCAGAACCCATGAGACTCATGAATGCAGGGAGCCCATCAGAGAACATCCGGAGAAGATCTCCTAAATAAACGGGGTCTCTAGGTCCCGGGGGATTCTGGTCTAAGTCTTTGAGCCAGAGGTACATAGAATACAAATTGATTTCACCGGCACCATCTTCGCCCTGGGTGTTTTGCGTGTAGGAACCACAGTTTGTATCGTAGTCCGAGTTATTTTTTCTGATGAGCTCGATCAAAATCGAGACACAGTTGGAGATCCCATGTTTGTTGACCAGGGACCCATTCTTGGTCTGAATTGGGCGGAGCATAATCTCATTGATCATGATACTGATGATTTGAGGCGAAGCGAGTTCCCGTGTGAGCTGGTTGGGCCCTATGTTCATGTCTAGATCGACTGCTAGTGTCGGGTTTGACGAGATCGTGACTAAGGCCTTGATGAACTCCGTAGCCGCCGTCTGGCGGAACAAAATGTCAAAGTCTTGTGATACGGAGCCGTCTTGTGTTTGTGGAGGCCGCAAAATGTCCATGAGTTTGGGAATCATCTGCTGGCGCAGCAAGACCGCCAAAATCCCGGTGGGCGAGTCGGCCTTATCGGTCTGGATGATTTTCAAGAAAAAGTCCATGAGGATGGGAATATCGACCTTGTCCAAAAACATGTCCACGAGTGTTTCCTGTTTGCGGATAAAGTTTATCAACTCAATGCAGTTCAGGTCCATCAAATGGCCCAAAATCTGAATCAAGTATGCGAGCGCTGGTGAGCTTTCATATAGGTTCGGGAGCGATATAACCTGCCAGAGCTTGCCCATGAGGCTTGGCGTTTCGATGATTCTATTGGAGATGACCCAGAGATCCGTGGAGAGAATCTCGGCAGAGCACAGGATATACCGCTGGAGCTTCTCGGTTCGGGGTTCCTCTTCCCCCAGCTTAGGCGCACTTTTCTGACCTTCTTCTTCTTCTACTTCTTCTTCTTCCCCGTATAGTGTTTTCGAGCCAGTGGACTCTGTGGTTTTCGTATTGCCGTTTTCTTGAGGGTTTCTTCCAGCTTCGTAGAAGAAGTCTACGCTGAGCACGATGTAATCCAAAAGCCCGTGCAAGATGTGGGGCTGCAAAAGCAATTCGAGGAGTTTCTGCTCACGTGCCGTTTTGGAAAGCGAGCCGCCGCCGTTCGAGTCTGCATTTGAGCTGGTCATGGATGAGTTATCCGAGGTGTTTCCCGCCGCCAGCTGCTTGCTCTGGGTCTCCTGCAGAAGCAGTTGCACAAACAGCAAGTTCTTGCCTCTTAGAGATTTCGACGAGATGGATTTCAACTCGTCCAATAACTCTTGCTGTAGGACTTTATCGTCTAGAAGATGTTCCGCCGTGACCGCCGCCAAATCGGTGGCTTGGTCAAGGAATTTCTGTAGCTGGCTGCTAGAGCCATATGGATTCGAGAAAGGCCAAAACGACATCTTCTGCTGTCTATTTTGAGTATAATCTAGAAGGCTTCTGGATGTTTGGCCAGGGATTCAGTGTGGCCAAATGCGGCTGGAAAAATGGCGGATACCGGTCACTGTTTGAAGGACGCTCCTTGATCCCCTGTGTTTCTCCTAGATTCTGGAAGCTGCCGCCGATCAATAATTGGCACTATTCTCCCACGTGGAGTCTATGAGATAGAATCGTGGCGGGCCTCGCGTATGTATTTAGTGGGCGAATGCGGACAAGAATGAATGCTTCTTGGATCCCACACACGTGATAGTTCACCTCTATAATTGTACCAGACCAAGGTTCACAGAAAGACCGGAAAAACCACAGTGATCCGCCGATGCGAGAAGTAGGGAATCCCGGTGAATTGGCTGGGGCTTCCTCGGTTCTACTAAACAGTGATCCAGATGTCGTAGGCGAGCGTTCTGTGCCGGACACCGTGGCCAGATAGATGTGGGGTGTGGCTGACCAGACCAGCCAAACTTATGGGGTCCCAGAGCCTAAAACCCACGGCAAGAAGCAAGAAAAAAAAGAAAGCCGCTATGCTGAAGAAAGTCACATTGCAAAAATAATGGCTGGAAGAAAAAAAAAAAAAAATGTTCGGCGCCCAGCATCTCGCACGAATCAATGCGTAGCGCAATCAATTCTTGGACTTCCGCACTAATCTATCGTTGCCAAGCCGGCAACATAGTTGATTACCTTGTCGAACTCGGCCTCGTAATTCCGCACGATTTGCTCACCCAGATCCTCGACAATTTTGCGGCAGCTAGCGGCATTGTGCCGAATCCATTCCTCAACGGTCATCTCTTCTTCTTCCTCTGGCATGGCGGAAATGAAATTGGTGAGCGCACCGTCCACGTCATTGTGAAGCTCGTGTCCTTGGGCCGCCATCTGTGTAATATAGTCGATCGCATCATCAAGATCCTTGATTTCTGCAAGCGCCGAGTCCATCGAGATCCGGGGGAGGAAGTGCTTGGTGGCGCTGGAGGCCTCCTTCTGCGTCTTGAGAGGAGTGCTTGACTGAACATCCAGAAACGATAGATGGTTGATGGACTCACGGGTTCTGTTGGCGTGGTCTACATGTAGCTCCAGCGACCGAACAAGGCTCTTTTCAGTCAGCTTGGAGACTCCATCCTGCGCCGCGTGGGATTCTTGGATGCTTTGCAGTGCTTCATTGTCGTTGATCTCGAAGGCTCTTTTCCTCCCCAGCACAACTTCATCTTGCTGCTGATCCTTCTTGACAGCCTTGAGGCTGGCAGATGTCAGTGCCGCGTCTTTCTCTCTGTCGTCATTCTTCGAGTCCTCTCTCTCTATGTCGTCGTTCTTCGAGTCCTCTCTCTGTCTGTCCTCATTCTTCGAGTCCTCTCTCTCTCTGCCCTCGTTCTTCGGGGCCTCTCTCTGTCTGCCCTCGTTCTTCGAGTCCTCTCTCTCTCTGCTCTCTGCATACACAGGGTCCTGATGATCATTGACCGTTTGCACAGTCTCCTTCAATACAGTATCTTTCGTCTCCAGTTCCAACATATTGGATTTGGATTCCACAGGAGTGGGCGATTTTGAAAGCAAAGGTAGTGCCTCGGAGACCGAATCGCCAATGTATGAAAGCAAGTCTATTTCAGCCGCGACGGTCAGTTTCTTAGTGGCAGGCTCCAGTTCCGCAGACGACATATCCTCAAGAGCAGGCTCAATCAACTCTTGCGAAACCCCGTGGGCTCCATCCGAGGGGCCGCACGCGGCACTTGCTGCAGACGATTCGTGGGTCTGGGTCGCCTGTTCATCATACGGATTTTCAAACTCGTCTCGCATCTTCTCAAAGGCGGACATGTACGCCTTGTACGATGAAGGGCTAACCACCACGTCTTTGGTAGGGCTCTCGTCGGACTTGCGAGCTCGGTTCTCGCCCCCTTTCAAATCATCTTCATTCACGGGCCGCAGCCTTTTCGTGTCGCTTTCGGGCAGGTAGTCTGAGCTCCTGATCAGGGCAGCCTGGGCTAGACCATGATCTTCCGCCCTGCTTTTCTTCCGGGCCAAGTCTTCGCGGGCCGCCTCCAAGCTTCTTTTGCGGGCACCCTCCGCTCGATCAGCCTGAGCTATTTTGGCGTCGGCGTTTTGGCGGGGATCTCGAGGCACGGGGTCTTTGTTGTTCTCACTGGAGACGCGTTGGTCACTGCGTGAAGTTGGTTCCTTGGGCCCCGACCCCACTTCCACAGGATCTGAATTCTCGGCCAAAGACGGGGATCCCACAGGCGCCGGGGCTTTCAGCTGGACGGCGAGCCTGTTTTCTCCGGGAGAGGCACAAGGTCGTGGGGAAGCAGGCGGTTTGCTCTCCGACGAGGCGTGTCCCCTTGGCCCGGGCTCTTTGCCAGCGGACTTTTCTGCAGGGCCAGCGTCCACTTCGAGATCGTTTCCGGTAGACTCGGATACGGGCAGAGTCCGCGGCGAAAACGCGGGCCTGGTTGGGAGGTGCTCTGGTTGGCGAGAGCTTTCGGCGTCGAGGATGATCTCGTCATCCGCATTGTCTAGAAGCATGGCGCTTCCCCCGTCTGCGCTGTGGCCGTCGTCGTCATGGTCGTGGTCGTGGTCGTGGTCGTGGTCGTGGTCAAGGCCGAGGTCCATGCCGTCTGCTACGGCGCTGGCCGAAGGAGGGCTCCGAGGGCCCCCCTCCACGGGCGGCGTTTGCGCAGGGCTCTCGACCAAGACCGCCTCCGGCAAGCGCGGGGGCTCGGGCTTGATTTCCACCACGCTGGAGTCCGGGGCGGCGGGCGGCTTCTGCTGGATCCTCAAGTCGCGCTCGAGAAAGGAGAGGTTGTGCTCGTCGTAGTCGCCCAAGTTCTGGTCCGAGATGTCGTAGACGGCCGGCGGGGGCGGCAATGCCAGGCCGGGGGCGAGTACGCGCATCCTGCGGTGCTTTTTCGGCGAGTTGAGGATGCCGGCGATGTCCTTCTCGGAGAGCCCGAACTCGCCGTCGCTGAACTGCGAGCGGGCCGCGGTTGGGGGCGCCGTGCCGGGGCTCCTCTGCAGCGACGAGGCCTCCTGCACGCTCTCGGAGTAGTCGGCGTCGGCGGTGTCGTTGGGGACGGAGAAGGACGAGGAATCCTGGGGCACGGGCGACCGGGCGGGCGGACCGTCGGCCGGGGTATCGTCGGCCGGGGTATCGTCGACCAGGGTATCATCGGCTGAAGGAAGTGTATCGGCCGGGGTATCATCGGCTGAAGGAAGTGTTTCGCCAGCCGCATGTATTTCATCGGCCACCTGGATCTCACCGGCCTGGGTCTCATCGGCCTGGATCTCACCGGCCTGGATCTCACCGGCCTGGATCTCATCGGCCTGGGTCTCATCGGCCTGGATCTCACCGGCCTGGATCTCATCGGCCTGGATCTCACCGGCCTGGATCTCACCGGCCTGGGTCTCATCGGCCTGGATCTCACCGGCCTGGATCTCACCGGCCTGGGTCTCATCGGCCTGGATCTCACCGGCCGCCGGCTCGCCCCGGACCTCCAACACAAGCGAGTTGGCGGACCGGGCCCGCCGCGGGTACCGGCGCGCCGGGCGGACCACGTGCGATCCGTGGCCGCTGAGCTGGTCGATGGAAACGTCGGGGCTGCCCAGCCCGCCGGCGCGGTCACGCGGCGTGTTGAGCGGCGAGGACGGGGCGTCTGCTGGATGCCCCGGCAGCAGCGCCTGCGCCGGGATGTGCTGGAGCTCAGAGGCGGCCCCCGGCGCGGCGTCGTCCTCCAACGGGTCCTCGAGCGTGGCGAGGAAGTGACACGGCGGGTGGCCGTTTTCCAGGCGGTAGGCGCGCGAGTTGAGCGCGTGCTCGCGGAGCGGGTCGTCGTCCTCGGCCCAGTCTGCGAGCGGGCAGCCGCAGTACAGGCAGATGACGCGGTCGTCGCCCGGGTGCGCCGGCAGGAAGAAGAAGCCGGCGGCGGCCATGGCGCGCGCCGAGGCCGTGGTCTTGCGCCGCCCGTCGAACTTCCAGAGGCCCTGGAACGTGGCCAAGCGGAGCCGCACGGCCGGCCGCGAGTGCGGCGCCAGCACCGCTGCGGGCAGCGTGTCGTGCTGCGCGAGCCGGCGCCAGTAGCTGGGCATGTGCGGCGCGGCTTTGTACTCCGCCAAGAAGTGGAGCGCCGCCGCGTAGGGGCACTTGTCGTGGAGCGCGTGGTGCACGCTGGCCACGGGCCGCCCGCCGGCCCAGGCGCGCTGTTTCTTGCCGCACCAGAAGCACGTGGCCTGGTCGCCCGCCGCGCGGGTGGGCGTGTAGAAAAAGCCGGCTTCCGCCATGTCTTGCGGCGTCGGCGAGTCGTGCGGCCAGTACGTGAGCCGTTTCGAGCTGCCCACGCGCACGCCGGCGGTGAACGTGGCCCTGCGCACCGACACGTACTGGAGGCCCTGTGCCACTGCGGCCTTGGGCGGCATCTGTGTGTTTTTTATGGGGTTTTGGGGGGTAGGGAGGGGGGTTTGAGGATTCTGGGGGTTTCCGGTGTGTTTTTTGGGGTTTCCGGTGTTTTTTTCGGCGTTTCGGGTGTTTTCTGGGGTTTTCTGGGGTTTCTGGGAGGGTTATGGGAGGTTTCTGGGTTCTTTTGGTTTTTTTTGGGTTTTTGGGGGGTTTTGTGGGGGCTCTTAGCGGGCGGCTAAGGGGGTCTTGGCGGTGCGCCAGACACTGCGGTTTGGCCGGTTCGGGGCGGTGGTGCCGGGATTCGGGCCTGCTCTCCTGCGGCGGTGCGGGGGCGGCGCGAGGGCGTGTGGCGGCGGGGTGGCGGCGTGTTTCGTGGCCTTTCCGGAGCCCTGGTGGTGCTTATATGGGTGGTGTAGAGCGAGTTGATGGAGCGGTGCGCGTCGCGGAGACTGGGGCGTGGTGCACGGGCCTGGCGCGCGGCGGGCAGGGCAAGCGGGCAACGGGCGATATGAAAGGGCAAGAGGAATGTGATATGAATGGGCAAACGGCAATATAGAAGGGTAATACAAAAGGGTAATATAAAAGACAATACAAATGGAAGATACAAATGGGCCATAAAGGTGTGCAAGAAAAATGTGCAAATCGGCAATATAAAAGTGCAATGCAAAATAACTGGGCAATAGAACTGGGCAATAGAACTGGGCAATATAACTGGGCAATAGAGTGCAATACAAGTGCAATACAAGTGCAATACAAGTGCAATACAAGTGCAATACAAGTGCAATACAAGTGCAATACAAGTGCAATAAAAATGGGCAAGATAAGTGCAATAAAAAAGGGCAGGTCAAATTCAATTAAAAAGGGCAGGTCAAATGGGAAAGACCAATGAGCAATATAAGTGCAATACAAATGGGCAATACAGTGCAAGGAAAAAGAGCAAATTGCCAATATAAGACGACGGGACAAATGCAATAAAAAAGGGCAAATGGACAATACAATTGGCAATGGAGATGGGCAATGCAAATGGGCAATACCACTGGGCAATACAAGTGCAATACAGTGCAGTAAAAAACTGCAATACAAGTGCAATATAAATGAGCAATACAAGTGCAAGACAAGCGCAAGACAAGTGTGCAAGACAAAGGCAATACAAAAGCGCAATACAAAAGTGCAATAAAAATTGGCAATACAGTGCAAAAAAAGGACAAACGGGCAATAAAAAAGGGCATGACAAATGCAATACAGATGGGCAAACGGAAATATAAAAGCGTAATTGGGCAATACAAGGGCAATAAAAAGGTGCAAGAAGATGGGGAATTCAAGTGCAATAAAAATGGGCAATACAAATTTGCAATACAGAGGTACAAATGGGCAATAAGAAAGTGCAATATAGTACAATAAAAAAGCGCAATACAAGTTCAATATAAATGAGCAATACAAGTGCAATACAAGCGAAATACAAGTGAAATAAAAAAATGCGAGACAAATGGGCAATACAAGCGCAATAAAAATGTGCGATACAGCGCAATAGGAAAGGGCTAATGGCCAATATAAAAGAGCAAGACTAATGTAATACAGATGGGCGAACGGGCAATATAAAATGGTAATGTAAAAGGGTAATGCAAAAGGGTAATATAAAAGTACAATTCAAATGGGCCATACAGATGTGCAATAGAAATGTGCAAATCGGCAATATAAAAGTGCAATACAAGTGCAATCAACATGGACAATACAGATGTGTAATAGAAATGGGTAAGACAGTTGCAATGCAAAAGGACAGGACAGTGCAATACAAGTGCATTAAAAATGGGCAAATGGGCAATACAAGTGCAATAATAATGTGCAATACAGCGAAATAGAAAAGGAAGGATTACTTCACTGTCAAGAGATAAACCTGCATCGAAAGTTCTAGGTAAGACAAATAAAACACATGTAGTCAATGTTTGACACATCCTTTGACCTTTGCTAGATTAATGGAGCTAATTTCCTGGGGCAAAACCAACAAAGACACAATTGCATTGAGACAGATATTAAGCTATACTACACTAGAAAAACCAGCTTGCTCTTCATGGACAAGTATAAACTTAATCCTGAGCCACCAACTCAACAATTGGTTAATTCTACTGAAAATAAAAACAAATATATGAAGAAATATAGTAACCTCAAACAGCTTCGAAAAAAGGATTGGACTTATTGATTGGAATCACGAGAAGGGAAGGGACAGACACCAGTGACTGTCCACAAAGACTCGTTTTTTGTCTCGACCGCATCTTTCGTCAAACATCCAGAATGTACATATATCAGAACCTGAAATCTATTTCTCAGTTCGGAGAAACGATATTCACTTAAGTGCTATTCTGAGGCAATCTGAGGCAGCTCCTGATAAGGGTGGGATGAATTAGCTTTTATATTTTTTTGCTGTGTTTTTTAAGGATCAAAGCAGTAGAACATGTGACGAGGCCGTAAACTTCTTATTTCACATGCTGACTCACTTCTGAGGCTTTCACCTCGTACGAGTCATGTCTTGAAACATAAGTGCACAAAAATTTCAATAGCATGTTTAGGTGAGTTGTTGATACGTCTCCTGTACTCCTTAATAGCTTGTTTGAGATACACGTACGCTTTATAGAGCGTAATGCGTGAAAGGCCTTTTGAAATACAAAGGCTTATCTGATTACCCGCGGAAATTGCGTAAGGCTATTAGCCTGTGTGAATCATCGATGATATTATAGCTTTATGACATAAAGTAGTAAAGTGTGGATACTGTGGATATTATTGTTACACGTGTTGCATTGGTACGAAATTGCTGGACGTGCCTAAGGCCTTGATGTTGATTCTGCTTCAAATCATGCTTATACCAGCACCATCTCAGGTAGGGGCATTAATATCCTTGCGACTAACGCAAGCTGCCACTCCACTTTTTGACTCTCGAATACACAGAAATTCTCGATGGATTTGGGCTAAGATATTTTTTGAATATGTCGATCCTGGTACACGGATCACTTTGTAAGCACATATGGCAGTGGTGATTTGTATCAATAATCAAATTTCTCACAAGATCGTGTCTCCATTTACTTAACGTATAAGTTGAAGCTGGCAATTCCGTATTTCGTGTTAATTACAAAGTTCTTCCTTAAAATCCGAAAGTGTTCCTTGTGAAACCTTCTTATATCCATGTTGTTTAAGACTGTCCAGACAATAATCAGTGGCATCCGTTTAGAGCCCGAAAGATGATTGAGTTAGGCTGGATCATTGGCCGATATCTAAAAGAACCTCGCAGGTTGCAAGAAGCACACGGCATTAAATTGGATGTCTTTATTTTCGCTATATGGTTGACATTGCCATCACAGGAAAAAAGAAGAAGTTTGATGACTTGCTTAATAGAAGCCGTGTTTCGTTCTACCAATTCATATTAATTAGGAGATACCGGCTAAACTCTTTTACTCTTGGACTTGCTGCTATATGTCCTTGAAAGTCAAATGTTGAAGACCCATATACAAAGCCTTGCAGTATTCAGAATGGAATCTCTCACAAGCCGCCCAGAAAGGCTTTGTGACTGAAGAAGTTGGGCTGCTCAAGACTGTTCGAAGGAAAAGACGGCATCGAGATGTGTAATTCTGTCAGCAAAAAATTCAATCCACCACGTCTCATCAGTATGTGGATGAAGTCGTTGATTCTAAATTTGCAGAACTGGCCAAGGGACAGCACACCGCATGTTTAAAACCGGCACTTGAAAAATACCATAACATATCTCGCTGTATAGTAAGATAAATTTTCACGGGTAATACGAAGCTAAGGTTTCGGGAGGTAAATTGACAAAACGCTTAATTTCATTGATATTTTGGGGCCGCAAGAAAGAAACACCAGGCACCGATTCAGCTTCAGATTCCATAAGGTCGTAAACGGAATATACGTGACTTCGCCAGAAGTAACCAAAAAGAAGTATTGCCCACAACCTTCGATTGAAATCCCTACATTTCTCATCTATAGTCCCTAACCCTACACTCGAGGAGCCACACACTGCCAACAATTATCGGGAACGAATGCTATCGGACTCGAAAAAGAAAGAAATGCTAAAAGAATCAGACCAGGTGGAGAAAACAACTCCGGTCAATATTTTTTACAAGACAAAGGATAAGGCAGGCAGTTACGGGTGCCATTCCCCTAGAAAATCACGATACCATGTATCCTTGATTTGTTTCCATAAGATTCTCCTCACAAATTGCTCACATTTTACACGAATGTTACCTCCAAGCTCGAGAATGATAAATGTCATAATATAATTTCTTGCCGCGCTTTCATGTGCACATGTATAGTCACATTGGTTGACTTTCACCTGAATACAAGAAATCCTATTTTCGCAATGCAGAGTTTTTATCTCGTGTCGTCAAGGTGAATTTCCCTTGAAAAGGGAGTCTAGTCTTTAAGAGGAAGAGTAACGTACGAGGTCTACTACACAGGATCAGTAATAAACATGATGTGTCCATGTACTTGAATCACACATGTCACACAAGTAAGCTGAAACATTGTGGGCGCTATGACACATCTCTTCCATCGAAAGAAGTCTATAAATATTGCAGGATTCACTTGAAAAGACCAAGATTATATTACACCTGTCGCGAACAAATCTTGGGACACGGTGTCGCGAAAAAATTTGACTCCCATAGCCCACTGAGGAATTTACAGGAGCTAGCTAAAAATCCCCTGAAGATTTGGTAGCGAATCGTCTTACTGCTTACAAAAAAGATTAATTCATCGACTTTTATCTCCGTTCACGCTTACGATATCAGCCGTCACTAAAATACAACGATTTGCGAAATCAAGACGAACAGTACATCGTCACGTCAGATTTAGGTTTTTTGACACGAGTGTTTTATTTCACAATGGCAAACACCAAAGCTCCGCCAATCCAAGGCTTCTTGCCTGGTCTCGAATTGACGCCTTATTCAGAATATGGGATTTTGTTGTCTATCCAGAAAAAAGATATCAAAAGGTACTTTAAAGAGAAAGGCACACGGCTTCAGAACAAATGCAAGAAACATTGTGGGTTACTCATACGTTTACAGAAATACACTAGGTATGAACAAGCAAACATGATTCCCAAGGAGTTGATTTCGTTGGCCAAGGAGTTATCGTTCACAAGCCAATTTCAACCGGGGGACGAGATGGAAAAAGCTAAGGAATTTTTGCTTCAAAAGTTATCCCTGCTTGCAGCCGATTGCATCGCATCTGAAAAAGAAATCTTAGCAGCAAATATTGACCCCAAGAAAGAATGTGTGGAATGGTTCAATACATTCACTTCTGATGGAGGACACCAAGGGTGGAGTACCTATGAAGAAATACATGCGGCCTGCGCCAAATTCGACCTAGAGCGCACCCCTAAGAGCTTCTTGGACAGCTCGTCGATATTTCGCAAAGAGACTTACCATGAAATTGTAGGCAAAATGATCATCAAAGCAAAGGAGGATGATCAGAAGACTATGGAGTTTCTCGCAAAACAACAAGTGAACGAAGATCTCGATGACTACGATGTGATCGGGCCAGAAATTTCAACCCGGTCGCTTCAAAAAGAGATTGAGTCTCTCAAATCCGCGGTGAATGAACTCATAATGGCGGATCAAGTGAAGTCCACCACCCAAGCAGACCAAAAGAAAAAGAAAAGTCAAACCTCCGTTCCTAAAAAGACGCCTAACAAGAAACAGAATCAAAAGAGTTAAGTCCATGCTCTGAACAAAAATGCTGGTCCCATGTTTTGATGTAACACAATTTATATATAAGATTTGAGTGAAGGCTGTTCGTGTGACGGGTGTATCGTAATACCTTCGTATCGTTCTTGTTATGTTAAGCCAGTGACACGGTCATGTCCTGTATTTACATGGCTTCTATTCTGTATATGGGATGGTCACAGCATATTTGGGTTCCTCGAACAAAGCCCCCTCAATAAGAAGGAGCCTGTAGTTGCCTTGAGTAAGGGGTCTGAAGTACCTTAATCAAGGTTCAAATATCAGGTTGTGTTCATAAAGGGTCGCGAGATTGCGCACCCTCAGGTTTGGAGTTCAAGGCTTGATATTCCACAGGTAGACTAGACCTACTCACGGAGGCTGAACTATTTATAAGCATATCTGCTTGTAGCCTAGAAACAGCCACTTGTTTATTTCATTTTGTTTTTCAGCAATTGATCAATCAACACCATGGTCGAGAATACTTACCGCGCAGACGTACCCGAAAGCATGTTGGCCCAACAAAACACTTCAGAGATGCAGAACAAGATCGGGCAGCACAAGCAAAATTGAGAAACATTAAACGCCTTCATTAACATCATATCCGTCAATTAAGAATGAGGAAGCTAAAGTCAGTCTCTGTATACCACTCACAAGGTTGGGCTAAGGAGAAGGCGGACTTGGATTGGAACACAGGCGTACTCAACACGATGGAAGAGTATACTTCGTGGTGCAAGCACAATTGTTTTAGTGCGGCTTGGACACCCCGGCAGTCCATTTCTAACCGCCTTTTACTGGCACCTCTAGACAACGACTTGGAAAAGACCGTTAAGATTTTCGATGGTCTTTATAGGCTAAATGAATCGTACGAAGTCCGGGTAAGTGTCATTGACTCTTATAGAGCTTTTCTTGCACATGTGCGCAACCCACAGTGGACTTCAGTGTTGCGTACTTGCAGTTCTTTGGTGGAATTTCTTTGTGCAGTGAAGAGGTTGTTGATTTGAAGAATTTGGATGTCATTAAACAGAAGAACGCAAGTCAGCTTATGAGAAGGATACAGGTAGGTCAAGAGAAGAGAGTTCTCTATCACTTACCAATGAGGAAAGTCACTAGCAATGGTAAAAGTCCAAAAAAACAACGATACTACCAATACTAACGTGAAGCCAAGGAAACCAGAGCCGCAATTGCTCCCAACTATTGGACTGTCTTCAGTTGGAATCGCTACACCCATAAAACTATCTGCGCCGTTCGCTCAAATGCCCGATATTCTAGAGCGTACAATTGGGCCTTCTTGTGTAAACAGGCTGTTGGAAATTCCAGAGCATGGCCGTCTCGCAGCAAGTGGTTTCAATCGCTGAAACAAACAAGGAGCGCATGCAATTGGGAAAAGAGACTGTCATAAAGACCAGGTGGTTACAACCATACTAAGGTAAAATATACTGATTTCGTGCGTTCAACGTAAGTCACTGAGCAGCGTAGGAGAAAGCCTGCGAAATTTTGAATTCTTTGTTCCATCATACCTTTGAAAACCTGTTTTGTTAGGTTGTTCTGAACAAGGAGCATGTCTACTAAGAAATAAAGGAATATCTTTGAACCGCTCCCTAATCATGTATTAGTTTGCAAACACGGCTTACCGCCTTAGATTATATCTCTGGGACGGATCTGTATACGTATTACTACAATTTCCTTGTATATTGTCATATACTATGACCGCGAAACAGAGCCGCCCAAAATGGTTGTGGCGTACTTCTTTATTACTGCATTTGGCTGATCAAGGGTTTAGATGACACTTGTAGCTAAACTACACATGTGGCACCGAGTTTGAATGTCCTTTTTACTGTTGCTATCCAAGTTTTTTCCATGGCATTGTAAAAGCCAGCAGTTCGAAATGAGTGTTTTTTTTTTGTTTATCAATATTTCTCTGTCACTATCGCAGTGCTATGTTTGATAAATCACAAGACTCTCACTTTTCCAGCTTTAAAATGGTACTCATTCTTGATCCTCTGGTGTGACGTCACAAATAATACAAGTAGGGTAATACAGGATTCCTTCGGTTGGCCTGACCGCTCAGAATTTCTTTTGATTATTGGTACAAGTACCAATTTCTGAAATAGCAAAATTCGGACCGTCAAAGAGTATGAAATTAGACAAGAGCTGTGCTATGAATAACGATAGCATGAGATGCAAAGACACGCACATTCAACTAGTCGAAAGAAGCGATACATTAATCACAGAGATGAACCAAGCGAAGCCACGAAAACGATGCGAAGCCACGAAACGAGAGGTAAACATTTTTACCAGTAGTCGGAACATTGCACAGTCTGATTACACCCTCGTAGGCTAGCCAAAAAAGCCTTTACATGTGCCGGTATCCGGACTTCTATCAAATGGAGACATAGTTTAAGTCCTATTTTGATTCTAGTTGTCTAGGAAACCATCCACTGAAGCAGGGCTACAGAAACAGCGCATGCGTTTCAGGACTGGAGTTCCCAGACACATCTCTGGCCATTGAACAGGAATAGAATTGAAAAGTGGGCGGAATGCTGTCTGTTTATGCGTGACCCACCAAGTACTGGATCGTGCGCAACGCCTCGTATTTCAACTCGTTGTCGCCGTCACTGTTTTCCAAGAACCCCATCACCATCATCTTGTACTGGCTGTCTTTCTCGGTGTTGATGAAGTTGACCAAATCTGTGCCGATGTTGCGGATCAAAAACTGCAAGTCGTTCAACAAGATCACGCGGGCGGGGGCCGTGGATCCAGTGTCCTCTGCAGCCAAGATATCCATCATGCGCCTGACCAACGCAAAGCTGTTCTCCCGGAACTTGCCAGCGTTTTCGCGCCAGAAGTCCTCGGATTTATGGGTGGGCGAGGCCCAGCTCAACAAGTCCGGGTTCTCCAACTCCACCAAGTACGCGTCCAAAGAAGTCAATTTGGTGGTGACCACCTCGCTTAATGCCTCGTTGAGATAAGCCAAGTCGCCGGCCAACTCCTCGTCACTGGACTCCAGCGCAAACTTGCGGGTTTGGATCGTCTTGACCACATTCAAGCCGTCGTGAAACAACAACAATTTGACCACGCTGAACTGCTCGGCCAGAGACACAGTGAAGGACACGAAGTTTCTTGCAGTGGAGACGGCCACACGCACGACCTTAAGCTTGATGCCCTCTTTGGCAATGGTCAACAAGCTTCCCACAATGCTAGGGAAGCTGTGCACAAGCACCTTGTTGAGCAGCGGCGAGAAACTCAAGATCCACACGGTCAACAACGTGTTGTACAACAACTGCAAATTCACGGAGTTGGGCTGCTTGGCCAGCGTGTCGATCAACCTGACGAGTGTCTTGGCATTTGTCGCCAAGTTGTGTTCCTGGAATACCACCCGGTACGGCTTGTTGACCAAGAGCTCCTGCAACAACTGCACGCCGATCGACTGCACATTGCTGTCCTGGGTGTTGCCGATAAACTGCTTCAGACATACGACGCTGAAGAGTTTGATGAGCGTTTCTGAGTGCGCTCCGTTTCCCACTTTGGCGGCCTTGCTGAGCAAAACCGTGACGTTGTAAAAACTCAACGTTTTGATGAGCGGGTCTGTGTTGTCCAAATGCTTGACGAACGGCGTGTATGGCAACGCCACGTCCACCGACGAAAGCTCCAAAAGCGCATCTGCAAACAGCTCCGCTTGGGCATCTACAAGTAGGTCATTGAGCAATACGAGCACGCATTTCAACACGTCGTCACGTGCGTCCACGTCCAACTTGCTCAACAAGTTCAAAAGCGTGCGGGCGTACATTTGTTGGGAGCCCAAAACCGTGGTTCTTTTGGAATCATGATTCTGCGTTTCCAAGACTTTGATTAGATTGGCCTGGTCGGCGGAAATCACGCCGGCACGTGCAAGGCCTTCCCAAGGCACGATTTTCTCCCGGATGAGTTTTTTGGAGTCCAGAAGACTCGAGCTGTCGAGCACTAAGGGCGCCTAAATAGGACGTTAGTACGGGGCTGGAAGTGGCTTTGCAAGAAACACGAAGATGGGTGGGGCAGGGATTTTTCTCAGAATTTCTCTGAGGGTGGGATACCCCTTTGCCCGGGGATTTGGATCCTGGTCGTGGTTTGGACATACATAGTGCAGCATTTTGAATTGTGTGACTGGTGGAGACGGGCTTCGTTCCATTATCTACGCCTGATAGCACTCGGCATGTTTTGGGTTGTGCACGACCCCGCGGTTCTATAGATGTGATATCTGGCACCACAGGTGAGAGGAGGGACAAATGATGTACACGCTTGGGAAAACCAGGATTCTCGCATCCACGACTATTTGGTTGTGAAAAGATATTTGTTTGATAAAAACAATTTGGAAAAAGTAATTGCCGGTCCCAGGAATCGAACTTGGGTCTGCTCGGCCACAACGAGCTGTACTTACCACTATACTAGACCGGCTTCTGACGAAGGAAAACGATCTATAGGTATATATATTATTATATATGGACTCAGTATCTGAAAGTTGCTCGCTCACTATTTGGAGGAAGCGCGACTCAATTGAGTTTTCTAGCTGTAGCATGTTTTCTAGAGCGGTGCTGCCTTGCTATCGCTGAACAGTCTTGTGTAAGGCAGAATAGCTGAAGCGATATGATTCATCGTCCATTCAATTCACATGTCCCCCGCAGGACCCTACCCCGCGAAACGTTGGATTTCAAATATCAGTTTCGAACACATAAAGTTCATAACAGCAAAGACGCCTCAAAAGCTTTCCTTATCTATCTCTACAACAACTGCGAGACATCCGAATACTGAGCTGAAATTCGCCAAGCCCATGAGCCTGAATGAAATGTTAGCTCCGGTCGAAAAACAAAACAAATTGGTTCGTCACCACTATTTTCAAAATATACACTCGAGGACGTGGCGAGTTGCAGGAAGCAAGTCCTTAAGTCATTTCGGATCATCTGAGTTAAAGCGACTACCAAAAAAAACTACAGGAGGCTTTTTCTAGTATTCGATGATGTAATACATAAACAGACGCGGGCCAAGAGGACCATCTAGGCCGTGACTAACAGAAACGTGCACGCCGAGGTTTGGACAATAAGCACGTATCCAGGAGCTGTTTAAAGATTTGAAAAGTCGGCTTCCATGGACTCTCAGCACACATGGGCTTGGCAGCTTGTGGTCCGCCAACTTTGAGAACCATCCAATGGACACAGCTGGCTCATATACCGATTTTCAAAAGAAATCAGTTACGTACAGATCAATTCCATGGAACACAACAACATATGTTTTCGAAAACAAATTTCAGTTCATGACGACTTTTAATTTTTTATCTAGAAAATGAACCGCACTATAACTTTTTGCAAGCAGACTCATCATTGCGTGGAATTTTGAAAACAGAATTGCGGTCACAAAAATTCCTTTTCAATCAGGCCAGCTATTTCAGGTCAGCAAAATGAGCCCCAGCCCGTTTTCAACACTCAGGATTGGAAATCGGGTTTTATTTCCCTTTGTATATCGTGCTCTCTGAATATTACACAATCAATATCTCCAAGCACGAAAAAATACGCCAGTCTTCGGGCTACTCTTGAATACCTTCAAGATATTTCCAATACGGCATCAGCAAAACATATAAAGTTGCCCCTACTTAAAAATATCATGACCAGAAGTGAAGTGCTGCTACTGGCTCTGCCTCTTTATGCTTGGGATCTGTGAAAGACCCCTGGTCCTACATACAAACAAACACCTGTGTAATGCATTCCCATACTCGGAGGCAAATCTCAACCCCGCAAAATTCCCATCTCCTCAAGCCTGCCCGACTATTCAGAATGACCCAGGACAGAATCGTGCTTCACTACCTTATCGGGTCACGTGCCTCCCGGATCCTCTGGCTCTTGGAGGAACTAGACGTCGAGTACGAGATGAAGTCGTACCATCGGACTTCCGAGGGCTTGGCGCCCCCCGAGTTGAAAGCCGTGTGGCCCCTCGGTCTCTCGCCCGTGGTGCAAGTGTTCAGGCCCGGGGCTGCAAAGCCTCTCACGTTGGCCGAATCCGGACAGATTGTCCTGTACTTAATCAGCCACTACGACCCACAGGGCAAGTTCCGGCCGGAATCCGAGGACGACCAGGTGTTGGTGGACTACTACTTGCATTTCGCCGAGGGCTCCTTGCAGTGCCACCTCGTATCTCTCTTGGTCAATTATGTCGCATGCCAAAGAGCGCCATGGGGGCTTGGCTGGCTTGTGAAATCCATCATGGGAAAGATTAACGGATTCTACTACTTGAAGAAAATCAGAACTGCATACGCATTCTTGGACCAGCAGTTGGAGGAAAAGAACGGCGGCTATTTCGTAGGCAACAAGTTGACAGGAGCAGATTTCATTTTGGACTTCCCGGTCAATGAGAACCTTTTTGCTAACCCGGCCAGACTAGAGGAAATGGGTGCAGGAGTCAATGGTGAGAGAGACTTCCCGAGATTGGCCGAGTGGAATAAGCTCATTACTGGAAGGCTCGCACATGTCCGGGCATCTGAAAAGGGCCAGGAAGCCAAGGCCAAATTGTAGTTTGTGTGTTGTGCGGTTTTACAAGGGCTTGAGGGTCGACTTTCAAAGCAATATATATAAACCACAGCAATAAATGACAATTATTGAGTACCTAGTTATGTTGTGTAAAGTGGTATCTGGCGTATGGAATGGCGCTTGGCCGAGCTGCGTTCTCGGGTTGTTATTGCTGAAATATCTGGGCAATATCTGCGGTTTCCAGACATGTTTAGGATCCCTGGTTGGTCACGGAATCCACGGTTATACGTGACTCGACTTTTGTATTCCATAGTGGTTGATTGAGCTTTGGGGTGAAAATCTGCCAGGAATATTAATGATGCTCAACACAAGTAGTTCCTTTCTGCTGAACAGGCTGGGTAATAATAAACCTGCTGAGTGAGATTTCGCTTCCCGTCCGCCATGCAATTAAATATCAACCCCACGTGACTCCCGTCTTTTTAGAATTATAAACCGCAATTGTCTATACCAGACTTAGATATGGTCTGGATGTAGCTTCTTTGCAGCTCACAGTTCGGTCAAAGCTCTACCGACTTAAAAAAACAACAAAAGGGTATCTTTTTTTACCAAGGGATATTTGTATATCTGCAAAATCTGCAAAAATTGCATATCTGCAAAACATCTGCGAGCACAAAAGTAACACTAAATGTGATGACTTCCAATTTCAGCCAACTACGACTGCTCGGCAGTGTGATTCCACTCCCGTCCCAGATCTGCTACTTTGTCATTTAACGTCAGGGTGTTCCAGAGGTTGGAGCCAATATCTAAGAAGAGCTAAATTGCAGAGTACTGCTGGCAAGTGTGTCGCCGCAAGAAACTAGAATCTCAATTATTGCTGGATTCGTCTTACCAGAAGCAAGACCATCGCACATTTACATAGACATGCCCAATAAGTACCGAGCATCCCTTTTTTCTTTTGGTAGATTCTTCTGATCAAAGGGGCAAAACTATATAAATAATATATATAAGAAACCTTCAAACAGCTCCCAGCTACGTACCAAGTGTCCTAGCTCTGCCCGTCCCCTTGCGTTAGTCACGGCCTGGACGGTCCTCATGGCCCGCATCTGTTTACGTATTGGATATTACGTCATCAACTCCTAGGATAGGTCTCCTGTAGTAGTCGCTTCAACTCAGTTCTAACCTTTTTTTTTTTTTGGTTAGATTCATCTGATTAAAGGGGCAAAACTATATAACGAATATATATAAAAAACCTTTAAACAGCTCCCAGCTACGTACCAAGTGTCTTAGCTCGGCCCGTCCCCTGCTCCTCCAAATAAACACCGAAAACCCAAGTAAAAGATTTTCTACGCTCCTGGCATCTTGAAAACCGCACCGGACATACCTTGGCTTAAAATAATAATCTAAAATAAGCCTCTATTCTTCCCTCTTATTTCAGCAAACAAGAGCCACATCAACATTGGTACTCTGGCCGAGTGGTCTAAGGCGCCAGGGTAAGGTTACCTTACCATACATTCCTGGTCTCTTCGGAGGCACGAGTTCGAACCTCGTGGGTATCAATATTTTTTCGCCCGCCGGCGTCCTGCATCACCGCGCGCAACAGTGGCTTGTCTCTCCATTGCAAATTGCCACTAGTCCCCGGAACCTCTCTTTTTAGCGCCGCCAATATGGATGACGACTACGAAAACTACTCTGGAGAAGACGAGTTCAATGAGGACGCCTTGAACAACGCGGACTACGATGCCTTATATGCCGCCCTCCCCGAGGCGAAGGCCCAGCTACAGTCGTACAATCCGCAGATCCAGGACCTCGATATCAAAGAGGCCCTCTACTACAACTACTTCGAAATCCCCGCTGCGCTCGAGGAACTCAAAAGCAAGTTCCCCCGAAAAAAAGGTATGTTAGTGTTGTCGTTTTTACCCCCTGTCTTTTTTACCGCCCCTTCTTGTGGCGCTCACGGAGTGCCGCTCCGTCGTCTCTGATTCTTGTCCTCTGTACTACCTGAGTTCTAGGTCCGCCAGCGCCGGGTGTCCGTTTCTTCGTTCCAAATTTGCTAATACATTAGAGGAGCTCCCGCCGCCGAGGTTGTCGAAATTGGCGATGCTAGCGAAACTGAGGGCCGGGGCCGCCGCGCCCAAAGCGGGCCTAGATCTCAGTGGTTTTGTGGCCCGGCGTCCGGCAAATCCGCCGGCAACGTCCGGAACGAGCAGGGCGTCTGGGCTCGCGGCACTAGCGCTGGCCCGGGCAAAACCGGGTGCCAACGCCGGCCAAGGCGAGCCGACCCCGCCGCTTTTGGAGGCGGCCGCCGGGGTGCCGAAAGACTCGAGATTGGGCCTGCTTGCCAAGCACGGCCGGGCCGCGCCAGGCGCCGTTGGCCTCGCGGCCGCGGATGCAGGCTCTGCGATTGGCCGCCCGGGCAAAACTCAGTTGTTGCGGAGAGCCAATGGCGGCGGCCTAGAGCTAAGGCGCAGGCTCGAAAAGGCCAAGCAGCAGCAGCAGCAGCAGCAGCAGCAGCAGCAGCAGCAGCGCGAGCGTGGCACAGATTCCGACACAGCCGCCGAGCCCCTGATATCTGAAACGCAGCCGAGCGCCGGAACCGGTGCCGGCCGCCGGCCGCTGGAACCACACTGCGCGGACCCGCCGCTTTCTTTCGAGCTCTGCGTGGCCCACTCGGGCCGGCGGCAAGGCCCGCCCAGCCGCGTGTCTGTGCTCTTGTTTGAAGACCCGGTGCGCACACGGCACCGCCCGGAGCTTGTCGCCAAGCGCCGCAAGCTTTCGGGCCAGTTGTTCGCGGCATATACTAACCGAGAAGCCAGCATTGCCCAGGCCAGGGCCAACTTCAGCCAGCCGAGCCCCGACGACCGGGTGCTCCGTGCGCAGAAACAGGCGTTTGAGCAGGGGGTCCAGGAGTTGAGTCTCGGCGGGGCCAAAGGCGGGGCCAAAACGGACATCAGGACGGACGCCGCCACGGGCCCCAAAGCCGGCGGCAAGGCGCCGCGGCACGCAACCAAGCCGTTCAAGAACATCGACGTGCGTAGCGAGCTCGCGCAAAACCCGCGTTTCGCCAAGCCCAGCGAGGCGTTTGTCATCATCGGCCACGTGGACGCCGGCAAGCTGACGCTCATGGGCCGCATCTTGTACGACACCGGCACCGTGGACGCCAAGACCGTCAACAAGTTGGTGCGCGAGGCCGAGAAGTCGGGCAAGGGCTCGTTTGCCTTGGCCTGGGTCATGGACCAGACGGCCGAGGAGCGGGCGCGCGGCGTGACCATCGACATCTGCGCCACGGCGTTCGAGACCGCGTCCACGCGGTTCACGGCCATCGACGCGCCGGGCCACCGCGACTTCGTGCCCCAGATGATTGGCGGCGTCTCGCAGGCCGACACGGCGCTCCTCGTGGTGGACGCCATCAGCGGCGAGTTCGAGGCCGGCTTTCTCATGGACGGGCAGACGAAGGAGCACGCGGTCATCGCGCGCAGCTTGGGCGTCGCCAGCCTCGTGGTGGCCGTGAACAAGCTCGACAAGGAGAACTGGCGCGAGGCGCGGTTCCGGGACATCTGCGAGCAGCTCGGCCAGTTCTTGGCCGGGCCCGACATCGGCTTTGCCGCGGGCGACATCTCGTTCGTGCCGGTGTCCGGCTTGACCGGGCGCAACGTGGTGCGCAACGACGGCGCCGCGCCCGAGTTCGCCTGGTACACGGGCCCCACGTTGGTGCAGCGCTTGGAGCAGCTTGGTGGGGAATCCTCCGCCGCACGTGCGCCGGTGGACGTGATCTTGGACAGCGCCTTCAGCATGGCCATCAACGACCTCTACGACGTGACGGGCGCGGAGTTCAAGGCCAAGGGCAGGGTGTCGCTGGGGCTGGTCCAGCCGGGGCAGACCGTGTGCGTCCACCCCACGGAGGACCTCTTGCAGGTGCAGGCCGTGCACTTTGCCGACACGCCCGCGGACGTGGCGGTGCAGGGCCAGATTGTGCTGTTGACGTTCAAGGTGGCCCAGCTCCAGAACAAGAGCACCGCGGACTTGGCGCTCGGCGACATTGTGCTGAGCGTGGTGTCGCCGGTGCGCTCCGTGCGTGAGTTCCGCGTGCACCTCAGCACGTTCGACATGGCCAAGCCGCTCTTGGTGGGCACGCCGTTCGTGATGTTCCGCAACAACGCGGCCGTGGCTGCGCGCATCAACAAGGTGGTGCGCGTGGGCGGCGCCAAGACGAAGAAGAAGCACTTGGTGTCGCGCCAGGAGGCCGACGTTGTTGTGGAGGTGCTTGAGGACAGGCGGCTCCCGGTGGCGCGGTTTGACGACAGCCGGGCCTTGGGCCGGGTCGTGCTCCGCCGCGAGGGCGTGACGATTGCTGCGGGCGTGGTCACGCGGGTGGACTAGCTGTGCTGCGCTATGCACCTATGTGGTTGTGGTTGTGGGTGTTTCCGGTGTTTTGGAGTTTGGGGCATGCCCAGCTGCTCCATTTCGCAACGGCATGTGCACATTCCGACGCGCTCCACGTACGACTGGCAGGGCGTGGGTTTGTGCTAGCATTGTCATTGGGACTGATGGTGCTGTTTGACCAGGGAATGCGCCATCGGGAGATGTCCGGCCACTACAGAATCATAGCCATTGAAACACTCAATCTATAATGAAGCACACATCTTATAGACAATCTTCAATACAGAAGCCTTCTTAGTCAATTTTTTTTTGTCGGGGAAAATCAATTAAAGATTAGTCTTGATGGACGCAGGGTTGTTGAGTCAGGGAAGCCGAAGAAGCGAAAAGTGGGTTGGGTCCAGATTTCGTTCTCTCAATATATAAGGATGATGGCGCAGAAATACCCACGGGTCTCTCGCAGCGACACCTACTATAGCCTATTTTAAATAGAAGTGTGGAGTGGCCGTGTGATCGGTGGCATGCACAGTATCAGCGGGCCAGAGATTGGACTGAGCTTCTTGAGGTTCTACTGCATGGGCCCTCCGTGACCAGTCTCTGATACGGTCGGGCTGGCTTTTTGGACACTCCGTGTAGTCTTGAAATGCCTCTTTTATGATTTTAGGAAACCAGAGTCGTGGAGCCTACCGAGGCCTACTGTTGCGGTATTCCCAACATAAGAGGAGAAGTCTTGAACCAAGAAGTTTTTCAACAAGAAGTTTTTCAACAAGAAGTTTTTCAACAAGAAATCTTCCATCAAGAAATCTTCCACCAAGAAGTCTCCTAACAAGAAGTCTTCTAACAAGAAGCCTTCCACCAAGAAGGCTTTCACCACCACCAAAACCTTCCACATACATATGATCTCCTTCATGTCACTGATCATTGGAGACATGCGTTTTCATGGACGCGGACAAGGCCCCGGTCATAGACTCTCACAGGGGCTGGTTCATGACACTCATGGTGTGTCGGAGACTTCCATACCAGATGCCAAAGATGACCAGATTCTTCCTCTTGATATTCGTGCGTGGGAGACTCTCCCAGACACCACACTCCCGGGCCGAATTTGCGGGACTCTTCAAAGTCCTTGACTACACCAAAACCTCCTTGAGGGTGGTTCTGATATTTTTGGGTACTCGGTGACCTTCGGTACCCAGCAGGTGGAGACCAGTTCCCCCCACCAGCTCCATCCTAATATGAGATTTGCGGCATGCCCTTGGCAAGATTTGCTCTCGGTACAATACGCACCGGAAGCACAGTGCGCCGCATTGCCTACCTTCTGTCACCGAGTCGGTACAGGGTTTCGAACTGAAACGTGAAGCGCCCAAGCGGGTTTCGGGAGCCTCCTCGGGACCCAGCCCTGCAGGACGGAGCTTTGGCTAGACATTCTTTCGTGGTTTTGCGAGCCACTCCAAAGGCGCCTTCAACCAAAAGCCCTCTTTCTCATTATGTGGAGACACCCGGTGCCTCCAGACAGCCAATAACAGCGCATACAGTGCTGATGGTGTCGTAGCCACTCGAGTGCCCCGCCCCCGTATCCATGGTTCCGAGTAAGGCTCGGACCGTGGTCGCATGAAGCCAGACCCCAGGCCCCCCATACCACCACGCGTGCCCCCGGCCGCCCCCCGCTAAGACACGTAGTCCACAAACAAAAGAAGCGAGCCGAGCACAAGGCACGTGGCCACGATCACATCCGAGCCGCGCTTGTTGCGCCCCGAGGCGCGCCCCAAGGAGCGGTTGCCCGAGCGCAAGTCCAGGCCGATCTGCGCCTGGTTGTCGAGGAGCGAGCCGATCTGCGCCGCCTGCGTCTCGAGGTGCGAGCTCAACTCCGCCTGCAACTTGACGATGTCCACCATCAGATGCTGCAACCTCTCGACCTGCTGGAACTGGCTGGCCTTCGCCGAGAGCAAGCGGCGGTTTTCCTGCACGAGCTCCTGGAGCTGCTCCGGCGGCACGCCCGCCGCGGCGCCGCCCGGGGCAGCAGGGTCCTGCGCAGAGCCGCGTGTTTCGTCCATGAACGCGGCCGTGTCGTCGCCGGCGTCCAAGTTCTGGATGTGCAAGAGATTGAGCAGCCGCTCGCGCTCGCGCCGCAGCCGCCGCATGCGCTCGAACGCGCCGGTGGCGGCCGCCACCGCGTCGCCAAGGAACCGCAACATGTGCATGCGGTGGGCCGCCAACGTGTGGAGATACACGTCCGCCGGGCCGCCGGCGTCCGCGGCAAACACCGCCAGCACCAACCCGCGCCGCCGGCGGCTGTGCTCGCACACCTGCACGCGCCTGCGCTCGTACTCCTGGAGGTGTTTGAGCCTCCCGTAGACGCGCTGGGCCTGGAGCTGGAAGTCCCCGTCGAGCGCCTGTTTTTCGGCGTCGCTGAGCCCGCGCCGCTGCCCGTTGTCGAGCGCGGCAAAGCCGTCGGCCACCTGGAGGTATAGGGGGCGCACGCCGGCCACAAAGGCCGTCATTTGCGTCACGTTGCCGTAGAGCCCGGCGCACTCCGAGGCAAACAGGTCCAGCACTAGGAACGGCGGCGCGGCGCGGCGCGGGGGCGGGCTGGCTTCCGCCTGGAGTTCCTGGGCCACGATCCGCACGCATTGCGAGAAGAGCGGGGTGAGGTCGGCCATGTTTTGTGGCGGGGTGGAGGGGGTAGAGAAGGCTGGAGTAGGGAGTTGACAGTTGATGGAGGAGCGCGGCTGGGTTGGGCGGCGCACGACCGAAACTGTGGTGGGCGGTGGGGGAGGAGTGTGGAAGTCGTGCTGTGAAGATCTATGGTGGGGGGAATAGTGGGATATAGGCAGTGGGGTATAGACAGTGGAATATGATGTGAAATGAAGTGAGTGATGTATGATGGTGAACTATGGGGAACTATGGTGCGGTGAATAGAGTGCGGTGAATAGAGTCCGGTGAGTATAGTGCAGTGAGATATATTGAAGTGAGATATAGTGCAGTGAGATATATTGAAGTGAGATATAGTGCAGTGAGATATATTGAAGTGAGATATAGTGCAGTGAGATATAGTGCAGTGTATATTGTAGTGAAATATAGTTTAGTGTAATATGGTGTGTTGTAGTGCAGCGAGTATAGTGCAGTGAAGATAGTGAAATATAGTGAAGAAGAGTTTAATGGAATATGATGTCGTATAGTGTAGTGAAGTATAATGTAGTGAAATATGGGGAACTATAGTGCAGTGAACATAGTGCAGTATATATAGTAGTGAAATATAATATAGTAAAACATGGGGAATTATACTGCAGTGCATTTAGTGCAGTGTAAAGAGTGCAGTGAAATATAGCTCCGTGAATTATGGTGTAGTGTAGTTCAGTGAAATATAGTGAAATATAGTGCAGTGAATATAGTGCAGTGAATATAGCGCAGTGAGATATAGTGCAGTGAATATAGTGCAGTGGATATAGTGCAGTGAGATATAGTGGAACATAGCGCAGTAAAATATTGTGCAGTGAGATATAGCGCAGTGATATAATGTAGTGAAATAGAGTGAAACATAGTGAAATATAGCACAGTGAAATATACTCAAGTGAGATATGGTGCAGTGATAACAGTACAGTGAAATATAGTTCCAGGAACTATAGTGCAGTGAAGTATAGCGCAATGAAATATAGCGCCATGAACTGTAGTACCATGAGCGATAGTGCCGTGAAATATAGTACAGTGAAATATAGTGTAGTGAATTTAGTGAAACAGAGTGCAGCGAAATATAGTGCAGTGGAGATAGTGCGGTGACCTATAGTGCCATGAACTATAGTACCATGTGTATAGTGCAGTGAAATAAAGCCCAGTGAAGTCTAATGTGGTGGAACGTAGTGCAATATAGCGCAGTAATATTATTTAGTAAAATATAATTAAGTACTATAGTTTCACGAAGTATAGTGACATATAGTGCATTGAATAGCGCAGTGAGGTGTAGTGGAAAATCGTAAATTATAGTGCAGTGAATGAAGCGCAGTCTGGTGAGGAAGCGTAAATAATAATCGATGATCGGATGAACACATACTGTAGTGCGTATATTAATATGATTGTATGATGCTGAATTATAATTTAATTGTGTATCTGGCAGAAATTTACAAATATTATGAATCAAGTCAACATAATGATAACAACGCGTCGATGAAATGGAGCGCTATGATGACGCGAAATACACCTGTGAAGACATTGGTGCATGGTGGTAATTTAAAGAAACACTCTCATGAATATGTCTGTTATTTGAGATGTTCATCTCTGTAATATATTATAATATGATGTTTTCTCAAACGTATCTTATGTCGAGACGCGGCTCGATTATAATGCATATATTGAATATACTGGATGAAATAGAATGGTGCAACATAACGATCGTATCGTTCAACATGACGGTCGATTACGATGGTGATTATGCTGATCGGACATGAAAGTGCAGTGGTGAACGAAGGTTTGGAAAATGATGGTGCCATAGAATGAACATGATGAATGAAACTGCATCACTATGATCCAATGAAATTAACAAGATGTGCAAGGTGCCCAATAACGCCGTGTTACCATGCAATCGTAGATCTGCCCTCTTCCAAAGCTTGTACCTAGACATCCTCTGTACATTTTGCTCACAATTCACTTCTACAAAAATCCCTACTCACATCATTAGTACCTTCTTCGCGATTATTATCGGAAACAAGAATTCGCCATACGAGCCTAAGCTGACGAAGACTGGGGGTTTTCAACAGAACATAATATCGTATACCGTTAAAAACGTCTCATTGTCAGGAAGATAATTCCACAGAAACTGTCATCCCCATGGTTCACCAAAATAATGAGGCTTTTTGATCAGCAGAAATACTTGAATTTGCGTACAAGTTTAACAGAAGGGGGTCAGCTGCTTTAGACCAAATAATCGTTCTTAAGAAAAACGTGTATGAAAGTCTTTGCCCCCCACTCTGCCTTTCTGGTTTGCAGTCATCAGAAAACGAACACTTCCGAATACACCTGGCCATGTCTGAAGAGGGAATTACGAGAGACATGAGGTCAATACAAAACAACTTGCGGCTTGAAGCAAATAATGCAGCAATCAAAAGTCAGAAAAAAAAGCGGATGAGCTTTATGCTCGTCATCCGAATTAAAGCGCCATAATTCCTTGTCATATGGGAAGACATTCGCTTTGTTTAAGTAGCTGTAATCTTAAACATGTCGCTGTTATAAAACAGCAATTTTGAGGGTATTCCAGGGCAGTTTGACTCGCAAGGGAAGACATCGAACGATACAAGATTCCTCGATTTTGATTAACAAAACAGGTAAAGACAGCTGCACAAAACATGCACAGAGAAGGTCCGGAAAAATAAACTTGGTGATTCAAAGCCTTGAAGGAATCTGGTAGCTGCAAAGAAAAGAACGGCTTTGGAACCAGCCAAGATGGCTCGGAGTACTATCATGGGCACAGAAATGCTTTGCTTATTAGGAGAATTAATTCTACATGACCACTCCATGATAATACCATTGGGAAGGTGCGAGATTGACCTTTTTATCTGAAGCACGTTAATTGAATCCGAAAGCCGTAGGCTAGAGGAACGGCGGAGAAAGCGAGTGAAAAGAGTCCGAGCAGACAGTATATTACTCTCAGCCTATATTTGCATCGAGACGAGCTTTAAAGGCAATGAGGACCAGCATCGAAGTCTTGATCCTAAAATGTCGCTCAAAAGAAAAAAATCAGGCGGAGTTCCAGAAATTAGGGCAACAACACTATAATCTTGGAAGTCCTAAACCTTTGCAAAGTCAAACAATGCAAATCAGAAAAATAAAAAGTTTTCTTTGATTCACAGGTCATCCTAACAGCCAAAAACTCTTGAAGAAAGAAAACTATTATTTCGCAATATCCACTCCGTATGTTCTACATCCTCTGCTACTGTGATATGCGTGGTGAAATCACCCCAGTTTCGTCTTTGGACCAGCCGTCAAAGCCCGAGTCAACAGTGCTGCGCCTCCCCACACCCACGGACTCGGACATTCAGCAAGAATAGACAGAAACCCGCAGCCCATATCGGATGGGGCCCACAAAACAAGGCTGTTTCAGAATTGAATATGTGCCCTGGTGTGATTCCGCCTCTACCACCAAGATGGAGAGGCTATACGAAGACACCTCACCCAGAAAGACCCACTCCAGCCGCCTCACCCAGACAAGCAAGACACGTGTCTCACCAGACAAGTAATAGATGCGTCTCACCAGACAAGTAAGACACGTGCCTCACCCAGATAAGTAAGACACGCATCGGGTGATTTCGACAGCATCGCGGCGCCCCGTCTCGGGGTCTTCCACAGGCACGGTCCGCGAGTCATATAGAAGATTCCACCGGCCCTCGCACTCGGCGTTGCTTACGTTTATGGTCCTCTGGTTATGGTCGCGGCGGTACTCCGGACTGCTCTGCACATATTGCACGTAGTCCGGGGCACCCGGCAAAAAGATGTTGTCTGCCACGATCACGGTGTCGGGCGCAATCAAGCCCTGCGACTCCAACACCCGGAAGTCCGGCACGTACAATTCCTTGGCATGGTCCACAAACACAACATCCACCGGCGTGTATTTGTGGAACTGCTCCTTGAGCCGGTGCTGGAACTGGGGGAGCGTGCGGCCGGCGGGGCCCACGATGATTTCTACGGTGCCAGAAAGCCCGGCGTGCTCCACCATCTGCCGGGCGACGGCGGCAAACTCCGGGCAGATTTCAAAACTGTAGTACCGCGCCGGCGTGTTGTAATTCTCGGAGTACTTCTCGTTTTGTGTCGCCAACTCGGCGCCAAAGAGAATGGCCGAGTATCCCACGTAGCAGCCCAACTCCACCATGATCGCGGGCTCCTTTTCGCGAATGGCGTCCAAAACCAACAGGCCCTTCTGGCGCCCCACAATCATCAACCGCCTTTTTTGGGCAAACTCGTCTATGGCCTGGAGTACTTTCTCTGGCGAGCCCTTGGTTCCTGGCGTCGAGAGCACGTGCTGCAAAACCTGCTGTTCCATGCTGTGGCTACTTTGTGCGTGGCTCATACTAGGCTATATGGAGAATATAAGGTGAGAGGACAGGACGAAAAAGGTGTATTTATAAGATTCCGGTTTAAGGTTTGCGGAAACAAACATGCATTCCGGGAGCGGAGCCGCCCGTTGATATATGCTGGAATGCAGCTAGGGGCCTGCGAACTACGTGGGGTTGGCCGGGCCCGGGCCGCATAAGCGCATATTCCGAGGCCGCGGCAGCAAGCCGGAACTGGGCCTGCTAGAATGGGCCGCCTGTACACCACTAATGAGACAGACTAGAGACAGAAAACAGTCAGCAGTCAGCAGAAAACAGAAAACGGTCAAGGAAAAAAACAGTCAAGAAGAAACACAAAACAACCAAAAGGAAGACGCAAATTAGACAGCAGCGCCGCGATGAAATCCGCCACAGAATCGAATTAGGAAACATGCTCCATCCATGCCTGCACACAGCATAATCAGAGGAAGATGACATGAACATCTCAGGTCTCCCAACTCCATCGAAACAGCCCCTTTGCTCATGTCCATGGATCCTGCGCTAAGAGAGCAATTGGATTCTCTCAAGAGCAAAAAAGCCGCGGCTCAGAAAAAAATACACGCCGAGCTTACAAAACACAGGCTCTCTTTCAAGCAGGCCGAGGGCGACGAAATGATCGATGAACAGCCATATTCTAGGGAAGCTCTCCCGCCTGATCCTATGGACTGGTCTGCTGAGCAATGGGCCAGACACGATAGGCCCCAAGCCCCGCAGGAAAACAACACGGGGTACAAAAACATGGCTGGCCTAGCCCACGCTACTTATCTCAAAGAAACAGCCAAGCGCACTGTAGATATGGCCCAGTATGAGAAAAGCAAGGCTGAACAGAGTCTGCAGTGGGGCGACCACCAACACGCTGCTCTTGTGCCCAGCACGCCTGCCGCAGAGAATGTCGATGCTTTGGTGAAATCCTTACAGGAGGCCAGCGAGCGCAAGCAAAAACGTAGAACTGGGGAGGTCGCCGACAAGCAGTACGTGAACGAGAAAAACAGGCAGTTTAACATGAAGTTAGACCGCGAGTACGGCAAATGATTTTCGAGACATGGTTAGCGCTGTGAAGAGGGGGTAGCGCTCTGCTGAGCAACGGGGGCTGGCTCTATATGTGGAAGACATTTGCAAATGGGCGGTTTGTATGAGGACCAGGCAATCCTTTCCTATTTGGGCCCGAGTTTTGCGCGCAGCGAGTTGTTCTAGCTACAAGAATGGCATTGTGATTTGGGTTTATAAGTGTGCCTGGGACTACAGATCTTGAAGGAAATGTTTGTCTGTAGGTATGCCGTTGTGGCTGGGACACGAAAACCAAAAAATGGGGAGGAACTAGAGGCTTGGCACGAACTTGACCAAGAGAGTGCCTTGACGGCCTTGCATGTGACGAGCAGACTGTGCTATTGCTCTCATAGTCGGAAAAGATTTCAGTCATTTTCCATATCGGCGAAGTCAAGCTATAACCCGATGCGGTACATCTGAATTCACGGTAGAGTGTTGAAGTGGCACCTATTCTTTTATTTGAAGACTGACCGCCTAGTCTGCCATTTCCTTGATTCGGGAACCAAAGCACGAAAACAGGAATGCACCCCTGGCCCAGATTATCAAAAGCACTACGTTTTAATTTGAACGAGCATATACTCGATGAAGCGGTGAAAATTGGATCCAGTTTATAAGAAGGTGGCTTTATGGACAACAATGAAATGTTTTTGAAGAGACTGTGAATGTGCATGGAAAAGTTTTCATCTTTGCCATTGCCTCAAATGGTCCAATACAATATAGCTGATCTCGTCAGATTTCAGTGACTATATTGGTTTGACGTGGCGCATGTCTTTCCATCTTAAAAATAGCCTGGGCGAAAGGATATTCACAATCAAATGAAGCGAGTTCTCCGACTGCAAGATCTAGTACCTCTTGAAGCTGGAACTTCGAAGATAATAATTGCTGAAATAGGAGGACTAGAGAGGAATTAAGATGGACTTGAATCAAAATTAGGAGAAGAGAGCGGCTTTCGAGCTTATTTGCATAGAATGAGCAATCAAATAAGGTAGTGAGCCGCTTTGAATTTCTATAGGTGGCATAAAAGCATCATCATAGGCAGGAAGAATTTTTTGTTTTCGGTTTGATGATTGTGGTTTCGCACTTTCGTTCATATCTCTTGTTATCACTGAGCTTACAGACAGAGTCCTACTTAAATCAAGGATCCGTACCAAACATAACAGGTTCTTCGTGGAAGAAGCACCATCAAAAAAAATCTAATCGCAAGGAGGCTCAGTTTGGATCACAGTGGGCATTTCTTGAAACATCAGTATGAGCAAATGGATGAACAGAATGCTTTAGTAGATGAGGTGACATAAAATTGCAAAGCGCTTACATCTGACAAACAGGGGTAAACTCATCTTGCTGAGTGGGGAAATTTTCGACGTTGACAATTTATTCAGATCCGCGAAAACACCTGTAATAGCGTTCAAGCCGACTTCACATATCATTGTATGATTCTTTTATGTGCTTGCCTCATTGCTGAAAGAGTTATAGGAATACCTTGGAAAAAGAAATTACGAGATAAAAAAGAGTTTGAGACAAGAAAGTCATGCTGAGGTAATGTAACAATGTTTCCGGAAGTACGTATTATTCTTTTCCGATGTGAAACTCATTCCCGAATTGAATAGCCATATGCGAAAGTATTATGAGTTATGTATTATTGTAAAATAAGCTTAATATATGCGCAACATATGAGATGTGGCTGCAGCATGTACATTATCGAACACCAAAAACTTAGTCTCGAAGCTGGCTGGCCGTCATTTGTAAACTCATACAGCAAAAAAGTGTTGGTTTGGTTATAAAATTCAAAATTGTGTACTCAGTGTTTTGCAACGTATCTTAAGGTACCAACCATACTAAGCGCATATGCTCAGCAAGCAGAGTATGAAGAACCAGTAAGTCGCCGTGAATGAGCTGATAAGAAGGGGCTGGAACATTTTTATTTGAGGTCATCACGGTATTCATGGTATGATATATCCAAGAATCTAGGACATTCGGTTCTTTTGGAGATGAGAGGCAAACGTATTAACCCAAAGAATACAGTCAATGGAGTTTAATGCCCTGTAATCGAAAAGCTCCACCTACTCGCGGAACAAAGAGGCATTTAAACAGTATAAGAAGAATAGCTCCCGTTTCAACAGCTTGTAGACTGCACTTCTGGGATGAAAATTGGTATTAAATATGGTTTGAATGTCTAAAACTGAACAACTGAGATCTCCCTGGGGTTTTTTGAGTTTGAGGTTTTAGAGGAATTTTAAACTAAAAGAAAGTATCCACCAATAATTTCAAGTGAACTCTTTTATAGTTTATGAGGAGTGATACGTGGTGTTGTCGAAAGTTTGGTGTTTCTTGGCTCTCTGATTATTTATTGCTATTGCAACGACATTAGAGTATCTAAGGAAGTATTTCATGGTATGCAAATATTTTAAAGTCCTGCAGTACGCCTTCAACTAAATTGAGACTTCTTTTGCCGTGAGGTGTATTAATAAGTGAGGCCTCTAATTCATAGGCGCGCAACAAATGAATGATATCATCTGATTCAGAAACCTTCTCATAAATCAGAAACAGTAAAAACCATGCCGGACTACAAACAAAGAATCGGTGTGCCATTGATTTATCTGACACGACTGCTCAATTGAGCACCCCGAGGTCAAAAGTATGGCCAGCCAACATGAATAACGGAACATCTAAACGACAATCTCGAGATCTATTCCTTGAATTAAAGATAGATTTGTTGCCCATGAATCGTTCTCTATTGCCTAAAGTGAAGACAATAACGGAACAATGAAAGATCACTTGACTACGATTGCATCCCAGGAAGTTCAAGGTATAGTCATCAAAGTCATCCACACAAGAAATATCATACGGGGTTTTGATATTTCCTGCCGTGTATTTTTAACATAGCTTTTCATGACATGAACAGAAACATCTCTGCAATACGTATATAGTGCTTGTCCAATAAACATGTCATGGATTTTGATAAAGCACATCATACTTCACTCTTCTATCGAGCACTTACCATCTTTGAATTTTATTGTGTCAAACAGATATTTTTCTTTATTAAATTTTTATTTTCGCATTTAAATACCTTCACTTCCGGTCAAAGCTTCAAATATAGTTCAATATGACTATCCGAAGAGTTTCTTTAAATGCACATAGTTGCCTTGAGTTCTGGAAAAATTAGTTTGAAGTGTTACCGTTTTGGACTTGATCTAGTAAATTGTTCCTGCTGTTGGTGTATTGGCATACCCGAATTTGCTATGCAATGTATGCAAGCTTATTATCGGGTTTTCTAGCTCTTAAAAATGACACATTTACACTTTAAACCCACCAGTTTATAAAACTTGTACCCAAGATATAGTTAGGCTTCTTACGTAAATCTGATCCCGTTTTTTAAAGTCCATACACTGCGGGAAGACTCGGTAATCTCCAAAAGAATATGTCTTTATTGACTTGAGTAGTCCCCAAGAGACATCAGTTAGATCTTCCATCCTCATTCTGCATTTTCTGCTTCAAGATCACAAAGAGTGCTCTAATAATTTTCTTTTTGAATGGAAATCAAGAGACACAAGAAGGGTTCTGTCTGCACATACGTATTGATACTTTGAAGTGTGGTGTCAATATTCTAATAGGCGTTCTTCGGCCACATTTTCTACTCAAAACCGCATTCATACTGTCTTCTTTAAGCCACCGTCTGATTTGTTGTTAGGAGAGCACCTGCTCAAGCTAAGAATTGTCGTAAAGAAGCTCTTTAGTTCCGGCAAACTGGGGCATGTATTTCCTGAATCAGCCGTATTTGAGAGGGTAGTCTGTTAGACTCTTTTCACTGGCTAGTGGTTCACCAATATAAACCATGTATGGGTCAGAGTGAGCATTTGGTTTTGTTCCTTTAGGCTTTCGTCTTGTCTTTTTGAGTTTGCGCTCATGATTCGGTCTTTTTGAGTTTCGCCCTTCCTCTACCCTCGTTCTATATTTCTAGCTTTGCTCTTTGACTTTCTTCTTTCCGTCATGTCTGTAGACTTTTGTTCCATCTCTTTCACCCTGTATTCTTTTCTCTTTCCGCTCTTCACCTTTCTCCTTGGATCTACCTTTCTAATTCTCACTCCTCTACTAACCTCTTTCTGTCCTTTCAATGTCTCGCTCTCCTCTCAGCCTCGATTTGTCCTTTCAACTTTTCGCACCTTCACTTCATTCTTTGCGTTTTTACCCCCTCGCCGTGTCTGCTCCACACTTGTTTACTTTTTGCCTGAAAAACGCCAGCCATACTCAATCCATATTATGGAGCATAAGCACTACCATGGAGCATAAGCAATCCCAGGGAGCATACGCATTTTCGCAGAATTGTATGGATATACAGACCGTGTGGCTTAATACTAACCGGCACCCCAGAATCCCATCACTTATCAAAGCCCCATCGTTTATCACATCTAGCGCTTATAAACCCCATTGTTCATCAATGCCCTGGTGCTCCGTCCATGGCCCGAGATCGACCAGGACACACGGGAGATTGCATACCATGGCCCACCCACCATGGGGACCCTCCTTTCGGTACCGTTGTAGAAAGAGATTTTTTTTGAGTTTCATCTTTTTTACTGGAATAATCGCTTTAAGATTTTGATTCTCTTTTATTTGACTGAACCTGTATGTTTCTAGCAGGGCATTTCATATTATATGAATATGTATATCCGACTGAATATCATATATTGATACTATATCTTGTTTCTAGACTTGTTTCAGATTAAAACATAACTCTGCCAAAAGGCTATATTGAGCTGCCGTGAATTGCCCATTCCGCCTCCCAACCCCATAGCTCCAACCCCAGCTCCAGCTCTAAGCACAGAACACATATTGTGTTCGTCTATTAGAAGCATGGGACATTCCGGGCTCCTAGGACTTTTAGTATGCGCGACCATATTTCTGTAGGCTTAGAGATAGATTCTCTTATTTCACTCCAGCTACAAGGGCCATAGCGGTGCCCCCGGTATCAAAGTATGGGCGGCCGTTCTCGGGCACACGGAATTGTTGCTTTAGACAAACAGTCACGTTTATTCGCTCGAAGCAGCTGTGTTCAGTCAATACTAGCATAGTATCGTAGATTAGATATAGGAATGGCGGATTTTATAGATAATACATTTGAATATAAATATCATAACATGGACAAACATCAGTGATGTTATTCTCAGCAATGATATCAATATCAATGGCTCTTCCTAGTTTTATACTACCATATCTATGTGATGAAGCTTTGGCATCAACTGTGACCCTCGTGCGTATAATTTCTTTCACGGGTATTCCTCTCACGCGTATACGTCTCACAGGTATTCCGTCCTCACCACATCTGCTCCATAAACTAGACAGCAGAAAATGAACAGCCTCGATAGAATCGAGTATTGAATAGGAGCGTGATCATTGGAAACGTATGACATGCCCGGATATATAAACCCAGACGGAATGTACAAGCAGTCAAGACAAACCCGGATACACCCAGAAACGGCGAAATCATTTGGGGACGGAAATGCTTGTAGGTTTAGTAGAGATATCATCCAATTTCATAGTTCTATCATCCAGTTTACCTAATATCTGAGGTAAAAAATATCAATTTCCAATTCATCAGTCATCTTCATTAAGTGTCTATTAAGAAGACAGTTGGTGAATTGGACGCAATGGAAACTTGTTGACCTATTAATGATTCACCTGAAGAATGAATCAGATCCCAAGAGAACCTCATTAAATCGTGACTTGAGAACCCTACAGCCGGCGTTTCCCGAATGATCATGCTACTACTAAAAACGGTAGATCTACTGATGCTAACCAAATCAACTACCATAGAATGTATATCCTAGATCAATGATCTTACACCGATTCGTATTGATCTACCCAGCCCGTGTCACGAGGCGTGTAATCACGTGGCATCTCTCACGTCGTCTAGGGCAGGGCTATTGACTAACTGAGAGTGAATACGTGGCATATTGCATTCCCGTACAGATGAAACAGGACTCCGCCCCCTCTCTGGCAGATAAGAGGAAGAGGGGCTATTTAGGTAGGCAGGATTTTCCTGTTTCCTTTCTCTCGACAAATGTCTTATAGAAGATAGTAGTAGACTAAAAGATCCTAAGTGCTGCACATACTTGAATAGGAGAAATCTGACATTGAAAGCCCGCGACCGGGCCGCGGCGCGCGCGCCTGCACACAGCGCCGCGCCCTTTCAGTATCAGATTTCTCAATTCAAGTATGTACGGTACTTCGGATCCTTAGGATACTACTATTCTCTAAAAACCCTTAAGGAAGAAAGGAAAGGGAAAAAACTTTCCCTGTACGGAAGTTTTTTCCTCTTGCCACGTGAGGGATGCCTACGTGGCGGATACCACGTGACACTCCCCGGAATGATGTAATTAGGGGCTTCACTATTCATCATTCGTCTCAGTTGATCTCGCCATGACTTTTTTAGGGCTTGGATATCGCGATCACTCTGATCGCATACCTCTTGTCGAACCCCAAATATGGGTGGTGTCTCCCGAAAGGCACGTACAGTAATGGTTTAGTGAACGTGTCGGCGATGTTATCTTCGGTCCCGACCGTCTTCACTGTGATGTCTCCTTTTTGTACTCTATCTTGGACATGTTTCTCCTTTATGTCCACCGTCTTGCTGTTGCTGGGGTTGCTTCCTGTTCCATTGACGGACAAAAACAACGCCC